TGCTTTCAACGGAGGCAGTGGAGACAGTGCTACTTCTGTGAGAGGCAGGAGTAGTGTTGGACAAGCTTAATGCGGTTGTAGGGTAGCTGAGCGTGGTGGAAAGTCGGATAGAGGTCGGTAATGAAAGAGATGGAAAGCTACTGGAGACTCCTGTGCCACGGCTAGTTGACGAGTAGGCAGTACCAGTGCTCAGAGGGACAGTTTTCGTGAGGGTCACGACAACCGTGGTTCTTTTGGTAGTGTGAGAAGTAGAAGGAGAGAGGGTGGATATTCCAGGATGCTGAGATGAGACAGTGGTATTGAAGACTGACGTCGTGGTGAGAGTGGTCAACGAGTGGGAAACAGGGGAAGAAACGCTCGACTTGTCGGACCGTGTGGAGACAGATGGAAGAGGAGGAATGCTGATCGTAGGGATGCTTGGAACGCTTTGGGTCGTACGTTCGGAAGAAGTAGACGAGTCTGCGTCGGTGGTCCGGATAGTCTTGGTGACGGTGCGAGTGATAGGGGTGCGTGTTGAATTTGTCCAGAGGCTCGAGGAGGATCCAGCAGCAACACTCGTGCCAGGAGTACCAGTACCGTAACTGGACGAGCTGGAAAGGCTGGTAGTTCTGGAGCTTTGATCAATAAACAATTGTATCTGCGAGGTGAGGTTTGCTTACGATGTGGTATTAACGCTCCAGGTGAGAGAGGAGCTCGGAGTACCAGCACTAGGCAGTTGGGAGGAGACCGCGACTCCCGTAGTAATGGTTGGAGTCCAAGAAGACAACGCTCCAGTGGCTTCAGAAGAAGTGCCGAGGCCAACGGAGGTGGATGAGTCGGTGTAGCCGGAGGACGTAGCCAGAGGAGGGGGAAGAGTGCTAGATGACGAGGACTTGGAACTCAAGGTTCCTGGGATGCTCGTACTGGAAGACTCGCAAGTGTGAAAGTACGCCGGCGTCACAGTCAAGATCTCGGTTACAGTCACGGTACTGGCACACTGGAATCCATAAGCAGTGACAGTGACCGTGGCTGGAGGATGCGGGTGGAGGTAGTTGTTGACGTTGGGAGGGATGGCGCTAACCAGAGAGGCACTGCGAATCTCAGTCAGAAACATTCGAGGGAGACATGATGGAGTTCTCACCCTAAACCCAAAAGGGCGAAATGAAGAACGACCGAGAACATGGCGAGCAGATAGGCGAGGGTATTCAACGAGTGTGATGTCGCAACCGCTGGTGCTCGCTGGTTCGCAATGGAAAGACGAGCTCTACATCTTTGCGTCCAGACGGCTTTATAGCAATATTTTATCTTCTGTACTCTAATTGCAGATGGGACAGCAGACAGATATGAGCATGATCGATTGAAATGCCGACGGGAGAATCGGCAGACATCCTCGTCACGGAAGCCGGTGCCCCAGTCTAGAACGCACTCCGGCCGGGCTTTGCATGCAAGATGCCGCCGAGGGCCAACAAAACAGCAATCAGTTCGAGTGTCTTGATATAATATTGTAGACTTGGACAGGGCATCGGGGCTTGCCTTTAGGCTGTTTGGAGTGAGATCGCACAAATCACAACGTTCGAGTCCCGTCGTTGCCGCATGGGCTCGAAGAGATGGGTACTTAACCCTATTCGAGGTAAGCCTTCGACATGGTTTGAAAAGACCGTTTGACCGCCCCGAATAGTGACTTAAGCTATACTCATCTGACGGGACTATTATGAAGGGTATTTAGGAAAACGCCACCATTCTGCATCCCGACCCAATGCATGCCATGCTGATTCAACGTGGAAAGCTGCATGGCTCGGAAGGCTCCCGAGCTAGCACTTCAGGAGCCACTGTTCATCCGTCGCTTAAAGTAGGAAAAGAGTCTCAGCGTTCGTGTTTTCTCTAAGGTAGTCGACGAAAAGCCTACGTGGGTAATTCAGAGCGATGAGAAAGAAGAGCCGTGATGAACACGGCTGCAGATGTCCTGATTGCGGCTGCGGGTGTCCGTCCTACACAATCTCTCCAAGTAACTCGGCACAGTCAAACAAAAATTTCAAACGAAAGTTACATGTAGGCGAGACTCATGGGATTGTGTTTCCAGCGGCGTAAGATTAAAGCAACCAATTGCTATTATGTGATCTTCGTATTATAAAGGGCAGGTTTACGAGAACCTGGTGTCGTCGTCGCCCAGAATTGGGTATAGAATGTGTGAGCCTTCGAGCTATTCCAAAGGCTTGAAAATACATTCTCTGAGCACGCACATGCACGACAGATGCCGTACTCACCATCATACATGAGGTGACACCACATGGAGGGACTTTTTGCTTCTTGCATTGGCTTCCAACAAGATAGTGCAACACCAGGGTCGGCGACCTCGTTGCGTGTATGCCTGCATCGACGCAGCTGCAAGTTTCCGGTACTCCAGGGGAAGTGACCAAACAGACAATACTGGTCTCCTACACAAAAATTCGAAATCCAAAGCTTTTCTCCTTAGCTGCAAAATCAGAGACTGCTCGTATGCACTAGTTCTATCTGAAGAGCGAAAAGGACAGCTCATGTTACTTGCAGCTGTATCGGAGAGGTGCTTCCTGCAGGCGGGCCGGACGTACATCTAGATCCCGTAGACCTGACAGTCTTGTCACAGGTGGATTGCGGGAGTATACACGAGGGCTGTGCAAATGCCACGCCGAGATGAGTGGGGGAAGCAAGTTTGTCTGAGAGTTTCCGTTACAGTAGCGAATTCGGAAGAATTTTAATCGGCCGAAGACAGGAGTAATCCTCGCCACTCTAGATAGGCCAGCAAAGCTTCACGTTCTGTTTGCACTTCATCTCGGGCTGCGTGGGTCGTCTCACATCCGTGGATGTTTGTCTTTGCTTACCCCCGGGGATTTAGGTGAGTGGCTGGACGACTCGGGCATGTCCCCATACAAGAGTCCCCATGCAAGAGACCTTGTTCTATGCGATTGTTTCTGTTTGACAAAACCTTGCGCTCACCTGTCCCAACAACAGTATCGCCTCGATGCGTGGCCGAGGTGTTCACAGTGCGGTTGTGCGCCACATCACCAAGTACAAGAGGACCTGAATCATCGAACCTCGCACAATGCGACCAAGTTGATGCTCTACCTGAAGTAGAAGAATTTTTAGAGGGAAAACACGTATCTGAGACTGTCTTAAGTTCTGAACAGTCTGGAATGGGGCCACTGACAAGTTTTCTCTCACGGTTGCAGGTTACACGACCGGGCAGGGAGCTAGAGAAGGGTCACATTGCAGCACCGATGGCTCAGTTACTCCCCAGCCACTTGCTTTGATTGTTACCAGTTCCACTGACTTGAAATAAAGATCAAATTCACGATGCAGTGGCTTGGCGGACCACCGGAGTAGCTGTGCCTCTTCATCACCGTGCAAACAACTTTGGGCCAAAGACACGTGTCTATTCCTAGCTATCAACCCAAACTCTGTGTAGTCTCAACCGTGACATTCTCTTCTCAGAGAACCGCTTTCAATGCTTTGAATGCATCATCTCGGCTGCCCGAGAGTCTCAGCTCCGAGGTCTTCCAGTTGATGACGTTCCAAATATTCTCCACGTATGCCGCCTTCCCATTGAGGTACTTTTATCATCATTAGTTAGTCTGTCTGACTCTCGATTGTTTATTCACGCTGTGAGCACAAACCTGCAGGTAGTACGCGTGCTCCCACATGTCGACTCCAAAGATGGGTACACCCTTGGTGACGGGGTCCTGGTCTTTGGTGGTAACAATGTGGAGGCCGGTGACATCGTCCTTTACCAGCCAACCCCAGCCGCTGCCGGTGATACCAAGCAGAGCGTTGTTGAAGGCCGTTTTGAATTGGTCGAGGCTTCCCCAGATGCGAGTGATCTCGGCGATCAGCTTCGGTGCCGCATCGGGCGAGGCATCCGGGCTTGAAGCTGGTGAGAGGTTCTCCCAGAAGAGGGAGTGGTTGATGTGGCCACCACCGTGGAAATTGAGGGCCGCGAGAACTGCGAAGCGATTCTGGAGAGGGTTGACGTTGTAGGTTTCGATGGCTTTGTTCAAGTTTGTCACGTATGTTTGGTGGCTGTTGATTTTCGACCATTAGCAAACTACTCCTGCTTCCTTTTGTCCAGACACGAGATGACTCACTGCCTGCTGTGGTGTAGCTCCATGATTTGACCTGAGATGTGCGGCTCGAGAGCCTGGGGGAGAGGTTAGCCAACACAGGCTTCATCGAGTAGTGATAGGACACGAACATCGTAAGCATAGGGAAGCTTGGGCAGTGTGTACTGAGTGCTGGTCATTGTGGAATGTTTGGTGGTGGATGCAGTGTGTTGAGCTGGTCTATGAGGCGATTGAATGTCTTCACTTTCTGGTGCTATGCGTGGATGAAGTCAAGACAATCGGAATATGTATCGGGGGGTAAAAATCTGGGTTCCAGAGGCACCTCCACTGATAGAGACATCCTAATGATCCAAAAGAGGGGTAAATTCGAGCACATTTCATCATCTCGGTAACAAAGAGTGTCTTCTCCAGGTCCGTTGAGGCCGAGGATATGACAGACACCTTGATGGTTACCCTTCCCACGTCTCATTAACCAGCTCCATTCTGACATTGCATGGGTCATGGTGCTAACACTCACAGACGCGTTGGGCATCTCCACCCGCCCAACTGCCATGAGACCCAATCCTGATCACAGTACTGGTTTGAGAGGACCATTGTCATCTCCGCTACACTTTTCATGTCTTCATCTGTCTGTTTGCCGCGGTGATGGATGCAAGCAATGCAGACCGGCGTAAACATGATCAATTTTGCTCTAACTTGCTCACCGGGAAACCCGCGCAGGGTCCTTGAGCGCCCAATTTGGGGTAAACATCGTGCTATGATTGGTCAACTCATTGTCAGTGACGCCCCGGTCCGGGACCCATTCACCTTCGTTTTGGGATGACAGGGATAGAGAGACAGAATGAGCACCTTGAGGGAGTTGTTAGAGTCGATCAAGACATTTAAAGCATCCGGAAGGCTCTGGCTTGAGAAGAGCTGGGCCGTATTACTGTTGTCCTGATTCTTGAAGAAGGAGCTTACACTGTTCAGTTAGCTATTCCCACAACACGTTACTAGGTACTTCACCATGTGCGGTCCAGATACCTGCACCAAGCCTCGTGGCGGCGCCTTAGCCGTGCTCAACCACCCTTGCAGCCAGCACAGCCCATCAATATCGAAGCAGCGACTTCGCGGAGATCTCGCATTTCACACGCCAGGCGAACCAGGATGCTCTTTTGCTACTCATGCGAGAATCACAGGCGGCGAAGGATGCGACTTACAGTCATTGTCGGAAATGATCGTTGTAATACAGTACGTTCCGCTAACGAGAACGACGCTGAGTCGAGTTGAGTGCTACTGGATGCTAACAAAGATATTTTCAACAGTCAGTCTGGTGACCTCACTCGTAAACTTGAAGACTGCGGTTTATTCCAACGCTTCGCTTTCTCCGGTGCCTCGATTCTCGAGAACGGTTCTACACTTGAGTTGGCGTTGAAAAGACCAGTCTCGCTGGAAGTTGGCGATGATGGCATCATTGGTCGCAGAGTCTCCGTCTTTCCCGGGACTGAGATGGATCACGCATGTGCTGAGGGCATCGTTGGGTTCAACTTCGTCAACGCGTTATAAGAACATGACACCGCATCTAATTTGAGGAGTTATTATTTGCATGGTATTTGGCGTCAAAGCACGGTTCAATATTGGCATTCGAGATTTAGGGATGGGTTTGATACAAAGACTGGGATTGGGATCCGGAGTAAAATTATTCAAGTACACTTGCAAATTGAGTGTATGTATTCATCGGGCTGAGCAAACTGGAACGCTCTGGACCTTTTACTTTGAATTGGGAACATTGACTTATCAGACATACCTCGAGCTTTCAGTTTAGTTCGTGGTCTCGCAACAAATTCAACAAGCTTCTAAAAGATACGAGCTGGTATCCATCCAGCGGGAATGGCTTAGAGTCTGATGCGCGACTGCTGTGTGCTGATACTAAGTATGTAGCCTATCGCTTTATGGGCCGGTCTACTTTCCAGTGGAGTAGTAATATAACATGCTACGTACTATCTTATATCTCCATTAAACGGTCAAGAGTGCATCTTCCCAGACTCAGGTATCGTGTGTGGCACTGCATAACATCCTATCAAGCCAGAGCGACCACCCTGGAACGACTGCCTCTCGGATTCTTTCTGCAGATTTTCCACAACGACCCTGTAATGAGACGGAGACGTCTGAAGCTGGCGTAGGGTATGTGGCGTTAATTGCTGCCCGCAATTAACGTCGTCATTTTTGCGACAGAAGCGTACTTATGCCAATTCTCACCATACCTCCATGAATTCGTCTTGATATCTCACTTCACGGTGATAATCAACAATCTTGTGTCCGCAGATTACTTCAGATGGACCCAAAGAAAGTCAGCGCTGTGTCTTTTACTCAGTTACATCAGTCTCTTCGGAAACCCGGTCTCTGAATCGAAACTCGCATTGTGAGTTCCGTGAGATATTACCATGCCAAATCGTTCATCGTTATGGGGAGAAGAAGGGCCTGATGAAGTAGTCCACTAGACAAGACTGTTCCGGCATTGTAAATAACGGAGCCTTTCTCTCCATATCGGGAGGAAGTAAATGTCCTAGATTCTGAAAGACAGGATATGAAGATTTGAGCACTTCTAGCAGTAAGACTGTAGAGTCAGTGCTGGAACTGGATGCTCTATCAGTCTAACGGAGGCGCCATATACGTGATGATCTTGACAATGGCTCCGAGGATGAAATTGTCACCGAAATCGAAGTGACTGGACTAAGACATCGTCTGCGGTGAACATTAATTACCAAGGGGGTATTGACTGAGCCAAGAATGGATGTGACCATGTGACCAAGGCCATCCGTTTCCGTGTTCCAATTGTTCGAATGATCTTTCGATGAGTTTTCAAGATAATTCAAGAGGCAAGACTAAATGAGACTCAGCGGCGAAATGCCCTGCACTTTCTCCGCGCTAACACTTAGCTGTTTAAGCGAGCACGATGCAAGGTGGCGATCAATACGAGGTATGAAAACGGGATGCGAAAGCCCTCCATATTACGTCTTGCAACATTCCTCGGCAACATCCCGCAAAAGTTTACGTCTTTGCCTCAAAGGATTTTGTAATCAAACGTGCATGGAATTCCCGAAGCGCGCTTCTACAGAATCGATGACAGCATCTGGGAGTAAGATCGCTGATGTATCACGACTTCAGGCCTAGGGACCTAAGTGGAACAACAGATACTGGTGAGCAAGAACCATTTGTCGTTGGTGGTTTTCCAAGCCAGTCCGGCACTGATGAACTAATGCGAGCACCAAAGTCTCGACCAGGGTGTAGGGAAAGCTGAATGTATTCAGCCTTTCAGCAGAGGGCTGTTTAGTTCCAAAATTGAGGTTAGCCTTTGCTATTCTTGGTTTTCGGGAGCAACGTAGCATGGCTTGACTCGTGGGGGAGGCAAAATCAATGGTTGGGTAAAGCTCTACGGATACGGAAAGCATTTTCTTCCCCTCGGTTCAATGACCCGGGCCAAGAGGTTGGCGGACAGCGGAGCCGGGTTGATCGACCGTTCGGCAGTAACCGACTAGCCCGGTCTTGGTCAAAGACGGGAGGGTCTCTGGTGGGCTGATTGGCACGCTTCCTCTGCATAACCCAAGCTGGAAGCCAGTGTCTATTTTCAGCGTGTTTCTGACGTCAAACAAACTTTGTTCTCAAAGAGCCTCTGCCCGTTCGGGTGAGGCTCGGCCTGGTTGGGAAGTGAAAGACAGCCCGATGGTCTGTTAAGCCCCTGCCACAAATATGGGGTCCTTGAGACGCTAGTTGAGCCATGAGATCATGAGGCCCGTGGAGATATTGTGCTGTCAACCTTAACGGGTTAGTTGCCGGGGCGAACGGCTAAGGCGAGGTGGGTTGCTAGTCAATACGAACAACTTAGAACCTTTTTCCCGCCCTTTCGGCTCCACAGACGAGCTTCTCGCACACAGGCGAACACGAGATGTTGAAGTTTCTCGCCGAAAGACAGGCGGAGAGACGAATTTTGACTGTCTTACGATGTCTCGAGAAACATGTATATAACGATTGCAACATCGCTGCTGAGATGTTGTAATCTCTCTCCATCACACTCAACTTCATCAACAACAAGATCAATTCTACAGACAGTTCATCTACAAGCATCCCTATCAAGATTTGCCATCTCCGACATTACATAAACTATTTCTTACCTTAAATCATCATGATGAACAACATCGTCTTTGCTTTGGCCATGGCCTCCGTCGCCGTTGCGGCTCCTCTCAACGCTCGCCAGGACGCCTGTCAGGATGCCTACAAGGCCTGCATCGCGGCCGGTACCCCAGAGGTTGCCTGCTCATGCACTCTGACCGCCTGCGTTGGTGAGGACAACGCTCGCAACCGCGAGTACTGCGCCTCCGCGACTGCCAACCTCCCCAAGCCTACCTCCACCGGCATCCCCGGCGGCTGCAACCCGGCTCATCCCGGATCTTGCCCCTCCTCCTACTTCACCTACACCACTGCCACTGCCACCGCCGCCCCCGCACCAACTTTCACTTCCATCTCCGGTATCCCGGGTGGCTGCAACCCTGCTCACCCCGGATCCTGCCCCTCGTCCTACTTCACGTACCCGACCCTCTCTGCCACCGCGGTACCCACTCCCGCACCCACCTCCGGATCCGGCGGAAGCGCTCCCGCCTACCCCAACCCCAAGGCAGTTGAGGGCAAGACCTGGACGATCAAGGATATGACCCGTTACTGCGGCGAGAAGAACGACGGCTGCGACTACAACTTTGCCATTGAAGCCGATGGCAAGACTGAGCGCTGCACTGTCATCCGCATGCCCGGTTCCAACGCGGCCACCGAGAGCTGGTCCGATCAGCCCTGCACTTCCGGCTCCAACTTCAAGGTCTCATGGGGCTACGTCGCCAACCCTGCCCCTGCTTTCGCCGTCGTGACCGTCGTCAATGGCAAGGAGCTTGCTTGGTTTGGTGTCTCTGATATCAACGGCAAGCCTGTTACCACCGCTCCTTCCAGCCCCTTCGGCTCCGGACAGTTTGGCAACCTCGGCCCCGAGCAGGTTTACACCTATTAAGCCGCTTTGACGGATACGGCTTGAAAATTGCATATATGGATACCAGCGACTTTTTATTTTACGATATGACACATCGAGGTATATGATACGAAGCATAGAGAACGCAACCGAAACTAGACACTCATTATGATAATGTTAAATACTCATGTACACCAAATATGTACAAATACACAATCCTTAATCATTCAGACTTTAGCGGTCGACTAATATGCCATTGTGAAGCTTCTCCATCTGCAATGAAAGTCATTGGTAAAATTGCCCTTGGGCCTCGACTGATGCTTGTGTCTAGGATTCGCTACCTTCTTTCGCATGGGCTAGCATGAGACTGCTCTTCAGTCTCCACAGCACTCCACGTGAAGAGACACCACCTCGCTAGAATCCATCATCGCGAGCTGTGATAATGTAGATGTGCTTCTTTCATACTGGTTTATGTACAAGAGCAATAGGTCTTCTTCTATTATCTAAAGATATCGATTGAGATCGCGGCCTTGCCGTGTTACTAAGTAGTCGGCAGATGTTTTGGATTTGCCTGAAATCCTTGATAAAGTGTGAAATCCACCAGATGCTTGCATGCAACCGGTCCCGCGTGTTAAACTAGAGACTGCACAGTACCAAGTCTCTCAATTAAACATCAACACTCGACCGCTTTAGTCGCCATGAAATTCATTACTGCAATCTCCTTTCTCTTCGCTGCGGTTGTATCCGCCCAGTCCTGCGTAGGTGAGGAGCTGCAGGTTTGTGTAGGCAACAAGATCAAGTTCTGCAACCTCGCGAGGAACAATGTTTTCGATGTAAGCATTCTCGCACAAAAATCCATCAACTTTGTGTGCTCATTGTTTTTTTTTCATAGTTTATGGACTGCGGCAGTCAAAAGTGCCACAATGTTGCTGGAGGAGCAAACTGTCAATAATTTGGTTCTTGGCACTTTGTGTGGAGACGGAAATTTTGGACGGAATGTTGGCCTCGCGCGTAAACCTTTTGAGAATAAAGCCAATCGATCAGCTCTGGTTTAGCCATGCTATGAAACACTGGAAACTAATGGTCCAGGTCAACTTTCGCGAATCATGTGAGTGCCCAACTGTCATCGGTGATCCGGGCAGAGCCTCTATGTAAGCCGCCTCTGGATGCACAGAAAGGCGCTCACAAGTCATGCGTAATCATTGAACCGTTTCGCAGCTAGGGTTCCTGTAAAGTCATATGCATACAGAAAGGCGGTAATGGTTAAGCCGGTGTTCTCATTTCGGGTAATCTTGTGATCGACCTGCAGAGTGTAGGTTGACAAGTCTAGAGAATGGACTAAGTTATTCCCTGACTACGGAACATCGGCCTCAAATAGGACATTATGTCTTGACATATATCTGAATCCAGGTTCGACACCCTGATATAGGATCTTGTGCTTTCCCTCACCACTTTCTACACTTAATCTCCCCCTAAGCTCATCTTGGAACCAATCTTGGTACCATTATTTGGGAGCTTGGCCCTCAGCAACGAAAAGGGTCTCTGTCTTGAGTCTGTCCCAGGATAGACTGCAGGGCCGAATACCAGCTGGTTGTTGGTGAAGTAGATGTACCCATCCGTGGCTACAGAGAACTTTAATCCCTGTCAGTCAAGACATCAATGACGAGTTTTAGAAACAGGTGGAACTTACTGTGTCAGCCCAGTTGATTCTTGGATCTCTCAGGAATACTTGATCGGTCCCGTTCTCAGGGTTGAAGAAGTTGACTGCGTTATGCTCGAAATTTCCATGGTAAATGAAGCCGTTCGTGTCCGTCTCGAAGCCATCAGAAAGCCCCCTCTGGCTCTCCGTCACAACAGCCGCCTGAGCCCGAATCTCAGACATTGGACCATTATCTCGTAGGCGTTCCGTGGGAATACTGTACAGGTATCTGTTGCCGACGCCGCCAAAATACAACGTCTTGCCATCCTTTCCGAGAGCGATACCATCAGCACCAAAGGTCAGGTGACCGGCTCGGTTGCCTGCCTGATTCGCGTAGAGCTCCCGGCCCCAAACAAACGCGAGGAACTGCCGGTCGCCTTGCACGTAGGGACTTCCGTCGAGGTGTCTCCACGATTCACCAGATCCGAGATCGACCACGATCAAACCTGTCCGCCCCTCGCTCGAAGAATCAGTGATGTACGCAACACCCTCCCCACTGCTGGTCAAATTGGGATCCAGGTCAAATCGAACGTCGTTCAGGTATGTGTCGGGGTATGCGACGGTGTTGGGAAAGACAATGGTCTTGATGATTGAATTTGTTGTCAGATTGACGCCGATCAGCTTTGCGCCGCCGACACTCGCAGGAACGAGAACCCCTTGTGGTGTCAAGACTCTACCAGTGTCCAAAATCCATAGACGGTCCGCACTGTCAATGACCACGCTCTGTACACCGATAAGGTAGTCCTTGTAATTCGCCCCCGTCGCTGGTGTGGTGGTGAAGTTGATTGCGCCGCCAGGTGGACTATTGAACTCGATGCTTGGGTATGGCTTCTCGATGTTGTTTTCAAAAAGCTCGGCTACCGTGTACTTGCCATTGGTTCCATCGTTTGTGTTATTTGGATCTAGGCCGCCAGGATAGTTTGAGAACTTTCGTCCTGTTGACGATACGGCCACGCCTGTTCAAGCAGATGAGCTCATGCGTACTCCATTGTTTACATGAAAACTTACCTGTAGGCCACTGGTCAAAATACAAATGCACTACTTCAAGGGACGGCCCACTCCGTCCAGAGTCAAAAATAAGGTTCTGTGCCTTGGCTGGATGAAGACCAGCTAGAGCTGCAATCGATGCCCACTTGATAGAAACCATGACTGGCGAAGGGTTGAACGGGGATTGTTAATATTCTCAAGCAAAAGCTCCGACAGTGCAAAGCCTCCCGCAGCAGAAGATCAAGGTGGCCATTGCTTATATGCCCTGCCTCATCTCGGAGCATTTGTGCTGTTCTCGATCCATGACGCATGCATCCACATCTGTTCACATCACCTTGCCGATTGAAAGGCGCCCAAATTCGGCGTGAGTGGTTAATTCCATCATTCCTCAACTCGAAATTCTTCAAGAAGTGTTTCGCATGTGGACACTCGCTTAATTGCCTCTATTTGGTCGCTAACTACTACTGCCGTGGCACTAATTATTGGCGCTACCACTCCATGAGCTCATACTGCGGGGAAGCCATGAATTCAGTGCCTCGACTCGGCGGGCATAGAGCGTATCCTCGAAAGTGCTGGTAAAGAGGTAAAGAATGGCAGTTGAAGATTGCGTTTGCTGTTCGCTTCATGAATTATGACGAGAAAGGGTCGTCCGCAAAACTAAGGGGAAAAGTCAGAAGGGAATCCCCAGCCACTGTTGAATCGATATTCTTACAATGTGTTGCCGAGGCCATCATCGCACACCAGACGTCCTTGAACGGGACTGCACTGAGCACCGTCAAGTACAACTCTGCCTCCGCTGTTGTCCTTTGCCGGAACGCTCTTTGCCGGTGCAGCAATGGCAGATGCCACTATGGTGCTGAGAGCGACGATAATGAGAGAGAACTTCATCTTGTCTGGAAAGCCTCAAAGTTCGCTAGGTTGAATGATAGGTCTGGCCAGCCAGGAATGATTAAAAGTGTCTGTTGGTGAAGCGAAAAGCCCGCTTGTAGGTAGTGACAAGATGAAGTCTGGACCATGAACGATTCATCGCGCTATTAATATGATTTTGGGCAATTCAAGCTTAAAAGGGGTGATCAACTGTTTTGGTCGAGATGAGACGATGTCAGGGTACAGTTGAGACGAACACCCCAGTCATAGCCCACTCGGCTGTCGATACGAGCACATCGCAAGTATCAAACCTCCCCCTTGTGTTCCACAGTCAACCAACAACAATGTTCCATATTACCCCACACGCTTCAGGAGTAATGTTTCGGCCTTGAGATTTCCTACTTGAGGAAGTGAAGCACCAACTTCTTATATCCCTCTATGCTCTCGATCAACTCCGGGACGCGGATGAACTCGTCGGGCCCGTGGGCTACCAGGATTGACCCTGGCCCGTACAGCACCCTGTTGTCGCAGTACTCCGCCTTGAGTCGAGGCACGTCGGTCCCGAAAGCCACAGGAGCCGCCTCAAAGCAGTCAATCTCCCATTGCAGTAGCGCTTCAGGGTACTCAAAAACAAACTTCAGCTCCACGTCGGGGTGTCGTGAAACGATCTCGGCAACCTTGGTCTTGATGCCGGGTAGGTCGGAAACCATGCGGACCTCGCACAGTGCCTTAGCTGACGGGGCGACAATATTGTGTTTCTCGCCTCCTTCGATAGTTCCAATGTTGAAGGTAGAGGGGCCGAGGAGTTCGGATTCAGGCCAGGTTGCTGCCGAAAGGTCATTTAACACCGCGAGCAGGGCAGAAGTTGCACTTTTCCCGAGATGAGGGTATCCTGAATGACTGGATCTTGGCATTAGCACGATTTCTGAGGCCTTCCATTCTCTCCTTGGTTGAGAGAGTGGACTTACCAAGCGATGCCGTTGGCAATGACTTCAAACGCTACCTGCCCCTTATGACCCTTTGCAAGTTTGCTCTCGGTGGGTTCAGCAAAAATGCCAGACTCCCACTTTAAGCCCATGTCATTCGCCGCGATCATTCCATGACCGCCGTTCTCTTCACCAACCACAAACAATAAGGCGATATCTCCCTCCTTCTGCACCTTGCCTTCCTTTCTGAGTTCCTCTGCAGCTAGGATTTGGGCTGCCAACGGGCCCAGGTCATCAGACGAGCCTCTTCCCCGGATGATATCCCCGTCGACAGTCAGAGGGATATGCGGCGGTACTGTGTCCATATGAGCTGTGAGGAGCACACGTGCCTTGCGTGAAGAGCCAAGGTATGCGTAGACATTGTGGCGAGATGAGTTTGGCGAAATGGGTATGCGCTCGACGGTATAGCCTAGGGAATGGAGATGTTGTTCCAGGAAGACACCGATGCTTTCTTCAAGCTCGCTGGTGCTGACGATTGACATGAGCGACTTCAACAAGTCAACCACGGGATGTTCCATGATTGCAGATGCCATGTCTTCAAATCGGCTCCAAGTCTGAGTTTGTGGAATATTACTGGGCATAAACTGAGATGGCGAAAGCTGCGATGATTATGTCTGGGGTGGCTCCTCTCTACGCCAGAACAAGCAAAGAGTGCCCAGTTAAGGGAGACTTGGCTAACCGTGCCTCAACGCTCCAAATGGTGAGTCACGACCAACCAACGAGCCTATGTGGATCTGTCGGCGGGAACCTTTGTCGGCCAGTGGACATTCGGGCCAACATCCGACTGCTCGGGATAAACTCCGTGTTAATTCCTGGGTGCATGATGTGAATTCTGTCGTTATTGATTTCGCAAGCCAGAGTAAGACGTGTATTCTAGATCATCTTTTTCGGATGTCGCGTGTTTTGTCGGTGATGATTGAGTGCGTACACGTAGGAGTAGCAAACAAGTCCTAAACAACCTTGGCTACTAGCCACGACCGCAACCGGCGGACTTGGAGTCTCCCCAGTAAGTTCACTTCAGGAATTATACCAAAACCAAAAAAAATAAAAAAAAATATTAAAGAAGGTTATTTTCCAGAGAATTCTGATCGTGTTCACTGTTCAGAAAAGAGTCGATGACTATTTGACCTAAGCCGTGAGGAGCCTCGTTGGTGTTCAGTCAAGTGCTGAGTCTGGCAAAATCCGTGCCTGCCTGCTGCAACACCCAGACAGGGAAGAGACGGAACGCGATGAAATCGACAGGCTAGCTTGAGTTTGTTCTAGGCTTGGGTAACTTCCTAGGATGTTATTTGAACCAATGTTTATCAATGTTCTAGGCGCAACGCGAGCCGTCATGAAACACCCTATTTCAAAGGATGAAGTCCTATTTGCACCATTATCATCTCGTGGAGCACTGCTTCCTATCACTTTTGCGCAGCCTGAAGCTTCAACTACCCGAGTAGCCTAGGTAATAGAGTAGAATGAATGTCCGGATTGGGATTTCCTAAGCCAGTGAAATCCTTATTAATCGCTCCCTGTTGTAGATCCCCAATCAAGGTCGAGGAAATCTCACCGAGCTCTGCTGATGTCAGATCAAATGTCTCCGACAGGTTAGCGCGGCATGGAGTATCTCTGTCAATCTGATAAGAAGCTGTGCCCTTCATCTCTGTGATGTCGGAAATCGTGCCTGGGAATTACTCCGATCGGAACGACATCTCTAGGGGTTCTTGTCAGCATCACAAAAGACTTTGCTCTACCCCAGATGGCGGACGACTCCTCGAAGCCCGTGGGATGCCACGTCGGCGTTGTCGGCACAGGTGCTTTAGGACTTCTGGCAATAAAGAACCTCAAAGAGCAAGGGCTAGAAGTGACCGCTTTCGAGCAGAATGACCACCTTGGTGGGCTGTGGCACTTCTCACCCAAGCCAGACCAAGTCACAGCACTTCCAATGACGTCTTTCAACAACTCGAAGCAGATGGTGAGCAGTTGTTGGAATCCACCTATTGTGAGATGTACTAATAATGCCAACACTAGGCGCACATCACAGACTTTCCTTTCGCAGATGGTACAATCCCTCACCTACGCGGTAAGGCATGCAAATGGCTGACATTGCCGCCGGGTTTTAGACGATGCAACACACCCGACTGCGAAAAGTATCGAACGATACCTCGAAGCTTACGCAAAGGAATTCGATCTTCTCCCTCACATCAAGTTTTCCACCAAAGTTGCCAGAGTAGAACGAGACAACGTCAACGGAAAATGGTTTATACACACGGAGACCACAATCCCAGAGGCTGAAAGTGTCATGCAGAGGCATATCTTCGACCGAGTTGTTTTAGCCACTGGAATAGTCAACACTCCAATGATGCCACACATTCAAGGCATCGAAAGATTCGAGGGAGAGGCCAAACACTCAATTGAATTCAAGGACCCGTACAGATACTCGGACAAAAATGTTTTGCTGATTGGACTCGGGGCTACCAGCGCTGACACGCAGTCCTTTCTGAAGATGGCAAATGCTCGCTCAATCACAATCAGTCATCGTCAGCAATTCTACCTGGTAAGCTTCCCGTATATGGGGTCGAGAATCGCAAAGCAAAAGGATTAACACGACCCCAGGTTCCCAAAATGATCAAGGGGAACGCTTTTGACCACGGCATGACGCGCCGTGCGCTCACAATCTTCCGAAGTTTGGGTGACTGGTGGCCTAGAGCTTGCGCCATGGTCTTCACAAAGGCTTTGGACAGTGCTAGAAGGAAAGCATACCCCTGGCTCAGCAAACACCCGTCGTTCGTAGCTCCACGGGTTCTTGCAAGCGCAGAGCATCGGATTCCGGTTCTATCCAACGACCTCGCTGAGAATCTAAGAGATGGGATCACCCGTACTGTTCCTGGGGTAAAGGAAGTTACCGGTCCCAAGTCGGTGACCTTCACAGACGGTACAGTTTTAGACGACATCGATGCCATCATTATCTGCACGGGGTACGAGTACGACTTCTCAGTGATCAAGGGCGCCGGTGACCCTACCAACCCTGAAAAAGCTCCAGATCATTTCGAGCGCATCAACACAACTCGTTATAAGGATCCTCATGTGCATTTCGCTCGCCTGTATCGAGGGTTTCTGTCAGAGGAGTATCCTGAATCACTTGCGTTCATCGGTCACTTCTTCATCTTGAAGGCGCCATTTGTGTTTAATGATCTCGTCACGATGGCACTGGCTAGTCTCTGGAGCGGAAAGATCCCCCTACCCTCAGCCGACGTGATGGCACAAGACATCAACAGACACTACGACACCGTTGTGAATACTCTTGAACGCGGGGCGCTACCCCACCTAGGATTCAGGATGTTCGGCAGCGACACCTACACATGGTTGAACAAGGTTGCAGGAACCGGAGTGACGGAGAGAATTGGCTGTTTCAGTAAGGAGGCTTGGAAGCTCTGGTGGAATGACCGGAAATTCTACAACTTGCTCATGGATGGTGCCGATTCACCGGCGGTCTATCGGCTTTTCGAAACGGAGCGGGGCCGGAAGGCTTGGCCGGGGGCCCGTGATCAAATCCTGAAGACGAATAGGGAGGTGAAAGAAATGGGCGAGGAGTGGACAAAGAAGAACAAGGCAAAGTCTAAATAGAACTGAGGCCTTTCCTAGATCAATTGTTTGATGCTATAGGCTCTCGTGGCATCGTAACAGGTAGTCAGTAAAACCCGATCTCTATGGCTTCTAGGCCCGGCGTACATGTGTTGATAGCCGGCTTTCATGTAGAATGATTACAAGTCATGCAAGTCTGCAATTCCAAAGTAGGGGGAGGTCATTACCCCTAGCACTTCTACATTTTTACATGAGGGGAGAAGAGCGGTGGTCATCAGACGATCGGCTATTCGTAAGCCATTCCAATGAGCATTACTCCACTTTCTCCGCGGCACGACATCGAAGACAGCAATGTCGCCATCACCACAGCGAAACCGGGACAGCCAGTGCTTTCAATGTCTACTGTATGAGCATAAGAGGCTCAACTTCGCCCAAGCCAACAAGCTAACCCACGTTTATTAGTCGCAGATGAGCAGCATCTTCGGATTAATAGGACATAGTTCTGGAGCTTCCTCAACCATCACAGGAGACACCTGCCACACCACGCGCACCACCATGGCCACCGTCACTTTGACCCTTCCGGTCCAGCCGGACATTCAGTATGCTCCGGACTACCAGAAATTTCTGGCCCGGACTGCGCGCCGAGTTCAAGAGCCTGATCTTCCCAGAAGCTTGCCTGAGGGACTTCCGCAGAAGTTCACGAGCGATATGGTCTGGGAGGGGGCGACTCTAGCCAACGAGTACGATTGGACTTACGCCCTAACACCTGAACAACTCGACGAACTTGATGCAGCGCTGGCTCACTTCAAAGGTAACATAAGTACATCTAACCCACAAAGTAACTATCAGCCGCTAATCATCCACGAAGCGCTGAATCTGCCGCTCGGCCACATCAATCAAGAAACCTTTCCCCTATCGAAGCTTCACTCTGAGCTTCGAAAGCTCTCGTTTGAGTTGCACAATGGGCACGGTTTCTTTGTCGTTCGCGGCCTCCGTGTGGATGAACACACAAGAGAAGACAACATCATCATTTACGCAGGCTTATCCTCGCACATCGCTTCTCAGCGAGGTCGCCAGGATAGGCAGTATGACGGGAAGCCGGCTGATGTCGTTCTCACTCACATCAAAGACTTGACCTTGACGAAGGACAAGGGCCAGATTGGCAGCCCTGCTTATACTGCGGATAAGCAAGTGTTTCATACGGATGCAGGAGACATTGTCTCTTTGTTTGCTCTATCGACTGCCGCGGAGGGCGGCACGAGTAAGTTGGCAAGTATCGCCAGGGTTTACAATGAGATTGCGAGTACGCGTCCGGATCTCATCCATACTCTCACGCAAGACTGGCAGTTTGAGGTGTAAGTAGCTGCATACTGATGAGGATGGATGGATGCAAATTGCAATGAGATGAGCATCGGCTGATGATCTGTTTCTTTGCTAGCTTCGGCAAGCCCGAGAAGTCCTTCACTTCCCGCCCGTTGGTACACTACCAGCCGGCTACTTCGACAACGCCTGAGCGTTTAGCTGTACAATATGCTCGTCGATACTTTGTCGGTTACGGTGCACTTCCTAGAAGTGAAGAAATCCCCCCGATTTCTGAGGCTCAGGCCGAAGCACTGGACACTCTTCATTACCTCGGGGAAAAGTTCGCGGTCAACCTGGATTTTCAGAAAGGCGACATTCAGTATGCCAATAACATGGGCATCTTCCACGCTCGTGATGGGTTTACCGATACTCAAGACCAACAGTACGTTATTCCATAATCACAAAGGATGTTACCGTCCTAATAACACGCTTCTTTAATTCCGCAGACGTCATTTGTTGAGGCAGTGGTTGCGCGACCCAGAGTATGGCTGGGAGACGCCAGAACCATTAAAGGAAAGATGGGCTCAACTTTACGAGGGTGTTACTGCAGAGGCTCAGGTATTCCCTCTAGAACCATTCATCCGTAGTGAAGGAAACAAGAGTAAAGGAAGGTCATAGATCGGTAAATGGTAGCTTGGACTAGCATGGCAAAGTCATTGACATAGAGGTGGTAACACTCTATTCAAATAAATGCTCTCAAATGTAGCTGGCCTACGGACTGCTGTTTCTCTACCCCATGCGGGGGCCCGCTTAATTAGGAACAAGGTTGAAGTCATCATCGCTCTTAAGCGCTCGCTTAGTGATGAGCAAAAAGGCGTGCCAAGAGACCAGGATCAGACCTGGAGGAGTTCATTGGCGAGCGATAAGAGGTTCTCAAGGGAAATGTAATGACAACTTAACCTCCTTAGGAAAGTAAATCCAACAATAACAGTACCACCAGAGATTCAATTAGCCTTGAGCTTAAGCGAGCCTCGGCTAAACATGGACTATTGGAAGGCAGCGCTTGTTGCCTGTTTAACGTGAGTCACCAATGCGCCAAGCATTTCCAAACTCCCAACGATAAGGAAGCCTGCCCAGGTGGAGGTTGTCACACCACTCTCATAATCACAGTGATCTACCTTACTGACGAGAGGGGCAGAAATCAGGCAAGACACCACTCCAGCACCCAAGTCTGGATCAATAAGATCACAATTCTCCGTCTCTTCCAGTCTCCTTAATTCCAAACTTCGTTGTGTCGAAGACCCTTTCAATGGCTGTCCTCACCAACCTACCAATCGAAATTCTCAATAGGATTTTCACCTCACTATGCTGTCATTGTCGACAACACAAAGTGAAGCTCGATAAACCGAGCGCGCCCGACATCTCGAATGAAGACTACAGTGAGCGACTTGGGCTACGTAGTTTGTGCCTCACATCACGGTCAATACGCTACGTCGCCCAACCAATTCTCTACCACGTTTTTCTGCACCACTGCAACATGAACTGGATAAAAAGAGAAACACACTTAATACCTCGGTTGTTTCGTTTACTAAGAACTATCAATGAGAACCCCCACCTTTCATTCTGCATCAAGTCCATCGACATCAAAGCTTATGAAGAGAAATGCGATTGCTGTTCACCAACGGCTGACTGCGCGACCGACGAAGAGACTGTTCAAGTCATGCGGTTGTCCGAAAAGACAGGTCTCTATGTTGATCTCCTCGACGTGGATTACGATACACTCCCTGAGATTCTTACTCAATTTCTGTTGATCATGACACCAAATCTTCAGAAACTAAGCCTGTGCGTCCCACGTTGGTGGTACTTTCAACCGCTGGAAACATGGATCCATGGACATAATGAGTCAATTACATTCCTGAACCAGGTTCGGCACATGGAGCTGGAGATTGAGCGCAATGCCAACGACATTTGCATTGACGAGCACGATGAGGACACATGTTTTCATCCCACCGCACCAAGTCCTGTCGAACGTCTGCTTATTGACAATGCTGCGAATCTCGAGGTGTTATCATGTACTGCTGGAGGACTGGAAAGTCTTCCGAAGTTACCATCGCTCAGGTGGCTGCACCTCCACATGAAAGGGTCTTGGGAGGGGATGCTGCCTCAGTTAATGGATCGCCTACCACATCTGACACATTTCAGTTACTTTACCCGGAATCTGCACTCTCCCACACCCAGAGAGATCCAAGACTCTCTTCGTAACCACCACGAGACTCTTCAGCACCTGACTGTGGTTAGTCAGTTGTGGGAGAGTACTTCAGTTGACGATTTACGAATGGACCCAAGCCGGCCGTACTCAATGACCTCCCTCGCCGATTTCAAGGCTCTTGAAACCATCAATCTCGATGGCTATATGATATGGCCGCACCGAAACGACAGAAGTACGATCCAAGACGTGGAGTCAGACTTACAGCGTCTACCAAATCTTTTGCCCCAGTGCATACAGCAGCTTCACATTGACATGGATGGCTGGCTCAACTGTGGAGAGGAAAACTTCAGGTCATTAGCCAAGGCTGTGGCAAATGGGAAATTCCCTTACCTACAGACAGTAATCTGGGGCATGAAACATGACCGCCGACTCCTGCGGCGTGAGACTTGTAACAAGGCGTGGAAAATGGGCGAGGAATGGAGGGAATTAATCGCACAAGAAGTCGAAAGCCGCATGCGTCGTGGTTATCACGAGGCATTTCCAAACTGGAGAGCTGAATTATTGGAGTCTGCGGCAAAAGAGGCTTGCTGAAGTAGGTAGTCATGGAGTTCACTCGCCTCAGCTACCACGTATGTAGTATCAAAAGTTTCAGGTTTTGACGATAACACCGGTTATCAAATATGAGAACAATTCCAACTGAAAACACAGTCGTGACCAGTTCTGGACTTGAGCCAACAACTATCATAAGATAATGAGACTTGTAAACCTCCACCAAGTCTTGAATACATGTAACATTGAGGCTCTTATATTGAGAAAGTTCCGCGCACGCGCTGTTGTTAAGCACGTCTATCGTAGGAAAACAGTGAAGTTGTGAACGTATAACTCGTTTTCACTAAAGCGAGTCTAAGGTTGTCCACATATTTTAGCACACGTCTAGCTATGTCGATTCGAAGCTTGAAATTGCTAGTCGTCCTGCTTCCACCGCACACCGCAGGCTAAACTGTACAGAGGAATTGTCTACTGACTCTAAAAGTCCGTTTTACAGAAGGTTGCTTCTGGTTAATCAAATATGGCCAGAACACACGGTCACAACCCCAGAATTGGCATTGCAAAACGTAACCATTATTTTCTCGCTTGTTGTCAACAAAAGAAGTCAACGTTGGAAGCCACCATACATCAGAGCCATTTGATTTAGATATCGAGCTTGACCATAACGCCAATGCTCTTTCCAAATCCTTGGTACTTCTGCAACGCCGCCTGCGCCTCTGGCTTGGTCCAAGCAGCCTTTGCTTCCTGTCTCAGATGTTAGCAGAGAATCGCCAACAACTATGATGATTTTGTGGACAGCCTACCTCTTCGCTGTCCCATCCCAAGATCCCCAAGCCGGTCGACTGACCACCGTCGACACTCTTTCCTCCAAAGTGGACGGTCTGGCCGAGAGCAGCGACTAGGTCCATCCAAGCCTGCTTTGCCTCCTCATGCTTGCTTTCGTCCGCAACATCAATGAAGCAGAGTTGAGTAAACGTCTTGGGCTTTTCACCAGGAAGAGGACCAGTCTCGAACTTCTTGACACGGGGCTCGCCTCCGGGACTGGCCTTGAACTGCTCTTCACGCTCTTTGATCCACGCTGATTCGGCAAACGCCTTGTCATCTGCAGCGGACTCGAAAGCTGCGAAAAGATTTAGTAAAAGTCAAAAGCTTCACCTTCAGCGGAAGATCATACTTATCGTTTGGAGAAACTTGAAGTCTGTGACCGGTGTTCCGCTTTCATTGATAACATGTCCTCCAGCTACGCCGATGACACCTGGCTGTTTGGCAATATCTTCCTTGATTTGCGGCCATGCACCGAGGAATTCATCCTTTTTATCGGCAGGAATGTTGGGCGTGACGACGACGAGGAAAGGCATCTTGGCGGCTGCTAAAAACTCGGGACTAGTAGAGATGATGAGATTGTTTGGGTTGTATGCTTTAGCGGTGATCGGTTCGCGGTGATGTATTTGACTTTGGCTTCGATGAAATCTTGCTTCTCTGTTGCTTTGAAGTTGAATAATGGATGCGGACACCACGAGGTTTATATGCCTTTCCAAATCAGCTCATTAGACGCGCTACTACATCAAGGCTGTGGTCGACCAATTATCACTCCGACACGGAGCGCAACTTGGACCCGGAAATCCCGGTGATGCGGCATGACAGCAGGTAAACGCCGTCAGACGAGTTGTGTCTTAGAAGGCCCCTGGCAAGAGCTGAAAGCCAGCTTATACCGCCGACTGACCCCAGATCATCTAATGTCTGAACCCCTCTTGTCGCGGATGATGCCACCGGCAAGTAGGGACGGCTTCAGGGTCCAATAGCTCACTGGGAGTGCCTGCTAGGTTGTATGGTAAACAAATCGCGTGTATGCCGTATCGTGGATGCTTCAACCCAGAAAGTGAAACTCAGGCGGAGTCGGGAACCGGGGGTCTGGCCAGTGTGGGGTAGTGTCGCTGCCACGGCGGCGGAGGACGGGCCGCCGGGTTTTGACGAGACGGTCTCGGTTTTTCGTCTGATCCGTGATTTATGCCCCCTCCACCAAGCCGAAAGTTTAATCTACTCGGCAGCGTACTTGGAGGCCTGCATGAATCCAAACCGGCAGCCCGGCGGACGTAAGGTTGACTAGGCTACGTCGAAGAAAAGGGGACCTCATGCAAGGAGCTGTCAAATCACCGTTGGTCAAGTACGTCTATTACACGGGCGGTGCCAGAACGCCGACGGGCTTTGAGGAAGCGACACGTCCCAGGTGATGCCTTGACCTTATTCAAACCAAGGGTTCATCTCGTATTGTGATGTATGACGAAGCTGGAAACACCTTGGCAAAACTGGGGGAGTGGCCCATCAACGTAGGGAGCTGTGACTAAATCTGACACATGAAGACACGTTCCAGGAGAAATGCAAACCTTCGGGGATATATGAATACTTCGGGGAATTAGCAAAGCAGCCCGTGCTCATATCCAGACTCTCAAATACTTACAACAGTCATATGGAAGTTCCAATGTTCTAGGCTGGGGTAGACTGAGAAGATGCTCGTATAATTGAGAGTGGGCAAGATCATGTCTTCAAACATCTTTATCAGATACTGTCGCTTAGCTTCATATGCTGAGCCCAGCAGCTAATAACAAGGTCAATCAAGTGCTCCTGGGTTTAGGCCACCACTGTTCCGCTCACTTGAAGGCCTTTCTCCTGCTTCGGAACTGAACATACAAGATCGGAAATGGCCGAGACTTGAATTCCGGTGTTGACTGGGTTCTTCGGGATGTCGGGCCAAAGATGACCACCGATTGAATAGGTAAATGCGCAAAAAAGCCCTGCTTCCTTTTGATATCGAGCAAGTCCTATGATTTTATGGGAATAATGCACATACACTCCTACTAACCCATGGCTCAACTGGTGATTTTGACTGGCGGTGTAAGGCTATGCAATGACTCGTTCCCGGCCATCACAAAGATGGGCCGATGCATCATGTACGATCCTGCAGTCACGACCAGTTCTCCCCATCGAACTCCGAACGTAGATACCGAGCCCGAGGAGAGATTCTTCTGCTATGGTTTGCCGCAGCGGTTCCTCACTTAGAGCCATTGTGCTTTTATTATCATATATAATCTAAAAGATGGGTCTATGTGTCTTGCTATTCACAAGTCACGCAGAAATAAGGCTTGAGAAATAAAGGTTCCGTTGGAAAACGCAACTCCTTACTCATTGGGCTAACGAATAAATATCAATTGTTGAACTACCCTCGGCCTTTGTTCAAACCACTGGAGAGTGTGTGACGCCGTCCACATTGTCTGCGAGATATCAGAGACCTGATTTCCTCGCCCCTGACAGCATGATCTTGGAATACATTCGGGAAGAGGATTCATCACAGCTTGGAATCTTCACATTCGAGAGCAGTCAAAAGCTCAATTTTGTTATATGCTACTTGCAGCCAAAGACAACAAACGTGTAATCTAGGCAATCGTCTAATCCAAGCTATGTCAAGCCAGCCGAGACCAATTCACCCCAACTATTTTGCGCCGAGCATGAGGGAATCGCGTTTCCACTATGCCATTGCCAGATTCCCCAAAATCGCCGCATGCAAAGGCCTTATCACGATTCTCCCCGAGTTACATGTATTTGAGGCGATCAGTAGCACCCTCAGGCGAATGCCACAGCAACCGCCGCCACGCCGAGAACTGCAGCCATCCCCGCCCGAGCCGTCGATCCCGCCCCCGCCGGAACCGTACTCGACGAGGGCTCCGCTCTCGTTTCAGTCGGCGCGGCCTCACCCTCCGTCGACGTCACCAAGGTACTGTCCGCACCGCTCGTCCCAGTCGTGAACCCGCTCTGCCCCGACGCCGTAAACGATAGCGTCGGCGACGTAGTCACGGTCTTGACGATGGTGCTCGTCGTCGTAGGCGGCGTAACTGTCACCGTCGTGCTGCCGACCCCGCTGTTCGATCCCGGAGGCGCCAGGGTCTGGGTGACCGTCATCGTGGGCGGTTTGACGGTAGCGCAGCTGGGGAGGAAGCTCTTGGTGATCGTCCCAAATCCGGAAAACCCTGGGCAGCCGGGGATTTTCTTGCCGATCGCGTTGTCGGTACCTCCGCAGTCGAGCGTGGTGCAGATTTCGAGGGTGTCTGGGACGTAGTAAATGACTGTCTTGATGGAGTTGCCGGAGGGTCCTGGGATGGTGGATGTGAGAGAGGTGCAGTCTGCGAGGTCCGTCTTGGCTAGGACTGCGGTAGCTGCCAGGATCGGGAGGAGGTAGCGAGCCATTTTCTTCTGGAGTAGGAAAGCGAGTTCAAAATAATTCGAGGAAACGAGCGTGACTGCCTAAGGCTGCTAATAGACACCTAAGATCGCGAGGGTGAGAGAGGTATGGATCGCCAAGTTAGATCTGGATGGCTGAACGGGTCCTTTTGAATGCGTGATGGTGCAGAAAATCGCAGCGTTCCCATCCTTCCTTGGTTGTTGTTGTTGTTGTTGTTGTTGTATTTAACGCCGTGGCGGCCGGGCTAGAGCCCTTACCGCAGACCTCCCGAAGGGTATATGGCGTGGAGGGCCGTGAGCCAAGGCTACCTACTCTACAGTACGTCGTCTCTTTACATCGTCCTCCAAATCATGCCTTGTGGCCACTACGCGTTCTGTCTGTCCCCGGTTCCCGCTGGTGCCCCAGTTTCATTCTTTCCCAAATCGTCCCTTGGAATCGGGAGGTTCTTTGTAGTCCGCACTCACATCTACGTAGGTGTGGATGCTGCTACCGCAGACAGATCTTCTGGAAGAAGTCCGTCACGCGGAGAAAGGCCTCGAAGCCTCGTGGGTCGGTGATTAATCTCTTGAAGTAGGCCTCGAGAGATCCCATAGGGCCTATGGGCTCGGGCATACTGCGAGAGTGGAGGGTCGGCCACCGTTGCCTCCTCGCCAGCGTTAGTCGACAGTAGACCAGGTGGTCCACGTCTTTCGCCTCTCCACAAGAGCACATCATTAGAGCGTCGTCGTGGTTGAAACGTCGGTGATATTGCTCGAAGTCCCCGTGACCCGATCGTGCCGCCAGCAGGTGATGTAACGTAGCCCGCGGCAAGGCCAGTTCAGGAGGGCTGGACAGAGCTGCCTCAAGCCCCAAGTCCGCGTACCGCGGCCTTCGCTCTTTATACCACCATCTCCTGTGCTGGCTTTGTAATTTTTCCCTTGCAAGCCGCTTGATGCCCGCTAGTGTTGCCATTTGACCCATCCGCGCCGGCAGTGTCGTTCCTTCTTTGGCCAGCCGGTCCGCGGCCTCGTTTCCTTCGATGCCCTGGTGTCCCGGGGACCAGTGCGTCCGTATATCAAATATCCTGGCCGCTTCTTGGATTTCGAGGAACGCGTCTTGTGACGAGTCCGGCGCCTTGCCGCGGATGCCTTGTATAACGCTGGTGTTGTCGATACATATGTGGATTGGATGACCGCGATTGGTGAGCAGAGCCCTTCTGAGGCCGGTTCGCGCCCCTTCGACCTCGGCGTCGAACACTTCTGCTAGTCCGAGTCGGCCGCACCCTTGTGCTATGCGTTTGGAGTCTCGGTAGATGACGAAGCCGTACCCCACGGCTCCGTTCGTCGCCCTGGAGCCGTCCGAGAAGACGATCATATGGCTTTCCGGTACTGTCTTTAGCCAGCGCTCGAAAGCTTTCGCAGCCTCTTCTTTGCATTGAACTACTATCTGATCCTGTGAGCTTGGCAGGTACTGTGATTGAAGGAACGCTGGTCTTCCGCATCTTGGCAGAAGTTCAGCCGTCCGTTGTAGTCTCGTCTGTTGCTGTCCCTGCTGGGAGAGCCGCGCGACTAGCGGGTGTCGGCGATCAATCCTCTGTAGTCGGACTGCGGCCCGTAAGCGGACGCCCTCTAAGGCGACTTTGGCTGACGGTAAGCCGGCGTCTCGGAGGAGGCTACTGGTTGGCGTTGTCCTCCAGACAGGCAGAACGGCCCTTGCTGCCGCTGTAATGACGCTGTCGATCTTCTGCACGAGCCCCTTTTGGCCTGTGTTGACGGGTCTTCCTTGGAGAGGCGGATTCGTGTCTGTCTCCGCTTGGCGTCTCGAAGCCGGCTTCGTGATACCTGCGTACCATGTTTCGGCGCCGAAGAGCGCGATCGGCAGTACGCAGGAGACGACGGCTTTTCGCACGGCGGCCGCTGGGAGTCCCCTCTTTGTGTTCGTAAGCTGTCTCAGATGTTGAGCTGCCCTCTTTGCTGCAGCTACTTTTGCGTCGACATGGTGCCGGAAGGACAGTCTCTTGTCGAACCAGACACCCAGCCAGCGTACAGGTTTCGTCGAGGCCTTGACCACCAAATCCCCCGCCCGGACCTCTGGCAGCTCCGCTGGCTGGCCGTGCTTCCTAGTAAAGTGGATGACCTCGCACTTGCTCGGGTCAAAGGAGACCTTGTTCTCCAAGCCCCATCTGAGAATGCCGGCTGCGCTTCGGTTGAGTATTGCGACGTTGCTCTCCAGGGAGGGGCTGATGGCCAGAGTGGCGATGTCGTCCGCGTACCCGAATCGCGCGTTCGGGTCGTCTTCAAGTATCTCTGCGATGTAGAGCAGAAAGGCAATGGGAGATAGTGGTGACCCCTGAGGCAGCCCGCATGACAGCGGGAAGTACTCCGTTGTGCTTTCTTCCAGTCGGACTCTAGCGGTGCGGTTGCAGCAGAAGCTAAAGATCAGTCTGGTCAGGCCATGTGGCCATCCCTGCTGACGCAGTCTAATGACGAGCCGGTTCCGAAGGACGGAGTCGAACGCCCCTTTTACGTCCATAGTCAGAAGTGTCGCCGTGAGTCCTTTTAGGAGGGCCATCTCGATGTCGTGGGTGAGGCAGGTCGTCAGATCGACGGCTGACCTGCCTTGTAGAGCCCCGATCTGTTGCGGACTGATGATGCGCTCGACAATCGCCAGGGACGCCATCCTTCTGGCTATCAGTCGCTCTAGTCCCTTGCCCAGGCACGAGAGGAGCGCGATCGGCCGCCAGGACCCGGGCTTGGAGGCATCCCTGCCGGCCTTCTGGATCATGACCACCTCAGCTCTGCGGAAGGGCAGAGGAAAGTGGCCGGCCCGCATACAGGACTGGAATAGCTGCCTGACCGGTTCCGAGATGACATCCCAGCATGCCTGGAGGAGGCGTGTTGTGATGCCGTCCACACCAGGGGTCGTTGTCTTTGTTAAGGTGGCCGTCTTCACTTCTTCTCCGCTAACATTGTCCTGCCAAGTAATCGCTCGCCTCGGGACGACGGGTACGTCAAACGGGTCACCCGGTGCGTCATCTTCCGCACTAAACCTGTCGAGAAGGGCTCCCCGAAGCGCTTGAGCCTTTTCGTTAGTATCCTCGATCGTCTGGTTGTCCACAACCAATGGGGGTGCTCTGGTCAGTAGGCTCGCCTTCCGCCAACCCATGATCTGGTACAGGTCCCGGTCTGAAGCGACTCCATCGATCTTTCCGGCCCAGTATGCTCGCTTAGCCTTCCTCACCGTGCTCAGGAACGCCTTTCGTTTCTCCATTAGATAAAGGTGCGCATCTTGCTCCGTCTCCCAGGCTTGTTGGTTGCGGGCAGCACGGTATGCTCTGTGGGCCTCTGCGCATTCCTCCGTCCACCAAGCCGCGCCTTTACCATGTTTTCCTCTCTTCTTGCCGACCGCCTCAATGGCTCGGGAGAAGAGCTCGACGATGTGACTTGCCTGCCCGTCCAGGTCTTCCGGAGTAGGTTGATCCCCCAGATTGGGCATCGCAGCTAGCCCCCCTTCGATCAGGTCTCTCAGCCGAGGCAGCGCCGAGTCGGGCACTGACAGTGGCCGTGGCTGCGGGTGGCCCTCTCCCTGTGACACTGGGCGTTTGAGTAGTGGTATGACGGCCACGATGGCCTCGTGGTCAGCTCCCGGGTGTAGCTGTGGGCTGACCTGCGCGTGCGCAAAAGGGATATTAGAGAAAGCCAGGTCCAGGACATGTCCGCAATCCTGGGTTGCCACCCCAACTTCGCTGATAAGAGAGAGATTGTGGCCGTCTGCCCAGCCTGCGATGTCATCTCCCCGGTTCCCGTTCCTCGTCCCGGGCTCCCAAGAGTAGTGATGCGCGTTGAAGTCACCCGCGATCAAAGCTCGCTCCGGGGGTTTGAGTTCTAGCAGTATCCCTGTTGTGCGGCTGTGGGGGTCGCGGGGTTGTCTGTACACGTTGACGATAGTCGTCGTTTTGTCGACCACCAGCCACAGTACGTCTCTCGTGTGGACAGGCCTCTGCTGCTCCACCGTCATCCCTATCCCTTTGCGTGTGTAGGTCAATACTCTTGGTCTGGTTCCTTCGCTGTCCCAGAAGTCGACCGGGACGAAAGAGTCGAAACCCGGGTGCGTGTTCAGTTGCACGTTTCCGTCCTTCCAGCCCGTCCAGGGTTCCTGGACGAGGACCACATCTATCTGAGCCTCCCAGCAGAGCTGCAGGAAAGCCGTGTGCGCCGGGGAGATCTTTCCGACGTTGCCCTGCGCAACGCGTAGCATCCGTGGGGTCGCCGCTCTCGGCTTACGTCTCCGAGTCGAGTTCGAGGTGGGTGTAGGCATTCGCGACGTTGTAGTTTGGCTTCTGTGCTGCCCGTTGGCTCCTGCTTGGCATGGGTAGCACGGGACGGTCGATGGAGGTGTTGTCGGGGGAGTCTTCGCCTTCGCCTTCGTCCGCCTCGTCTTCATCCATGCTGCTGCTGTCAGTGCTTCCGTCACCGAGGCAAACGATCGAGCTTGCGGAGGGCGTTCTCGTGCGCGCGCGCTTGGCGCCGGGTTGCTGGTTCTGGCTGGTGGAGGTAGGGACGCCTGCCGCCTCCTGGCTACTGTCGGATCGAGTAGCCTTGTACAGAGTGTCCGATGCTTTCTGGCCGGCCTTCCGGATCCGAGCCCGCTCCTTTCGACCGGGAAGGGAGACGACGCCGTTTACGGCCGAGGGCCTCGCTGGGCAGTCTGTGTGGCTGGCTTGGAAGGGGCCGCAGCAGTTGGCACATTGGGGCCTGGCCATGCAGGGTCCCGTTTCGTGTGAATCGGAAGGTCTTCCGCAGTTGCTGCAGATCGGTCGTCGTCCGCAGAACCGGTTGGAGTGGTAGCCCTGGCAGCCGGGGTCGTGTCGGATGAGCGTCCTTCGTTTCTTGACGGGCAGAGATCTGCCGCTTTGGTTGAAGAGCCTGAAGGGCGTGACCTCTGATGTGAATGATATGAGCCAAGATATTTCGTTCGTGACTGGGTTGGGCCCAAGGCGGGACGGTCGAGCAAGGACAGGCTTCTGTCCTGTCTGTGCGAAGACCTCATCTTCAACGAGTGTGGCTGGGTCCAGGACGTCCCCGCCAATGCTGTGTAGTTTTGTTGGGCATCGCGGCACAACGTAAGTGTACCACTTGATAGGCGTCTCGACCTGGTGGGCGCCGAGGCATTCCGCCAGCTTTGCCTTACTTGCAAGTAGTCTTTCCTGTATTTGCTTGTTTCGCGGCTTCAGAGAGTAACCTGTGCTGATATGGTAGACGTGGGGAAGGTCCGCTAGCCCCAGGCCAACGGCCTTACAGACGATCTGTCGTACGGCGAACGGTGCGATCTTCCGAGCGGCCGCTAAGCTTTCTTCCGGGACGCGGGCAAAGATGCGGAGGTCCTCCTTCGGCTGCGCCTGCGGCTGATCCTCGGCGGGGAGTGTGGCCTTCGGGCGGGCAGAGCTCTGGCAGCTCTGGCCGCTCCGGGTCGCCGCAGTGGTGTTGCCCGCCATCGGTGCGACGACAGCCGCCCAACTCCGGGCCGCTATTGGGCTTGTCTCGTGATTGATCAGTCTCTTGAGGGTTTGAATGACATAGGCAGTGGCTTCTTTCGCGATCTGCTTTCTAGAACCGTCAAAGCTGGCGACAACGCTGTCGACGGACCGTGCAATGGTCAGAAAGACGTCTTTCCGTGCCTCGTACTGTCTAGCTTCTTCTGCAAGGGCTGTCAAGACGGACCCTGTGGCAGATCCGCTCGGAGCAGATGCGGTAGAGGCTGCGGGCCCCTCGGCCGAGGTAGGGGCGTCGGTGGTGGCATCAAGCTGGCTTCCCGTTAGGCTGGGCCGGGTCGGCTGTGCCTCGACGTCGCGGCGTCGCTTAGCTCTTGAGGTGGGGTTCGGCTCCGGAGGTGTCCCGGAGCCTGGTTCGGGGTCGGCTTGGTCGGCCGACATCAGTCCGGTGCCCGACGGCGGCTGTGAGGCCATCGCGGATGCGGGCTCCGGCAAGGGGAGGTGAAGAGTTTTCGGCTGTTAGTAATTTGGTGGTAGGCTCACTCATTCACTAACAGCAGATGCCAAGAAAAATTAGGCGAGAGGGAAGTTGCATCCTTCCTTGGTGTTTGGCGACCAATAAACAACACTCCTGGAACCTCATCACCTCGGACTCGTCTCGCCCCTTGGTACGACCTCAAGAGGATACAATGTGCCGAATTGGCGCTTCAACTCCTTGCACCACCGACGTTCGTTTGCCATGTGGCACGAGGAAAGACAGGTAAGTGGTAGAGAGGTCAGCTTTCTAAATTCGAAGCCTCGTGCCAGATACGCGTGGAGTGCAAAATACACCGATTTTAGACAAGGCGCGCTTGTATGCAATGATTGCCCAGTCCCTTGCTTCACGTGTTTGGCAATCAGTGACAGAGACGCCATGAAAAGAAGTCCAGGTTGTCTGCTACGTACTAGAAATCATTGTAGATGCGGTTGCTGCAGCCTACTTGATCACCACTAGAGACCAAGGGCCCCGGAATGTTATAGAGAGAGATTGAGCCAGTACTAAGAGTCCTTCTAAACGTCAAACTATTAATTTCATAAGGAAAGTGGCCCGGCTACCAAGATGAAATCAGCATTTCTCTCCATATCCATGCCTGTTCGTAGCCAAATGATTGAGTCAGCCATCGAAGAGTCCCTACTTGCGTTAGTATCAAAAGAATGCAGTTTGCCGTTGTTTCTCTCAAACACTGCCGCATTGTCCTCCGTTCTGTGTGACGTGACCTCGGCTTTCTACTCGGGTCACCTGACACCTCACTTTCTTTGCTGTTGTTGGAGGAAGAGCCGATGCTGATGCGCATCCATACCTCCATCAAGCGGGACACATGCTTAAAGCGCGACATATTGCCATCACATCGAAACACACACAGAGCGATGGAAACATTATGTTGTGTATGTACAGCATTGATATATTAACAGTAGCGATTGTCGCAATAGTTGGTAAGTCTAGAATATTACAATTTATCATAATGAAGTCGTCGTGTCGGCCGTTAAAAAGGAATGATTGCATAGCCGGGGAGTCTTTCGCAACGACTTCGCCACTTCGAGAGTCCAGCCGATATTTGTTCCAGACGAGAGGCGAGAGTCAGGAACAACGCATTTGCGAGAGGATTGATCCCTCTACTGAGCTTTCTTAGCCTTGTCCAACTTCTTCTCCCTTCTACGCTGGTGGGCTTCCGCGCCGGCCTCGGTGTCCATGAGGTAATCCCACCACCGGAAGCTAGACGCGTAGTTGCCGATGAACTTCTCGTGATGCACGTCGTGGTGCTCGGCACCGGCCCAGAAGGGGAGGAAGTGCCTCAGAGACCAAGGGAAATCGTAACCGGAATGCGAGTCGATGGCTTGAAACAGTCGCAGGACGATCCACATGTACATGGTGAATAGGTGAAGATCCTTAGTGATGAGGACCCATAGTACGGGGGACCCAACGGTGCCGAGACCAAGAAACATGACTTCAATCGGGGAAGCATACTCGGCCGTCATGCCGAAGGGTGCCGAGTAGTAGTGGTGCATCTTGTGGACAGCCTTGTAGAGGGGAGGCCAGTGGGCACCGCGATGCATCCAGTAGTGCCATGTGTCCTCGAGGACGAAGAAGATTGCAATCTGGTAGGCCATCTTCCACCAGGCTGGGAAGGGCACGCCGTAGTCGAGGCCGCACCAGGTGGCGATGGGGTGGAAGAGCCAGATTTGTGGGAGCTCAACGGTGAAGTGGCTGAAGAGAACTAGGGCGCCGCATTCGAATTGCTCTCTCCAAGTTGGGATTTTTTGCTATTCAAAGTTAGCAAACGTCATGCGCGTTGGTCGTTGATATCTAGAATCCTGTTGGACACATGAGACATGCGGACTCGCGGAGTGACGTGCCTGTTGAATCTTCCATCTGCGGAAGTAAGGAATGGCGTCAATGATGATCCATGGCAGGCTTCGACCAAAGTAGACCACCTCGTGCATGACAAATGTCATGATGCCTGTGGTGAGGATGTCGTTCTGCATCCAGAGATACCATGCCGCCCAGAGGCGCTCGATGGCGTTGAGCTGGACATTGTACTTGTTTACATCGTCGAGTACTCCTAGGTAGCTTGTAGTAGAGGTCTGGTTTGGAAATACGACGGTCGAGTTCCTATGAGAGTATCGAATCTTAGCAAATGGTCAACTTGTACGTAAGAAGCTACGGTTAGGTTGACTTACCAGGACGCCATGGTATCGAGTGAACCCCAATTCGAGAGGGAGAGCCTAAAAGAAAGTGATGCGCAATTCTCGAGATGCAACGGCAGCAACCAGATCAAAAGAGAGATTCTTACCGAATGGCGAAAGGGGCCAACTTGATTTAATAAACCATCCGCATTTGGTGGAGACTGCGCGTGTTGGCGTTGAACGGGCTTTGGAAATGGAGGGTTCTTCTCGAAGGGCGGTGCAGGGGTCCAGACGCCGATGGGACGATAAAAATTCACCGGCATCCGCTCAGGTGTGGTACGATAACTTGCATGTTTGCTGTGCCTGTTTCTCTAGGGGACACTAGAGACATTACATGTAAACACGAATTCACCGATCCGAATACGAAACGAAGTAGTTGCGCCTCGCAGACCATTGTCATTGGCTCGTTGTGAAACTGATGAGATTGGCGAATCTGGTGACAGCTTCTCATCGCCTGGAAACTCTTTTTTTCCCGCCGTGAACGGTGGCCTTGTTCGTGAAGGACCCGGAGCCGTGTGTTTCCAGCTGAAGAGAGGCACAGAGGATCCATTTTCCATCCCCGGGCGACCCACTTCCCGATGGTCTGTTTGTGGTGTGATTTTGTCCGCCGCGTTCGAGTCCCCGAGATTGCCGGCCTCAGGGGCAGCGCATGTTGCCTACCCGCACCTTGGTTCTGGACGTGCAGATGGACTTCTGAAGTGATGAGACTGTCGAATGGGGGAATTTGAGATTGGCATGGGCATAAGGTGATTTTTTTAAGAGTGCTCACGTTTGAGACTTGCTGGGGCTAGAGATCATGGCAAATATTTGGTCTGCGTGATGGTCTATCACCAGATGGGCAAGCTGGGCATCTGCAGCTCTGTCCATATAGTTAAGGAGGGATCTTCAAGGCATCTTCCGAGTAAGGCACCCGTAGGCCTGGCAGTGAAGCTTTTCACTGCCCACATGCTATGATTGTGCATCCGCGTCGGACGCAAGGTCCCCAGAAGAATATGCACGTCTTCGGAGCGCCGATCAGTCCGCCCGCCATCGATTAGTCGGTTCTCAGCTCGCCGTTCTGCCCCATATGGCCACAGACACGCGGCAGTCACTGGATTCACGATGGAGCACCCCCGAACTTGACTGCAACGGCCGAATGTGGAAACTCTTCGGGCCTGATGGTGCCTGCATCGGAGCAGCTTGACAGGTGAGGAACGTAACTTGCGGTGTGGGGACCCGGCCTAGGAGGTATACGGATACGGATGTCGAAGTTGACCCTGGCCAACTGAGGTAGTGGACGTTGAAACTTGGATGGACAAGGGTGCGAAAGTTGCCATCTATGTGGAATCCTTATTGTCGCTGGCTTTTGACTCGTCACCAACTTCGTCGAGGTTAGCCAGGCCCATTTCCCTTGCCAGCGACGCCTTTGGCCTCGCAGGGCAGGACTGCCGGAGGGGTTGATTTTGGTCACGTCACTGGACCTGGGGGGGTTAGGCGAGCAACCGAAAGGCTTCTCATGTTTTTATGGATTGATGTTAGAAGCGGGTTAAACGGTATCTGTACCCACTGCTGTGCTGGTGGCCACCCTATTTGAGAGGCATCTGTAACGTCTAGCAGTGCACAGGAAAACGTCTGGACTCAGCCCTCGAAAGGCTTTTGAAATAGTTTGAGAGATCTAGAAGCAACGATTCTTCTCAAGCCCCGCGTCGAACTGAACTGGAGTCTCCAAAACCGCATGGGAGGTGAGGTCGAAAATGTGGTGTGGTGATGCGATTTTTGTTGTTGAGTGAAGATTCAGAGGCTCACGTGTGGCTGAGCACGTCGGCCCGCTATTTACTCCGTCTGCGGCTCAGATGCGGCGGTGCACACCAGCCACTTAATGCCAGCCACACGATGACATGTGCGCCCAAAGCTCTCGCAGCTCTCCACTGGCACCACGCATCCACGCGAAGCGCGGCCGCACACCCGCACACCGCATCGCAAAGCAGAGAGCTCTCAGTCCGTCTCGGCGGCCAGAAATAGAGGCTCAGCAGGTTCTCTGCCCTGGTCTCTGACCCCGTCCAGACCCCGTCGAGACCCAACCTCCTCCAGTCATCTCCCCAGTCACGTCGAGTCTGCGCCCACCTCGTGACCTCAGACTCTCTGTCAGTCAAGATGACCCATCGTCGGCCGGACTAGGGTGTCGTCGTCGGTTTTCCAAGTTCTTGTTCCTGTTCTTGATCGTGGTTTGGCTGCAGGCCGTCATTCGCGAGGCCATCTTGGACGCGGCCCTGATTCACGCACACGCACAACAAGAATCGTTGTGAATACGCTTCGAGTGTCGTCACACTCTTCTTTCCCTTGCCATTCTTCTGGTTGACTCTTGGCAAGTCTTTACCTTCTTTTTGACGCGCCCTCTGTTCGCTGTCGCTATCGCATTTGTTTGAGCTTCCCATTCTTCGCATCTTCCTTGGCGCCTCGGCTGTAATAGACACGAAGACAAATACGACATTTAAACCACCAATAAACGAGAACGAACAATCCTATTGTTTACCCCGGAAGCCCAGGAACAATGGGCTACATCGCCAACACACCCGAGGAACGCCTCGAGCGATCCGACTCGAAAAATCCAAAGACAACTTGCAAGGGCCTCACGGGCACGGGGAACTTATGTCGCAACTCAGTCACGCCCGCAAGGGGCAAGATGCTTTCGCCAACAGTCAAGGAGGAGTCGCTCTACTGCCACCACCACAAAGATCAGGCCGCAAGTCGCTCTGCACAGTCGAGTCCCGGCCCTAGGCTGTCCGGCAGACCCATCTTGGAAGAGCGAACGAGCATCGATACACTCGCGGATCGCCTTGGCCTGATGGACGTCGGCTCCAACCCAACCAAGAAGCAGAAACGACCTCAGGGAGGACGGCTCAGCGGCGGCAGTGGAACGCAAGCCACGACCGCCTCGAAGCCGCCATCGGCATACACGCGTCCACCGCAAAATGAGCGCAAGGAGCTGCACCTCTGCTGCTGCTTCAGCATACCCATCGATGAAGTCCAAGAATCCCAGCCCGCGCCTCGGCCCCAGCCGCGACCGGTGCAGAACGGTGGCTCCGCAGCCATGCCCCGGCCCTCGAGCCAGCTCCTGGCCCCCTCGAACTCACGCCCGCGACCGAGCACGTCGAGCCATTCCCGGAAGAGCTCCCAGCAAGCGTCCCCTCAGCCGCTCTCGACGTCCCAGACAGCTCAGTATCTATCGCTCATCCCCCCATCGACCGACCCTCAGACGGCCTCGGCGCTGATGGCGGAATTGGCGAGACCGTACGGCAACTCTGAAGAACCAGGCTACATCTACATGTTCTGGATCACCCCGACATCTAAGAAGGAGGCGGCACCTGTGCAGGAGGCAAGATCTCTCCTCGCACCGCCTTCGCCGGCCCGGGGCGTGGGGCGCAACCGACGGTCCAGCGACGTTGTGTCGGCATTTGCAAACACGAATGGCGGCGCATCGGGAGACAATAAGATGCTCATCAAGATCGGAAGGGCGCAAAACGTCCAGCGTCGGATGCAGCAGTGGACGAAGCAGTGTTCCTACGAGATCGAGGTACTGCGATACTACCCGTACATACCGGGAGCGAGCGCGGCATCGGGACAGCAGCCGCGCATGACGCCGCACGTGCACCGCGTTGAGCGGTTGATTCACATCGAGCTGTCGGGCATGGGTTTGCATGCTGGGCCCATAACGTGTGCCGGATGCACCTCGGTGCACCGCGAGTGGTTTGAGGTGCAGACGTCTAAGAAGGGCATTGGCGCGGTGGACGATGTGATTCGGAGATGGGTTGACTGGGACGAGACGACTGTTTGATTCTAGCGAGTTGATTGGACTTGCTGAGGATTATCTCTAGAGGGAGTGAGCTGTGACCGGGTGATCATTGACTACTGGGTATATGCTCTTTTGCTTGCACGCATTGCATCGCGAACGGCGCAAACGGACTTTTCATCGCATTCCAATTTTGTACAGCATTACAATCAGCATCACGATAGTATAGAAGATGGCATCCAGACTTCGGGGCAATAACAGAACCCTGCATTTCGGCAGCTGTCCGCGGGCCTCGACCGATCGGGGTCCCGCTGGTTTGGGTCACCAAGAAAGACTCACGAATACATTTGACGTTTGAGGTTCCCATTTTTACGTTTTTCCTGCAGATTGATGCAATTTCAAAAGCCGATGGCGCAATTTTGGATCTCGACCCATGGCCTCCACGGTTCCTGAGCGGGTGGCAGCCGTATCCCGACCTCAGCTGAAGACAAGGTTGAATTACGGGTACGTACCGTGCCTGGAAGATCAAATGGGACACAAACATCCCACGTTGGTATAGTTTCCGTGTGTCATTGTGTTTCTCTTAGTGGTTGTGGTTGAAGACTCAGGCTCCTTGGCTCGTCACCAAGTTGTCGATGGTCTTTACTCTCGTAGGTTCTCAATCACTACTGTATCTTCGAATTCATGGCTGCACGGACGATTCTTCGAGTCCCATGGCCAAGAGTACGGAGTACAGGCAGCGCACACTGAAGATGGACTCATAGGTACATATGTTAGTACTCTAGATGTCCAGCAAAATTCTAGGACGGCACGGATGTGGTCCGACGGTGCCACCACCCACCTCAAGCCCACCCTGCTCGTTGCATGCAGCATCCTGGGAATGCTGACGGGCTAATGCAGAACCAGAAGAAGGCGGGGGGGCACTACCGTTGCGTTGAGCATTGAAAGATGTGAGTGTCTGGGCGTCCCCCTCCCCCCCAGTTTCGAGTCCAAAGTCTTTCCATTGCTGCTCTCAGAGCTCTCCACGCCCCAAGCTCTGACTCGGACTGAGTGAGTAAACATCAACTGGTTGCTCAGTGTTGAAGCCTAGAAGGTTCATTCGATGAAAGTTCAGTGTGCTTTGGTCTTCTGGCGTGCCTGGGAACAGAAGATGGGGCGACTGTTGATGAGAGTCTCATGTATCAAGTATCAGCCAGACATCCGTCTCTCCCGTCATCGCCGCCCTGCCAAGCTTCATGTTCCCGCGTGCCGAGCAAGTGCCTCATCTCTTGGCCATCTCTTGACAATCTCTTGGACTTTTCCGGCTCAGAGAACGCTGGCTACTTGGCGCTGGCACAAACCCTCCGAATAAACACGCACCCACCAACACGCCCATACTAGTCTGTTAGCAGGAGAGGAGGCACCACTTCATCAGTGACCAGGACTGGGGGGCAAGGGCTGACGAGGGACGACGTCACTAGCTCGAGCAAGCTTTTCTGGTGGCGCATCTTCCGATGCTTGTCTTTGCTTGTTCCCTTTTGGCATTTTGCTTGTCTCTTGTCGATCGCTGGCGTCGCCTTCCCCGGGAACTCAATTGGCTCTTCAACGACATTTGAGTCTCTCGAGGACTAAACCGGTGCCCGGCGGCGCCACGGTCGTAAGAAACGTTCGTTCTACTCGGCCCGCTAGGGTTTAGATTGCTCTTGGTTCGCCCACTCTGTTTCTCGCAGTGTCCAATGCTATCTCTTGAACGACATCTTTATGGGGACAGCAGCAAGTTCGCCTTTCTACGAATGCGCTACTGCAGATACCGGCAAGGTTAAGCACGAGCTATTAGGTGCCTCCAGCAGTCTCTCCGAGCCGCGATGAGCCATCCGCGATTCAATGCCCCTTTGAGAGAAGCGCTGCTGTTGGTTCGCCATCTTCCCCATATCCTACAATGACGTGCTCCGTGAGCCTGAGTCGGATTGTGATCCCTTTCGACGCCTCTGCCCTCTGTGTTCTCAAGATTTTGAGAGGCTCTGAAATCTCTGACCGGGGCGGAACTTTGTGTGAGTTCCACCCACGCACGGGGGGAGACCCTTCTCCTCCCCTTGTTCCTCTGCACGCTTTCACCTCTCCTGCTTGCATTGGCTCGTTTCTGACTGAAGGGATGTCCGCTGGCGGGTATCGTAATCTCTAGCGGACGTTGTCGAGACAAGAGCAACTTTGCCTTGGTCAGATTGAGTCGATGGACAGGCAAAAGCGACATGGCAACACACCTGCTTTGCAATGTTTCTTTAGGTATTGCCATCATCCTTGACAAAGGCGAGCGAAAACCTACCGTACCTATACAGATACTCCCGTCTCGATGGATACTACTTGCCACCATTCACGCTTCCTTCTCTGCTGTTGCTGCTTCTACCGCTGTACTGCGTCTACTGCTGCAAGTCGCATGCAACAAGTTCCTCCCATCGCTCCCTCCGGCCCAGTTTACACTCCTGGCTCGCAAGGAACCCGCGTCCGTAGCTCCAGCCCTTTGGCCGTTCCCAACTTCCCATGTCACCGTGCCATGCCGTGTCTTCCCAACTGCCGGGATCAAAGATGCTGACGCCTGGCTAAGCTGATCTTTTTCTTTTTCACCTGTGTCCCGTATCTGCTTTCTTCCTCCTCCTCCTCCTCCCCCTCCTCCCCTTAAACTCGCACGTCCCACGTGCTCGCGCATTCTTTCCGTCATCTTGTGCCTCGTCCCTCCTCCTCTACCTGACTCCGCCGTCTCTTCTCTTCTTCATCCGCCCCGCCAGTGTCTGTGATCCCTCCCACCACATCGTCACAGCAGTAAAACGTTACGACATTGTCATCGATATCACCTGCCGTAACGCGAACACTCCGACGCCTCTTTTCTTGTTCCTCTTCTCTCTCTTCTCCCAACGTCGCCAGGCGCATCGCCGCGACTCAATTGGCGCGCCATGGATAAAGATCTACGCCAACCCGAGCCCATGTCCAACGATAAGGGCTCCTCCGAGCTCGCCTTTGCCCGCGCCGATGCCGAGACGGGCGGCTCCTCCGGCTTCAGCGCCTGGTTCGGCGGCCGCAACACAAAGGTCGGGCCGCGGATTGCGCCTCGTAAGGAGGGCGTCGGAGAGGGCTCCGATAGCGAGGATAGTGCCGATGCTATCTTGACCAAGCAGCTTGCGGAGGAGAATAGCCATGCGATCAAGTACAGGACGTGCAGCTGGCAGAAGACGGCCGGTCTGCTGTTTTCCGAGTACATTTGTCTGGTGAGCTTTTTATCTTTGCGACCATCTGTCGCATGGCGCAACGTGCTGACCGGTACAGGCCATCATGAGCTTCCCGTGGTCATACAGTATTCTTGGACTGGTGCCCGGTTTGATCCTCACTGCCGTCATCGCGCTCGTTGTTCTCTACACGTAGGCTGCTACTGTCTCGTTCAGGTCGCCTCGACATGATACTGACCGCCCGTGTAGATCTTTGGTCCTTTGGCAATTCTGCATGAGGCACCCTGAAGTTCGCGACGTCTGCGACATCGGCCAGATGCTCTTCTGGGGAAAGACATGGGCATGGTACGCCACGGCTGTCATGTTCATCCTGAACAACACTGTAAGTCTCTTGCTCCCATTGTCAACATGGGCGCATTGCTAATAATGCGCAGTTCATCCAGGCCTTGCACGTCCTCGTCGGCGCCAAGTACCTCAACACAATGACCGAATCCGATCCGGTCGTCTGCCGAACCGTCGTCTTCTCCATTGTGGTTACCATCATCTGCTGGCTCTGTTCGCTGCCTCGCACCTTTGACGCGCTTTCGAAAGCCGGAACTGCCTCAGCGGCCTTCACCTTCATCTCAGTGCTTCTGGCAACCATTTTTGCTGGCATCCAGGCGCACCCCGCTGGCTACGACCCCCGATCAACGTATGTCGACGAGACCACTGGCACGACCAAGACTGGCGGCGCCCCGATTGTCACAGCCATCCCCATTGCTGCCACCACCTTCGTCTCCGGAATGAATGCCTTCCTCAACATTAGTTACACTTTCATCGGCCAGATCACGTTGCCCAGTTTCATTGCGGAGATGAAAGACCCGAGGTAAGACTGCAATAACGTTGTCTTCGAGATATTTGCTAAGCCAAATCTAGGGACTTCCCCAAGGCCCTTTGGGCCGTCACAATTGGCGAGATCATCGTCTTTAGCATTGTCGGAGCTGTTGTCTACGCCTTCGTTGGAAATCAGTACATGACCGCGCCCGCCTTTGGCTCCCTCGAAGAAGTCTACAAGAAGGTGTCCTTTTCCTTCATGATCCCAACTTTGGTCTTCCTCGGCGTCTTGTATGCCAGTGTTTCGGCCAGATTCCTCTTCTTCCGCCTCTTCAAGGGCACCAAGCACTTGCACGAGCATACCGTTGTTGGCTGGGGTTCTTGGGCCACCATTCTCCTTGCGCTATGGCTTTTGGCATTCTTGATCGCCGAACTTATTCCGTTCTTCTCTTCTCGTGAGTTTTACTGGACCCGTGATGCAGAAGCCCGACTAACTAGATCTAGTGCTTTCACTCATGTCCTCATTGTTTGATTCTTTCTTCGGCTTCATCTTCTGGGGCGTTGCCTACTTCCGCATGCGAGGCGCCGACAATCGCGCCGGCGTCCCCAAGCCCGGAAAGCTGGCCGATCTTGCGACGATGGGTCTCAACGTCATTATCATTCTCACCGGGCTTTTGTTCCTTACCGCCGGCACATACGCCAGTGTTGAAGGCATCATTGAAGAGTTTAGAGCGGGGACCGTTGGCAAGCCTTTCGGCTGTGCTAGTAACGGACTTTGAACAGGGCCCAGCATTAATTGACCTCGTGCATTGAGGTATCAGGACAGACTTGGAGCATCGCCACATGCTCGTAATCAGTTATATCGGAGGCGGAGGAGAACTAAAGCAACGATACCATAGTGTTTACTACCACGTCCATGTCGGCTACGCATAGACCAAGACGCAATTCCATGACCCATCTTTCGAATCCTTTCGCAGCAAAAGCCCTTTTTACCACATCCAATACCTGATTGCTCATTGCAGGACCGTAGAGTTTCCTGATTTGCTTTTCAACCGGTAAATCTCTCATTTCAACCATGCTCATAACGGCAAAGCCGTCAAACGAACGAAACAATCATGCGGCTCCCTCGTCAACTTATCGTAAGCCCCCGTCGTGTTGAGTTCCTGCGGGAGCTCTTCGACGTGAAAATTCCACAGCACAAGCACCACCAGCATCCGAAACTGCACATATGCCAGCTTTCGCCCGTAACATCCCCGAGGACCCATGCTAAAGATCATGTTCCGACCACGCGTCGCGTCAAAAATGTCTCTCGTGCCATCTTCAGACCTCACGAGCCATCTCTCAGGCGCGTACGTCGCTGCATCGATGCCCGAGACGTCACCCCAATGCCCAACGCCAGTGCCAGCGCCCCCTCCTCCGCCCTTGACCGCCGCCCGCGCCCCCGGCGTCCGCAGAGCATCGTCGACGAGAAACCCAGGCATTATATAATCCGCCCGATTCCACACCTGGAAGACGACGGTGTCCTTGGGCACGGCGTAGCCTAGGATCTGTGTATCCTGCGTCGCACTTCGCACGCACATTGGCGCCGTCAGTGATACGCGGAAGAGCTCTTCTATGCTGGCGTCTAGGTAAGGGCACCGCGCCTGCATGATTTCCTGGGGGGTGGGGACGCGTTTGCTGATGACGGCGTCGGGGAGGGCGTCGCGGAGGCTGGCGCGGAGCTTGGTTTGTTGGTGTTGGTGGCGGGCTAGGGTTTTGAGTGCCCACTGGTTTGCGTTTGATGTTGACTCGTGGCCGCCTAGGGTGAAGCCGTAGAGCTGGGGATTCATGTCAGCTTCTCTCTTCTTGTTCTGGATCGGATTTTAGTTCTCACCTCATCGTAGAATAGTCGCGTGTGAAAAGATGGCTGTCGTTGGTCCTTTTCTGCCTGGCTGCTTTCTCTACGCACCATCTCGTCTATCGCACAGCGGACTACCTGATCCTCTGATGTAGACTGGACTCTGGCGGCGGCTAAATCGACTTGGTTCTTTAGCAGGTCTTCTTTAATTTGAATTGCCGTCTTCAAAGCATGCCTCTGGCGCAAAAGCCAATGCGCTAGGACCGGGAACGCAGACTTCATCGCCACCTCGAGACTATCCGATATCTTGAACAAGGCTTCAATGACGGGGCTGGGAGGCGCATGTGAGAACACCACCGGCTGGTTCAGATCTATGCTCTCTGTTTCTCCAGAAACAGGCAGTGAAGACATGGCCGAAAGAAAGTCGACGTTCGGCTGCGTCGCACTGAGACCCTCCATCCCCGGACCAAAAGTAAATCCAAGCACAGCATCCAAGGCACAATGGCTGATGTCTTTCAACGCACTAAACGGCCGTCCCCTCGCCAGCCTCGCCTTCTCGCGCCATAGGGCCGTCATACGCATCGTACTCTCATGCAACAACGGCGCGGCGACTTTCCCAAGAAAGCTCGGCGTCAAGATATCACCGACAAGCCTCTTACGACTCTTGTACTCCTCATCCGTTTGCCACCGACTATGATGCTCGGGGATCACGCCGCCCAGTAAGTTGGCAGTGAAGGCGGATCTATCGAATTCTTTCACGCGGCGGAGGAGGATATCCTGCGTTTCGCGGAAGTCGGAGATGACGAGCCAGGGTTTGCTTAGGGGCCCGCGGCCAAAGACTTGAACGACGGGAGAGGCGTGCTTGATGTTTTGCGCGGCGAGCCAGTCGTACATTTCGCCTGTTTTGTTGGCGTGGTGGATCATTGCTGGCATATCGCCTAGGAGGGAGTGGGATGCTTCTTTGCTGTAGGGGATGCCTGGGATTGGGGAGGGGAAGAGGGCGCGGTAGAGGAGGTAGGCTGCGAGAATGGCGATGGCTAGGGTTGCCGTGTTGGCTGTGAACTTTGGCATTATGTTTGGATTCTCCATGATGGCGCAGAGTTGCTTCGGTTCTGACACTTGATTCCAGAGTGGTATGTTCAGGCCAAGTGATATGAGTTGGTGAGATTGAGGCCGGAAAATCGTTATCAGAAGGTGGAAGTTCTGAACTCCTTGCTAGCCCCCCGAGTGAAGATTGAACATGATGGCTCAATGTGAAAGAAGCTCATGGTCCATCACCATGCTCGTTTATCCTTTTCGCTTCACCTTCCCATAACTAGATATTTCATGTTCTCTACAAACCGAGTGTCAGGTTTGTGTCTTTAACTACCTTAAAAATGCCCAAGCGAAGCTTTCATGTATCACAGCCTCGATAGATCCGAGTGTCTCGCGATCAACAGGCTTTGCTCACTCTTGACGGATGCTCGAGTGCGACCCGCGGGCTCAGGTCACTAATCCGACCCGAAACCAGACACCATCCGGCTGTCTTCTTCAACTGTGCGGCCCACCCTTCCCGTTCTTCGTCCGTACGGCTTCGGCCCCAGCATCTGTGCGACCCACCCTTCCCCAAGCCGTCCAGGCTGCTCGGATTCCCCATCCTTCTCCGGGCGGTCTTCCGCACGCTCAAAGTGCTTCTCTGGAACGTGCGATGTAATATGAATGGTTCATGTTTTCTGCTCATCTTGCTTGTAGTAGCAGAACCCAATTCGCTTTGAGATTACGCCTGAATCTTCGTCCCAAGGACTGTAGCTTCCCGCGGCACGTGAAGCTCGCGTACCCGTTACTTTAGTCTTGAGGCTAAACATTCCATGTCGCCAATCTGGAACAGGAACTATGGATGTGGCACTGTTTTCGGCAAATTGCTATGGTTTTGAGTTACAGGGCTGAAGAATTGGGTTAGAAACTCCAGCCTAACACATGCAGCAGTTTGGGACACATGAAAGTCACGGTTTGATATTGAGCATATGAACTTTGATTTTATTAAGCTTAAGATGTCAACAAACTAATCCAGCAAATGCCGTTGTTTCATAGCCGCAGGTCCAACGAGTTTGCCATTCCCATCCCGCTCATCCCCTACAGAAAATGTCATAGTATTGTAATACATGGTGACATAAGGCCCATCTTTGTTATATGACAGACCGACATAGGAATGCCGTCCGATGGTAGTGGAGAAATCCTGCTTCGGGCTAACACCCTCGTTAGCTCTTTATTTCAAAAACGACTTGCATAAGCCAGATCCGACCGGCATAGACATGACTGGCATAATGTTCGCGGAGATACCTACAAGGCCTTCTGCACCTCATCAACATACGTGTCAGCGAGATCTGGGAATCCACACGCCCGGAAAAAGTGGCTCAATGACTGGGCGATACGCAAGTCCGTCCCTCCGTAGTGGCGTACGGGGATGTACACCTTTGGCACAGGAACGAGGCGGTCGTGCATGAGCTCCATATTGAAAATGATACCCGCCGTTCGGTGCGAGCTGTGAGCGAGATCCTCTTCGGGCGCGGTGAGACCTAGGACGTGCATGTAGAACGATCGGATCAAGTCTACGCCTGCATCAATCTCTGCACCTTGAAGAGTGCCACCTAGCGTGTAGATCTCTTCAACTCGCGCCAGACACGTCTCTTTGGTACGTAGATAAATCTTGAAGCGCGCGTCGGCAGGGCGGATGGCATCGAAGGCGATCAGTTCCAGTCGGAGGATGGCTTCGTTGTTACGTTGCTTCTTATACTGGTAGACGAAGTCGCGAATGTAGTTGAAAGATGGCGCCAGATTGAGCGGTAGCTGAGCAATGACATCGGTGATGAGCTCGCCGGCGTAGTTATTCTGCAGCAGAGAGATGGGAATGGGGTAGAAGTAAACCTTTGGCGCTGGCTGTTCACCCTCCAAGTCGAATGAGATGGTATTTGTCGTCATGTGTTCGTTCGGCGCCATCTTTGCCACAATGTCGTTGGCGTACTTTGCATCAACATGCAGGTGCTTCTTGAAGAACTCCCACAGCTCGCCGTCAACCGGACCTCTCCCTTGTCGCAAGAGTCTTGACATAACCACCTCGGGCTCATCTTGATTGAATGGGTCTTTTGAGGTCCCCGCGAACGATCCAATGGGCTCTGATCCCACTCTGATTTTGGACCCCTTCAGTCCTACGTTCCAACTCAGCTCCGCTGGTGAGAAGTCATCGGAACAGAAGCTGTCAAAGTGAGGGAGGCGGGTGCCCAGTTTGGTGCTGATTGGACGTGGGCCTAGCGACGAGACCACGAATTGCTTAACAAACTCGGAATACTGGTCTCGAGCTTCAATGGAGTAGCCCGAACTCTGCATCAGAGAGAGTAAAGAATGCGATATTTCGTCCCACCAGAACTCTGAATCTTCCTGATTTTGAGCCGAGGCGGGGCTAAGTGTTGCTGCTACCATTTTGATAGGTGGATGTTGTATTTCAGAATCTGTTTGTCTTGAACGGAGAAGTACTCACGATAAGACACAACAACGCATAGAAAATTCAGGTGAAATTTCTTTTATATCTACACATGCAGACAGAAACCCACACGTAGCAAGGCCCTAGAAACTCAAGCTTCAAACGATTCAAGGCTGGAGCGAGATAGATTAAACGCCCCATCACGGAGTACCGGTCGAATGAAACAGAAGAATATTATTGAAAGAATCATGTGTTCATCTGTCGAGCTTGGTCGCTTAGTAGCTTTCAGGCATTGCGAGACCGCGGAGCCCGGCTGAGAAGGCCCAGAATCTCGCAAGTCTCGGATTCCACCTGTTCTGGGTAATTTGGCTCACAACAAAGGTCGAAGATCAGGGACTTGCCTTCGAAGGGGGCTTCAAAACTCACCAAGATAGAGAATTTGACCGTCTATACACCACCATCCCGAGCTCGTCGTCTTTTGAAGCAAGTTGTTGCAAGCTCGAGCCTCAAAATCATCGGTCGAATCAGGTCAAGGTGGTCGGACGGTCCGCCCCGGATACGAGTAGAAGGTTTACGACGAAGCCGTGGAGCATAAGCCGCCAGACATGGGGTAACAGAATTCCCCTTGGGACGGTCCGCCATACTTTATCTGAAAAGCCCATACTTCCCCTCCCACCCTTTCGCGTTCGGCTATCCACAACTCCGCGGAGAATTGAGATCAAGGAGAAGGGATCGGCAAAGCTAATTGCCAGGAATTTTGGGTGTCTACGTTTAGTTCTTTATCCTTGTTCTGCGCGCATGTGAGAGTTAGACTCGGAGCTTTTCAGACCTCGTCCTCTCACTCCGCCTACCTTTTCCCTTCCATACCTTACGTCGAGACTCTAATCGTATCCAAGACCTCACCCAAGTGGTAGTATTGAGACCTAGTTTGAAGATGGAGTCCACCACTGTCCCGCTGCACTGGTTCCCGCAACTAGCGAGCCTGCTGACCCCTTACTCGGCATTAGCCATTGTTGTGGTTCTCGTCACAATCCTCCCGATGGTCATGGACCGGGCCACCCCAGAGATTTCTATACCTAAAGTCACGAGCTCAAATTCGTGGTTCGCAAGCAGGCAGGACTTTGCCGCGCATGGCGTTGAGATCATCGAGAAGGGGTTCAAACAGGTTAAGAGTGGTGTATTTCGGGTGACCGCTCTCGATGGTGTGTCCTTTCTGGGCAAAACGCTCGTCGCAAGTAAAACCGGACTACCTGGTGGCTGACGATATCACAGGCTCCGATTTGGTTTTGATCGCACCAGAACACTGGCTTGCAATATGCAAAAAGAAGGACGAGGAGGTTGCGCCCGCTCGCAAGGAGGTTTGTCCACGAAGACGCGACTATCGACTGAGCATAACTTAAATTACCTAGTTCTTCCTCTGCGATTTGCACGGCGCACCGTTCGAAGAACCATTCCTCTATCGCTACCTTGCTTCGCGCATGCCAGGATTCGGTGCGTATCGTGCTCCTAAGCCCCTTCGTAAGATTACGTCCCTGCAACTAACAAATACCTCTGGCGCAAGACCGTTATCTTGACGTCATCTCTACAGCGTTGGATGAGGGTATATCTAGTGTCTTCAGTCAATCGTCCCATGGGTCGAAAGAGGGTAGGCTTTCCAACCAGTAGTCTATTCTTCACAATCTTTGCGACTCTTATATCAAAACCCTTACTAACGCTAGTCTTCGGAAGCATCCAAGCGGGTTATCATGCAGCCGCAGATTCTTCACATCTACTCACATGTCATATGGAGGGTCATTCTAGGCGACAGTTTCAAGCCTGAGGTGGTTGACATCTTCGAAAAGTACTCCGCAACACTAATCCCCGTGATGAAAGCACTCAAGGCCCAACGACCCATGATGGCTCGAATCTCCGCCGCCTTTTCGAAGGACATCCGCCAAGTCAACGTGCAGCTTGAACAAGCCGCTGCATTCTTTACACCCCTATTGAAGCAATGCGTAAAGGCCCTCGAGGAGGGACTGCCGAAGAGCCCCATAGACAATGAGTGGCTTGAGGAGTTGACTCGCATGGCACCCGCCGAGAAGCGACGCGACTACAAATATCTCACCAATATTCTCATCGGCTTCGCCTTCACATTTGTGTTCTCACCGGGACCTTCGACTACGCAAGTTGTATACGAGTTCGCATTCCGTCCTGACTACGTCGACCTCGTACTTAAGGAGGCATATGATGTCCTTGGGGAACGTCCTGCGCATTGGGGTTTCTCGCGAGACAACCTTCACGGACTGTCCTTGTTGGATAGCTTCTGTAAGGAGACACACAAACACCATCCAACTGCCGCTTGTAAGTCTTGAACCTTGTAGCTTTCCTCATTCTTACCCTTCGTCACCGCCTTTGCCAGAGGATGCACCTACCTACTTAGAGCAAACATAGACATAAGGATCAGCTTACTGACTCTCATTCTTTGATTCAAGCCAATCTGATGAAGAAGATCCATAAGACTCAAACGCTCCCCAATGGAGTAGTTTTACCAGCGGGCACGATATTCGAGGTGGTCATGACGGCTGCTCACCTATCCAACCAGAAACTCGAAAATCCCTCGAATTGGAACGGACGCCGGTACCACGACCTGCGGCAACAAATGACGACGACGATCGGTGCCAACAAGTATGACTGGGGCTCAGCGACAAAAGACGACGTGAACTTTGGCTATGCCTCGCACATGTGTCCTGGCCGTTGGGCCGGCTGCTCCATCGCCAAGATGTTCCTGATCAAGCTCTTGGCCAATTATCAAATCAGTCCCGAGGAAGGGGAGACAGAGAGATATCAGGACTTTCACTCTGGCCAATATGTATGTAACCCCCTATCAATCCTTTTTCTTCCACGTAGAAAGTCCAAGACCTGACAACGAAGTTTAATGTAGATTCTGCCAAACCCAACAAAGCACATTATTCTCGAGCGGAGACACCGGCAATGAAAGACGTATACGACCCTCAACCATTTCCCATAGAGATGGCCAGTGGTGCTTGTAGCCCGGCATGCAATTTCAGGAAATGCAAAGTAAACTTCTGCAATTCTCCGAGAGAATCTCAGTATGCCCTCTGGGCGTCAGCGTGACTATAAATTTCGTTAGCCAAAGCCAAAACTGGAATCTATCTGTCTTCTCAGCCCGCACGCGGTCAAATCCGATTTGGCCAACGGTCTTGTCATGACTCGTGAATAGAAGCGCCAAGATCTGTCATAATCTGCCATTACCACTATGTCTTTTCGATTTCAGAGCTGCTAGCTCATCACGGCCTACAAAAAAAGCTCTCAATATCGGCTTGCACGTGCCAAACTAGCTACCACGAGATCTTAACTCTACTATAGCTCTGCCCATCCGAGCTTTCCAAACGATGCTTGAGTTTGCTGATCAACCCGGGGCAGATAATGCGGAGAAATGACGCAAGGGCTAGGATTAAGGGCCCTTGTCCTTGCAGATCTCCAACTCCAAGGTCGGAATATCGGATGACTTTGGCTGAAACGCCGGTGACGTTCCCGCAGCCCAAGCGGCGCCGCGTCTTCGACTCTCCAGCCCTTTGACCGAGCCGTTGGGTCTAATTTCTTTGAACACACCACAAATAAGCTTGACATCACCTCATAGAACCTCACCATCTGAGACAAACGCCTGATCAACTTGGCAATTCATTCGAAAGGCTCGAAATCATGTCCAACCGAACCATTTGCGATGTCGACACGCCGGACCCCTGGATCGTGGCCGGCAACGGCAAGTTCTATTTCACCTTTACCCTCGACAACCGCATCGAAATATGGTGCTCCAACACGCTGGAGAATTTCCATCACTGTCACAAGAGCGTCGTCTGGCAGCCGGCGCCGGGGACTCCATGGTCGGTCAACATTTGGGCACCAGAGTTGCACTACCTGAAGGGCCGGTGGTACATCTATACCTGCGGCGCGCCGCCCGGGGTCGGAAATCCGGGGCATCGGACCACGGTCCTCCGATCGTCGTCCCAGGACCCGATGGATGCCTCGAAATGGGAGTTTTTAGGTCCGCTGAAGGGCATGCCGGATCACTGGTCCATTGACGCCACAGTATTCAGTCCCAACGGGCATGACTTGTACTGTTGCTGGTCAGGATGGCCTCTCGGAGATCATTCAGACACCCAGCAGGATCTGTTCTTGATTAAGCTTCGTGTCCCCGAAGAAGCCATCACGGATACACTCCTATGCATCTCAAGGGCTGAGCTTTCATGGGAGCGTCCCGATGAGGGCCGCCGTGGTGTCAATGAGGGCCCAACATGGGTCGACATCCCTGGCATCTTCAGAGGCATCGTGTACTCGGCTGACGGTAGCTGGACTAGCGACTACAAGCTCGGTCTACTGCCGCTCGTGGGGCAAAACCCTCTGGACCCGGGCGCCTGGGCTAAGCGATCGACACCGCTGATGGTCAGTCACAAGCGGTGTGGAGGTCCGTACGGGCCGGGGCACGCCAGCTTCTTGCCGAATCCTCATGATCGAAGCCGTGTTTACTGCATTTATCACGCGACGGCGAATTATGGTGAGGGGTGGGCCAATCGGAAGGCAAGGGTGATTGATCTTGGGCCGGAGTGCTTTGGATCTCACGCCCACTCGATATGCTGCGCGCTGGAACGTCACATCCCGAAGCACGGCCACGATCGACCGCATAAGTCATCATGTATCATGTCCTGAAATATATGTCTATATACTAAAAGAATAACAAAAGCCACCGCCTCATCCAAGTCGACTTCAAAGTTCATCTTTTCAAGTCTTCAATGTCGCAAGATCTTGCGGGAGCTTCAGGATCGAAAGTCCCAAATGCTGTTGCGACCCGTGAATGTCATTCTCCATGAAACTGCCAGCTGAAGCTTTCTTGCCCCCTCTAAACCGGGGTATAGTCACCTTGAATGCTAGAGCCGGTTCAAAGAATCCAATCCACACAATTTCATCCTCAGAAATACCAAGGGCATCGGCAACGTTCAGAGGAGACAACAATTCTGACTCGCGAATCGTGTTGAATATTGACTCGGACTCAAAAATGACATCCATCGTGATCTCATAGGGACCCGCATTCTTCGAGCGCAGGACCCGGGAGATATCTGAAAGCGTCTTTGGGTGGTCTACGATGCTCTCTGGACTTGGGGAGGAACCTCGTGGGCTCTTGTGGGCTTTCTTGCCTTTCGTAGCCGGCCCATCTGTCGACTGAGGCTCGCCGTCCGACGGAAGAGGCTCGCGACTCCCAAGACTCTGGCCCTCTCCAAAGCGGGAGACAGAAGAGCGAAGGATGCTTGTGTTCCCCTGGCTTTCTGATGTAGTCGTGAGTCTTTCTTCACCCGGCTTGAGGTCGATGAGATGGTACACCGAGAACTGTGCGCAGGGGCCCGTCTCAATCTCGAGTTTTCCAGCAATCCCAAATGCGAAGTTACCAGAGGTAGCTTTTTGACCTGCGTATGGCCCATGCTGTATGGCTGTTAGCAGTCATCACCATTGCGTATAACAGTCATCCTTACAATCAACGCAATCCTCGCTGTCGATACGAGACCCGTAGCAAGTTCTTGAGTGGGGGCAATGGCTTCCGCAATTATGAAGATTTCCCCGGGGCCCGTAGGCGTAGTTTGCTCTTGACCATACGTGTGGAAGTCTAGGTCCCAATTACCAGGCACATCCTTGTGTTGCTGCTTGACATAGGCCTTGACAAGCATGAGCAACTCGTCAAGCTGGCCGATGAGAATATCTGTGCTATGTCAGTCTCGTAACCCTTTCTACATGTATTCACTGATAGTAAAGTCTCTGAGCCCGATGCTGACTTACGATCTTTGACACTGCCGAGAACAATGGATCGGTACCCGAGAATGCGTGCAGCTTCGAGCTTGAACTGATATGGCTTCCCATCGGCAATTGATGAGACAAACCGTGCCCCGCGCGCCCGGACGGTACGCTGATCATCGAGCTGCTCATAGTGCGCCTGGTCGAGATGGAGAGCACCTCCGGGCCCTCGCAGAATGTCAGGCCGTGTATTCTCGTATAATGAATGCGCGGCTACTGATAGCGGCGTGCAGCGTGACGTGGACGCAATAGGTCTGACGTCGAACATGCCACTTTCGTAGACGGTGGCCACAGCACCATGAGATTTAGGTATCGAGCACTGCCCACCACACTCCATGATCTTGCCCATGTGCAGGAAACCCCCGTGCCTTGCCTCAACCTGCTCGGAAGTAAGGCCTGGGTGTTGAAGTTTGAGCTGATACATGGAGTATGCAACATAAGGGGCAGGATCGTATGCCCTTCCGCCGATAATGATGTCAAAGTCTGGTGTAGCTTCCATTGCGTCGACAAAAGCTTCGGGTCCGATTTGTGCAACCACACGGGCTGAGTCTGTGATATCCTTTGATGTCAATGGGGGCACACAAACCCCACAGCCGGAGATTCCGCCCTCATTAAGTCGTTGGAGAATGATGGACTTGTCGATGCCAGAAAATATCGAGAGTGTCTTGAAGGAGTATTGTCTTATTCAGTCAGCGCATGCTTGAATATTTGCAGCACCCAGGACCTACGAGTTACTTTCTTCTGCACAAATCTCTTCAATGATCTCTTCCATCAACTTTACGTGTTCATCTGAGCCGTCTCCGCCAGCGGAGCCGAAGACCAATGGGACTCGGAAGGTGTGCACAAGCTTCAGTAGCTTGGTCAAGTCTCTGACATAGGCTGAGCGAGGGCAAGTCATGGTGCCAAGGGCCAGCTTCTCTGGGCCACTGTCAGTTGACCCGGCATCTAGGATAATGGCCGTTGGAACGCCACTGGGAACGAGTTGTGCCAGTTCATTGGCGGAAGAGTCCTCGTCAAAGCCGTAACCCATACACCCAACTGGTGTAACAATGTGACAGAGAGGGGGGGGACTCGTGCTAGGAGACTGTTGAAGTAAAGAATTCATGCTGAGGGTGGGGTGTTTATTCGGTAGATACTTCAAAAAAGATATGACTGTTGACTTGTATGAATATTCTGGGTGTCGGGGTTCCTTTTGGATTTAGAAAAGATGTTTGGTAATTCTTGATAACAGTTCTTGAAATATATCAGAGTCCATCCAAGACAGAAAAGCTGTCGATAGAGGCGTTGAATGCTGCTCTCATCCTCTCAAGCCTCGGCGATCCGGGGATATGGATATTTTCCGTCAGTGCAGGCGGGACATATGCAGTTTCCTACGGGCATTGAGTAAAGAATAGGATTACGACGCATTCATCTCATTGCAGCATTATGATCGAGTGCGTTCGTTACGTTTGGGACAGTAGTCAATAAGTATGTGGCTTAGACGAGCTCTCCGTATCCGTGTCCGTAGGGGCTGATCATGCAGATAGGCCCATATGGAGCTTCCAATCAGAGTGGCACCGTTGGCTAGAGCCTAGAAGGATCGAAGAATACCGGTAGCTAAGGAAGTCGTGAACCTTGAAGTCGGATCTACAAGTAAGATTCTAGTCCGTTCCCGTTCCCGTACCCGTCGGAAGAAGTGCACATTGTAAAGCGGCCCCGCGCCGCAGCTTTAGAGGGACGTGCCATTTGCTGCGCCGCCTCGTTGCACGCCCCAGCATCCTCTCAGAATGCCACAATGCTTATTTTCTTATGCGGACGACGAACAGGTATGCGGGCTTGGATATCTGGGATCCCCACTCGAAGGATGCGAGTCCCTAATACGTGCAAAACAGTAAAGTCAAGAGCGTCGTCAACTCCATCTTGGCGATCGTCAATGATTCCGTTGGGGACTTCATCGTCGCTGACCCGTGCTGCGCCTTGGCATTTCCTAGTCGTCAATCCTTCACAGCAATGCCCCCTCAGTGTTTGTTGAGAATGGTTGATGAGAATGCATACTTTGAAGGCGAAGATACAGGCGTGCAGAGAGGAGTCCGGGTCCTTAAAAAGCTTCTGGTCTGCTCAAATCACAAGACTGGAATTCCGAATGAGAAGGCATCACACCATCTCCAACGATTGTGCTCTCCGATCAACGCAGAATCACACTCTAAAAGGTTACGCAAATAATTGCCGGGGCATACCAGCAGAGTACACAGCAAATCATTGTCGCATCTCATTTTACTCTGCTTGGAGCTATACCTAATTCTGTCTACCCCATTCGCCCGTTTAAAGTTTTTGGCAAATATTTGCTAAGCGATGAACCCCTTTCACGATAAGATCAGCCCTGGCGACAGGGGTTCGATCACGGCCAACAACATCGAGTTGACGGAGTCGCCCTCTCCGTCCTACATAACAGAGGCGAGGTGCGGACGAGAACAAGATCTTGCGCCAGGCGAAACCAGTCGCGTTCGAGACGAGTCAACGAACCCGCTCATGAAGTCAACCAGCACGGCGTCTGTCACCAATGTGCCAGATGAAGAAAAGGACCTGCCTCTTGGCCAGGCCATACGCCAATACCCCAAGGTCGTAGCGTACTGCCTGTCCCTCACAATTGTCGTTATCGGATGGGGTTACGCGTTGGTGATTGTCGGCTCCATCGTCGCCGTCGAGCCCTTTCAGCATGATTATGGAGAGGTGTACAAGGACAAATGGATCATTCCGTCACTCTGGGTCTCACTCTGGTCGGCCGCGATCCCTCTCGGCATGGCCATCGGCTCCGTCTTTGCGGGATGGTATCAGGATCGTGTCGGTCGCATTTGGAGCTTGAGGACGGGTGCAATAATCTGCGCTATTGGCGTCGCGGGCATTTTCTTCTCCTACCTCCCGGCGGATATCGAGACCATGCGAGCCCTCTTCTTCGCCGGCAAGACGGTCCAGGGAATTGCTATTGGAATCCTCAAAGTCACTGCCATGACATACATCTCGGAGACAGCGCCGACGTCTCTACGTGCCTCGGTAATGGGCTTGGTACCGACGGGAAATCTCTTGGGTCAACTACTGGGGTCTATCGTCGTTTTCCTCGTCAACAAAGCCCCCAATAGGACCGGATACCTTGTCGCGTTCGGTTCCCAATGGCTTCTTGCTGTCGTCCCTTTTGTTCTCTCAGTAATCATCCCCGAGAGTCCAGCATATCTCGAGGAACGCGGACAATCCGACGCAGCTCTCATGTCCTCCCGCAAACTCTACGCACCTGGAGTAGACGCCTTGAAGGTCCTGGAGAAGGTTCGGGCTAGTATCGCCGAGGAGAAGGAGGCTACTTCGGGAGCGACGTACTTGACCTGCTTCCAGGGTGTTAATACTCGACGGACAATGATTGTCATCATGGCCAACCTGCTCCCAGCGATGTTCGGACTCGACCTTATTGCCAAGTCGAGCTACTTCTTGCAGACCATTGGCATGAAGTCGAGCACCAGTCTCATGATTCTCATCGGAGGCATCGTTGCTGGCACCTTCGCTAACGGCGTCGGTCTCTGGGTTTTGTCGAGAGTTGGACGCAGGAAGGTCACTCTGATCTCGATGTCAATCTCCACTGTCCTCTGGATTGCCGTAGGTATCTCTGGAATATGGAGAGGACCTGTGGTCGCATACTTCACCGCCGGAGGATGCATTGCCATCATCATTGTCTGCGGTATGGGCGCATGGCCTGCTGGCTATGCCATCATGGGCGAAACAAGTTCGTTGAGACTGCGAGCAAAGACTCAAGGTATTGGTGGCGTTGCTCAACAGGGATCATCTGTGTTGATCAACTTCCTCCTTCCTCTAGCCTACAATCCTGACGCTGGAAATTGGGGAGGGAAGACGGGCTTTATCTACGTTGGATTATGTGCTTTTGGAGTCCTGCTTTCTTGGTGTTTCTTACCAGAGATGAAGGGGCGAAGCGTGATGGAGATCGATCACATGTTCAATATCAAGCTGCCCGCGCGACAGTTCAAGAAGTGGAGAGGCGATGTTGAGTCCAAGTAGGAAGAGGGTACCTGAAGATAGATACGCTTATTGTATTTTGCGTTCGGATAGCTTTCTCTTAGAGACACAGAGCCTTCAACAAGAGTTTCACAGCAGCATTCACAACAGCATTTCCATAAATCTTTCAGAAAAGAGCCAGAGCTAGTCCATGGCATTTCAAAACTCTCGACCATCTCTTTGTGAGATGGACTGAGTAAACTAATGATTGTGAGAGAATTTGGACTAGCCAGCGAGACGACCGTTGCTGTTTGATAGAGGCATTGCAAGCCTTGTATTAAGTTTCTACTTCCTTGCATCAAGCCTTCGTATGGGTACTCCAGGCCGTTCTCAAAGCATCTACCACTGAGCTCGTCGGCCAGGCATGCATCGTCTCCAGCATATCCATAAAGCCGACGACAGCCATTTGTTCCCCCTCGTCACGGAAGTACTCCCCACACAACGACACCCCGACTCCAGCCGTGACCATTGACGGTTGATCTTTGCGATTCGATATGGCCAAACCGCAAATCTTCCTCGTTGACTCTCTCAGGGTCTCCTCCAACATCTGGTTAGCAGCTTGAGCACCAATGCCGAGCCGTTGATTCTTAGCACCGTGCACAGCCAAGACAATACGCATGAGTTCAATGTGTTGGAGCGCCAGCACTTGACAGTCATTGGCGTGCCACACTGTGGGAAAGTACTCCCCCTTCTCTGGATTTCGCTCCTGGTAGGCCAAGGGCTTGAAGTGAGGCGGCTGGTGCGTGTCCCAATTATGTTGGAAGGCCTCGATGGCTCTCCATTGATCCGCTCGTATCTTTGGATCTTCCGTTTCGACGCTGCTCTCGGAGCTTGCGCCGAAGCAGAACTTGACAACGTAGGCGCACCAGACTAAGATGCGATTGGCCCAATCAAAGTCGTCGGCAACAGAGTCGGGATCGAACAAGGAGCAGTCTTCGGTACCGTAGAGGGGTAGTCGGAATGGTCTCCGATAGAGAAGAACAGACCATATTTCTTGGCGGAGAGCGATTAGAGTTGCAGAGTGTCGTAAAGAGGGCATGCTCGGGGCGTAAATGTCGAGGCCTCGGGGAGGGTGGTATACAATGCTGAAAAGTCCGATTCTCTCCTCTTGTTGAGCGTGGAAGACAGCTTGGACGGCATTAATGTAGGTTTCGTGATCGGTTCCGGTGAGGTGCGCTGTGGAAGCGAGATTAGTCTTCAGATTTCAACTCTGCCAGGGTCGCCAGATCTCCTACTATCTACTTGTTCATGATATCGTAAAATCGTAATAGCAGTCAATGCATCATCCGTACAAGGATTTGCAGGATCAGTCGAAGTATCCATCAGATACGAGATGGACTTGTTGTGATAGTGAATTGCCGACTCTTTGTCTAGATCCGGGAGATGAATCCCATTAAACTCTATGATTTGATTCGGTGGCTTCTTTGACCAGATCTGGGTAAGGAATCTGGATGATGCGGTACAAATTGCGTTCATCAGCAATGGATTGTGCATGGCTCTTTGCGGAACCACAGTTACGTAGTGTCGGTCTCTATCAGTTGTGTCAAACTGTCAACCTGTTAGCAAAGTCAAGAGAAATTGATGCCTCCGAGCAATTTGTTCAGCATCAAAGTACCGACTTACAGCTGCAGCAAGATGTTCTATGAAGCAACGAATAAGACATCCCTCTTGGAGACCAATGCGTAGCTCCTCACCGAGACTCCTCGATACTGAATACGATCGTCCGCGGGTATCTCCTAGTGGCGGTTGCCATCGTTGGGAGAGAGCACTCAATCTACTGCTTCCAGTTTCTGGAGTCCTGCGACCCCATCCCTCTGGTACTGATCGGGGTACCGACGGACTGGGAGCTGAGAACCCAGAATACGGAGTCTCTATGGTGGAAGAGGCTGCCGGAGTAGCAGCAAGATTCGGGTCAACGGCATCTTCAAACGCTATCTGAGGGATATCGTCAAGGACTATTTCTCCTCTTAAATGTGACTGATTCCTCCCAACTAGAGACTGATGGGATAGGTCCCCCGACGGGTCGAGCGATTCGGATGGATTACTGTGTTCCCTTTGTGAGATAGACTGAAGTAGTTCCGCTGCGACAGTTATCTGGTCGTGAATCTGATTGTCGACTTGAGGATTTGGTTGTTCATGCTGAGAGATGATATCGGAAATCGGTGCTGCTGGTGTATGTTTTGGTTTCGAGGACGTGTCTTCTGATGGCTGTCTAGATTCATCGACAATGGCGAGAGGGCGAGCCTGGACTGTTCGTTTTCATGCTTGCGTTAGGGCTGAGATGTGTCAAGGATTGGAGAGGGAGAGGATTGGTCCTACAACTGTCCGGGGTTGTCTGTAACCACGGCTGATCGACGTCGAAGGAAAATCGTTTCTCGGTCGTAACTACCCTTTTGAACCTGAATTTGTTGTTCACTCGCGTACATCGAGACTCCGACTTCTTGCAGTGAGAACATGGTATCTCGTCATCGCCTGCGGATCAAAACAGGTTAATATAACCCAGGGTTGGATACTACCACCGTGGAGGCCCAGCCAAGGACAAGATCCGAGAGATGGATAGAGATGATGGTTATGTCTTACATTTTAGATGTTTCTCTGTGGGCCGGAAAATCGATCAAATCAGTTCTCTACGTTCGATTGACACCACCAAATCCAGAATAAGGGGTGAAGTAGAAGAATTTAGCCCGCGCCTTCCGCGGCTTGCTCGGGGTGTAAGAGCGCGTTATATCCGATGGTTAAAAAGACGGAAAAATCACCAATCATCGAACCTGCAATCCCGCAATCCTACTCACCTCTGCATTTCACGCAGGGCACAACTCGTTCGCGTCGTTGTGGTGGAGCCATCCCTTCCCGTCCCGAAGTAGGACAATCAGACCATGGTTAAGATGGAGGAGGGATGGAGGATGGGAAGGAGGAGATGGGATGCATAGGATGGGCCTATGTTGGTAGCATTTCGCCGATAGACTGCTCAATGGAACGGGGCGGCAGAGGGGATATAAAGAGGGACATTACTCGGCGAAAGTAGCGGCATGTGGCCTAGCCGTGGCTTAGTTAGCGGCCTATCCATGTTCTGACTCGCCCTACTTAACGCTGTTCTCACGTTCTCCGACCTAGCTAAGCGTGCTAAGTTAACTGTTAGGGTTTCCCCTCCGCCCGAATCCGTGCATAACGCCACGGATGAGTGTCGGTTTTCGCTCTTCGACTTTGACCTGAGAGTCTTCTTAATAGGCCTGATTGGACAGAATGCACTCATGTGGCTGAATGTGAAGTCGCACGAACAGGGAAGTATTCACGTGGTTTGCTACACTGCGTACCTAGCGCGCCTTTGTTGCAGCAATGAAGCGCGCGCGGAAGGAAGATCACTCCATCTTACAAAACAGTGACTACAGGTACAGGCTAAGATATTTGCACTGGATGTTTACTGATGCCACTTAGACCTGGCTTATCAAATCCCCAATTATTATCCGCGTGCGTGATCGGGATAAAGTCAAGCCAGGGACATAGCGATAGAGTTGTACTTGGGGTCAGTCCAGACTTCCTCGATGATGCGGCGGCGGATATCCTGCTCCTCGACGACGCTGTTATCACCAAACAGCTCGGAAATCTGTTCTAAAGACTTATGGGCAGTTTCGGGCACTAGGAAGAAGGAAAAGACGCCCGCAGCAACACAGAACAGCCCGAAGAACAGATAGGTGCCCCATCCTAGTTTAATGACCATTTCCGGTACGCAAACCCCGATGATGAAATTGGCCAGCCAGATCATGGCAGTTGCAGCTCCAACACCTTTGGCGCGTTTGGAGTTGGGGAAGACTTCAGCAGGCAGCGTCCAGGCAAGAGGGCCATAGCTAATGAAGCAAGAAATTAGCACGTGCAGTGGCTGGGTGCGTCGAGACGCTGTGATTCACTTACGAAGTCGCGTAGCAAAGAACGTAAATATCTGGAGAACGTGTCAGTAAATTAAATCTTGCAGTCCTGGACCCAGGTCAATTTACAAATGAGGGCGACACCGAACCAACCCATGGCAGGGTGCTCATCCCATGACGAGTTGAACTTGCCGACAACCCCAGCCATGATCAAGTGGGGAACAGCCATTGCAAAACCACCGCCGATGGCGAGCTTTCTGCGGCCAACTTGGTCTAGGAAAAGGAACGTGGGAATTCCGGCAACAAGCTGACAGATGTTAACCATGCCGGAGAGAATGAGAGGCATGTCTCCCTTTTGTCCCAGGGCGGCGAAGAACGTTGGGGCGTAGTACACAAATGCGTTAATACCACTGAACTGGAATGGGTGTCAGTACTAATTATGCCATCTGCTGGGCTGCCAGTGCCCATCCTGGATCCTTACCTGCTGGAAAAATGGAATGCCGAGGGCAATGGTTGTGCGCTTCAAATACCTGGGCTTGAAGAGGTCTGCCCATTGGTTCAACTCTGCCGTGAAAGCGTTGGAGCTCGAGTGTTCCCGAACGAGCATCGCCTGCTGGAAGCGAACTTCAGACAGGATCCCCTTCCACTCAGCCTGGACTCGCTCGTCGGTTGGAGGAACACGGCGCAGCTTTGTAAGAGACCCCAGACTGTCTTCGTCGCGGCCCACCATGGCGAGCCAGCGAGGAGAGAAGGGGAAGAAATGGATTCCGAGACCGACCATAAGAGCTGGGGCCATTTGCAGAGCGAAAGGTAGTCTAAAGGCCCATTCTCCATCCATGTGTCTTGTCGCAAATGTGATCCAGTAAGCAATTATAGCGCCAATCACGATGCTGATGGACTCGAGCACGAGGAGGGAACCGCGGAGGTTTGGGGGCGCAATTTCTGATATGTAGAGCGGCGCACCCATTGCCAAAGTTCCGACTCCAACGCCACCGATGGTGCGGCCCGCGACGAGCGTTCCATAGTTGTGAGCGGCGGTTTGGATGATGGCACCTACGCAAAAGAAGAAGGTCGCAATCGTCAAGGCCCACTTGCGAGATATTTTATCGGCGAGGTACGGGAGGAAAAGACAGCCGATGAAGGCTCCAAACTCGAGCATCCCGGTCATGAAACCAGTGTAGAAGCCATATTTTGGACCGCCGGGGGCGGTCTCGGGGAACCATTCATGGAACTGGGGCATGACGAGAATGATGGAGATGACACCCTGATCTTGTGGATGTCAGTAAAGCGTGAAGAGATCCCGCACTTAAGGGCCAAACTCCGGGCCTTACCGTATCCAAACGAGAAACCACCAAAAGATGCGAGCAACGCTGCGCCAAGCACGTATGGCGAGCGCACAATTCCCTGGATACCATCACTGTCGTAGTTGATAGGCGCATCGGCCCGGGCCAGGAGGTTGTTATTCACATCTTCAACTTGGCTTTGAGAGCCGCTCCGAGAAATTCGCTTTTCTAAGTCGGACATGGCTGGTGTGCGTTGTGGAGGGAGAAGAAGGTGCAGTTCCTTGAACAAAGACAGTCAAGAGAACTTGCCAAGGCACGGATGTCTTCACTGACAGCTTCCAAGTTTTTGGCGTGACTTGAAGACTTGCATGAGGCTTGTTCAAGCATAAAGTCACTCGTTTAAACATTCTCTGATGAACTCTTTATACTTCAACACGTCCAAGCTTTCTGAATAGAAGACCGTCTCGAACCTTGGCACGGGTCGAACCAATCATATTGCATGTAATGAGAGTGCGGGGAGCAGCATCTCACGAGGTTCTGGGGAAAGATGCCCGAGAGCTAACGAATCCCCATGGGGAAGAAGCCCTGTCGTTCTTTGGATTTGGCATATGCATCCTCGAGTCTTTGTTGATTAGCAGGCGAAGATTGATGAAGTTCGTGTTTGGCCAGGTCTGCGAGAGCAAGCATTTCCCTACTCATGGTGCAGAGGATGTGTGTTGACCCGCCGGGTCGGCGTGGGCCTGAGTCGGGCTCACCCTTGAGACTAAACATCTCGATCGACCGAATCGAGTAGGTTTCCGCCGGAATTCCGGCGATTTCTTGCTGTTTTAGGACAGCTGAAGGCCGGGACCCGACCACTCCGCTCCGCAACTGAAGTTCAAACTACGCTTCATCAATCTATGCTACGCCATCGAACACCGGACTAGAGACACTGGCGTCATTTCTGACCCTTTTTGAGACGTTTAATCCAACGACGGCATTGGCAGGGAGGTAAGTTGGCTTGACGTTGGTCTATCATTCGGATGTGCAGCATGCTGGGTGGCCTATCACGCGGCCTGCACCAATATCAACCCTCGTAAAGACTTGACGCAACTCGAACAAGTCAGCCGCTACCTATTGTGAATCACGAAGAGGAAACTCTGGAACATGTTACTTTCGAGCCAAGTGTAGACTTGATAGATCAGTTTCCGACAATAGTCCGGCTTAGCGGGCTGTCGGGATGCCCCAGTCTTGTAATCTACATCGCCGTGAATGACTACTTGTGGAAGTTAACAACAGGGGCGCCGAATTTTACCTGATGAGAAGAGAACCTGAAGTCATAATGTTATTGCGATGATTAGTGTTCGAAACATTCTCTGCTAGATGCCTGGGAATGAGGAGAAGGCCGCAGCACAGTGCGTCAATATACTGTGGCACATTTATATCACGAGGTTCTTAGCGCGTTACTGGGAATTTTATGGGCAAGCTTATCGCAACAGTCGTAGAGTAACGCCGGGAAGCATCGAGACGCTTCTGCAGTTGCGAGGGCAGTGCATGCGCCTAGCTATTGTTACGAATGTCCAAGCCAAAGACCAAGTAGAGAAGGCAGAAGCTATTGGAGCGCATCATGTTGTAGACTACATGATCACCTCAGAGGAAGCAGGCTTTTGCAAGCCAGACACCGCCATCTTCCAACTCGCTATCGGATCTCTAGGCTTTTCTCTTGACGAGAGCTATATGGTTGGTGATTCTGTGGAGTCTGACATTATAGGGGCGATCAATAGTGGCATGAAAACCGATTCTCTTCTCGCCGATGGCAACGAATAGCCACCTGTCGGTGAACGGAAAGACAGTCCTCATTATTCAAGATATGTCCCAGCTTACCAGAATCCTTGGGGTATCTGCCGCGTTAATAGAACGTTAGTTACATTGAGTTGCCCTAAATTTGAAACGTTCAACGGATGTGAAATGGATTAAAGTGTTTGTCACGGTACAGTTGAAGAGCTCGAAGAAAGTCTTTGCTGCATGGACCTCAGAATACAGGTGTCTCCAAAGATATTTCGATTACGACGAAGAAACCTCCACTTATCCAGCTTCTAGACATATTTAGACCGCGCAATCTGCTCAACGAGTACTACCAAAAACGAGCTTAGATCATTCCAGTTTTCTCCGCCAGATTTTGACCGGTAAAGCCCCACAAATGATGTTGAAAGCCTCATGCCTTTCCAACTGAAAGTCAGGAGTGGGAAGAGCGAACTCGTACCTGTGAACAAGCGAGGCTAGGACCATGGTTTGTTCCAAGTAGGAAATGTTCCTTCCGATGCAACCCCTAGCCCCGGTTGAAAATGGGATGAAGTACGGTTCCATCCGCTTTCTCTCTTCGGGATGAAGCCATCTCTCGGGCTTGAAAACTTCAGGGTCGGGAAAGATCATTGGGTCTCTGTGAGCGCCGTATATTGTCATCGATACACTTATGTCGCCTGGAATCCACTCATTCAAAATCCGAGCTCCCTCCGGTGGGGTTCGACGTGGAAGAGGCGCGGATGTTGGCGGGATAATGCGAAGCGCTTCGTCGATGCAAGCACGCAGAAACGGTAAATCTTTGACTTTGTCATAGGGCGCGATGACCTCGTCAGATTCTAGTACGCTATCAATCTCCTCGCGAAGCCTCTTCATATGCTGCGGATGCTTGATCAGAAGCTCAAGAATGTGCGTCAAGGCGATGGCTGTCGTATCCGATCCAGCGTTGATAATAGCGCCGACTTCCGCCACAATCTCGCCCCAGTCGAGGTTGTTCGGGCTTCCAGTCTTATCTTCCATCATGCACGTGAAGAAATCGTCGAGTTGCTCCCCGGCTAAATATCGGCGCAGTCTCTCGGCGGCGGCATGGTAGTAGCAATCATCCCATGGCTCAAAGTCTTTCCACATTTTTTGCCATCGGCTGGGGATTGTCTTCGATAGCCACTCGACCCATGGCCAAAGATTGTAGTCCCACACGAAAACCGCCTGTGCAATGGCGCCTTGGTTCATGGAGTGACGGTAGCGGGCTTTGTATGTAGTGCCATCGCGCTTCTCTGCTGTGACAATATCTGTTCCGGTATCTAGAAGATCCATCCGAGTTGAGAGAGTGATGTAGTTGATTGCCTCGATAGTCCAAAGATTGATCCAGTGATTGAAGTCGATGGTAAGGTCCTCGGGACTAGGGATGGTACCCTTGAGAGGGTCGGTGCATTTTTCGTCAAACGCTTTGAAGAGTCTTTCAGCCGTGTAAGCGACTTTGAACTCCCACTTTTCGAGGTTCTTGATAGCGAATGCTGCAGAAAGTAGCTTGCGTTTGCGCGCATGCTCCGGCTTATCCACTACATCAAAGAGGTGGCGATGAGTCCCACTCAGGACAACGTAATTGTTATCTTTGACGCATTTGGTGCTATGTCCGTATATGTCCTTGATTGCTCCAGTGTCTCCAAAGGACAATGCATTGGGGCCTGTTCTCAAGATAGGAAAGCCAGTGTTTTTGTGAGTTTCGTATAGCTCCTTAGACCTGAACCCCTGGGCACTGAGATAGCAGTGCCTCAGGTCCGTCAGTGGTGACAGGGGCGAGTAGTTGGGGTATTTCCGAATACCCTTGGCATCGTAAAAGTAGTAGATGATGGGTCGAATGATGAGATATGAAGTGAGTGCAAAGGCAGCAACTGCCAGGGCAAGAACGCCGAGCATGGTGGACGACGACAGTCTCCTAGGAAGCTCTTCTCTAAGTCGCTCTAGTGAGGTTCGTTGATCTCACGATGACCTTGACGGATCCCCTTAAGATATTAGAGAAGCGTCTTATATCCCGCCTTCAAGCACTGTGAGGCCAAGACCTGGCTCAAACCGTCTCAAGAATCAAGATGCCGTACAGCTTCCCGGCTTCCACACCACGGCCGGATCTGGTTTTTAATTCCGCGGAGCATGCAAGGCGATGAATCAACGGCAGAACCAAGACACTGTTCGTACAGACGTAACGCAAGAGGCAACCCAGTCCGCATTGATACACGTTAAAATAAGACGCGTGGAACGCGCGGAGGTAAGAGATTCCTCGGACCAAGGCGTTGAACCATCTCTCGAAGGAGAAAAATATCGCCGTAAACTCGGGTTTGCGGATTATCAGACCATCTCGAGATATCTTCCGGCGAAACATTTCCTAATCTAGATGTGTGTAACGGTCGTGTTTGAATGTCGGCAGTGCCTAGTCGAAGTATCGCCATGCGGCTGACCTCTCCGCATGCGGGGTTGCCCTTTAACCCCGGGGGGGGGGGGGGGGGGGGGGGCAAACATCATCGCAATATCTCCAAGGCTCTAGACGCTGAATGAGCGTCTGAGGCTCACGGACATCAAGAGAAAAGCATTTAAATCACAGAATCGGCGAAATTATCCTATTGTGTCAGAAAGCCCGTGTCTGCTGCTAGGCCAGTCGAGACTCTTACTGGTGTCAACCTGTCGTCAGTTCTCGGTATTCGGAATCTCACGGTCTCACTTCGATTTCGACCTTGAGCCGTTGCTGGTCGACGATATCAATCATCTAAAACGCCCACTGAGACACTCTCTTGGAGGCCCATCAATAACACCTTTCCCCGGTTCTTTTCCCGATCTTGTTGTCCAGTATGTGGGCCTATATTGAGATGAACATTACCCACAATCGCTTTTTTGCAGATGTTATCAATTTTACCTTCAGTAACAGTAGCTATTACGATATCTTCCTCTTACCGTTGCTTATCCTAGGTTCCCTGTACGTCTTCAACAAAGGAAGTCTTCTGCCGAAAAGGGACCCCTTTCACTACAAGTGGTTCGAGAAACCACAACTACACCGAACACAAAGTCTCGTTGTTGAGAAGAAGACGCGCAACATTGCGGAAAAGCTCGCAGAGCTCCAATCTGACTTGGTCATATTCTGGGGCTCTCAATCAGGCACCGCAGAGGCCTTCGCTCACCGCCTTGCTCGGGACTTTCACCAACGGTTCAAGCTCAATGCTCTAGTAGCCGACCTGTCCGACTATGATCCAGAGACCGTGCCTCTTATCCCGGCGACGAAGTTGGCTGTGTTCATCATGTCTACCTACGGCGAGGGTGGCCCCAGCGATAATGCCCAAAACTTTGTCAACTGGGCAGATGCAGCAACCTTTGTCTCCCTCGCCCACCTCAAATATGCCGCTTTTGGCTGCGGAAACAGCAACTACCGCTTCTACAATAAAGTCATTGATGATGTCGTCGTTGCCTTGACCAAGTTTCGTGCCATCGCTGTTTTGCCTACCGGCAAGGGCAACGAGGCTACCCGAACAAGCGAAGAAGACTTCATGGACTGGAAAGAGATTCTGTTTAAAACTTTGGTCTCCGAGTTCGACTACAAGAAGCATGAAGTTGCATACCAGCCCAGTGTTGACATTGTTCCGACGGATAGCAACGACTTGCATGTAGGAGAACCGTTCTGCAGACTTCACTCCAAGAAAGCAACCACCCTCCAATCACCCATTGCTTTCGTTCCAGTCAAGGCAATACGAGAGCTTGCAACGTACGAGGTACAAGATCGCAGCTGTATTCAGCTAGAATTAGATCTCTTTGCACACCCAGAGATCAAGTATAAGACTGGAGACCACATTGCCATCTGGCCTGTCAATCCAGATGAGGAAATAGACCTTCTTACTCGCATTCTCGGACTTCAATCTCAGCAACTGGATGGTTTTCACGTTGTAGCCCAGTCGGCAGACGACGAGCCAAAGGTTCCCAGCCCGACAACGGTGCAGGCCTTGTTCCGGCATTATCTAGAGATATGCTCCGCAGTCCCCCGCGAGACAGTTTGCACATTAGCTCAGTTCGCACCAAGTCAAAAGGTTAAGACGGAGTTGATTACAATCGGAAATGACAGGGAGGCTTATTCCAAGTTTCTCAGGGGAAACCACATGACACTAGCCCGACTCCTGAAGCACACCATCGCTGTCGACCCGGCGGCGACATGGGCCAATCTACCGCTCTCTTTCGTCATCGACTTTTTGCCTGCTATGCAGCCACGTCTCTATTCCATTTCCACTTCACGCATTACATCGCCTCGGAGTGTGGGTCTAACTGTGTCCGTCAAGCCATCGCCACTACTTGAGAATCAAGATATCCAAATTCCTGGACTTACGAGCACCCACCTATCAAAACTCCAACCTGGACAGGTTTCTTCGGCAGGAACGTCAACTATCGACTTATCCTTTGTTCATGCCCGGATTCGCGAGTCGACGTTCAAGCTCCCATTTCTCTCATCAGTGCCTCTGATCATGGTGGCAGCCGGCACTGGGGTCGCCCCATTCCGCGCTTTCATCGAAGAGCGTACTAGACTTGCTTCTGTAGGCAAGGAAGTGGGGCGAATGATTCTGTTCTTTGGATGCCAAACCAACAGCGACTATCTATACCGTCACGAGTTTGCCGAGTGGATGGCTGGACCCCTCGCTGGTAGGCTTGAGGTCGTGACAGCTTTCTCAAGGGCGGACAGTGAGAAGCGCTATGTCCAAGACAAAGTCCAAGCCAGAGGCGATGATGTTGGGAGACTGTTGCTGGAAGACGATGCCGCTTTCTACATCTGCGGTGCGGCGAACATGGCGAAAGATGTTTGCAGTGCTGTCGAGAGTATTGTGAAACAGGCGAATAGCTGGGAAGGTCCCCAGGCGGAAAGCTGGAGACAGGAGAGGAAGCGGTCAAAGAGGTGGTTCGAGGATGTTTGGAGTTAGGAACGAGAACAGATTCCTAAACGATCCCCTTGGCCTGGTTTTGATGACCAGTCAAGATGAGCATGTCAATTTTGTATTTGAGGAGTTTTCGAGAATGAAAGAGTCATGTCACTACGCTCTGCCGTCCCTCAATGAAACTGATACACTGGTGCTGTACTATTTTGGTCTGTTGCACGATAGCGACGGCTTGCAAGCTCGTCGTCTGTAACTCTGTGAGGTCCTGCTCAACTTCCACGATCCTTGGTCCCTCACGTTCTATGTTCGTCCTGAGAAACCCTGGTCCTGTTTTATTCATGTGGTATTGGAAGATGCGGCCATTGCTTCTGATCATTTTTTGGTAAGTAGAGGCTGCTTTCACTCAGTGTCGATGTTGATGCATGTTTCGACCTTGATGAAACCAAGTCCACTCATTTTCGACAACTCTCCGTTGACGTGAGTCATGTCGAAAGAATCGTCCTCGAAAAAGTCGTGAGGAAGATGAGATGATGGGTCGTATTCTTCCATGATCTTGATAGACTCATTGACAATGTCATAGCCAAAGTTGAAGGCTAAGTTTTCTTGCGGGTTTTCTGGAAGAATGATGGGATTAGCGTGACTTCATCATCTCCAAGCGCAATACTATAAACTTACTTGGAATCTCATCCGCCGCGACAAATTCCAGAAGGTCCTTCTCAACGAGACTTGACTGGTCGGTCCCAACGTTGCTAAGAATTTGGATCGCACTGGCACGGTTTCTGCGAATCTTTTCAAAGAGATCCAGCCTCTTCTCAAGATCAGAAGTGTCAGATACACCGGCGAACACAACACCTAGAGCCAGGCCATCTTCGAGACCCATGGCACCGCCTTGTCCTTGATCTGCGCACAGACTTTATATCAGCGATTGAATCAACGAGGGTAGAACCAGTGATACGGTATAGCACTCACGAGGTAACATTGGATGCGCCGCATCGCCGGTTATGACCATCTTTCCTTTCCGCCAAGTCGGTAGCGGAGCACGGTACAACAGTGGCCATCGCTTGATCTCAGTTGCTTTGCTGATTGTGACGTTAGCTACGGCCAATCTGCGCCTATCTCTAACGCGACCTACTTGATTATAGCCAGTAGACTTGGATGGAACCCAGCAAACTTTTCAATCACTTGTGCTTTGTCGACATCGGCTTGGTAATCTATCATTGCGGTGTGAGTAGACCTAATCACCTTGCAGACTACACGGAGATGGATATTGCGAACCTTCGCTAGAAGCGTCCTTCATCTCTTCATCGTAAAAGATACCAACGAAGTTGTGGATCGTATTGCTAAACTGTCAGAGGGAGCTTCGTTCTGGAAGTCGTAGTAAACGTACTTGCGGCATGGATATGACACTAGCCTCCTGTTAGTCTTGTTGTCAGGGAAAAGACGAATGAGGCCGTCGGCGTCCTCGTTCCAGAACTTGACTTCGGAATCTTCCTCCAGAACTTCGGCGGGAATCAAGAATCGGTAGCAGCAGTTGTGAAGGAGAGGCGCCACGGGAGGATTCTTGTGACCGAGAATTGTCTCGGCCGCAATAGAGTGAATACCGTCTGCACCTACGACAAGATCGCACTGAATCTCATCGCCATCTTGAAGGTGCACTGCAGGCAACTCAGGGTTCTACACAACAATCAGCAAAAAAGCAAACATCACGGTGGAAATGGCGGCAGGGATCTTCCCCGCACTCACGTATCCCACAACCCACGAGTTGAGATGGATGGTGACGGGAACGCCCGGACCTGCAGGATCGGTCGCTATCCTCTTGAGGGTATCGTGCAGATCCACGCGGTGGGCGTACCAGAGATCGGCGTCGTAGAACTCCTCGTTGTCGGCGTGTGACAGCGTCGACGTGATCTCCATCGTGACGGGATCCTGGAAATGGACAGGCCCGGCCTTGACGAAGCCGGAGGCCTCTGGGTCGAGACCCCATCGTGTGAGAAACCGCGTCGCGTTGGGAGGGACGTTGATGGCGGCGCCGACCTCGTCGTTGATGGCAGATCGCTCGTAGATGCGCACAACGTGGCCCGCCCGGCGGAGCGAGATGCCGGCCGAGAGGCCGGCGATGCCTGCTCCAACAATGACTACGTCGAGCATGGTACTAGTCGCTTTCAGAAAAACGGGAAACACAAGTCCTCGTGTTTGTTATCACGTCTCACCGTAGGGAATGTTGATATCGTCCGGAAGATGTCACGTCGACGAAAGAAAAAGCCAAGAAAGAATTTCGTCGGCCTCGGCCTGAGCAGGAGAACCAACACGGGGCCAGGAAGCCGTTGCATTCGCCTGTATCTGACAGGGACTATGTAGGGTTACGACCGCCCTCTCTCCGCCAAGAAGACCGCGATCTGCGGCGCAGCCCGCTCTTTGATGGAGACATAACCCTGGGATCGGGACTCAACGGCGGCACTACGCGAAGCTATTGGACGGTGACCGAAATGGAGGAGTCTTCGCCATCAACCTGAGGATACTGCCGGGGTCCGTGCCAAGGGGGAGCAAGACGATTGAGAAAACAACAGTTGTCTCGATTCACATATGTTGACATGTATCCATAGTCTTTTCCATTTGGGGTTTTCGAAACACACTTGGCAATTTGGAGAAGGTGGACAGAAGTTGAGGACGGGCTTTACCGCAACTCCAATTTCGTTGACTTCTTAGGTCGAAACTTTGCCAGCTTACTAGCACGGGAATAGTCTATGTCCTACCCCCTTTACTGTGTACGAGTACTTGTCCCCAGCGGAGCAACTCCCCGAGTCAATTCAGCATAGTGGCCAGAAACGAGACCGAGATCTCTGTTCTCGTGATATTGAGGAACTCAGAAGCTGTGGTAACTCGTCCCCGCTTCGGTGAGCTTCTATATCCGTACGGACACATTGATTGAGCCAAACGGAGCACTACCACAAGTGAGCGCCAACGTCGCGGAGAAGGACAGGGCCCGTCAAATGAGTCCCACCGTGGCAACGCGTCGGAGTCCGTCCCTTGGTCCGCTATTGGGCCAGGTTATCACGAATGGAGTCCGCCTGCAGGCGCCCTTGTCGAAAACCGTTGTGGCGAACCCATGTCGGAGAAAATTTGATTCACTGAGAGGGCCATGTAGGAGGCGGTTTCATATCCAATGAGTGAGCGGTTTTCAGTTTGATCTTTTCGGCAAAGCAATAGGCAATTCGGGTATATTCTGACAGCTGCAGTCTGGCCAGCGCCAAGACACGTCCAATTTGAGCTTCCACGGTTGGGTGACAGGACTAGGAAACTCAAATCTCAAAAAGATACTTGATCATTGATAAGATAGTGTGGCCGAGATTACAGGAAACAGGAAATGGAGTGCGGCGTCCGAAAAGCGTTGGAAGGAATGTTGCGTGCCGGTCGGCGGCCCGCACCCTAGTTCAGCCACCTGCAAGCACAAAGTGAATCTTTGTATGGTAGCACAAATCACACTGAGTAATTGTTACGTAGGCCATCCTTTCGGTTCCCATTCATCCAGAGGCCGAGCCCGAGGCACACCATGGATCAAGATCCGCCTTATAACGTTGTGGCCGTGCACCCATGCCGTCTCGGCCGGGGAGTTCCGGGCAGCCAAGGGGTGGCGGGCCGATCCTTGCAAAGGCGAAGTTGCTCGTTGCTTGAGGAAGTCTGTGCTGTCTCATGAGTCACGATGGGCGTGATAAGAGATACAAATAATGCTTGTCGAGCGAGTCACACGGCTCTGGACCAGCTATATGTAGTTGCTCTTTGGATGTTTTGTAATTTGTAGTATTGGGCGTCGCAGTGCGTAGTTTGGCATTCTTCCCAGAAAAAGCCACGTAAATGTGAACAAAGAATACGAATGCAATGCTACGCTGACCAGCACTGGGGTATTATCTTTGGTTAAGGTGTGTAACGATTCCGTGAACTTTCATTGCAGCATTACTCAATGATTGGACTACTGTTTTGTGCCTCTATATTGCAGGCTGAAATGTATCACACGAAGCCATTCGGATAAGCGTCCTATCGCAAGGACATCTTGCATGGTTGCATAACATCTACGCAATCTTCCAGCGCAACCTCTGGCTTGTTACATCTTGGTGGTCAGCAACGTTGATCTACTTACATATTGTGTTGAATACGCTAATCTAGTACTGGCTGTCGTGCTTCAGGGGCTGCATGCGTTGTCTTAGTTTAGTTCAAGGACCTCCGTCCAATATGTGCGTCAGCGATCCGGTCCAGTCGTCATTGCAGGCGATTTCTTCCCAAGGTAATGAAGAATGGAATATATTCATCTTACTGCTGTTCTACCGTGGCCGAGGTCTGCCTACCGACGTCTTCTCACATTACTGCTAGCCACCTTGAGTCCTCCAAGGGCCGAAGCTTCTCAACTTCGGCGGTTATGGTAGTAGAAGATAAGGTGACTGAGAAGCCAACTCATCCACCTACGAACATAGGCTGTGAGAAGGAGGCAACGGGATCTTCATCGGAGACAGTGATGTGCATTGGACTCGATGGCCGTCCCCGCGCAAGAACCTTTGTTACAGTTTTCGCCATCTGCCTCATTTATTTTGCGCAGTTAGTCAGCCTTGTCGGGGTTGGTGCTGTAAGACCCTCATTGATAGTGAAATTCTCTTTCTTTTCCGTAATGCTCATGCTTATCCTCTGACAGCAAGAACACACTATTGCCGGCCACTTCAATGTGACTGACGAGACAAGTTGGTTCTCAGCCACAATCACTATCATGACTGTGGTCCCAGGCCCTATCGTCTCCCAGGCAGCAGATTACTGGGGTCGAAAGTGGTTCCTCGTAATTCCCACACTAATTGGGGCGGTAGGCTCACTTGTCGTTGCTCGAGCTCCAGATATCGACACAGCCATTGCCGGATTCTGCATCATCGGCATCGCTTTCGGTACACAGCCGCTACTTCACACCGTAATTTCGGAGGTTCTTCCAAGGAAATGGAGGTCATATGACCAGGCAGCGGCCATGATATCCAATAGTCTGGGGAGTATCACCGGTCTAATCGTTGGAGGTGCCTTCAATAGAACCAACGACCTGGCCTCTAACGGTTTTCGGTATTACTTCTACATGGTCATGGCTTGGTACCCGATTGCTGCCATACTCTGCGTTGTTGTTTACAACCCACCAAGAAAAGATATACAAAAGACGCTCTCCAGGATGGGAAAGTTGGCCAAGCTCGATTGGATCGGATATTTCCTGCTTGCGGCTGGGCTTGTCCTATTTTGCCTTGGACTATCTTGGCCGAACAATCCGTACAAATGGTCTGATCCGCACGTCTCGGCAACTTTCGTGATTGGTATCAACCTGGCTCTGGGACTCGTTGCTGACGAGACATTCCTGAAGAACGACGGCATATTTCATCATCGTCTATTCAACGGCAATCGCAACTTCTCCATCTCTATATTCTACGTTCTGGCCGAAGGTGTAGCTTTTTTTCGCAACGAACACATACTTCGCCTTCTAAATTGGTGTCTTATACGAGACGGACACCATTATCGTCGGCCCTCGCTACAGCTTGATGCTAGTGGCTGCGGGCATTGGCGCAGCTGTCGCTAGTTGGTACTGTGCCATCACGAAAAGAGTGCGATGGATCACCACCATTGCGTTTCTAATATTCGTGGTGTTCTTCGCATTCATGGCGACGACAAATTCCAGCAGTAGCAATCCGGTCTGGGGATACCCGATATTACTAGGCGTTGCTCTGGGCATGACGTTGATAACTCTCGTCACAGCAGCTCAGCTAAGTACTCCACTCGAGCTCATCACGACGGCATGAGCCACAAGTCTGCGAATATCGCTCAAGCTGTTCTGCCAGCAGGGTTCGACGCTATGGACCTCCCCTCTCTTATCACGGCTCTCAATTCTCGTGATCAGAGCGCACTCGCCGAAATTCCAGGTGTTACTGCAGGTATTCTCTCGCGGGGAACTCATGCATTTCTTGATACTTACACCGAAGCCTTGAGAAATGTCTGGATCTCGGCGAGTTGTTTCATTGCTGTGTCAGCTATAGGTAAGTATCTTCTGTGCTCTATGCTCAAAACTTGATACAAAAGGCCAACTGACTCATGATTCTTAGCCTCTGCATTTCTTTTTGATCCCGAGAGGGAGTTCAATGACCACATTGATGCTCCTCTGGAAAGGAAAGACGGCGTCTCTACGGGAGAGTGACCTTCACATTGGCGAGGGCTCATTGGGCCCGTCTTTGATACGTGTGATTTTCTCCGCTCAATCAATGAAGAATATCCATCGCATCTCGAGGCTGTTTCACTACAACATGAGGCTACTAGGGTTCTTGGACCGAAGCATGGCGGACCTTTCCCCAATTGAGTTGAAGATTACAGATGTCGCATACCAACCTCTGAATTCGTGGAATCTTGGAAAGGTTTTTTTCGTAAGCGAACGCTTTGTTTTTGATCAAGATGAGTTTATCTAGCCAATGTAAGCTTTCTCGCTTGAGCTTGAACTCTAGACGCATTGCCTTTTCGTGCATGCCGGAGCGCCGAAAGCGGAGTCGGACTTCGGAAGAGAACGCCGACGGATGAGGGGCGGGAATCGCCCGTCCGCAGATCTCCGGCTCACCTACTGTACGATTGACTCACTCTTGGCAAGTAATTTAAGGGCTGCAGAACCTCTGTGCAATATGACTGGAGACTAACACTACAAGTAATTCATCATTCGTTACTTCATAATCACAACCATATCGTCCCAGCCCTCCAAATCCTGCCAGGTACCCCTAGAAAACCCGACCAGCCGCTCGGCCGACAAGATGAGCGCCGCTTCAACTGTGTCTTCGGCGCTGTCCCCGCGGATGGGGTGGATCGGTGAGAACTGACTGACTTAAGCTCCCACTTCGCCCTCAACCCAAATTAACAAAGCTATTAGGTCTCGGATCGATGGGTCTCGGCATGGCCACCAACTTGCAGAACCATCTCAAGACGCACTTTGCTGGCAGTCTTCAGTTCCATAACCGTACCATGTCCCGAGGCGCTCCGCTGGAGAAGGCGGGAGGCGCTCCACAACCAAATATCGTCAACCTCGTCAAGAACACAGATATCGTGTTCATATCTCTCAGCGACGATAAAGCACTCGAGGCAACACTGGACGCAATCCTTGACAACACAGCCAGAGGTGATCTGACCGGCAAGATCATTGTCGATACTTCAACAGTCCATCCCTTATCATCTGCAAAGGCAAAGGATAGGTTGGCAGCAAAGCAAGCCCAGTTCGTTGCTGCGCCTGTGTTTGGGGCAAGCCCAATCGCCGCGCAGGGTAAGCTGCTTTGGATCGTGGCTGGACCTGATGACGCCGTAGAGAAGATCAAACCTTTCATTGTCGGCGTTATGGGTAGAGGCATCATCCGTTTAGGAGAAGATGTGCAGAAGGCCAGCATTATGAAGACAGCTGGGTGAGTAGAAGATGAGAACGCACTCTTCTATACATCATTCAATCTTGCTAACATAACGCAGAAACTTCGTCACCGCGGGGATGATGGAGCTAGTCGCAGAAGCTCAAGTGTTTGCAGAGAAGTCTGGACTCGGCAGTGAGGCAATGGAAGACCTTCTTGGGCAGCAGTTTGGACCCTTGGCACAGGGCATGTCTAAACGCCTGACAACAGGTGCTTACCTGCCGCCTCGGGATGAGCGGCCGTGGTCTGACTTGACCCTGGCAATGAAGGATGTTGGGCATGGCCTGAGCTGTGCAGAACAGGTTGGTGTGCGTCTTGATATCGCCGATATTGCTGCCAGGCACCTGAAAGAAGCGAAGAAGATCTCAGACACCCAAGGGCGGCCATTTGATTCTTCGTCATTGTATGGAGTGATAAGAACGGAAGCTGGACTCGATTTTGAGACGGATTTGATCAAAAAGAGAGATGGCTCTGCCTGATTCGGATCTGCACCTTTTCCCATATATATGTACTAAGTAAAGTGTGGTAGAAGAAATTCGCAAATGTTATGTTCCTGATTACCACGAATGGCCTTCGGTGTTAGCCAGCCTTCAAGAAATTCTGTTCCAAAACATTGACGGGAGTCTACAAAGCTCAGGCGATGTCGATTCAATTCGGTCTTCATGGCCACGCACACGGCGAGGCAGTCCGTTCGGCAAAACAGTTTTCACTCATAGAAGTAGAAGGTGGAGAGGGGAGGGTCTATGGAATTCGGGGAACTTGCCTTGTGTGTTTTTAATATTGCACGTGTTGCTGTCTGGTGATACTCAAGGGGGGGAGCCTTAATCGTGATCGGAGTTTCTGACTTCGCCTCAGCTGGGCGCTTCAGAGTCAGATGATGATTGACGCGCCTGATATGCCAAGAAGACTGGAATCAATGAAGCTTGAATAAAGGATTCCATTGATTATATGCCCGAGAAAGCATCTCATTTGGACGGGTTCTTCAACGGCATCCACAACAACTTAGCCACGGAGCTTTGACGCCATTTTCCATTCATATAGATTGAGTCAGAATGAATCATCCAGCAACATCCAAGCATCATTTCCGTCTGATCTAACTCAACGGGAAGCGATTGGGGGGATCTAAGTTGGATGTACAAGATGAGGACAAGTGAGCAACTATGAATCATTCTAGCCAAGACCCTTAATGCTGTCATCCCACCAGCGTCTAGTGTCTGCCTGTGCGGTGTTCAGAACTCCATCAGCCTCGGCTCCCGAAAGACTGACCCTGAGGAAATACGATGCTTAGATTGAGTACTTTCTCTATGAAGCAGGAATCAAACAGGTTCCGTTCTGTCACAACGAGTGCGGTTACCGGAGCTAACCTCCTATTCTTGATGCAAGGCTGGAGCTGCATTGACTTTCGACACCTGGAGTATTTTTTACGGGGAATTTCGAATCTATTGAGTGCTACATTACATGTTTGGGAAGCAACAAAAATTACCAGGAAAATTACCGTGTGAAGCAACTGTGATCCCAGATGTTTCGTTATACAACTTGCGCAGGCGTCTGCTGGACGGGTGCAACTTCACTTCCCCGATTTACCGCGGTCATGTAAACTTTTCGTCCGACCAACGGCTTCCCCGCCACAAAAACGGGCGTAGGTATTGGTGGCCCGTCACCCCAGCCGCTCGACAAGCTAGAGTTACTTGAGCTGGTTGAGCTTCGCCAAGGAAGGATCAAAGATTCCTGAGAGAGGGTTGAGAATGTCTGCTGCTCCGAAGACGACATTGGTGACACAATGGGTGCATTCGAAGTCCTGGAAAGTCTTGACATCATTCCTCTCAAGGAGGCTACTCTTGGCTCCTTTCTACTAATGTATGGAGGTGGAGGCCAGCTTTCCACCCGGGTCTGTGCCATTGCTGCATTTCTCTGCCTTCGTTCTATGGCAGATTGAAAGAATGCGGGTATCGCGTAAGTAGCTTGTGGCTTCTCATCTCTCGGTGCCGGTGTAATGTCAGCCATCGTAGAGTCGGTCTGATCCAGTGCTTGTTGTCTTTGCGAACTCGGACCCGGATCTAAGCCGTACCTGCTGGATCCTGATGAGTCGCGGATATCTGATGACCTGGGAGGTGGCTGACCAAAGGATCGCCGGACCGGTGGCGGAGGGGGAAGTGACACCATGGGTGGATTAGAGGTCAGCGGAGGAAGACCAGGGCCTTCAGGTCTGTCAGGTCTGTCCGGACGAGGGGGGACTGTTGGCTCTCTCACGACGGACTTTGCCTTCTCGGTTTTACGGGCTTGACGACGACTCCGATACCTCCTGAAGAAGAAAAAGCCCGCGAACATGCCAAAGAAGGCTAAATGTTACTTGTGTATCAGTAGCTGCTCTTACACCTCCCATCTAGTTCACGACTAACTCACCAAGAATCAGAAAGACGATCCCAGTTGTCCTTCCGGCATTGTTTGAGCTGGTACTAGCTTGTGTAGGCGGTGGTGATACGGTTGTTGCCGGAGCACCAGCAACTGAGGAACTGGTGCTTAGTGATTGACTTGTTGGCAGTGGAATGACGTTGGATGATAACGTCGATGTCTCTGCGGCAAGAGGTGTACTAGAAATCGGCGCACTTGTTGCAGGAGTGGTTGGCGCCAAAGATGGATCCAAGGTCAGTTTCGATGTAATTAAGGTTGTTTGCTGCGTCGAAGAGGCCGGCGGTGGCGGTGGTGGAGGTGGAAGAGGGGAAAGAGAGGAAAGGGCAGGCGTCGAGAAGGGCGGAACGGGTGTATTACTGGGGAGATTTGCACTCGTTGTTGATGACTGTGCTTGTGCCGGTGTCGATGTTGCGGTGCTGTGCTGCCCGGTTCTTGTTCTCGTGCATTTCTTCTCGTCATCGTCATCGTCGCATTCATCGTCCTTCTCATCTGGCTCATTCTCATTCTCATTGTTTTGCCTCGCTTTGAGAAGCTCTCCAGTATTCGTAGCGCTGTGTCTCCTCCTTAGGAATGACTGTTTCGTCTCTATGAGCAGGAGACCTTTGAGAGTGATCCAGTAGTTCTGGTGGAAAGAGGACTTAACGATTGTACGAACCTTGACTCTAGGTGAAGACATTATGAGAATCAGTGACAATTGCGCAAGGCTGTTCTTTTCTTGGTGGGTTTCCAAAAATGGCTTCTTCTCAATGACAGGATTTGATATCGTCTCGTTGATGGATCGCGCCTGTATCAATCGCAGCCTACTAGTTACAGGCCTGCTGCACATGAAGTTGACCCAGAGCCAGGGGAAGCAGAGCATACACTTTTATTCCACTTTACGTGACATGAATGCCTTGATCTCCTTAAAGCCCCTGGCGAGCAACATCTACTCGGTTGCTGACAGCGTGAAACAGCGTAGTGCCTTGAACAAATGTTTCAAAGCTCAGCTTTACCGGCTTCCGGGGCGTGAGGTGGACCGCGGAAAGCTTGTTTTGGAGCCAAAAATAATCTGCCGTGAGTAATCCCCGCCCAATACTGCCCTCATCTTATTCACAGCAACGAGTTGAGAAGTTGGAGTTGTTTCACACTTCAGGACCCCGCATAGCTACCGCGTCTTCTATTTGACAACGACAAAGCCCCTGAGGTAAATCCTTCAAGATGCCGCGCCTGGACTCACTGCGGAATGCGACACGACACGGAGACGGGTGTAACTCGGTAAGGTGAGAGCCAGATGAAGCTTGATCATGAGGCTCTTGGTGATTGATAACGGATTCAGATGATTTGCCGATTAGGCTGCTGAAGCCTGTGCTGATGCAATCTTCAGTGCCGTACTCCGAGAGTTACTATGAATCCAAGGGCCTGTTTACCCTTATGTAACATCAAGCATCACTTCACCCATACCTGCTCTTTGCTAACATGACAGCATTGACGACAAGAAGCCTTGAAGCCGGATGAACGATCACGCGAGTCGACTTTTTGGCCTGTGCATATGAGGTAGGCTTACATCTATCGTCAAATTGAGACAAAGGCGATTTCGACACGGCATTTCTTTGGCCTAATTTGCTTTTCATGCCATGTTGAGAGCTCGGTAGCAGGTGTTCTTATTCACAAAATGCAACATGGAGGTTTGCAGACTAGCGACCATGTTCGCCCCTCAAATATCTTTGGTTGCGAGACGGCTGTGAGTACTTTGAACGAGCTTAGGTGGATGTAAATATGAAGTTAATCTACACAGCCGCTGTCGAACATGACTTGCAACCTCCCAATCTTCTCGCGGTGTTAAGCGGCGAAAGGGGGATAATCACAGACAAAAGATGCATTCTCTGCTAATATTGTAGGAAATCTTTCCCGTATGAGGATCTTGAGCCGTCGTTGTGTTGAAGGGACCCTTGCATTCCTCTAGCTACATTACCAAAAGTCAGGGAGTGGGTAAAGCAAACATGGTTTGTTGCTAGAGAATTGAAGTTTAAAATCCCGCCATTATTTCACAGCAGTCGACACATCCCTCATTCAATCTGAACACAAGCTGAACCGAACGCATATCACCGTAGCCTCAAGAAAGTAGCATAGTAATACAATTAACGAAAGTGGTATAGCACTTTACAGTACGTTCTTTCCACAAGCTCAATCACAATAGCGAAGCGCTCGTGGTGTGCCCGATCACACACGTGATCGAGCGCAACAGTAGCCTTCAGTCATCCATATCCTGTTGACCAGGGGCATCTGCAAACTTAGCATGATTCTATTTATACGATCACCGATTGGGATTTCTTACGTACCGTCCTCATCATCATCCATGTTTGTCACAGCTGGTGGTGGTGGTGGTGGCGGATTGGGATTGGGAGGCGGGTTGGGTGGGTTGGGTGGGTTCGGTGGTGGATTAGGAGGCGGATTAGGTGGGTTAGGGGGCGGATTGGGAGGATTAGGGGGAGGGGGAGGAGTCTGTTGAGGACGAGGTTCTGTCTTATTGTTAGATAATAAATATCCAGCTTCTTCAGGGAACTCACGATCGTCGTAGTCATCCTCATCTCTTTGAGGAGGACGCGGCGGTGGCGGGTTGTTATCAGGACGGGGTGGTCCATTGGGTGGCCTCGGTGCTGTGGATCCCGTCAGCATTGAAATCCAATGTCAGATCTCACCAACAACGTTGCTACTCACGGTCATCGTCGTCATCATCTCGAATGAAGAGTCCAGCATAAGGGGACAGATTTTCCCGCTGTTTAATGTGATGACCCTGAGTGGAGAGCTCGTCTGACCGGGGCATGAGAAGTCTAGGTGGCACAGCAATGGCTGAACCAAATGACTCTATGAAGAGTACCCCAACAAGAGCTTCTTTCCAAAGATTGAGCATAATGATAAGTGTATCGGTCGGTGGGATTCAGTTGAATTGGTTCTTTGTGTAAGCCTGTTCGTGGAAGACGCCAATGACCCTAATCATCTGCAAGGTAAAGAGGATGTGGATTCCCACCATCTTTATAGCCCCGAGAAGGAGGAGGAGTTTATCAGATCAGAAGAGCACACGTTCTTTCATGAATAGTAAGTTACAACCGACCGCGAATTTGCCATCATCAACAACGTTCCAGCTCATTACCCGGAAATAGACCAGCTTCGACCTATCAAGGCATAATCTGAAACGGAGTCAACGGAGGAGTTCAGCGCATGGAGAGTTCTTAGAGTTTCCTAATGACGCGAGACGGCTCAAGCTTTCTAGATCGACAAAGACCATGCGAAAGATCAATGGACGATGTTCAACCGCCAAGTCAAAATGCCCAGCTTTGCTAACTGACTTGCCCCGCCTGCGCCATCCAGCAGCTAGAAGCGCGCACATCATGTGAGTCTGTTTTTGTTCGTGCTTCAGAAATTTGTTATGGTCATTGGACGATGCGACTTTGGCGGGGGATGTGAAGCAAGGACAGGGGTCAGACGCCATCTTATGGTATTGAAGGGTAAGCTATGATAGGCTAGCTTGTCTCATATCCTCCAAGAACCGTTGACGCAGGAATAGCTACCTATCGCGCACCGTCTTTCTCATCTGAGAATGCGTTGACTTTACTTTGGACGATTACGATACGCTGCCACCGACTAAAGTCGAAGAAGCATCTGTAACCGAGTTCCATGTCAAAGACAGGATGTGACGGCAGTCGGCGTCCCAGAGTCCCGGCGCCGAAAATACCCGCACCATCAACTAAGTATCGTTAAAATGGTCGAATCTCGACTATGGCATCTGTTGAGCTACATATTGTTGCTCAGCCGGCAGATGCTTTCTAATCCCGATTAATCCGGTAGCTAGGGTCCTCCCTGGAGTGGTCAATCGTTTGGTAGCCCCTCACGAGCTTGGAGAACTCTGAAGAGACCCGGTCAAAGAGTCAATACCCAAAGTCTATCATGGTGGCACAGTGAGGGGTAGCTCTTCGGCTGCTCCCGACACGCAACATGATGAGTTTATGTCCGCATTCCTACACCGTTGGGGGAATCTTAACCGCTAGCTCTACTGCTAGCTTGGACTTAAACAAGTTTGTTCGGCTCTCTTTCAAGCTTATTTGAACGTGGCAACAGACCTTGACTCTTGTGCAGCTGGTGAACTGATGATTGAGCAATCGAAAGAAATACTACTCAAACAAATATAACCTATAAGTTTCGTGTATTCAACAGTTGTCGCCCATCAGCGTGACGCGTTAAGAGGCTCATCGCAACTTTGACTCATCAGCATGAACACCAATTCGCACGCTTCATCCTCCGTATGTATTCATTTGTCGTGCGTACATCATGCGGCGCAGCTTCTTGGCTGGCCAAGATCGGACAAATGAGGGCCGAGCAAATTTAGACTTTTGAATAACGTCAATATCTCGACATTAAAAGCTTTGTGAACAGGCCTCAGGAGCTAAGAGGCTTGACTTGTTCTCAGCTGTGATTACGAAACTTGCAGCTATTGAATGGGACGATGGCGGAATGTTGAGGGGCAGCGTGGTCATTCTCGCCACGAATCTTTTTTGATTCGAGCCAGACTTTGGCATCTTGGCGTCTGGTTGTCTTGGAACTCTGTCCGAATTCTCCGCGTCAGCATTAATTCAGTGCGAACTCAAAACATCTTTTCCCATGGCTTGAGGGTGAAGAAGGTCCAATTGTCTTATCTATCTGCATCTTGATGATGACCCTGTTCAGATGATGTGACCAGTAACGCATTACTTACATGTATCTTGCAACATCATCCACTCATGACTCTATTTTACAAAATTTGCCCCAGGGCATAATTGGCAGGCGCAATAAAACAGAGGTTCGCGAGCCAGAAGGTGAAGTTGTTGAAGTGGATGGGCACCTTGGTACTTGGACGTGACCATTTGTGAATACACGGGCGTCAACACATTGGAGTATTCCACCACCTGGGCAAGTGTGGGAATTGCGCGCAATTGGGATAAGAATTACTGCCATTTTTAATTCTGCGCGATTAATCACATACAATTGCAAGGGGCGGTCTGGATGATCGGGGGTTCGTCGATTTACTTACACGCAGATATTTATTCGCACTGACCCATCACTGATCATGTCAAGCGCACCAACTTCTACTACTACTACGGTTGTCAGGGACAATAGAAAGATCTTCTAGCGGAGTCTAACCCAATGAACAACATATCTTAAATGATCTTTCATTATTGTGATGGTGCCAATGTTGAAGCACAACCTTGGATATATGAGAAATGTGTTTAGCTACGCAAAGACATCATGTAGACGGTCAGATCCCATGTGACCATCAAAAAAAGCGCAATTGGATAGGTAACCAACATGAGTATCGCATCTGAAAGCCTAAGGCACGCGTATACAGCACGCGTCCACAGTAGAAGGTGAACGTCGGAGGTGGGGAGGATAGCAGAAACTCGAAGACAATGACCTGGGCATCTGCTATGGGTGGGTGGTCGACACACTGGCTGGTGCTTAGACAAGATTGGAAAGAAACCAAAATCAAGCAAACTGAGTTACCAAAGGCTGAGAGGCAAACTTATTCTCTGGCACAGACTCACGTGTAAAAGTGGAAATAGTGATGTTTTCCAGTTGTATTTCTCAGCTACGAGGTGGCTCAACGATGACATTATGCTGCGCAGATTCTCTCCCGAAACGGGAGTCAAATCTTTTTGAATAAGCACTTGACCTTAACCTCGGATCTTGCTATCCCTACATTTTTTACAGGCTATTGCACTCTGCTCCAGTCGAGTGTCACAAAACGGCCCCTTCAACATCCGGCCAGCAGTCTCCAATCTTCCCGTCACTTTGCACAGCCAAAACAACACTCCCCTCCCCATTCAGAGGGTTTCCATCCCAGACAACAAAGTCGCCCAGGGAGGTGTTCCCAGCAATTGTGTCGCCGGATTTGTCTGAAGCTTGAAAATTGCTTTTCAGCCCGAGTATTTCGTCAAAGTTGGTTGAAACCAACTTGATGGCCTCTTTGTCAGTTAGACCGGCAAATTTTGCCGCCCACTGCGCCTCCTGGGCGAGGCCGTGGACTTTGGAATCGCCTCTGACAGCGAGGGCAGTAAGAACACCAGCCTTAATGAGTACTTGGGCCGGGCTTGGTGAGAGAGGCGGGCCCGCAAGGGACGCTTTCTTCTCCCACTTATCAGGCGCACCGCGGTTGCCGGTGAGAATGACGGGGATCTGAGCTTCGCTGAGCTCTTTTGCAACCTAGGTAGCATCGGTTTAGCATGTTATCTCCTCTAGTATTTTTGAAAATGACTTACCAATGGCGCTCCATGTCCGCCGAAGATGACAAATCTCACAGCGGGGAGCTCTCGCTTCAGGAGAATAATTTGGGAGATGTCATCCTGCCACTCGTCAACGATCGTTCAATATTTATTCGTCGACTTTTATGTGACGAACCTCATTCACTGTAGACACAATGACCGGAAGCAAGCCTTTGGAAGCGCGCGAGTACACGCTATCTGGCGACAAGTCTCTGTCATAGCTCTTGAGAAGGACCTGACGCAGTCGCTCAAGACCGGAAGAAACAGTTGGCGTATCATCTCCTAAGCTATGGTAAGTCAAACACGAGGGTTCACCAAAAGTCGAGTCACTGACCTTTGGCTTCCTGACCAATAGCAAAGTGAAGGGCCACTTCGTCCTTCCAAATCCCGCCTTCCAAGATAGTCGCGTTCTCACCTGTTCGCAAGCCGACACTCACGCCCTGTAGGAGGCCACCTACAAAGACCGGAGCCGTAACCGCCCTTGTCACGCCACCGATTCTCGCTCTGCCGAAACCTCTTCCGCCGAAGTGCACACCATATTTGGCAAAATGCAAGTGCTTCTGCACATCTAGTGCATCGATCTTCGACCCCGGAGATCCATCCCCTGTTGCCGGCTCGGAAGAGATATCGAGGATACCAATGTTGTTGCCAAAAGCTATCAATCCTGGGGTGACGTACCCATTGGCTAGTTCAATCTCCACAGTCTCGTCATGCTGGAGGGCAGACAAGCACCTGGACTTGATATCTAGACATGTTATGCGACCGCTGGAGACCATTAGAGCAAGTTCTTCTCCCTCATCGACGGCCAAGTCACCTCCCAGGATCTCCTTGTCCAATAGAGAGCTCCTGATACCTGCGAAGAGGATGTGTGCTCCCGGTGCCGTGGCCTGATTGCAAACATCTCGCCTCTTCTCTTGCAAGACGTACGGACGAGCCGCCGGCGCAGCATTCTTGGTGGATAAAGCCTGCGTTTCCAACTTCTGGAGAGAGTCGTTGATATCGAGAACTTCCCTACCATCGACAAATACTTGAACGGTCGTAGCACCAACCGAAAGGGGATTAGAATCCCAGACCGCCAAATCGGCATCATATCCAGGTCGGACGAAGCCAATTCGATGGCCTTGATAGATGGACTGTGCTGCAACAGAGGTCACAGACTGTAGGGCTTTGTTTTCTGACAAGCCAAACGAGTGCGAGACAGCGGCTTGGTACATGAGGTACTTCGCATGATTGCCTTCACCAGTGTGGTCCTACAAAGAACAAGTGCAAATGCGTTAGTAAAAGGTCATCAAAGTCATCCGAAAATGGTACCAAGTGACTTACCGATTTCAAAACAACGCGAATGCCATGGTCATCGAGAATCTTGGGGCCTCGAAGATTGGCTCCATAGGCTTCATGCTTGAAGAGCGCGTTCTCAGCAAAAGTGGCGATAGTGATATTCCTAGGTGGCCGGTGTGAGCAAGTCTTCCCAATTCCAAAAGGTGAGAAGTGCTTACTCTTCCTGCTTTTTGAGAAATTCGGGGACCTGCCAGGCTTCTAGAGCGTGATGGAAGGCCTGCGGGTGAACCCCAAACTCATGGAGCACATCCAGCATCCGCTCCAGGTCTTCGGGTTCGTAACAGTGGATGTTGACGTTGAACTCGCCTCTGATAAGAGCAACCGTTGCCTCTAGTTCCAAGTCTTCCGGTCGCTCACCTACTTCGTCCACGAAGCGAGACACTCGGCTTTCTTTGAACAGACTACCGGACTGAAGCTGCTGGGCGTTACGGCACCAAGCCTCCTGTTTAGACTTGAGCTTTTGAGCCTTTTCCAAGTGTTGTCTCAGGAGCCAAGCATTGCCGAGTCGGGTATGTCCATATAGGTGCTTTGGGTTCTCGCCGCATGCCATCTTTAAATATCGCTGACGACTCTTCTCGGGAATCCCATGCTCGAGTAGCAGTTCTTCAACAACCGGTTCGCCATCCTCTCCAGGGAGCGGCAAATTCTTCACTAGATACCCTTGGCCACCGATGATGTTGCCAGAACCCGGTAAGTTAAGAGATGAAGTGACACCGCCGGATGCAATAATCTGGATGGCAGGATCATACGGCTTGAAGCCGTCAATCGCACGGACGAAAGGAGTGATGGGACCAAGTCCAGGCTTCTCATTTACGTCGACGATCGCTGAAACCGAAGAGAAGGGAAGTTCCAGGTGATGAGAGTGTATGTCAACGAGACCTGGGGTAACGAATCTCCCTTTGACATCATACACGACTGTGTCGCTTGGCAAGCTTGCCGCAGTTCGAGTGTCGTGAACTGACTTGATTACTCCCTGCTCAAAAACAACATCGACAGGCGCTGCAAGCACCTTTTCCCCGTCGAAAAGAGTCGCATTATGGAGAACAATGGCTTGCTTCTGTCCAGATTTCGAGTTCCAGCGCGGGTTTGATCGATTCGGAAAGGGCGACTTTCGACTCAGGCTTTGCAAGCTACTATCGCTGCACTTGCTCAGCCCTTCTGCAAATTGCTCTGATTGGTTCAACGATGGCTTCTGAATAGCGTTGCTGTAATGGGACACGGATAGAACAAAAACAAAAAGGCCCGCGAGAGTGATTAGACGTCCTCGGCGTCTCCGGACCGGGAAGCGTCTAGTTGGTGGTTGAGACCAATACGGAGGGGGACTCGCGTCGAAAAGCTCCTCAATTTTGCCGCTCATCGTGACGTCTTGTGATTTCTAAGCAATGCGACGAATTGTTTTACTCCGACAAGAGTTAGAGACTCAAGATTGGTACAACACGATTTTGATAGAGCTTAACATCACAGTTGCTCAGACACACTGCGTCAACGGCTCCTCCTCAAGCAGCTTGACTTGTTGTTATCGGAGGAATTTGTCCCGACGTCAGGGTGGTTGGGGATAAGGCTTGGCAGCTCTTCATTCCCAGAGGCGTCAACGTGGAGATAAAGCACGTCAGCCGGAGGAGGCCCACTTGGGAACTCGACTGCATGATACGAGTGATCCAATCCCGGTCATGGAGGTTGAGATTACCTCTTCTGGCGGCATTTTCTACGCGCGATGACTGGGATCGATATTTTTTCGTACACATTAAGGCCTGGGCGTAGGGGCTCTCGAAGAAGAAGTTCTTCCTCGGACCGGGAAGCTAAGTGACGAACTACGTTTCCGTACAAAGAACATCCATGCAGCGAACAGAGCCACCGAGCCAGAACGAGATCAGCAACCGACTGAGTCACTGGACATGACAATACTTTGAGAAAAATTCGACAACCTCGAGGAATTGTGTTGAAGTCTACGCCGAGAAGAGTGTTTGTAGGGCCCATCACCACTTCTAGATCACTCAAAGGACTTCCTGTACTCCAGGCTATCTGTTGCCGCGGCCTTTTCCCGACATGAAGCATGTAGTCGGCCATGCCCCGACATTTTGGCCGGCTTCAGGCCACAACTACAAGACTGTAAACCTCAGGAAAGGAATGGTCATCTGCGGCCTGTCAAGACCCTTTTCCAACTACGTCTCATACGCCGCAGCCGCAATTCTTAGTTCTAATGGCGCCATGAGTTACCCGCCCACTTCCCGCCGACCTTTTCCCTGCAGAAACCCGACAATTTGGTGTGCAACAGGTTGAGCGGGGGCTTGAAGCGGGAGGACAATACAGATTAAGCACACTGGTACGTAAGCGACAGGCCTTCACAGAAGCCGATGGCAAAAGCCGTTCGAAGGTCGACGCGGTCACAGAACAACGGAAACCGAGACCGAGCATCTTGCACGAGTTAATCACTCTAGGATATGATGCAAGAGTGTAATCGCACCCTTGATTGGGCATGAAGTTCGGTACTAGGGGGCTTTTGGGTCATATCTCCCGAGCCATCTCAGTTGTACGCAGGCTATGGGGAATCGCTACTAGAATGCATGTCCTGCAAGGGTTTTTCGCGGAGGGCATCCGACCACCCTATTGAGAACTTGTGATGAACCACCCGGTGTGCCAAGCAGAACAACTGCGGGACTGGAAGTATCCAGCAAATCTCCGTTTCTAGATTAGAATACCGACATTCAGGCAACGCAAAAACGCAGGACATTGACGCCACTAGCTGCTTGCTTGGCTACATGTACGAAGGATAATGCCAAGGACCGAGGGTCATACTTCTCAAGACGGCGATAAAGATAAGATACTTCTGATTCTTTGCCTTCTTCATTCCGCCGCACTTCTTTCTGGAGAAATCTATCCTTCTTCTTAACCTGAAGACACCTATACACATAGGTGATTAGACTTTCTGTCTAGTCGCAGACCACTATGGGTACAATCACGGAGAAGACGGGGAACGCCATCGACGCCGTCACACCCGCAGACGCAAACCCTCAGGTTCGGCCTTCTAGAGCAAGGTTACAGATAACTCATCCTGACGTACCCATAGAGAGACAGCTTCGATGAAAAGGCTTCCATCGATGATGTAGCGAGGTATGGACTTCATTTCCATGCGTGCCTTTATTCGATTCGCAGCAAGCTGAGAATTCATAGACGACTCAATGCTACCCCCGAAGAAGTCCTCGAGGCCAGAGAACTTTCCCGCTCCCTATCTCTCGAGGAAGCCAAAGAGGTATGCAGTCATTAAACACTACTATTATAAACGGAAAGTCTCAAGGTCTGACCTATCTCAAAGTCTGCTGAGAGACTAGTACAGCAGCATGGCCTCGATCCGAACTTCCCAGCAGGAGCCCTCGAGCGCCTGAAAGAGTTCCTCGCCAACGAAGACGTTTTCACCAATCCGGATTCGCACAGTCGCGAAATCTCAGAGGCTAAGATTGAAGTCTCACTGTTGACTACCAATAGCCCTTACGCCGAGGTTCGCGCTGTAGTCGACCCGCATGACGATACCAGCATGCCCGTTGCCACGATACGCTCCTGGACTATCGGTCTCTTCTTCGTCGTGTTCATCGCTTTCGTCAATCAGCTCTTCAGCGTGCGTCAACCTTCCATCACGTTGCGTGCGGAAGTCGTACAGCTTCTCGCGTATCCGGTTGGCAAGGCAGCAGAAAGATGGCTTCCAGATGTTGGCTTCACGCTCTTTGGGGTTCGACACAGCCTCAATCCTGGGCCGTTCAACAAGAAGGAGCATATGCTGATTTCGATCATGGCAAGTGTTGGAAAAACGTTACCAAGTTCTAGATACATCAGTGAGTTATCCTCTACTTGACCCTCGTCGAGCTATTCATCTCTAATGAAAACATCAGTCTTTACCCAGTGGATGGACCGTTATTTTGGCCAGAAGTATGCCAAGTCTTTCAGCTATCAGATTCTGCTAGCTCTCTCCACAAACCTGATGGGGTTCGGATTGGCCGGCTTATGTAGAAGATTCCTGGTCTACCCATCTTTCTGCCTCTGGCCGGCCTCTCTAGTCACCATCGCCTTGAACAGCTCCTTGCACAATGGTATGACACCAACACGAGACGAGGGATATGATGAACTAAGATGCTAATGGCTTCTGCAGAGGCAAACCATCCGGTACCCGGTCCTTTCAAGAAGATCTACAACATTTCGCGATACCGTTTCTTCATGGCTGCTTTCGTCGCTATGTTTGTCTGGTTCTGGTTCCCCGATTATATTTTTGGTGCACTTTCTCTGTTCAACTGGATTGCCTGGATTGCCCCCAACAACTTCACACTTACTGCCATTACTGGCGTAAACAAAGGTCTTGGCTTCAACCCTATTCCGACCTTCGACTGGAACGTTGCCACACACGTCGTCCAACCTCTTGTCGTTCCTTTCCGTGTCACCTTCAACACCTTCATCGGCGTATTCTTGGGCGGTGTCACAATCATTGGGCTCTACTGGACGAATGCGTACAACACGGCCTACCTCCCTATCAACTCCAATTTGATGTACAACCACTTTGGGAGCTCCTACAACGTTTCGAAAATCTTGGACGGTAGGGGATGGCTTGATGAAGCCAAGTACCAGGCATACTCCCCCGTATATCTCGCAGCCAGTAGTATCACCATGTACTACTACTTCTTCGCCGTCTATGCCGCCACAGTATCTTACGCCATCCTTTATCATCGCCACGATATTGCGCTTGGATTCCGGAGTTTGTGGCGCAGTTTCAAGAAAGAGGCGTCGACCGATTTCAAGGATGTCCATACAAGACTCATGTCCAACTACCCCGAAGGTATGTGGGAAGCTCACGTGAAAGCCAGAGCAATACATTATACTGACACTACTCCTAGTCCCCGAATGGTGGTATCTGATTCTTAACCTGGCCGCCATTGCTTTCGGTGTTGCGGCTGTTGCTGCATGGCCAACCGAGGTCAGTTGGATCAATTCCTTTCTTCCCAGCTGAAGGTATCTACCTTAGTTGATGATAGGCGACTGACCCTTTTTCAGACGAACGTCGGCGTCGTGTTCTTTGGTATCGCACTTGCCCTGGTTTTTGTTATTCCAACGGGCATCATCTTTGCCACCACTGGCATGGAAGTTGAGTTCAAGTAAGCAAATTCACTTTTGCACTTTCATGGTATATTTGAAGCTGACGATCTTCAGCGTCCTTGCCGAATTCATTGGAGGAGCTTGGGAGCCAGGCAATGCTTTAGCCATGAACTTTTTCAAGTGCTTTGGGTAAGTGAACGATCTACTATTTGATTCCACCAACCCACGTAAGTACCTATCAACTTACGAGACTTGCAGCTATGTCACTACGGCCCATGCTCTTGATTTCGCCAACGACTTGAAGCTGGCTCATTACCTTAAGATTCCCCAGAGACACACCTTCGCCGCTCAGGTTGTTGCTGTATTTGTCTCAGCCTTTGTCTGCACTGGCGTCATGAACTTCCAAATCAGCAACATCCCTGATCTCTGCTCAACGTGAGTTTACCCATTATACCCGGTTCTGCCACGATCGGACGGCTAATGTGCATACGCCCCTGTAGAAGCCAAAAGGACCGCTTCACTTGCCCAGGTGTAAATACCTACTTCACCGCTGCGGTACTTTTCGGTAGTCTGGGTGCCCGCAAGGTTTTTGGCTCTGGTGGAATCTACACGGCCCTGCTCTCAGCTTTTCCGGTCGGGTTTGCGCTACCGTTCATTTTCTACTATTTCCAGCGCAAATTCCCTTGCACCCATTGGTTCGCCAAGATTCACCCTGTGATGATTCTCAGCGGTGGTATTAGCTGGTCCCCCGTAAGATTTTCCCCTAGTTGGTCCATGGTCGTTTCGGTGGCTAACAACAGGTCCAGTACAACATTGCTTACATGTGGCCGGCCGTTCTGCCCGGCTGGCTGAGCATGGTGTATCTCCGTCAGCGCTATCTTGCGTTCTGGTCAAAGTATAATTATGTCTTGTCGGCGGCTTTCTCGACTGCTATCGCCATTGCTGGTGTCATTATCTTCTTTGCCGTTAGCTACCACGGCTTCGAGATCGACTGGTGGGGCAATGACTCGGAGAGTGGATGCGAATCTACTGCCTGCACGCTACTCAAGCTGCCCAAGGGCGAGTATTTTGGGCCGCGCGTTGGAACTTACGCGGGCTAGTTTGATTGAATCTCGGAAGGGTTTGATCGTGAGTATGCAACTTGCCAGGGAGGAAGAAGAGTTATTTGCACGGGCTCTCACATATTATCGTAGCAAAGCACAGTACCATAGCCTGCTAGCGAAATAAACGTGACTCTTCTAACGGCCCGATGAGGGTGGGATCATCAGCCGTTGCCAGTGATTGTATCCGCAGCCACCAAGGAAGATACTTGGACTGTTAAGCAACCATATCCTTCAACAATACGCGGCCTGCGATATGCGAGGCCCATGCGGCTTGTAGGCGGTGAGGCGTCGAGCTTTAACCACAATCAGGCCATGACTCGGTCAGCTCACCGAAAGCTCAACCCTCTGGCGAGATTACACTTTGACCCTGGCCGTTAACCAGAACGGGGGACGATGAAACTCTATCGGCGACCGCCAATCAGCATAGGTAAATGGTGACCGGCTACTGGTTTCTTAGAAAGTTAGTTTAAGCCATGGCATACCTCCTTTGACGTCAGCCCCTCTTCTCCTCGATTCACAACACCTCTAGGTCGGGTCGAGTTGAAAGGGACCGGCCAAGGTATCGCTCAGCTCCACCCTCCCCCATTCTGCCGGCAGAAACATAGCAACAGCTCGCATTCGATATTCCGCGCCGCGCGCCCTTGCCGCGTCTCCGAAATCCCCATTGTTAGAGCTCGGCGTGTCCGGCGGACTGTAAGGTCTCGTTAGAGTTCGTTGCCATGAGCTTTGGCCGTTCTCCACCCGGTACCTCCGGATCCAAGTCACGGCCGTCTGTCCAAGCCAAGAAGGGCTGCACACCTTGCAGGTAAGTCCGAACATTCCGTCGCAATACCACATAGGACGATACAAAAGAGTCTCCCTCGTATTGACCTGATCTTTAGAATTCACAGAGTCAAGTGTGACGAGACGAGACCAGCTTGTCGACGGTGCAGCATCACAGGCAAGGTCTGCGATGGCTACGACGGTGAGGGGGGCGGCTCAGCGGCCCGTAGACCCTCACTGTCACTCCTCAAAACCTCATCCGGATCTCCATCGCGTTGTGACGCGCATGCTGGCTTAGCGGAGCTGAGCTTCACAGACAAACTTCACTTCGAATGGTTCGTGAGCCGGACCACGAACCAACTGCCTGGCGTCTTCAACTCGCCATTCTGGAAGACCTTGGTGCTTCAGGCTAGCTCAACCGAGCCTGCTATTCTTTATGCCGTTCTCGCGCTGGGTGCCGCTCATGAGACAACAAATACCGACGCGTGCATCGTCAAACGCGAGCCATCGAGTCCCGACACAGCGGATCCACAGGAACATCTCAGCTTGCAATACTATAATAAGTCCATTTACCATCTTCAGAGGCATCTGCGCACACCAAGCACTGAATCAATACGCGTCGTCTTAATTGTCTGCACGGTTTACATATGCATGGAGTTCATGCAGAAGCGATACAAGACGGGGTTCCTTCACTTCAGACACAGCCTCCAGCTGCTAGGCAGCTTACTGAAATCTACTGCTCCGACATCATCATCCGACCCAGCAGACGATTGGTTTACCGACATCATACCTCGGCTTGATATCCAGGCGACTCTCCTTACAAACGAGTTCTACCAAGGGGCCGGCACGAAGCACACCTCCTCAATATGGCCGCCACTGCCACAGCTCTTTCAATCAGTTCGGGACGCTAGCCAAAGCCTCGACGGCCTCTTGTTCAGAGCCTACCAACTGCAGAAGGACGGTGCCGCAGCTGGACCAGCTGAGGATGCAGCCGATATTTTTGAGCTGCTTGCTACTCAGCAAACGCTTCGGAATGAGCTAGAATCCTGGATTCAAGCTTTTGAAGTCTTTAAAGCCAGAACATGGAACTTCGTAACAGACCGAAAGAGGGTCGCCTACGGGCCGCTTCCGATTTACCATACCATGGCATACATCATCACCAACACTTCCCTCAACCCTGGGAACGAGCTCATCTTCGACCTTTACACGAGTCACTTTGCGTCAGTTGTAGCTTCGGCAAGGCAGATCCTTGAGTCGACATCATCAGCAGCCATGCCGACGCCTGCTGCTGAATCATCCCCAGAAGATTGCATGCATCAAACTGAGCACGCCTCAGACACCGGTTTAGTTCCACCATTGTTCTTCACAGCCGTCAAGTGCCGCGTGCCCAGGATACGACGACAGGCGTTGGAGCTTCTTCTAGCTTCTCAACAGCAAGAAGGAATCTGGGATGCGATATTATCAGCGCGCATAGCAAAAGAAGTGATGGTTCTCGAGGAACGGGGCCTCTATGAAGGAGACGTCGACGAGAAAAGGGCGTCCCCGGATTTTGTGATTCCAATTCTGCCGGGGCCGCCCAGGATACACAAGCTTTGGATCGAGGTGCCAGAAGAGCCACGCGGAGACATTCTGCTCAGCATACACAGGATCTTTCCGGACGGCAAGCGGGAGACCTTGGGAAGAAGGTTTCACGCGGAACATGACTACTGGACTTCTGTACCTGTAACATTACGTGTTGCTACGGTCACCGAGCAGGCCAAGTAGAGAGGGCACTGCTCCAGAATGGTCTGTGGGGAGACGAGTTGCGGATACCCTTTGTACTATTACCAACCAAATGCGATCAGTGTCTCTTCCGAGAAGCTTTAAAACTCATCGTATATTATTTGGGAACGCTTTTGGTTTGTTATTTCCATCTCCTGCGCAGCCCGTGCCTGGGTCGGAGGACATCTCGTATCTGACGTTCATGCTGGTGGCATGAATTTCATATAAGCCATGCCCTTCTCCTGGTAATTCTGGCTGCCATTGAGGAGATAAAGCATACTGATACGGCTGTTCATGACTCCCGTTAAAGCTGTGCTTCTCGTCTTGTGCGGTTGGGCCTCTTCTAGCTTGCCTTTGACGCCACAAAAGCCATCCAAATGCGCCCATGCCCAAGACCGCGGCAAAGGTAACTCCAACCGCGATGCCTGCGGCAGCTCCCGCCGGTAATCCTTCGTTCTTTTTCGACGACAGAGGTGTTGCTACTGTGGTATTACTTGGCTGTGGTGTCAATGGGGCTTCGGTGATGTTGAAGTAGTGACAGGTAACGCCCCAGTTTGCCGGTTCTTTGCCTGGGCCGAGTAACTCGAAGAAGTAGAGGTTGCTCAACTTCGGATTAGGGAAGTCTTTTGTGGAGACTTCCCAGTTTATTGACTTTGCAGAAGTGCTCACTAAGGTTAGGCATAAAGTGTCAGTCCAAGGCAACTCTCCGCAGCTTCTAGACGAAGCAACGTGAAGCCTTTCTTTCTGCACTTCGGACCATCATCGCAACTCACCTGCGATATCGATGTAGTCCAAAGTACTGCCGCCTCCTACCAACTCTTGCCATAATATTAACCTCGCAGAGTCGTAGTCCATGTCCCAGTGGAGATCCAAGGTTTCTCCCATGGTGTAAACATTGTTGTCTCGGTAGTCATAAGCGAGACCTGGGCCAGGTGGCCGGCGGAAACGGTTTTCGGCGGCGACAAACGTTGTGGAAACCAAACACAGAAAGAAACACAGGCTAAAGACGGGCATGATGAGAAAGTCATGCGAAAGTGTTTCGGCGAAAATAGATGTTATTATGCGATGACAACATCCACGATTCGCTTCGGCGACGGCAATCGACTTTGAACTGACCTAAGAAAGATTGACGGGAGGATGAGACATCTAGGACCCAGGCTCTGGCAGCATTTATCAGAACCTGTCACCATCGAAGAATCGTGGAGGATGTTTAACCTTGCAATGCAAAGATAAGCGCTAGCTGCGTGCGACTAGGCGGCTACAATAAGATCCCACAGCCCCAAATACTACCCTGTTCGAAGGATCTGTACCCCAAGCAATTGTGCCATTGGCAAGAATTATCGCCCTGTAGCCGAGATGCGAGGCAACAGCCTTCGATCTCCCAAATTAGACTAATCTCAGCCGCTCAGTTGGCCTTTCTCTATTGGACGTCAAGCGAGAAGGTAGGAGTGGTCTTCAAATCTTCCATGGACCGTGTTACTTTCGGTAGCTCGACGCCAATATCAGTGGCTTTTCTAAAGATGCAACACTAAGCTCGGGATCTCCACATCAAAAGGTCAAGACTCTGACCAAGCTTAATTGGACCATCTTCTCCGTAATCCAGTCCTCTTTGGTGTTGGACGGTACTGGTAGTCAGGATCGAGTGTTTTCGGCTCCTTGCGCAACGCCGGTTGTGAGCCCATGAACAGTGGTGGTTAATTAGTAGGTAGGCTGCTCGCAAAGCTGCGCCTCTCTTGGGCCTCCGCCGAGCCTCGGCCAGGTCAATGGAAAACCGAAGAGGATTTGCTCGAAATGTCTTCGCCTAGCGCTGAAGGTAGAGTGTGGTTTCGAGAGCAACTTTGATGTCGGGCCTGCAAGCAGATTTCAGCATCATCTTGGACAGAATCGTACATCAAAAGACTCATCCGAAACTTTCACAGCACCATAGCGTTGAGTGCGAGTAGGCCAGTGCATGAAAGAGACAACCCAGGTCACCAGAGTCTAGGAAACGACGAAGTGTGAATCAATTCTGGTCGTGGTGCCGCCTCGGTGCGCTTGGCTCTTGGTACCAGATCGGGGCTATCGGGCCCGAAGCCTTTGCGCGGACAACGCGACTGCAGTGAACGGCAATAACAAGAACTTTTATTATTGAATGTGCCCAGTAGTCTGTCAAAACGTCCTCAAGTCTTCAGTCAAATAACTTCAGCAGCCTAAGTGCACACTGTTGCTACACAGGGTTGCCAAACTTATCAGTCTTCTTCGCTTTGGAAGTAAAGCACTCGTCATTTGGCCCGCAGCCCTGCCAGTTGAAGGAATCCCCCGGAGAAAAGCATGCACTGTCGCAGTTTTGCTTCTTGCAAAGCCCATGTGCCTCATCACCCCCAACCCATCCGTCATCCGTGGCACCGTTGACTGTCCCCTCTATCGCATGCCACTGTTTCTCTTTAGTAACCCAACGCAACGGGATCTGAGGCGAAGGAAGTCAACTACGTACGTAAGGGCCGCTGTACGGTGCACCGTGAAGTTCATCAGAAAACCAATTGCCTCCAGCTGGGAGATTTTGTCAGGTTTGATCACTCGAATGGCAAAGGGTCTTACCATAAACGAATCGTCCATCATATGCATTAACAACAGCCTTTGTTGCATCGTCGTCGATTTGGACGCCAACAAGACCCTGGTCGCTAATGCAGGCGCAAAGGCGGTGCTTATCGGCGCTGACACGCGCTACCCTAGAACAACTTAGCTCTCAATTTCGATCACGCTCGAGGTATCCACGTACATCAGCAAGCCCAGCAAACAAATATCTTGCAACAACATGACTGTCTTGTGGTAGTATAATTAGATAGAAATTTGCGATCAAGCGCAAGAAACGACAGTCTGTGTGAAAGAAATCGTGGACGAGAATGCACATCTAAGTACGGACACCGGATGCAGCGAGAAGAAGTCGTACTCGAAAGCTCATTTATACACAGATGCTCCTTCGACTCCTGCGAGGCTCATCAATGGCAGATGGTTAGTAAGAAGCCGGCGTCTCCGGCCTCTTGAGACGTGAAGGCTCGCTTTCGTTGCGCATATGTCGATACATTCCTAATGTGCAGATTAATAAGGGTGTGTTCTAATGCTTGGGTTAGTAACCCAAACTCTGTTTGATTGAATAAACGTGCATGAGCTTTGAGTTCCCAGGTGCCGTACTCTCGGATTCTTGACAAGGGAATATGTCATCCAGTCGCAGTGTTGGTGAGTAAACATGGGCCTGTCCCGAGTCATAACTTCAGAAAGCCTGGAGAATAATCTATTTGGACCGCAGATCGCTAACACTCTTCCACGGCCTTGTCCGGGAAATTGGGCCTTCTCTCAGAACATGACTAGCACCATGGCATGGCTACCCCGTTACGCATGGATGATCTACAAACAACCTTATCGTTTTGCTGAAAATACGATCGTACTCTTATTCATCCTGCTACCTAAGGTAGTAATACCTACTTAGTTCTGCTTTCTGCCTTTGAAGCCATCGCAAAATTGATGGCTCCCTTCCATGATTCATTCCCTCTGCTTGATCGAGTAGGAACAATGACTTTAAAGTGTCTTGACTGCCATGCCATCTGCTACTGAGAATATTGTAGCTTTTGAACATTGACAGGATGTAGCTCATCATGACCCAAATTTCCAGGAAAGATTTCACGATGAGTCTGATTGGAATTTCGAACTCTTTGACTGCTGTGGGCATGACTACTCCAGTCGCATTCAATTGTTCTGCAAACAATGCAACTCAACCACAAGACAAGGATTTGCAAGTAATTGCGTTTTGAGTTAGGAAAAACTGAGGTTAAACATTTACTTGACTGCTAGGTGTGCTTGTTGCCACTTTTGCCTCTCCAGTGGGCCATTCTCTAAAATCAATGTCTTTGCGTGAGACTCCTCTCTGCCGACACTCCCAGGCTCTCGACTTTGAGATATCGTCTGTAAAGTAGGCTATGACGAGCGTTTTTACTCTTCCATGTTTCGAAAAGGACTAATCCACCGAGCGCTATCGTAGATTTGATGAAGATTGCTGGCTCCTGGGCGGCATCGAATAACTTCACTACATGGTTGTTGAAAGGATGGGGGCTATAGTGCTATCCAACAGCCGTTTGAGGGGATTCAACTACATATGTCACCGAGTACATCTCAGAACTGCCTTTAATCGTCCATTTTACACATAACGCAAACTTTCTGTATTGTAATCGGTTACTTGCATACATTTCATGCAGAGTAAAGATGCTTGACAATGCGTCAAGACCTCTCGCCCTGATGAGAATTACCTTTGCGTAGGTCTGGCCTTCTCTCACATACGGAGGAGCCACAATGATTTCCGTATAAGGTCTGGGATCAGTGACTTCCGTATTCCATGTGTCTTGGGGGATCACAATCGGAGTTGATACAGGAGCCAGGGTTCCAGGAGTTGATCTAACCGTTTAGCAACGAGAATTCAGTCCCAACACAATAGTGGAGAAAAATCGAAGATGAGCTAGGGTGCTTCCGGTGAGGTGGTGCTTCGTACGCGCGTAACCTCTCCTAAGGTATTGTTGGAAATATCTGGTATCTGAAGACGAGAGACTTGCATGAGCTCTTTGTGCAGTAGCAACATTTTTTCTGTTTGGAATGAAGCAGGGGGCGAGGCTTTGTTGATTGACCATGTTTAGCAAACTCTTTGACGTTGCTAAATTAACCATTGGATGTATTCTGAGCATTATTCTGGACAGCAATCATTCACCGCTTCGCCCTTTTGGAGTTTACACTTTCACGTTCAACAGTGACGTTCCTTCCTAACTCAAGAGGCATGATCGAAGAAACATGAAGTACCCGATGCAGAAAACAACAACCCAGAGGCGGTAAGGTGACTATTCCCCATATTCACTGATACACGTGACGCCGCTAATATACCGGGCATTTTCTCGCCTCTGCTCTCTCGCTCGTTCTGTCCTACTCTTGGAGGAGTACACAGCTACCTGAGGTCAAATACGGCGTTTGCTTCGCAACTCATCCAGAGATTATTCAGGAAACATGACCACGGGAGCAGGATTGGTATTCCATTCAAAGCCCTCTCACACCACCCTTTCTTCCAACCCATCTTCTCCCACACATACCCTCCCTTTCTCATTTCTTTACCCAAACTTGTCTTTTCCTCCCTTCGAAGGAAACGCAGTCCCTGCAGTCAATTTTCTGTTTCTCAAGCACCTGCATAACCACCAACATCGAGATAAGCAACAAAGGTACTGGAAGACTTTTCACCATGGCGGTCTCGCGCATCGTCTTCCAAGCAATCCTCGCCTTGGGCATTTTTTCCCTAGCTAGCTTTGTCCTAGCCGAGGATATTTCCATCACCAAGGCTGAGACCTTTCCGACCATCACCTCCGACGCTGGCCTTTCCGTCCGTGATGGCACAATCCCTTCTCACGACTGCGAAGATATTCTCAAGCGCGGCATCACCCCTCAGATTGACTGCTCCTTCTCCGAAGAGAACTGTGGCTTTCAGGACGACATTGAGTACATCATCCGCATCAAGCCCATCGGCAAGACTAGCACTTCCTGGTGTGGCATGATGCGAGCGCAGGTTGCTAAGGAGACCAAGTCCTACGTCGAACAGATTCGGATGGAGAAGTGTGACCGCACGTACGAGGCCAACGAGAATGGCAGTGGCATGTGGCTTGTCCTCAATTTTCCACACATCCACTTCCTCGGCGACCGCCGCCAAGACGTCGAGCGAGCCATCAGAAACACCATGTGCCCTGGTGGTCCGAAGCTGGACTATTGGGTCAATGAGCAGTATATCTATCCTTACCGTTCTTACTTCTCAGTAGTCAACATCATCTCACTTGCTGACTTATTTTTATCACCAGGTGCTACCGTTCCAGCATCTGCAGCAAGCGCGTCTGGAGTGAGGATAAGCGCCGTAGCGTACCTGCGGCCTTCAAGCAGGTCTCACGCCCCAAGGGCCGCGATGTCTCCGAGACCAGCCATAATATCAAGAAGCCTACCACTCTCGCCGCTGCCACTGTTGTCGCCAATCTTTAGCAGAACGGTCCGTCAAAACCAAGCAGATTCCCAAGATCACCACAAGCCATTATCAATAGCCTCACTTCGGACTTGCTCCTCGACGACACCCGCACGACTAAGCCAGTACCTTTCGCTTGAATTACTCGAGAAAACCGTTGTGAGACGCAGATATGAAATTCATCGGCTGCTGTCTCGGTCGACACGTTGTGGTGGAGAGCTTTGAGATGTGATTTCGAGTGATAAGATGGAAACTTTGACTTGTTGCTGTAGTGCAGCCAGATAGAAACAGATTCACCATTCATTCCGTTATGGTCATCATCTGCATCAACTGCATCTTCGACCGAAACCCTTCTTCCCGTGGCATCCTTCGCTGAGTGACATGTAAAGACAACCCGTTCATGCAGAGGGAAACAAGGAATTAATGAGTAAGCAGTCGTCGAGCCAGTCGTCGAGGGCCCTCTGCCGTGGCCCTTCTACTGAATACACGTCTTGGTGTGCCAGAATGTGATACTCCCACGTGGAATCCTTGACTGGCCTTGATTGATGAGACTCAGACGACAATGCCGAATGATCATCTCTGTGTTGAAGCGAGTCCTGTGGCTTGTTCATGCCGTATGCCTCAGCTGCGGTAGCAAAAGGCGAGTGGCGCCTATCAGTGTTCTCGATTACTGTTCTCTTCTTGCTTCTCAATTCTCGCGCCAAAGTAGAAGTGACAGTTCGCTGAGGTTCATCGCTACTCATTTGCGATGGCGGTAGTGATTCATCCGAAGCAATCTTCCTGAAGAACCCGTGGTAGAAGCTGGCGTGCCAGTATACCAGCCCGAGCCGCTTCAAGAAGCTCATACAAACCTCAGCCCCACGTTTCGCTAGCTCTATGCTCGTAGGATCTTCACAGAACCGCTGAAGCGCGATCTGAACTACGAGAGGGGGTAAAGTGACAGTGACACTACATGTAATGCGGTAAGCCAGAAGTAATGTATCTAGAGACCAATCGTCTCCCGAGTTCAGAGACAAACCTTTGCGTGGGACAATAGCGAACAACATCAAGGTCGATTAGCTTCTCCATAAGACTTATAGAGTCGGTGGCTAATGCGATGATCTTTGCTGCTGGAAGACGAGACGCACTGACGTGGGTTTCGACAAGAGCGGTCTGATTCCGATACAACAACATCATCGCAATACTAAGAATGATCGTGTTAGCTCTGAAACAAGACTGGATTATTGGCACCTACTTGTATGCTAGATGTAACACAGCTCTGGAAGTTATAGAAGCTTCGGATTCACCATCGTCATGGTTCTCGAATCGTGTTCGACGGGAAGCAGCGTTTAGGTGTTCCTTCCATTGCTGGAGGGATATTTCACAGAGCTTCACCTGGTCGGCCACGGCCAGAGGCCCTGGTTGTAGGGAAGACAGTGACAATACACCTTCAATGTGGTAGCACAGATGAGAAAAGTCGACAAAGATGGCTTTGGTCACCCTGTCTTCGTCCGTGTCACCCTCTTCTTCAACGTCACCTATAGTCAAGAGGCGCACGCTGCAGTCCAAGCTCTTTATGTGCATTGGTCGACCAGTTCCGAGCGTGATGAGTCTATCTCTAATGAGGCATGCCCACCAGATTCTCGCCCAGTGCTTCCGGTCGGATGCTGAACCGGCGGAGGCTTGATGAAGGCCAGCTCCTTGGGCGAGGCCAATTGCTTGGTGGACCCAGAACCAAGTGTGCCTTTGTTCGGCCATGGAGGGGTAGTAATGGCTCATGAGTAAGAGAGCCTGGATGGTTGTAATATCGTCTGACTCGTAGTTGAAATGATGCAAGTACTACGTATTGTAAGCCTTCTGAATTCAAACTCATTGATTAAGTAGTGGTTCCATACGCGTGCTTTGGCATGGAAGCAGCTTCTCGCTTCTTGTATGGATTTGAATCCGAGTCTTTGCATACTTTTGATGGGAATCATCTGCACCGTTTGTCTCAGTGAGTACGTCTTGAATAGTAGCCACTCTCTGCGCTAGAATACTATAGACTTACTGATATTGCTGTGAAGACAATGGCTTGTATAAGGAGCAGGCTCGGGCCCTTCCCTCTCGCCAAATCCTCGTACTCGACGTCGCCGTATGCTTTCTTGAACACTGCCTTGTCAAGAATGGGGAATGTTGGGTGAAAGCACTTGAAGTATGTCGAGATACACTCGTCAAGATTTGCTTTTGGTGGGAGGTCCATCGCGCCTTTTCGGACCAGGAAATGTAGGTCTTCGTCAGAAAGCCCACGCTCGCTATCAGCAGAGGCATGAGGCTGGTTACAGAGAGCAGATGGCACAAATAAACCTTGCTCTTTGTCCTTTCCGGATGAGTCTGGCTGGTCGCTGGACTTCAGGGTCCGGAACAAGTTGAAGTAAGGCACCTGCTGGCGCAAGATGTGTTCCGGCTGCGCCGTAGTTTTCTGCCGAACGCCAGCGTGAGTCCCATTGATGGCCCTCTTGATGGCCCTCTTCCCAAGTCTTGTTTTCCTTGCTTTGATCTCGCACTCGTAGCCCTCTGCACGACACTTTGTGCATGGATGGCCGATTTGCAAAACATCGCAGCGGGTTTTGCGAGCTCGACAGCCGGTACAGGCTTTTGAGGCGCGACGCTTAGCGGGGGCCTCGACCATTCTGCAGTGCTTAATCTAGTATCTTGCTCGGATCTATCAGTGTCTTTTTTCCGACAGTGGTCATGATATTGGATTCCAACTGGGCATGGGAATCCGGTGCGTTGGAGCTGGATGTTGAACGATGACGGTTGTCAAGAATCCTACCTCCTACGACCCCGCACCGGTAATGCAGGATTGGGGCAACTCTTGGCGAGGTGCAACGGGTGGAGTTCGACGACGACAAAGACTAGGGCATAGAGGACTTCTTCGAAACATATTCAACCTGCTTTCTTAGTAATTATTTCTTTCTATTTGCTTCTTTGTGTTCATCCACTCTTTGCCTATGCAATCGTACGCATGATGAAAGGTGGAATAACAATTCATTTGACTACTTATGAAACCTCTGTCGTCGATTCAAACGCGATAGATTTCTAAATTTTGGCACTGTTTCGGATCTTCATGCCCTGGTCGCTTCGCCAGAACCTTCCATTTGGATACTTGTAGATATCAAGTGCTTCTGGCTTGTACTCGACACTGTACCCAGCTTCCCATGGCGTTACGAAGTACCCCCCTTTAGTCTGGACCGGGTCTTTTAACACCTCGGAAAAGGAGTTGATTTGTTCCAATAAGCTCTTCTGCCCCGAAATACAGATGTAGTTCAGCAAAGCAAGGTGCTGAGTGTACTCGTTCAGCCCGATGCCTCCGCTGTGTGGGACGACTGGAATGTTGAACCTGGTTGTATATGTTTATGAGATATTGAGCGTTGGGAAAACTTTCGAGCAAGGCAGTGAAAGACCTACTTCTTCGCCATAAGAAGTACTGCTAAGACCTCGTTTACACCTCCCAGTCGACAGGCGTCCACTTGACAATAGTCGATGGCCCCGGCTTGCAATAATTGCTTGAAAATGACGCGGTTTTGGCAATGTTCGCCTGTGGCAACGCCGATGCCGTAGGGCTTGAGTGACTCCCGTATCGCAGCGTGGCCGAGGATGTCGTCTGGAGAAGTTGGTTCCTCGATAAACCTGGGAATGATGTCAATAAGTGTGAGTAGTCTTGAGGCAAAGTTGGGTTGTATCAAAATTGGTTTACACTGGCTTGAAGACGACAAAGTTCTTCATGGTATCGATGGCCTCTGGAACACTCCAGACCTGATTCGCGTCAATCATGAGCATCCGATCATGACCGATCTCGTCCCGGGCGATTTGAAGTCTTCGAATATCATCTTCGATGTTGCCTCCAACCTTCAACTTGAACTTATCCATTCCTTCATCGAGGTTGGCTCGGATGAGCTCTCTCATTCGGTTATCTGTGAATCCCAACCATCCTGCCTGGGTGGTATAGGCTGGAACAGCAGTGTTGCTCAAGGCGTCCTGTCTCCTAGTCTCCTTTGTCTCGTTAACCTTCTCTAGCATTAGAATCGCTTCTTCGGGGGTTATAGCGTCGAGGATGTATCGGAAGTCCACACATCGCACCACTTCTTGAGGCGTCATGTCAGAAACAACCTCCCAGACAGGCTTATTCAAATATCGACCCCACAGATCCCACAAGGCATTGACGCAGGCACTAAGTCCTAAGTGAACGACGCCCTTCTCGGGACCAATCCAACGCATCTGCGAATCTTCAACAAGATACCGCCATGTCTTGCCCATGTTTTCGGTTAGCTCTCCAAGCGACTTTCCAATGAGGCGTTCTCCCATCATTCTTGCTGCCGCCGTGCAAAGGTCGTTTCCGCGGCCGATGGTGAAGGCTATTCCGTGGCCTACCAGGTCAGTGTTGGTCTTGAGGCGAATGTGCGCTGCGCTGTAGTCTCCGGCTGGATTCATGGCATCGGATCCGGAGGCATCGAGGCTTGTGGGAAATCGGAGATCTGGTGAGTTGCAGGTGGTTAGCGGAATGAATTTGAGGTCGCATATTCGCCGGTAGGGGCTGTGGAGACGCCAGGGATACCAAAAGTCTCGATGTCAACTATTCTTAAATCGTGAACGGGCACATTGCCACCGGAGAAACTTGATGGCGGGGTACGGTTCATGTTGTGCACGTTGGCTGTCCTAGGAGATGCTTTCCGAGCTTGCGCAGGATATGGATCCAACTTAGGTAACCAAAGGTTCCAATGCAAGTCGCTTGAGAGACTGTTCTCAGCTGGTATAAGACGAAAAAGAACGGGAAGCGAAAGTGGGAGGGTGCGAATAACAAAGCGTAACAACTCGTCGATATGATTACTGATTCCGTTCGGTCATACTTCATGGTCCACAACTTGTGCCCTCAGCTCGCGGCAGCTACGATTTGTGGGCTACTTCCTTGAACCGGCAAAGAGCTCAATGTAATCTTCAACACGATCAGATGATGTTGTTGGACGACGGATAATACGTGAAAGGTTCGGAGTTGTTCGCAGTCAGACAGCGTCAAGGTTCCCGGGGTTCCTCACCTGACCAATCAGAACGCTCACAGCGGCTCTTCGGTAGCATAGTCGAACAACGCGAGAGCATATGGCGTCTCAATAGATCTGGGTTGTGTCCGAGTTGCCGCGGATTAAAGTGTGAAAATCCGTGCTTACCCGGCCATGTGTCTCTGGCTTGCCGCGTTGCGGGGCTCAACCTAGACGGGAATCGTTTGAACGGCAGTAGATCCTGTCCTCGCTCAATCCTCCGCACATGGCAAGTCCTCGCGAGCTCTACGTCAACATGAACACTCCCACCGGCCCGTCAAACGTTCAATTTCAAGCTCGATATCATAAAGGTTCTTCTGTATTGGGCAGGTCGAACCTTCTCTGCTCAGCCTTGGTCTATATCACCCGATGTATCAAACGATCTCGGCGCGTGACACCTCCGCCTCTCTTACACGAGGCTTATCACGACTGCCACATTTGGACTCTCAGCAGAACTAAAAAATCAGAGGAGAAAAGCATCATATAAACAGCTTTGCAAAAAGAATATACAGTGAATAGAAGATCAATTCCCCGGGAATGCTCACAACCCCCCACCCACTCTAAAAGACGGAAAAAAAGGCTGCTTCCCATCCATCTCCCCTCCACCCGTTATGTTGACGCAAAAGTGACCCAGCCTTGCGAGAGAGGGAACAAAACTCTCAATCATTGCCAGCGGATTCCAGCCCGATCGGGAGAAGAGAAGAAGATGTTGCCTTTGACAAGAAGCGACCAAAAAAATCACGAGGAATCAAGTCGAAAGACTCTACATTCTCACAGCCTTCTTCGACTTGCTTCCCCCCGTAGAAAACGGCGCCAAATGCGGCACACTCTCCTTGGCCTTCTGCCTCGTCGTCAAGTCACCACCCCTCTTTTCCCCTTTACTCTTTGTCGAAAACGGTGCCAGCGGCGGGACCTCCTCCTCCCCCTTCTTCTTGCGCGCCTCGATTAGCGCCTCACGCTTCCTCGCGTCGGTGCCAAATGGGTTCAGGGGTGGAGGCGGGTCGTTCTTGCCGGGCTTCTTGTCGGCGCGTCGGGCAACGGCGGCCATGGCTTCCTCGTGCGCGAGGCCGGAGTGGAAACGGATGGGGGAACGCTTAATTTGCGGGACGACAGGTTTTCCGGCGTCTTCGCGCTTAATGAAGCTTACGACGCCGCCGATTGCGTCTGAGGCGCGGGCTTGGAGGCTTGCGATGGGGCTGGTGCAGTTGTTAGTTAAGAGGCTGTGTGGAAGAGTTGTGGAGAGACTTACCCAGATTCAACGGGCACGGCACCAACACCAGCAACCGCGGCGGCGACGACGGCAACAGCAGAGAGCTTCATCTTGTCTAATTCCAACGCTTCGTATCTTCGTGTTCGTAGTGTAAACCTTGTAAAGTCTAGTTCCTGCCGTAGTGAAATACTTGTTCGAGCCGGCAATGACGTTCAGTTGTATGTGTGTATAGTGTGAAAGGAAATGATCGACGCTTGGTCTATTCGATAGTTGGATACTGAAAAGTAAAAGTTGTAGATGTCAAGTAAAAGTGATCGTCCGAATTCAGACGCAGCAACTAAGAGAAGAGGTGTGCGGAAGAAAGACCGGACGTCCACGACTCTTTTATCTATCTCTCCTCAACCACGCGTCCGGTCCCAGACCACCGCCTCCTTTCCCCATATTCCTCCCTCTCCTCCACATGAGAAATCCAGACATCCCGGGCTATTGCGTGAGCTGACAGGCAGCTTACAATACACCCTTGTCCGTCAACACCGGCCACTCGGCAGCCCCACGGCCTTGCCTCGCATCACAACGTGGCGCGCCCGCTCGTTGCCCCCCCTGGGTCTGGTATCACATTATCATCTCGCCCTACCCACCTCATATTCTACCGCGGCGGAAGATCGTATAAGGAAGAGTCCGGGGATGATGGCTGTACATCTTGTACGCAATAGGCAGCGCACATCTAACTTCCACAAGCGCGTTTCCACAGTTTCAGCCCGCGACAATCCACACGAACCACGGGCCAACTTCCGGTACAGACGACGGGACTTGCTCTCGTTTTTTTCCTTCTTTCACTTCAAGGTCTCTCTATCTACGGGATGTCTGTTCGGTGTGTTGAAGACTCCGCCAGTCCATTCGGTTTCCCCCATCCCACCGTTTTGAATTCTGACCGGCCGTCTTGAACTTGGGCAGACTTTTTGACTTCCAGTCATTCTCCGTAACTCTGCCCAAAACCATGCGCTTGAATACTGGCCTCCATTTTCAGCTGATGTCGTCTCGTCTCGTCTCATCTTTTCCTGTCTTTCCAGCCCAGTCAACTTACCTTCCTACAACAAGGTCAAGCTGTTCAATTCCACTCGACATCACCCGACCATCCGGTCATCCCGACTCAAGATTCGACGACTTGAAGCTGCTACCCGACTCGCGACGTGTTATCCAGAATCACTCGCCAAGCGGTTGACGCAAAACAGCACACAGCCACCTATACTCTGAACCTGATTCAGGTTTCCTCCCTTTTGTTCCCTCCACGACTCGCAAAGCGGTGAGTTACCATTCTTGGCAGAAGCCATTCCATAGTCTTCACGCCTGGTCTTTGCTCTGTCCAAAAACAGTAACATGGAAATTCGGTATCACAGAACTGCCTCCATCTCTCAGACCCTCACTCGTCCGGCCACTTCATCTGAAGCGATGCCGTACCCCGGTGCCCCCGAGCCTTGCGCTGAATACCGAAGTGCTTAGCAACTTCTAATCCTTCCCATCTCTTCTTTTATCCGCCGACTTTCCTACTAGCCTTCTTTGATGACCCCTCATCTTGTTCGAGTTAAACGAAGACATCGGGCTGTTTCGTCAAACGGTTAAACTCTGCCCTCGAGTGATGAACGGTGTGACACGAAACCAAAATTTAAACCTCAACTCTCTTATTTGACAATCGACGGCATCGAAATCCGTTGCTCTTAGCGTCCGCGGAATTAAAGCTCAGTCCGAACTCCCGTATCCGAGCGCGCGCGCATTCATCCAATGAAGCCAAGAAAGCAAGAAAGTAACAAAGCCGAAAAACCTCAACAAACCGAGTCGTGTTGTGACAAGATAAACCAGAGTGTCTCTTCCTCAACTCTTGCTGCGCCTACTTCCCATCTTGAACGGAGGGAAAAGACCTTGGGCTTCAGATGAAGACACCCCTGCCTATCCATTCCTTCCAGAATATTCGCGAATCCGACTTGACATGCCCAGCCAAACCCCCAAGAACCCCCAAGAACTCCCTTCAGCCAGCAATGGCCCCGTTCTCAACGGTCTACAATCATGCAAACTCACGAACGCTCAGCTTAAGCCCAAAGTCCACGTTCGACCATCAACTAAAACCGGGCTCGGCACCAACAGGCCGGCCATACCTCCCCCCCCCCCCCCCCCCAAAAGAAAAGTACTCGCGTAAAGCTAGCCACACCACCCAACACCCCGGATCCCTGTCCCCGCCTCTCGATGCATTAGCGCACGTCAGCCATCGATCATCAGCCTGGCTCCCCCTCGGCAGATCCAGCAGCATGAACGGCGGCGCCATTTTGGGTTCCTTGGTGCCGCTGCACATCTTTCATCTAGATAACCTCTCCCCCTCTCGCATGACAACTGCCTCACCATCTTCGCACACCGAGTCTACCAAGTCAGGCCGAATCACATCGTGAGAATCATGAGTGTTTGGTAGCGTTGGTTAAGTCTATTCTTCGTTTCCTCATCAGCGATATACCGCCAGATTGAGCCTACCAAGCGCCAAGCAATGTGACGACGATTCACGGGGCCCAGAGACGAAAAGGATACTACATACAAGAAGGACAAAGTTTGGCTGGTATATATATAGAATAGCTTCGCCCCCAATCTCTGGCCCAACGTTGCATTCCGAGGCCTCACGCATAGCGGACCTCGTTGAAGAGCGCCGCGCGCACCTGGATCAGGGCTGCGAGCTCAAACAGGAACGATTGTAGCACAATGACATTGGTGATGACATGCGACACCGTAGCCTTCTTCTCCTCCTTCTCCGTGCCCCTCTTTGGTGTACCTGCTTCGGCAGTCTCACCGCTAGGCGTCTCCGGCACGGCATCATGTTCTGGCTCCTCTTCGTCTTGGCCACCCTCTTGCTGTTCGTCTCCGCCCTCGTCATCGTCTTTCGGTGGCGGCATGTGTAAAGTAGGCTTCTTCTTTCCGAGATCCAGTGGAATGGGCTCAATCTTGCCGGGGATACCCACTTTCCGCGCAAGAATGCTCTGATCTATAGCTGCAAACGCCGCGGCCTGGCTGGCCACTGGATCTCTAGGAGTGTGCGACAAGCCGGCCTCATCTGTCGCACTTCGGCCAGAGGTATCGTAGCTACTAGGCGTATCTTTGGGCGGGGGAACAGGCCGAGACGTTGGCGTGGAGAATCCATACCCACCCGACATAACACCTGGTGCCGGGCTACCCGTTCCGGAACTTCGGCTGTTCTTCCTGCCCCGCGGGCTTCCAGTACGGCTGGGCGTGCTCAGCTCCGACACCAAGCGCTGGGCAAATCGTTCGAGACCCGATGGTCGCGCTGGTGATCCACTACGGGTTGTGTCGTCTAGACTGGAACGTTCCGGGGTGTGCGTTGAACTATGCCTCTGCGGTGTTGGCTTGCGGGGTGGCAATGGCGGACCAGGCGGGCGCGGCTCGTCTGCAGTCTGGAACGCCTCTCTTCTTCCTTGCAGTAGGTCCTCAAAGCGGGGCACAGTCTCGCGATACTTGGTTACCTGGTTGCACAATTGCTGTAGGACGACTAGTATGCGAGGAAGAGATGACTGTACCCATACTGGACGACGACGGCAGACATCCAACGATTCAAGGGTCTGCTTTTCCTCTGATGTCGTAGACTCAGGGTCTGTCGGGGGCCTGAACGAAGTGGTCGATGCGTCGGGTGAGGTAGGGCTGGGTGGCTGCTCTTCATAGGTGTACTTTTGAGGGCTCCGCAGCATCCATCCTTCGGGCGCCATGTAGCCACAAATGGCCAGGTCCAAGATGGCCTCGGTAAGGGAGAGATTTGTGTCGACGGGGTTCACAAAGAACGTCTCGAGGAGATCCAAAACCGAGTTGAGCAGCGGGTCGTCCGGGCGAAGCGTGTGCTCGTGCACGTCGCGTGGCGCCCCAGGCAGTGTATCAGGAACAGCGGGCAAGTCATGGTTGTTGGTGGATATTTTGGGTGCGACGAGCTTGAGGGAGCAGGGATGACTCTCCAACCGGGACATGGTATCCTTCAGGACGTTATCATAGATTTCGTCAAAGTTGTCCTGCCCTCCGATGGACCCAGCCAGACTCATCAAGTAGTCCACCTCCTGCTCATGGGCACCGACAGTCCGGTGCATTCTTGCTCCCAACACCGCTTCAGTGCGGAGAAGGGTGCCGATGGCATACCGGTGATGTCTCCGCAGAATAGCCGAGATCAGCTGGAGAGTCACGCGAATGGTCTGCTGATTATGTGAGCGTAGACACGCTTGAGCGAGATCAACCAGATTGAAAAGCAAGGGAGTGGCCGCGATATCGGATTTGGTTTGTGCGAGCATAGTCGCGAGGTCCATTGACTTGCGCTTGCGGGCAGCGCTGATGGAGGCTCGGGAACCTGACATGTCTTCGGTAACATGGTCAGGCAAACCGAGCAGATAATGGAGGATAAGGTTGATCATGTCGGGGTGGTCGAGAGATTCAAGGATCCGCCGGAGGTACGTCAGAACAGCTACAGATGAGCCTCCGTCTATGTCGGACGACTCTAGTAAAGAGGGGTATCTGAAGAATGAGTATGAGATGGTTGCCGCAAATCTCCAAGTGGGTGATCTTACAAGAGTTGCTGGAGGAAAATGACCTGGAAATGCTCCAGAAGCGTCTGTTTGACCTCGACCGACTTACAGTGATCCAGTACATCCTGCCAGAAGAGGAGATGAGAGAGGAAGGTCTCGAGGTGTAGTTGAAAGTCACCAGAACATGAGCTGATGATCTCAAAGGTCGAGGCCGGATGTTGGTAGTCGGAGAGAGCGAGAATGGGAGGCAGATCGTTGGTAGGATAGTCAATTACCAACTTGCGACTCAGCTGACTGTAGAGCGCACCTAGGCCGGTGGCCATGAGAGTGGAGAGGTCGCTTTCGACAATCCATTGCTCGAGGGACTCGTCACTCGATGCAGACTCGATGATGTACAGTAGACCTGTCCTGGCAAAGTCCCCAACCTTGCCCTCGTGATGAATGTAGTCCATCAAAATGTAGAATAACGGGAAGTCCTGTCTCTGCGTTCGACCAGCAAATGCATCATGCCCGTCCTGAGGCTTGTCCTTGGAATTCCCATCGTGATGGCTCTTGAACCAGGCATGCAGTATGTCCCGATTGAGGCGGATCTTGGTGGTGATATTAAAAGCCAACTCGACAACCTTGGCCTCAGTATCAGAGCCTAACCGCACACTGTTGACGCCGGTGATGCGCACCAAAAGGTTCGTCAAGCTGGCGGAGAAGGTTGTGTTTTCGACAAATGCCTCCTCTTCCGTCTCGAGCAGGGTTGCGAAGAAGAGCACGGCTTCTTTGATGATCCACTCATTGTAGGAGGTGGTGGCTATCTTGCCAATGGGTACGTAGACTTGTTTCTTGGCAGCATACTGGATGCACGGGTGAGGAAGAGGTCGTCGGGACTCGTCGTTTAGGATGTTTGTCAGTTCTTGGAGGCGGATTTCGAGATTCTCGGCGGCATCGACGTCGTTGGCGAGGTTGGAAGAAGATCTCCAGATTTGCTGTCACGTGTTAAGACCAGGGCCTGGCCGGCGGCGCAGGGGAAGCTTCTCACGAGGATCCGGTTGTACTCCTTGTCGAAGCGATGCAGACGTTTCGTAGGGTTCTTTGCTTCTTCTTTGCGATGGGCCGCGGGGGACAGCGAAGTGCCGGCTAAGAGGCGCGACCACTAGAGGGAGAGACGGAACTTGGTCAGGAATAGAGTTTCTTGGTGCCCAAGCCCGAGGGGGGAAGGGAGGGGAGTATCTGGGGTAGCTCACAAAGTCCATGGTGTTGTCCCTGAAGGCATCTCCAGCAGGGCGGAAGAAGGGATTATTCGCGCATCAAGCTCAGTGAGGAAAGGTCGGCTGGTGAGAGGGGTAGCAGTAAGGAGGAGGCGATTGACAATGGTGGCCAAGGTGAGACCAGGTCGTTTAGGGGAGGACTGGCGAGAAATGGAGACGGAGCTTCGGTGCATAAACTGTCAAGTGTCAGGCGTCGCGAAATGTCATTCCGAGACTTGACCGCGTCCGCTGCCTGCACGTTGGTGGGAGATCGGTACGTATCCTCTCATGCAGCCTGCCCACGTTGCACAACCTAATGGAACCCGGCCCGACACACGGCCTCCAGCCTCCAGGGCACTCCGATAGGGGATGTGGCGGTGCGGCGGGTGGTCTAATCTGATCAGAAGTTGTGGCTGATGAACAACAGCCATTTCTCAACATATTCTCATTGTCGCCCGATATTACGATTATTTCATCACTTTTGAGATCTAATTTACTTGCAATTCAATTTCATTGTGCAAGCCAAGTGGGTATGAACGCATCATCGCCATCGCCCGCTGTTGCTTCCCTGAATGGCTGAATTTCCTGCTCCGTCATTTTGAGCTCTGATCCCAGTCTGTATGTTCCCAAGTTAGCTCTGCAGTCTCTCCGAGTAGCTAGTTTGGTTTTTCTACTAGTGTCGTGGTCTTGAACATATCCAACGACATGAAAGATCACTGTGTCGGTGTACCTCGGCCCTTGGGTTACATTTGACTTGATTCAGGTGAGATAAGGGGCCACAAGATCGGGCGGCGGCATCGGGGCAAGCCAGTCTATCACCTTTGCACGCCGCAGCCATCTTTGAGAGGGAAACGTCCCCACAGGCATGATTTCGGGTGATGGACTAGTTTGCTTTAAATTGTGCAGATGGGAACCATTTCCCAAACGGTTGTATATCGACTTTTCTAAAATGCAGCCCAGGACCTGGGGGATGATTTTGAAAGACGAAATCGCTTACATCGAAAAACTCGCTACTCGGAAAAAGGTTCCGTTCAACCCAGAGGCTTTCCATTATGAGGAGGGCACGCTTATGAGCGAAGATGCCCATGATCCTGACGGGACGAAAAGGCTCCGTGAAGTTATTCCCCTCCTCATGTCCTGCAACATCTTTCCGAAAGTGGAAGAGCTTGCATGCGAAAAATCTATCCTCTATCTGGTTAAAGATTCTGCAGCTATGCCGCTCAACATAGCTCCCTCTCTGGCAATTAGAGGCATGCGTATGCCCGTATCCGTTCAGTGGAACATTGCCCCCCGGCTATCCCATATCCTGCCGACGAAACATCTGTTACTCGAGGGTGATCTTGGTGAGTTTCCCACCCAAGAAGGTGAAGGCCTCGAGAGCTATTCGGACATTACCTTCAACAAGGTACACATGAGCGAAATTAAGATCATCGATTTCAGCTCAGCCAAACTTTCAGCTTTAAGATACATTGGCGAGGACTGTCACCTGTTCGGCCCTGCTTGGATGGATCCACTGCCAGGGATTCTTTCTAATCTCCAATCATCCCGGGCAGAGTCTTTGGAGACATTGTGTCTTGCCTTCTCCAGACCTACACTGGGATATACAGGGGGGCCGAAGCTTCCTTCGCTGGGTGGGCTAACAAAGTTGAAGAACCTCTGGATTGAGTTGGGATCTCCTGGCGAGAATTGGAGTCTCCCGAGATGGGATTTTGCAAAAGTCATGGTTTTTTGGCTGAAAGACTCTCCACGCCAGACAATCCGCTGCGAAACGATTACCCGCCAAATGTGACTCACCTTCGCATCACAGGTCTCCGACAGGACGTTGAGTTCTGGGTTGATTATATGAACAACCCAAACCGGTCGGCGTGGCCAGATTTGAAGCGTTTTGGCATCAAGGACCATACATCACTGGGACAATACGAGCAGAATCTCAAGGGAAAAGGCATTCAACTCTATCTTGTAGACAAAGATGATGACATCAAGGTCTGGGGAATCAACGGCCCATTCGAAAACTCAGCCTTCAATTTTGCAGAAATTCTTAATAGTGACTATTAACTCTTTCCGTTTTTGGGAATGTAAACGCGAAACGACCATACTCCGTCATTGCTTCCATTGCCGGGAAAATAATATCGCTCATACACCCATAAATTTACGTCATTCTTTATCCCTCTCCACTATAAGAATGGAGTAGCTCAACAGTTAGGACTATTTCTGGGGCGGAAGGTAGAATATGGTCTATAGGAGTGACCTAGTCATCACAGTCGCTTCAGACGGCATGCTCAGTATTGTCAAGATACCATAGATATTCGCATCACCTCCAATGCAAATAGCCATCAATATAAGTTATCAAGTCCACCACCCATCTTAACTCATGAGACTGCCCTTAATGATAGCGTGTTGGATGGTGATAAAACTACCTTACTCTGATACACTGCCTTGAATTCGAGATTCCTTCTTTTCGTCTCGAACTTCTACGAATCCTAGTCTTGCGGGTCCCATATATTCTCATCTAGGACGTTCCTACCTCACCAGCCTCCGTTAACCTTATTTGTAAAGCGCAATTCAAACTTCCTGTCCGCAATGTTGGGGTAACTTATTTCCCCGTATCCTCTAACCTATAACTCAAGGGCCAAGTCCCCATTTTCGAAGCAACTTAGTCCAGATTAAAACTGAAGGATCTCGAGATAACTGGCATTTTCGGATCCGGCCGAGGATTCAAAGCTCTACAACCTTTTCGATGGCCAGAATATCAGATTTTAACCTTTATTGATGGAGCGTGATATTGGGAACATGATAGAACGGAATATGAATGTCTGATAACTTTCACCGACAGGCTATGTAGCATGCCTTTACTTTCGCCAGTACCCAATACCTAGGGTTTTTATTTCTTGTATGTTACATATAGATAGTATGCCTCAGTCTTGATATTTCTCCTTTCTCCTCAAGGTGTAACAGCACTGGTTTGACCACGTTCCTAAATCACGTAGAGGACTGCCTTATCGGCGGTAATCAATCATTCAAAGTGATGCTTCCATTCTCATTGTTGTCTTCTTAGAAAGCCCCAGCAAGAACCTGTCACCCGAGTATCACACGTGATAAGCTTTTGAAATAATAAAAGGACTACATGATTTTCTGTGTGGTTCCACAGCGCCATTTGAATGCTGATGAATGAATCACGCATCTTTAAAGTCATAGCCTTGCAGAACAGCGCTGCAGGATCTATCAAAGAGCGAGTGAAAAGGAGAGCAAGAAACATCCTAAGTATTCGATTGAATTGCGAACCTGATTAGCGGCTTGGCAGTCTGCTTATGAGAGGAGGCTCCAGTCATCATGATGTTCTTCATCTTTTGTCCAGAATGGGGCAGGCCACGAGGCCAGCCTTCACCAAACGATCTAATCCCAGTCTCAACCTTCGCTCGCATATGAAATCCATCTCTCATTATCAAGTATGGGGCATGTATATGTCATCCAAATATTCTCTCTTCCTTCAACCTATGTCGTCCACTCCGGCGCGCTCTCGGGCATTCAACACGCCTTCCCGCCCCCGCTCCAAGCTTTTGACTCTCAGCAAGCCTGCCACAGTTATTCTACCCAAACACCTAAGACTGCTCCTCAGTTTGTCGCCAACTTACCCTTTATCAAATATCCCAAACCTTCTCAACGATGTCATCGTACTGCGAAATCTTTGTGGATTTGATCAGCTCAGCTACAGTTCCCAGCCGCGACAAAGAACATCTAGACATTTCTGGGCCCTGCATGAGAGCACCTTCGAAAATCCTGACTGGACAACAGAAACCGAAAGGATCATCAGTGAGGGCAGCCTTGCACAGCCAGCTGTATTGGAGTAATTCCGAGCAATCTCCGTCAACGGCGGACGCTTGGGTGATCTACTCGATCTTTTGAATTGGTTCTCGTCCAACCCGCCTTTTGCCGATGCCGTCATACAACTGTACGTCAGATTTGACGAATTTAACGAAGATATTTCTGAGGAAGATGCTCTCCAGATTGAACGTTGCATCCCCCAGGCAGAGATTGTCGACGGCCAATCCCGAAAGAGCAACGAGAGTAGATGTCCTGCGGAGTCTCCTCAGGTCAGGTGAATCAGTTTAGTCATTGGGCTTTTGTTATCAACCTTGAAGAATCTCAATCAAGTTGGTTTCGACAAGAGACGTTTCTTCGAGGTCACGAATTATCCCGCCGCTCAACCCCTGCCTTTTGTGCAAGCCTCCTCTCTCGCTCTATTTGAGGATCCCGACTCCCTCGTATCGCTGTCATGGCAAACAATTCTCAGGTCATACCAGCAACCAGTAACGCACTTATTTGTGCACGGAAAAAATCCGACCTCGCCGCCCATGGCACAAGAATTGCACACAAAGGCCTGGAGGAAGTCACAGATATCACTTTCGACAATTTTTTCATGGAAATGGATGGCATGCCCAGTCTCAGTCAGATCGACCTCATAGATAAGGCTATGGTGGATAAACTTGGTGGACTGTTCACGGAAGAGGGAGTCAATCTAACACACCAATACAAGCCGCATTGTGCTTCTTGGGACGCCAAATAGCAATTTATGATGATGGCGATGGCCACGCATGGCACCAATAAAGGATCACTGAAACAAAGACTATCAAAGTAGGCATATTCGGCTCAAACCTAAGTGCCCGAACAACTGACCACAATCACAAATTCGGTGCCTTCTGCGTCATGGATACATCTGGAACTTCTGTCACTGTGAAAAGGTCTAGTCTATTTACTATGCGTAGCTTTCTGTTTCTTTCATCGTGGATGTTGGCCGAAAGAAAAGACACCTGAAGTCGAGATCGCCATGTCTGCCTAGAAAAGCCATGCGGGTACACGCTACCCAAAAGACTCAGTTTAGCTTCAACACGAAGAAGATGCAATTTGACATGAATCCAGTGAGCAATGGTCGCAAGGCTCTTTTCTGAAGTTTCGATCAAAGTTGATAACGATCAAAGTCAGTGATGAGAATAGCATATAAATAAGAGATTGTAGGGCCCTTAGACAGTGACCTTTCCTGCCCGGTGTTCCTGCTGACCCCACAAGCTGCTCGGTGCATAGCCCAAAGAGATCAGAGTTGTATGTCAACCTCCATATACTGCGCCGTAGTCCTTGACGATCTCCTGGCAGTAGGAATCGAACTGGACGTTCCACTCTTGAATGCGTTGGCCTTTGGTCCCCTCTCCTACTTCACCAAGGTCGATATCCAACTCCCATTGCTTGTCATTTTGGTCTTCAAAATTAGACCACCGCAGGCTGTTTTGTGCAAGAGCACCCTGTCATGATGTGTTAGCAACGGAAAACCATCGGAGCCAGTTAAGGGGAGCATACCAGCCCGGCGAGGCCAACATTATCGAACCCTTGAATGACCTGATAGAAGTCATAGCTCAGCCCTGCAGCGTCCTGTCCTAGCATTGCAGGATCATCGTTGCTGATAGCCGTTGTGACACCGTGTGCGATCATAGCTGGCAAGGGGTGATGCAGGATATCCGTAGCCAGCTGAAGAACCTCGTTGGAAATAGGGCAAACCTCAACCATAATGTTGTTCTTCTTCACAGCATGGATCAATTCGGGATGTTTGTACAGAGAGAAACCGTGGCCAATCCTTCGTGTTCCCAAGAGAACGGCGTCAAACAGATTCAGATCGGTCGAGTTACCATCGCCGAGTGTTTCTCCGGCATGGAAAAAGAAAGGCATCGTGAGGTTTTTCTCTTTGGCCTCCTGCTGGAACCACAGTAGCTCCGGCGCAAGGTCGAGCAATGTGCGGCCCAGATCTTCTTGTGAAACTAGATCGTATCCACTGAACAGTTTTGAAAAGTTACCCTTCATCTCCAACGCACTCTTCATACCTGCGCAATCAAAATTAGCTTCTTTACTGATTGCAGGAAGAGTTTCTTCTTCGACGAAAGTTTAACACACTTGCTAGAATATCATCTGTCGATTTAGATCGCTGGTCTGCCCAGATAACCCTGGCACCGTAAAAGGGAGCTAGGGTAGCGTCCTGTTGTAGGGTAATATTGTTGTGCTGGGCCCTGAAGTAATCAAGCTCTTCTTCCATAAGTCTCCACCACTTCCAACCGTTGTTATCGTCAGAAGCTGACGCTCCAGACCGAACCAGCTTGCCGGTCGAGCCTCCAGAACGAATTTCAACCCAGCTTATCCTATCTCTCGCGAGTTCATCAAAGAGATTCCTCCAAAACCTTCGTACGACGGGCTCATAAGTTAGCATGGTCCCTGCGGTACCAAACAAGGGCTGAAATCGACGCCAAATCTCGTCGACGCCCAATTCGTGCTGTATCGCTACGTCGGGAGCAAGCACCAACTTGCTCATGATGAACTCGCGGAACGCAGCCTCTCCTCCAGGGAACTGCTCAATGGCCGTCTTAACAGTCACGACCTGGCCTGTGTAATTTGCGGAGGCGATGTTGGCCCACTGGCTGACGGTGGCAGTATTCGGCGGCAAGAATGTAGGTTGAGATGCGAGGCGACCTTCCGCGGTGCCCACGGTCTTTGTAGTCGTGAACAACATGCCTTCCTCAGAGATGACGGAAGAGTACAACGTGCTATATGGGAGCATGGCTGAGAGATGCGCATGAAGTAGCGCGCCTTTTGGCATGCGCTGGACGACTTTCCACAATGTTGTGTTTGCGATCTTTGGGCGGGCCAAGGCGAACATCTCGCCAGCGAAGCTGCCGTTGTTCAAGTTCCAGACTGTTTTCATCTCGTGCTGCCGGATATCTTGGACGATTCTGTCTGCGTGGACGCAGTCTGTAGACAGACTCTCCCTAAATTTGGCATCTGTTTCGTGTCACTTAAAAGGCTCTTTGATAAACACGACATCGTATTGAACGTACCTTGTCGCTCAGTCTTCTCCAATGCAATCATTAGATCTCTTGCTCGATGATGCTGGTCAATGATGAAGCCTGTCTTTTGGAATTGAGCTCTTTCCTGGAGCTCATCTCTCTCCAGGAGGGGGTGAGATGCCGCCAGGGCAGAAAGAAGAAAAGCCGTAAAAAGACGTGATAGATTCATGATAGACTAAAGATTCTAAGGGAACTCGAGTGCTGCCTACCCGAGGTGAGGTTGAAAAGATTCAGAGAAGATCTCTCGAAGGTTATTTTATAGATCTCCCTCTCAGTCCCACAGGTGAGGCTTGAGACAATTCTTGATCCCCCGTTCTGAACACGGAACGGTTCACACTGAACGGGAACCACCGTGTCACGGGCCGGTCCTACCTTTTCTCAAAAGTCGTGCCATTCTCTGTAGCTCGCCTGCTTAGTGCAACTCTAATCTCCTGAGTCCAATCTGCCATGCATCGGACCGCTTGACTGGTGCAGCTCTGTAGGCCCATCGCATTCTGCTGTACAGATTCTCATCCGTCGATGCATATTTCAGCCGTACCACAAATCCAATGTTCGACTAAGACAAAGCCGAAATTTAACATGTCTCGGTCACTAGGTCCTTATTCGGCCAACAACATTCCGAGACGAAGTATTCCTGCGGGGAAAACAGGACGCTTTCGGTGAGGGCTTGCCATTGTAGAGCTGAGACTCCCTTTTCTACTACATTCCTCGCGGAAAAGCACGAGGCTTGTTGTCGGTGTCAGACGTTTTGAGAACCGGTACTACGGTTCCTAGCGGATTAAGCGCTCGCCGAACCATGCGCTGCCTTGCACCTACAAGGCTTATATTATATTCTCAACTATGGTAGTTTACCCGTCCCTTTTCTGTTGGAGTTTGCAGTGCGCTGCTTGGTGCCGAATGCCCCTGTTCCTAGCCGAGTTGCCCTTCGTTATTCGGCCAGTGACGATCGATACAGGTACAGTAAGGAAGATCAGGGTCAAGGCCATGATATGAGAGAACTCAAAGCTCGTAATGGCTTCATATCTTATTTACCCAGACGAAATGACCTACAGGTCAGATACCAGACTTGCTGAGTCCCGGATCCGGAGCGTCTATCATGCTAAGCACGGAACGCTTCGTTTCTAAGCTAGCGCTTGAGACATGCCGAACGCGGTACAATAACCTTTCACGTGGAACATATGATTCACAATTTTTGATACTGTATTCGAACGACGCCTCAAGATGCTATGGTAATCCCTATCAAACAGCCCCTCAGTATGCGAAACTCAATATAGGATCGCGTATTGCAACGGAGATAAATCAAAGATTGATACATACCATACCTTAGGAAAGTCGCGGTCAGATAAGAAGAGCTTCCAGTAGATTAGAGAACGAGTGATGTACTCAGGTCTTTCGATACGAGATGCAAATCACATGCAGAGGGGGAACATAGCATGCTGGCCTCGCGGCTTTACGGATAATTAAGGTAAGTGTTTAAGCTTATTGCCTCGCATTTAGATTCAGTAATCGATTCCATCAATCAAGTATCCATTAGATTCGGGGGTGAGACCTCCGGATGTTGCCACCGTATGTAGCTCGTAATTACTCAGGTAAGGTAATTTGGTATCTTCGGAAAATAGTAATAGCTGTCAAGACCTCAGGAGAGGTGCTTGTTCATAGACTAATTTATTAATCTCATTATCAATCACCATGGATCCCGTCTCACATACCCGAAGCAGATTCGGCACTTTCTCGGGACCACAAGAATATGTGGTGTCAATGACACTGGAGACCCTCGATACGCTTGACTTCAAAGGCTTCTTTGTCTTTTTCCAACATTGAACGGCTGCGTTAGCCGGCAATATTCACACGATCAGTCAGTCAAGGCAATGATCCAGGCATCAGATATTAAAGCACAAGATGAGAGAGGACATCCACTGCAGTCTTTCACCTTCCCGTGACTCAATTTTCCATCGTCGGCAAACAGCCACCCCTTCCACCGTCAAACCTCAAAATTTTCTGCCTTGAATTTTCGCAAAACTTGCTTTAGCGTTATTTTTATACGCGATTTTCTTGATATTCCCGCGTTCAATACCATGCGTGGGATAGCTTACGAGCTATGATCCGTCAGGTCCAGTATTCCTATAGAGACAGCAACAATTTGCTCGACTCAACATCCCTCGACCTCAAACCAAACAGCATTTTTTAGGCTAGAAGTACAACCTTTGGTTGTATGATAAAGGAAGTCAGACACAAGGGCTTCCAACCGCGCCAAGCATGCAAGGCCAGCTTGGTATGATGTCACGAGATGAGCAGCGCGTGAAAAAACGAACCCAATTAAAGGGCCTCTCAGTCCGGCCCCCCCAAGCGTTCGCGATCACTCGTTCATACTTCAAGTTTCCCACGTCTGTGCATTAACTCAAGCCACCATGAGGCTCCTCGGCATTCTTCCCATATTAGTATCAGCGGCAAGTTCGCTCAACTTGGAACCCAACTACACCTCCCCTGCAGGGGTTGAGATCTTTAATCCCTCAGTGCTATTCCCACCCACCGGGCCGTGGAGTCTGATGTCAAAGGCAGGAAACACTGTCTATGTCGCCGGTACATAGTCCCATGCTTCGAATCACTTGTCTGATCCACTGACAAATGCGTGGTCGCAGGCATGCGCGGCATTTACCCATCCAACAATACCCTTGCTCCGGTGGGTATTGACCGGATCCGCCAAGCTTACGGCAACATGATCCAACTTGCCGAGCTTGCTGGCACGGATCGGTTTTCGGCAGTGCGTCTTATTGTCTACACGACCGACATGTATCGCTATAGGCCTTTATGCAACCAGGCACAGACAGAGCTTTGGGGAAACGACCCTAATAGACATCCTCCTAGATCGATCATTGAGGTGCAGAGGCTAAATGACGATGACATTGTGGAGGTAGAAGGAACGTTCCTGGTCACCTCTGACTAAATGCGTTCTTGGACTCCATACACCGACATCCGCAAGGGAGCTAAGGGGGGCTTACATCGATCAGAGGATATAGATTGGCAAAACATTTCACACCGTCTGGTCTGAGAATACTTACGTGAAGAAAAGGCTATCTGTATTATATCTGGGTACTGCCATTATCCTCCATTCTCTATATAATTATCCTTCGAAGCATATCGAGGCTCTCGGATTGTCGTTTTGCTGGAGCTCAGATCACCACCTACGCAGATTGTTTCACAGGTCGTGAGCATCTTCACGCCGCTTATTTGCCGTACGGTAGGGTTTCTTTGCTACCTTGCCCAAACCACATTGAGTCCCATTGAGTATGGCCCACATGTTCTTCAACCAGCTCGTCGTTTTGGTACTTTTTGAGTTTCATCCCGCCGGCAAAACGGAGATACCAACCCCCGCCCATCTGCTGGCGCATTGTAGTTTCTTCTCTGAAATACTCAATGGAGAAGACAGTCCCGTCGTTCCGGTATCCAAACCGGAGCGTGTCGGCAACAGGGCGGTCAACTTTGTCATCAATTTCGATACCGTCTGCGGTGAAGCTGACCTTGGAAGCGTCATCAGCCACGACAGTGTCCCCGTTCTGGACCATAAAGGTCTTGATCATAGGTGAGCCATGCTTTTCGGAGAACATGTTTGCGGAGGAGATGACGGTGTATGGCCCCAGGGTTCCTCGGCCCCAATACCAGTGGTTGATCGTCTCAGTGAGCGGTGCGTTGCCCCAGTTCTTGTCGTGGTATCCATCGCCCTCTACCGTGACTGGGGACTCGCCAGCAATGGTATAAGTAGCGGTGACTTTTCCTTGGGGCACCGCAACGAACCAATCAAAATACTCGTCCTCCTTCGACCACACGCATCCTTGACCAGGGCGCCAGGGCGAGGTCGTGCTGGTCATTCGAATGTCGATGTCGAGGCTTTCCACAGCAACACGAATGTGATAGGCCTTGAGCCCCGTGCCGCGAAAGAAGTTGACACCGCTCTCATTGGCAATGGTGACATCGCACTCGACCCTACTGGAACGGAAGTCGCTTGGATCATAGGCTTGCAACATATTCCAGACTCGGCCATCGGGTGTCTCGAGCTGGACCTGGATCTTTGGTTCCAGTCCGACTTGCGGGCTGGTGAAGAGCTTTGTGTGAAACACGACCATGAGTTTTCCGCCGTTTGCCAAATGCGAGTCGAAGTACCACCATTCGAATACACCGGATTGAGAAGGGTCGGTTCTCAGAGAGTCCTCCCACTCTTCAACCTTGGTCGTTGAAAGGGAGTGTTCGGGATGTTGTTCATGGGCGGAGACCGAAGAGAGCGACATGATTTCTCAGCCCTATTAGATGAAACGTTGATGGATGAGATAGAAACCAGATGACACAAATTTCTTCTTTAGGCATGAGTTGATCAAAACCTCATTGCTGTTCTGGGTCATACCGGTTTTATATATGCGCCATGCATCGCTAGCTACGGGCATACGGAGGCATAGAGGTCCGGCATATCTATCATCTCTCCAGTTATTAAGGTTTCTTTCAAACTCTGTCGCCAGTAGTAGTAGCTCAATGCTGCTTTTCGAACCTAGAACTTGGCTTGCTAATTAATAATCACTCAACCGCAGTTGAGCTTGCGGATTTTACGGCCTGTTAAACCCGTCTTCGGGAAGTGGGAGTACTCGCTTGAAGGTGTTAACATACTTTCTGGGCTTTATACTGGGAAGCAGATGCCAAAAGCAACTCAGTAGTATTGACGTTGCAAAGCTCATCTGAGGAGAGTTGAGATGCTGCTTGCTGTAAGGTAGCAGTCTTAGGAGGAAAGCTATATCTGGGTTTATTGCCACCTTCCTCGCCGTTCAAACGCGGCGGCATTGGCGACGTCGTGAGTTTTTGAAGGAGTCAATTGTATTTCTAAATAGAAGCTAATATACAAATGGCGTACCTACTGGCAAAGATTGATGTTTTTCAGCTGCGATGCTGCGCCTTACACAACCCCATATCCATACCTTGAGGAAGACCAGTAGGGGAATAATAGTCTTTCTTCAGTGCTTGAGCAGATATCGACAACCTGGTATACTACCGATGGCTTTTCAATGCAGGCTTAAGTAATGAATATGGAATCAATTCCTATAACATTCGATGTTGATTTGAAAGAAGTGGAAGAACTGGAAGTGCAGTAGTAATGCCTAGAGTAGCGATCGTCCCAATATCGGCGGCGAGGTAGGAGGCAATATAACTTGAACTATGGTCGATCCTGCCTTCGAATTAAGATAAGGCTCCTTAGTAGTCAGTCTTACAGATCCATATGGTGGCTACATTAAGTACTGAGACGTAAGAAATATGCTCTCTTCCAGCACTGGAGATGGTGGAATGGTATTGATGTGCCAAACAAAAGCTCTTGCTCGGTCTTACTGTCCCGCACACCGAAGACATTCACCAAAATACACGAAAATATCGACCAGAATATTCAAGTACCTATGCCCTGGTGGGGTGGCTGCTGTGGTTTTCTCGAAGTGAATATACTGAATATTTCACCTTTCAGGTTGGCACTAGAAAGTATTCAGGCCGATTTTGACCTTCAATGTGGTACTAATTTTCCGGCGGCAGACACGATGTTGGCCGCGTTCCTCCTTTCTTCTTGCCTTTATTCACCACTGCGTACTGTCCACGGTGGTCTTCGATGTTTTTCCCTCGTAACCTCCACCTCTCGACCCTTTGCTTCCTCCCTCTTGTTTACTCTCACCCTACCAGAAGTAGGTATTTCCGTCACCCTTGATTCATCTCTCTTATAGGTGGAAGTCGACCAACCCTAGTACAACTTTCTTGTGCTCTCCGACTTTCTTCCTGAATCATCGCATTGGCCTCTACTTCTGCGATTGCTTTTGCATCAACGCTCTTTGGCAGTTGGCCTCTAAGAGCACAGTCGATTATCTCTCAAGTACCTTACCCCAATCACCTCGTTCACTCACTTTTGTTCAGCCTAACAAATAACAACTGACCGACGTTTAGTACCCTTGACTCCGAAGAGAGTCAAATTTTCATAGCAGCTGCCAGCAACAATAGCAGTCCTTGACGATATCCCTCCAGGCATCATACTTCAACTATTTCCAGCACACTCGCTGCGCGAGGAGTTTACAAAAACGGAATCGGACACAGAGCTCGCGCAGGTGCTCCAGCCAGGCTGGCGCTCAGCATTTAACCTTTCACGCACCTGCAAGAAGTATCGTCGAATGCTTGCTTAAGACCTATATCGGAACGTCAGCACCCACGGATCCAATGGCACCCACAAACTCACGTCCTTTATTGACTATCTCATCAAGCATGAGGACATTTCTATGTGAGCCAGGCAGCTATATCTGTACCTGGACGCCAGCAACACAGGAATCGAGGACTTGACAGAAGCAGATCTGGATTGGAGTCACTGGGCGGCCGAACAATCGGAGTCTCCTTCACCCTACTATCTCTGGCGCTCGGCAGAAGGCAAGCCTCTCCAAATGTAGGAATTTTGACGCTTCAGAACTGGAATCTTGCACCTGGGCATCCTTCTCGAGATATTCCTTTCGCGTGTACAGGGACTACGTGAGCTAGGCCTCGCAGTGCCAGGTGGCCCATTTTGCGACCAGTACGGTTCAAGTCCCAGAATCGAAATTGGTGGTTTTTTTATGGACAGGAGAGTTGGGCCCTTCAGATCTGGCCGAGTTCCGGATCTTTCGTGGTGTCCCACGGCCAATTCTGACCCTAGAGATGGTCGCTATTCGCCCTAGTGGTCTTTCAAAGACACATCGAGACACCAACCTCCCGCCAACGGATCTTGACCACTTACTTCACTTCTCGCCAAACGCCAGATCGATTTTCATTGCTAATCGGGATGAAGAACCTAGCTGTCCTCTCGACACATATTCGCAGTGGGCCAATATCGCCTGTCTCACCATCACCGAGACCTTTCCGGTTCAAGAGAAGGTTCGAAGCATGGTCGAAGGTTGCGCCTCCCTCGTTTTGCTCAAGTACCTGGACTCTAGGGGGGGCACATTCGTTCCACATTGGCCAGTGTCACCCAGGGAGATCATCACCATTCTCCGTGCGCACAAGAACACTCTTAACACCCTCCGCAGTCTCTCCCTCGATCTCAATGTCTGGTATCGAGGGGAGTTCAGGGCCATCAGGAGTCTATCAGACTTCAAGCACCTCTGGAATCTCTGGTTCGATGTCTCGAGCGTGTTGACGAGAATCAAGTATGGCTCCTCCAGTCGTTCAGATAAGCACAAGCGACTGACGCATAAACGTTTCACCTCTTTCCCTCGATCAATCAAGCATCTTTATCTCGCGGGCAATGAGCTCGGAGTTCGTTATAACATATACGAGGTGTTGCCGAATCGCGAGGAATATATCAAACTCAGAGAGGTCGAGATGGAGGAATTGGTTCAGAGATTGCCGGAACTATGGGATTCAGGCCTAGCGAACGAAGAAGATGATACGGACCAGAGCGATGTTGACGACTGATAGCGACGGTGATGAGGATCTCATCAATGGCGACGGCACTGACGACAATTCTGCTTCCTGGACTTTGAACAATGATGGTACCTAGGGCAGTCATAGCAATGGGTATAGCAGCCAGACCTAGGAGGAACACATCAGCGAGACGATTCAGGAGACCAGTCTCTCCTATCGAGACTGCTCCATCAGAGCTGGTATCGAGTCACTTAGCACCGTGTACATTCTTGGAGAGTTTTGGTAAAGGACTAGACCTTGCTTTAAGGAGAAGGAAACAATGGCGTTTTCGTAGCTGTGGATTTCCAGGCAGCATATATCATGGTGCAATTCTGGCTGAGATTGGAGGTCCGAGTCGAGGATCAAATGTTCATGTTAAAGAGTCAAGACCTACCTTACTCATGGACACCATAGAGCAATAGAGGCCTCTGGCAGATACGCAATTACTCAGGCCCATTCATAGCTACATACATGCCCAGCTTCACTTGACTTTGACAAAAATGACTTCATCGATCTGCAGAAGGAGATTCTCTCTTATCTGGAGCTGAAGGCCAACTAATCTAAGAGTAATCGTGGGCCTCTACTAGATGAAGATCAGGATCTGCTCAAGTCCAAGTACATGGAGCTTCAAAGGAAGATTCCTCTGGCAACAGAGTAATCGTGAAGCACCAACTGCAGGTAGCTATTGATATCACTACAAATAAAAGAGGCCGCACCATTCCTTTGGACAAAAGGATTGTGATTCTCAAGATCACATGGTTATACGGATTCTCACGCAAATCTCACGTTAAGAAAGAAAAAAAGAGAATTCTTTAATTACCTTGAAAAGTTTTCGAGTCGTTCTTTCCCGGAACGTGCTGCCTCCTGAGCGCTGCTTCCGGGTCATGAATTCGCCTGTGATCTTTATTTTCTTTCCCTGCCCAACTCACCTCTCCTTTTCCACCCACACAGCTCTTCTTTTCCTTCTCCTTCACATTAGCTGGCCTCTTCCGACTAACTCCTCTTCCTTTCAACTACCAGGATCTTTCCTTGTGCGCAGGAGAAACCCTTTCTCTCTCAAATAAGACAACGAAAAGAGCTTCGCCCTCCTCTCACTCTCCTGGCTCTTCCAGTATTTACTACTCGCCACTCGACACTTGCACTCCTCAGCGTCTTCAGTTGTCTCCGTAGCCAGCTTCTTGCGCGGTACATTCCCCGCGCCCTCATTTTTAAATCACTCGCAGTGCTAACAATTATTTGAGAAGGATTCTTGCTTGTGGGCTCACCTACCTCGAGTGATGCCTGTCTGGCTGCCACAATTACTTCCGATTCTTCACCTACTGCTCTAGTGGCTCACTTCAAGATGGCTGAGCTACGGAACCTCCCCCTTGAGACCATTTTACACATTGTCTCTTACCTTCGTCCCGACTACACTCCTGGCAAGGAGCTCCTCGACAAGTTCAAGAGTGATTGGCTCATCCAAAAGGAGCTTTGCGATCAACGTCGCGCACTTGCCTCCTTGGCATGCACATGCCGTCGTTACTACCACCTCCTTATACCTTTCCTATACGAATCTGTCAGCGTTCACTGCGGCGCCAGAGCCCCTCGGCAGTGGTTGTCGCTCATGAAGACCCTTTCACACAACAAAGACCTTTGTCGACTTGTCAAGCAGCTATACATCCACTTCGATAGCAATCATACGCTAGTGTCCCCTACTATCCGGGCCGATGCGTATGTCAGGGACATGGTCAAACTCGAGACTTGGCTGAAGAAGGTCTGTAAACCTAATGCGGACATCTCAAGCCCCTTTGAGGTGTCCTCTGCCTTGCTCTTCAACCTCGCTAGCAACACTCAAGATTTCACGCTCTCTGCATTTGGCTTGTCTCTCTCCGCAAGCTTAGATGCCATTCACGACGTGGACCAGATCCTTCCAAACCACCAAACAACTGAGTCAACATTTTCCTCCTTGAAATCAGTCTCTCTTAGGAAGGGTCATTGGGATCAGAGCAGTCATTGGACTGGATCTCATGAGAGGTGGTTAACCGCAAGGTTCATCACTAGAGCAAGGAACCTGCACGAGGCCCACCTAGTTCGCGCAGCTCTGGAGTTTCCCAATCCACCATCGACGAATCTGACAACACTCGCTCTGAGCAACTGTACAATATCACTTCCGATTCTTGCCAATGCTATCCGAGCCTGTCCTAAACTGGAGAAGTTCTTTTGGAAGAAGCAAAGGCGTTGGGACCTGCACCCACATACCATCCCGCCGTGGCTGATATTGGGGGCTCTGGGAATACGTCGTGCCACCCTCCGCACTCTGGTCATCGACTTTGACGGCGTCTGCGGTCGAGGAACGCAGGTCCCTGCAGTTGAGCTTAGCACCTTTACGAATCTAGAGGAAGCCTGGATTGACATCAGTGTCTTTGACAAGGACAGAGGCAACTACACAGACACGGAGTCTGACCCACTCAATCTGACTGTTGTGGAGGGCAGTCCTCTGATCCGAACTTTGCCGTCTTCCATCCGAAAGCTGCATCTGTCCGGCGCCATGACAAACTTCATCCACGAAGAGGTTCTGTGGCTGGTTAGGGCTGGTATGAACAAAACCCGACACATTCCCGAAGACTTCGCACTGGATGGAGGCTATCTAGATGGCGAGATATTCAAGTTGTACGATCACCTAAACAACGACCAGCATCTCCCCACAACCGTCTTGGACCTTCAGCCTTTCCTCTGGTGAGAGACTGCGCAGCGGAGAACAACGACAAAGGCGTATTTGGGACGGGCACAGAACGAAGGATGCAGTACAGGCTTGGCCATTCTCTAGGGTATGGATGGGAAGGAGAAACGAGAGGCAGGTACAATGCGTGGCTGATACAGGCGATGGACAAACCCGTCGTTTTTCTTTTCTTCTTTCTTCTTCTGAGAGTCGGGACAGACTCTAGGCTGAGGGGGGGTATCAGAGAACAAAGTGTGTCTTTGCCGAAGAGCATTTCCCCGGGAGTATTTTCATACTTCCGGTGTTGTTAGTGTATCATACTTTCGTCTATTCCGTTCCATCATGAACTTTCCTCATTGTTTTTTGTGAACATTATTTCAATCTTGCCCACGGAGTCCGCGTTTTTCATCAAATGCAATACAGTAGTACGATACCCCAAACTCGTCGACCCAGGATTCAGGCCCATTCCTTAACAACACTCCAGTACTGATCCACGTACCTTTGAGAGCATGGTATCAAGTTCGAATGTCTCCTCTCGTGTTCCGGGGCTGAGTCATCCAGCAGAAGTAGTGCTGTCCACTGTCTCTATGGGCAACCTCGGTCTTGTGGCTTGTACGTCTCAGGATGTGCTTCGCTCTCAAACACATCAGTAAGCCAAATCACTCTTTCCTATGAGTCCCGACTGGAATAAACATATTGGATGGGTGATGAGAGCATTTGGCGAAGATAGACTCGCTGCGATGGTCACTAGGGGACCCTGAGTTTTGGGGAGCTTGTTGGAAAGATGAAGATGCGATACAACGCTCACCAGCTGAACAGGAATGGGCCTGCACCTGAGCAGCTGTTCCAGTTGAGCAGGGGTTCTGCTATCAACCGTCCCATTGGTGAGGCCTTCGCCAAACAAACCCTGTCATCTGCAAGGATTGAAATCCTAGCAAAGAAATACGACCTTCAACAACTCACAGCAGCACCCTGCTGAAGCGCTGCTACTAATGTATTACCATCAAGGCTGAGCCAAGTGAGCGTTCACCGCGACGTCCGAGGGCTCGCAAGTACTTCTCTCGCTCACTGCAGCAGTCGCCATGCAAAGTTGGCAGTACAGGAGGGCTGAAGACACGAAAGGGTTCTAAACTCAACACTTCCGGCGGGCAGGGACCACCGACAAGGAGGGAGACAACACGAACGCACGATGGTCTGATACACGACTCGCGATACGCAGTTGGAAGTGAGGAGCCAACCACTTGGAAGCAACGGTGGGTAGGTCGCCAAGCTGCGGGGACTCATGTTGACCACGGAACGTCGACACATAAAAACTCGCAACTTTTCTTTGCATTAGAGAGCACCCTTGGAAGCTATGCCTGCTCCCAGTAATTGTCTTCTGACATCAACATCAGACGAACTTATGTTCTAAAATGTCAGATCTACCACGGCAGACTTCAGCAAGCCCCAGGGACGAATCGCGAGACTCGCCGGTAGCCCCCACAATCACTGGTGAACCTGTGGCTGCGACGATCGAGCCCGCTGTCGAGCAGGCGGCGATCGACGTCGATGATGGAGCAAGCGTATGTCTGCACATATTACTCATGTGGATTGATGAGGCTAATGACTGGACTTTACGCGAATTCTAGGATGCCATAATAACTGATGACCAAATGTACGCAAATCTCGGTACTTCCATGTCTAGGGCAGCGGGCTGTGCTTGGCCAAAGGCTAAATCCCACAGGTCCTCGTACACGGCCTCGCTCACATCCTCAGTTGTGGATTATCCGACCGAGTACGGCCGTCGTTATCATGCATTCCGTGCTGGAGGTATGTCAAGGCAGCCTTCGTGTTGCTTTGGAGAGCGAACAGCCTAGTCTTCACCTTGATTCTAACAGCTCGACTGGACGTAGCTTACCACTTCCCCAATGACGAGGTTTGAACGCGTTCTTGACTCCGATATCCATGTATGGGATTAAAAGTCTGGGTCCAGGATGAAATGGACCGCCTCGATTTGGTGCACACATTGATGGTCAAAACCATCGGCAACAAACTATTCCTCGCGCCTGTCGACGGAGCAAAGCTGCATCGCGTTTTGGACGTTGGCACTGGAACTGGCATCTGTACGTTTTAATATTGAGCTTTTTACCACCGCTCCCTATGGGCCGTCTACTTACACTTCTAGGGTCCATTGAGATGGGAGACTTTTTCCCTAATGCCGAAGTCCGATGGTATTGACTTCACTTATATCAAGACCGAGTGCTAAGACTTGACTAGATCATTGGCAACGATCTGAGCGCTATCCAGCCGAAGTGGTATGTTTATTGACAGCTCAGTACTGATACAAAGGTGTCAGTACATATCGGAGACAGAATGGTTCACTAAGAATTGGCCGCAACAGGGTTCCGCCAAACGTCAAGTTCGAAATTGACGACGTCGAGAGCGAGTGGGTTGGGCAAAACAAATACGACTTCATCTTCAGTCGATACCTGTCAGGGTCTCTGGCCGACTGGCCAACCTACGTCAAGAGAGTGTCTCAGTAAGTCCCCATGTTTCTAACCCATTCTAGCCTTGCTAATCCTTCACTTAGGAACTTAAATCCCGGTGGATGGGCCGAGTTCCAGGATTGGAGCTTCATGCTCCACAGCGATGACGGGACGCTCGAGGGAACCGCTATCCAGCGCTGGGCCGATACCTTCATGGACGCATGCAAGGTATTCGGACGCGATGCCCAAATCGGCCCCAAGCTCGAAGCCCTGGTTCGAGAAAACACCAACCTCATCAACATTCGTCACGAGCCCTTCAAGATCCCCAACGGTCCCTGGCCCAAGGACGCACATCTCAGGGACCTTGGGATGTGTAACTTGATTCAACTACTCGAGGGGCTCGAGGGGTTCTCACTCAAGTTGCTCTGTGGAGGTCTTGCTTGGACAAAGGAAGAAGTCCTGGTCCTGTGCTCCCAAGTCCGTACGGAGCTGAAGTCAGGCAAGGTACACGCGTGGTATCACTAGTAAGTCGTGGCTCTCTTGAAAGATGTGTGTACATGTCAGTAAGCGGTTTACTGACTATCTATGTAGCGACGTTGTGTACGGCCAGAAGCCTAAAAAGGAGGAGGCGCAGGATGTTTGATATCACCTGTGTAGTTTTCCTTGCCTTGGTTTGAATGTCATGTCTGTGGTATTTACAAGTGGCAACGAAAATTTACAAACTGTGGTGTCTTCTAGGCCCAGGGTGAAGTTCACAACTCATCCTTTTCCCTCTTCTCTTCAGTCTTCGCAGTCTTCTGACGCTCAACACAAGTCCACTCACTCCCAACCGCCTTCGCCACCAAGGGAAACTTGCAGAAAGGAGCCTTGCTCTCCGCCGCCTCCCCCTCGGCCAGTCCCATGACAATAGCATCCAACTTCTCCGGTGCAACCCCCTCCTCAACCCACCGCCTCAAAGCGTCCAAAGCCCTCAAAGGAAACCCAGTCCCCTTGGGCGCCGCACAATGCGTAGTTCCAGGTACCTCAAAGAACCTCAAATACTCTGCCGGCTCAACTCCTCCTCCCCTACCCCCATCAACCTCGACGACCTTGTCGTGATACCGCCTCATGGCATTAATCGTGATAGCTTCATCATTGATAGAATGCCACGCAATCATCTTCCCCCCAGCCTCCCTGAATGCCCCCAGATCAGGGTTATCACTCCCAATCATGTCTCCAAACTCTTCCACCGTCTCCTTGAACAACCTCGCAAACTCCTGCCTGGTCATATTCGCCGGATCATACTGAGCATCCTTCATCAACAACAACCGAATCCAATCCGTAGCAATCGTAAACGGTCTCCCACGACACTTCCCCCCGTCACAAACAATATTCCCCAACGCCATCAGCCCCGTCGCCGCAGTCCCCACCGTCGAACCTGGAAACAAACTCCCCCCCTCCTCATCAACAGGTCCCTTCAATAGCGCCTCAGCAACAACAGCCGCTTCCTCCGAAACCCCCTCCTTCACCCCATCACACTCAGACTCCCTCCCAAGCACAATCCTCGGCTCAACCACACACAAATCATCCCTCGCAATAACTCCATCCTTGACCCCATCCACCTCATCACAAGCCTCAATCGCAGCTTTCCGAATAGTCTCCATCTCGCAAGCCGAAGGATACACACCAAGCTCGTTCATCACAACCTGCGGCCAAAACATCCCCATCAACAACCCCGGAAAACTCACCGCAGGACAACCCACCAAAATCCCGTCGTACGCCTCCGGAAACCGCTGCGCCATCGCAAGACCCTGCCTCCCGCCAGTGGAACACCCGCTCCAGTACGAAAACTCGGGCCTCTTGCCATAGTACTCTTCCGCAATGTGTTTCCCAATGAGCGTCATCTCATGTAACCCCCTATACGCAAAGTTCTCCAGCGCTTCGAGATTCGGTTTCCCATCCTTGAAGAGCCACGAGTCTGCCGTCGAGTACGGGTTATGTTCGTACCCTCCATCCGTAGCAGCGACAGCGTATCCTGACGCGGTGTACGCAGCCATCACATCGTCGCCGATCTCGCCCGCCAGCCACCCGCCGCCACCGATGCCCAGGAACCGGGCATTATAGGCGTCTTGGAGGGGGAGCCAGATGTGGACTGTGATGAGGGACTCTGAGTTGGGGCGGGTGTAGGAGACGGTGACGTTACATGCTGACACGCCTTCGGAGGGTACGAGTGCTGCTTCGGGTTTCCATCCTGAGTTTTGGGTGAAGTTTATGAAGGGTTTTGCGGTGGTGGAGTGATTTATGAGGCCTTCGAGTCGAGGGAAGGAGAATGAAGTTGGTAAGCAGGGCTTCGTGACGGCGTGAACTGCGGTGGCTAAGGTGAAGCCGGCTAGCATGATTGAAGCGACCATCTTGAATATTGACACCGTCGGTATGGTGAAGCCGAAGTGCAGCAGATCATGAGTGTAATGAACGACACTTGATATACAATTAAATGCTGGCTCGCTAACTTCGTACCTCGTACTCGTATGTTTAAGCGATGAGGAGTAGAAGACGTTGACTTTGGAGTCGCGGGGTCCGCGCATAGTCCGAGTCAATAGCCCCCTAAATCCCTGTTGATATTCGTCTAAGGACTACTCCGTAGATGATCGTGACCACTCCGTAAAAGATCGTCAGTGAGTAGGAATCGAGTAGAGCTTTACCCTACGAGGTGGTCTAAAGCAATTTGTAAACAGAACACGGTAAAGATGTAGTGATATGCCAACAGGTATTATTCGTCTACGTCTATCGTTTGCAAAAATAAAGCAACCCCCCAAACACCCAGCCTTTAGCCATCCTCAAGCGGCCTCCTTACAAAAATCTCCAAAGCCCCCCTCATCTTCTCCTCAACAGCCTTCCTCTCCTTATCCTTGGCAGGCAACCCCACCCGACACACAGCCTTGCCAAACACCTCGCCAACTCTCCGCTCTCGAAGACGCCGTCTCGCCAACGCAGCCTCAGCAGCAGCGTTGCCACCCGTAAGGCGTCTGAAGCTGAGACTGCGCCGATTGGGCTTCTGCATCGTCAGTGCCTCGACCTCGGACCGCGAGATGGGTGCCATCTCCGCGACGACCTTGGACAGCGTCGCTGTGAGGAAAACAAAGGCGATATTGTGGTTCGGTGCCGTGGCGAGGATGTCTAGCACCGCGGTCTTATCGTCTTCGACTTCGGGTGGTGACCGTGCTGCAGCCGCGGCCAGGTGAGGGATAGCTACTTCGATCTTGGCCCAGAGGGCTGCGGTGATGATACCGTCGGTTAGTCCGCTGAGGAAGAGAAGGAGGACTTCGGCGAGTACTTCTAGGCGGTAGAGCGATGGGACTTCGACGGGGAGCGCCTCGACGAGGGCTTGGTCATTGTCTAGTGCCTCAATCAATGCGACAATCTGGTTTTCACGGGACTCTTTGTCTTTGAACAGCCATGCAGTCTCGTCAAAGGGCCAGCCAGGCTTGTCGGCCGGGATGACATGCTCCTCAATCATGTTTGCTTCCGCGATGGCGCGTAGCATCATCACCTCGACAGCTTCTGTGAGCTTAAAGAGCTCTTTGGGGGCAGCGCAGCGGACGTCGAGGTCATACGGGATGGAGCCGGAGGTCTTGCCTTCCCGCGATTTCATGAAAGCCCGAATGCCTCCATCGGGGATGCGAATGAGTTCGTCTATTGAGCGACCGAAACACGTCGGGAGCCAGGAAGCCCGAACTGGAATGAAGTGATCCCTGCCGTCTTCCACCCGCAGAACCAAGATGTCCTCGAGAGATGAGCGGCCGTCGTTGAGGGCTCGAACGTGAGAAATGTCGCTGACGTATATCTCCAGAACACCACTGACTGTCTCGCCCGGTTCCAAGGTGACATCGTCGCCCAAATTTGGCGACTCTTCGCCACTGTCGTCAGCGGCTGTCCGTTTGAAGGATGAGCTCAGCCAGGCTGGTGGACTTGAGGCCCCGGAATCCTCCTCAATCGTGGGTTTCTCGACAAAAGCAAACTTTGCCGGCACTCTCCCAGTGTTTGCGATTGTCAGTGTCGCAGTGTGCTTGCAGCGGTAGGCAACATCTCCAAAGTCTACGGCTTCACCAAGATCCATACCATCCTCGCCCTTGGCCTGCATGTCAGGGTTGTCGAGAATGACAGTGATGAGAGGCCGTCCCTCGTTCTCGGCGCGGTCCAACTCCTTTGCAACTTCAGCATGGACTTTGGCCTTGAGATCCGGCACCACCGCGTCGTAGTCGAGCGTGAAGATGGAGATGATGGGTTTGTGATCTGAAGAGATGATCCGCTGGTGTGAGGTGTAGATGTCAAGCTGTATCCTATCCGTGAACCCTTCTTTCGTGACAACCTCCTCTGGTTCGTTATCATCTTCTTCGTATTCATCGTAATCGAGGCCAGCTTCGCCGGTAGGCACCTCCTCACCGTCCGCATCCGGGTCATAGCTGAAAAGGACGTCGTCGTCGTCAGTCGCATGGTCGATACCCCGCGCCGTCATCTCCTCGTCCTTTTTCTTTGCCTCCTCGAGTTCCTTGACCTTTTGTTCATACTCCTCTCGGTCCTTTCTTGTTCTGTAAAGAATGCGATCGCACCAACTCGGGGCTCTTTGTTTCTCGCTCGAGTCAAAGAGACTGATGGTCCCGACGTCGTACTTGTATGACGGCAGGAAAGTGATTGGCCCTTCGCGCCAGCCATCGTGAAAGGCCTTCTTCTCCTTGATTATTCTCCTTAGCTGGTCATGTGGTAGAAGAGAGTCCAAGGTTGCTTGCAACGACGCAGGATCGTCGCCCGGGTCGGGCAAAAAGTCGTCGGGATCTGGCAGTGAGCTTGACGAATCATCGAAACTAGCCTCCGATGACAATGTCGTTTCAATTGTTGAGGTGTCGTCATCTGTGTAGTCACTCTTCTTTGCGCTCTTGACCACCAGAACCTCCTCGCCGGCGATGACCTTGCGTCCCCTTTTATCCAGATCGTACTCCCCGCGTGTGTGAAGTTGAAGTAAGCGCCGGATATCATTACCGGGCAGTCCATCCACGCGGAAGTTCAAGTCACCCACCCAGAAGGCAAAGTCCTCGTCGCCAATCTTCTCCGGCTCAGCATCGTTCTCTCCAGCAAGGTTGATCGGGTCAAACTGCGTCCGTGTTAAGATCTGCCCGACGTCCCACAACCTCCGGTCAAGGTACGTCTGCTCCGCGCCGCTAGCCAGGTGGCAGTTGACAAAGACCATGCGGGTCGTCTCCCCGAGCAGCATCCGCGTAGTAACAGCTCCCTTGTTCCCTAGGTATCCGAAGAGGCCCGTCCCGACAGAGACTGTACTCACGTTGCTGACTGTTGGCGCTACCTCGGGGGAAGCATAGGCCAATAGCAGCAGACCGGACATTTGCTCTGCGGCAACGAGCTCGTATCCATCCGGCATGGCTTCTTCTAAAGCTTCTTTCCACTTCTTCATGGGTCCTTGGTCGGATGCCATGCGGTTCATGTAGTCCCTCGCCATGTTCAGGTCGACAATCTCCTGCAAGCCCAACACATACAGTCCAACCTTGTCGCCTCCGACCAAGTGCACCGAGGCATTTGGGTCATGTTCTTCAGTTGCATCCGTGGCTGTATCCTTAGTAGCCGGTGGGGGATCCGTCTCTATTGTATCGTGATCGGAGACGTTGAGCCTCGAGAGCGTAGTGTCGAGGCCATACCCGTCAACAAACCAGCTCGCCAAGTCCTTGTCGGTGCCGGGACACGCAGCCACATTCCATGTCCCAATCTTGACCCGGATCCGGTGTGGCCGTACGTACTCTGCTCGACGGGCGTACACAGCACGGGCAAGGGAGTGCGGCGTAGATGCGAGGTCGACGTCGACGGGGTCTGAGGTCGTGGAGGGGATGGTCTCGGAGGGGGGCGCCATCGCGGAAGGCGAAGCCATGCGCTGCTGCTGCTGAGATGCGAGCGTGGAGTCGTAGTTTCGAAAGGTAAGGGACTAGAGACAGGGAGCTCTAGGGGGTATTATTTGACGGGGTCGGGCGGCGGCGTTGGCGGCGGCGGCGGCTGAGAGGGGTGAGACAAGAGGCCGGTCCAGGGTCCTCTGCTTTGGTGTGCGTTGTTGTCGTCGATCAGTCCGGCGTGGCCCGGCGCATGATGTTCGTATTTTGGGCGTGGCTACGAGTCGTCGTAAGTGAGGTCACGGACCAGGATGGCTTCAGTTATGCGCAGAGTTGGCGGCAGCGAGAGGGAGCCGGAGAAGCCAGAGGAATGGCCTGGATGATGGTTGCAACTTGGAGGCCCTTGAAAAGTACGGACGAGCCGGAGTAGAGAGGATACTAGAGGGGTGAAAAGGAGGAGAAGAAACGAGATCTGAACAGTCTTGAAGTCACTGAAAGAAGTTGATTAGGTAGATGTTGCAAAAGTATCCCAGTACCAGGTATGGTGTAGGCAGAGAAAGGGAGAAAGGGACTGGGGAAGGGATTGTCGCCGGGATCTCTCATCGACAGATTGCCGTCGTCGGACGCCTCGTTTCTGGGTCGCAAGACCGGTGACGTGCATCGTTCACCTGGAATTGACAGGGGGGTTGCTAGGGGACCCCTCTGCAGTTCTGCACTGCCACAGCGCTGGGATTGGCGGGGTAGTCTCGGTTGCTTTATCGTGATAAGGTCTCGATAAGCCGATAAGGCACCTACGGCCTGGAGAGAGATCCACCTCGCACACTGACCTCATCCGGTGTGCACCTCCTTCCTCCGAAAGAGCCAAGCTTCACCTCTCACCTCCCATTGACAACAACACGACCTTGAACTCCAAGATACACACCTGCTCCCTTACCACGACAGCTCTTGCCGACCTTCACTAGCGCTTAGTCCGACGCCACGATCATAGAGAAGTACCAGCCCGGCACCGAGCGCGCAGCCTTGTAGCAATACCACACACTACATCAACACCACACAACGGGCACACATCACCACCACCACAAATGTCCCGCTCAACCCCCCGCCGACGAGGCGGCGGCCACGCCCACCACTCCTCAACCCAAGGAAACCCAACCACCGGCCCCCGGCCCGTCCAATCCGACTACGAATCCGACGCGGCGCACTACATCGACTCCCACCCCGTCCCGGACCCGAACCCAGCCCTCTTCAACCGCACAAACACCGACCTCAACCTCTCCGTCCTCCGCCGCTACCTCCCCTCCATAAACTCAACTCTCTCCATCGCCGCCAACGCCGTCGTCTACACCTTCAACCCCACGCTCCCGGGCTGGGACAAGACAGGCATTGAGGGGACGTATTTCCTCTGCATGCAGGACCCCGTCCCCGGCGCGGCGCCGACTCCGAGGGCGTGTATCTTTGTGTTGAACCGTCGCGGGTTGGAAAATGTGATTCTCGATCTGAGCGAGGTGGACGACTTTGAAGTCATGGATGAGATTTACATCTTTCGGCTGCGGGGCACCCCCGAAGAAGCGGCAGAGGGCACGAATAAAGTCATGGGCATCTGGATCCACGCAGATAAAGAGGACACACGCGTTATGAACTCGGCCCTCATCTCCGAGACGCTCAAACTCGTCCGCCTCGCCGAGGAGCAGAACGCCGTTGCTGGCTTCGGCGGTCCCGGAGGCGGTGCAGGTGGTCACGGTGGCGCGGGCGGTGCCGTACAGGAAGAGGAGCTGGGCCCCGCGATGCAGGCCATTGGCCGGAAGCTGAGCTTGAGTGACCTGTTTGGCGCGCAGAATGGGCTCCAGGGCTAGGAACCCGTGGTGTATGCTGCGGGGATCAGGGCGCGGGAGTCCTCGGTGAGGGGATGGGGCTTTGCGGAGGCGTCTGATGTGTGGAGAATGGCAAAGATTTGCTTGCGTGGTACCAAGATGGAGTCTCTTCAAAGACGCTGATGATGTTGCTGAAGATGAAGTCGAGGATGGCAAAGAATGAAGTGCACGAAATATCTACTTAGGACAAAAGGGGGACGCTCCGGAGAGCGCAACGGTTGAACCAATGATACCCTTGATTAAGAAAGAAAAGAAAGTCATTTTTCATACATGAATGCAAAGTCGTCATGGGACTTGGTGATTCTTCCCAAGAACCCTCCATCGTGACTCGCAAAGTCTAGGGGGCTGCGTGTCTTTTCTATTACGGTCCCCAAAAGCCTCAACCCCTTCCTAGACCATGCTCGTGTAAAAACTCCCCTCCCATTACCAGCAGACTCTTTGAGTGAAACCCAATCACCCATATTTAAACGTCAAAAGCGACCAAACAGAAATCGCATCGCTCATACCGTGCCACTGATGCTGAGCTCGCGAATCTCCTGCAGTACTTGCTCGACGCGCTGATCCAGCTGGCCCTGGGCATACTGTTCTCTCGTATCCGCGTCTAGGTACTGCTGCACCTGCGCCATGCGACTGTACGCTTCGGCGCAGAAGCGCAGCTGGATCTTGACGAGGGCCTCAAAGGTGGGGTCGAGATACGGCACGCGGAGGTCGATGAGCTGGGGCAGTTCTGACGACAGCTGCTCGTTGAGCTGCTCGTAGGCGGCCTTGGCCATCTCCATCTCCTTTTCCGCGCGGGGCAGCTTGGTCACGTCCTTGTCGGGCTTCTCGACGAGCTTCTTGACCTTGGCACGTAGGGCATCGTAGTCAAGGAGCTTATGGCCGCGCTTCTTGATACCTGGGGATGGGTCAGCAACTTTATGTTGGAGTGTAGTCCGGTTTATACCGACATTCATTTACGTCTGGGAAATAGGCGCAGAAGCGTGAGATAGGCTCGAGGACGGTTTGTCTAGGCGAGTATTAGTTGATACGCCCGGTAGCCAAGATGTCGGGCAAAGAATAATCGTACTGGTAAGGACCGTCCAGCGCCTTGATGGTCTCGGCATCAAGGTCCTCCACCGCCTGCTTGTAACTTCTGCTCACGCCATCCTTCGCTCCAGAGTCTCCGTAAAAGGCGTCTATCGTCTCGGCAATGCGCATCTGGGAAGCAGTCATGGCTGGAAACCGGAGTTAGCCCACTCTCATCCTTGGCAGGGGGGGCGGTAGCAGGAGACCTCCAACACACCTCGCAATGAATCCAAGTAGCCCTTTGCCTCCTTCTGCAACCGTAAGGAAGCCGTCTCCATGGTTCTGAATCGTCTGCCAAGAAGTCTCAGTATTTTTTTTGTTTTGATTTCGTCGGGTATCTCGGCCCTAGGGACGGGGTGCAGCCCACCTCTCTTCCACCTCGTAGTCGCGGTCGTTGGTCTTCTCCACATGACCTGCCAAGATCAGAACCTCCGTATTTGTGACTGCTGGTTGGGCAGAAAGGGCTCACCAGTCTTCATCATCACCTGCGTCGTCGCGCGGTTGACATTCTTCTTGAATCCTGTAGCCAGTCCATCAGCCTAGATTCTTGGTCGTGGTGCTCCGTTACCTCGCCCAGCTTGCGCCGAGGAGGGGTCATCTGAGACTCTCTCTCCCAAGTCGTACCTGCCCACGACATCTTGGCTGTCTTGCTGTGTGTTTCCTATTCGTACTCGGTGCTAGGATTCGGAGTAAAAATTCAAGAGGCAGTATAATGCTTGAGCGTGCGATGTAGTGTGTGAACTGATCACTCGGTGGTTTCGGCGGGTATCGTTGTTCGTAGGAAGGCCGTTTCGTTTCGTCGTCCAAAGGTTGAATTGATGGGGGGGGTGCACTGGGTGGTGGAGGGGGAGAAAGGAAATGCGGTTTTGATTGCGCGGACGAATCACTCAATGCACGCACAGCAACACACAGCACAGCACCACTGGGGAGACCCAACTGGCACCGACAGCGCCCAGAAACGGAAACCGACGTCAGCGAACAGAGGCTTTGGGCTGCGCCACGTCCTTGTTGGTGTTAGCTCCTCTTAGCGTCGGGTAGCTCTGTGGCTCAGCCCTATAGGCAGCCTTTCTTGCTGTGCTTACCTAAGGCTTTGCACGTCGACTGGGAAAGGCATGGCGGTGGGCGCAAGTGCCGTTTTCCGATTGTTCACTCCCCAGTGACTCAGCTCCGAATGACTAGGTAATGCTGCATAACTGCGTGGTGCACGAGGCCAATTTATCCTAGAAGCTTCTTTGTGCAAATACAAGGCGCTTTTATGGCTCTTTATGCAGACCTTGTTAGATCAGGACAATGGCCTCAAATTCTTTTATGCTTACGGAGATATGTTCAGTCCTTTCTTTAATAAGCTTACAAGTCCCTGGGTTTCATACACTCTCATTCTAGACATTCAACACTACAACTGCATCTCAACATTACAGAAAAGATCAAAGAAAAATCAACAAACAAAATGAACGCCCCTCGTTTTCTCCTCGTCAGCTTGGGGAACCCAGAGCCACACTACAACACCCTTCACTCAGCAGGCCACCATGCCCTCAACTCTCTTCAGAAACTCCTAGGTCCCTCACAGCCCGCCTTCCATAGAGGCCGTTTCGGTGGCAGCTCATGTCTGGCCTCCTTTGGTCCCAAATACGCAATGATCCAGAGCCCCTCCGTCATGAACGTGACCGGAAAGTGGCTGGCAAAGGCGTGGAAAGAGACCCTCGGCACCAGGAACCCAGCAGACTTGAGTCTCATACTCGTTCACGATGACTTAGAAGAGGACCTAGGGTTCGTCAAGACGAGAAAGTGGAAGAGCAGTCACAGAGGTCACAACGGCATCAAGAGCGTCAACAATTGTCTCCGCGAGGCGGATTACCCAGAGTCAAAGTGGGCGAGAATAGCAGTCGGCATTGGGCGGCCCGACGAGCGCGATCACTCTACGGTATCTAACTACGTCCTGAAGCGCATGACCAAGGACCAATGGTCTGCTCTCGAGACCGAAGGCGGACCTGGTGTGCTTGAGTGCCTCCTCGCATTCGAGGAGAAGCTTGATGCTGCAGCTGGGAAGTGAAGCATCTGAAGCATCGCTCCGTTCCCATCATCCACCTCACAACTTGGGCGCCGGGTAGCCCTTACCCTACATCCATTTGGGTCTGAGCCTGCACCATGATTCGAGGCTGCAAGAATGCGGCATGAGACAACGGCCTTTGCAAATGCGCCTCTACAGGTTCCCAGAGACTGAGGACAAGAGTGAGCCTGTCCCTCGTGCCGGGCGCGCAAAGCAAAGCTTCACGTCATGAGGGCTACAGTCCATGAAGGCCACGCACGGGGCGAATCGATTCCTGTCAATGAGCGTCGCGTTCATTACTTCACGTAGCCTCATCGGGCCCAGGACGCCCATCAAGCCACTTGCTCATGTACGGTCCATCGAGCCAGTACCCAAGCTTGGCGTAATAGCTCCTCACACCTACTCCAGAAATAACACTAATCTTCTCGCTGCCGTGCTCGTCCCTTGCAATTCTCTCTGCCTCCTCCATTAGGAGCGTGCCGAAACCTTGATGCTGGAATTTCTTCGGATCTCTGGCGTGTACCGGCACTGCGGTACCGTAAACGTGCAACTCTCTGACCAGACTCGTCGGCTGTCCAACGAGCTCCTCACGGTACGTGTACTTTTCGGTGCACTTTCGTAGACGCAGCAGGGCAACAAGAATGTCCTGCTTCGGGTCCTCGTACGCAAGGAACGTTTCCCATCCGCCATTGGCTGTGTAGTCTCGTCGCACCAGCTCGATTTGGTTCGGCCTAATCTTGTTCTTGACCTCGTTCACACCAACTTCGCGCGTCCTCACATCTCGACATGTTGTACCGAAATCCTTCATTCTCGCTAGTGCCAGTTCGCGCAAGTTGCCGTTCTCCACACCAGACGTGACCAGGGGCATGGGGATATCTCTCTGAACGCGGTAGATACGTGTCCATGGCGGGATTAGGGCCAGAATTCTTGCGACGAGATCGATCAGCCCGTTGGGAGTGTAGTTCTGGTAACGACCTGTGCGCCACAGCTCATACAACCCGGTGCCTCTGATGACGAGAGTCGGGTAAATCTTAAGACCATCCGTACGGAACGCAGGACTCTCAAAGTACTCCCGGAACTGATCCAGATCTCTCTCCATACCCACGTTGGGCAAGTCAGGCATCATGTGGCTGACCACCTTGAAACCAGCATCCTTGGCCAAGCAGAACGTCTCGGCGACGGCGGCAACAGTGTGGCCACGGTTCGTGTCTCTTGCAACATCTTCGTACAGCGACTGGACTCCAATTTCCAACCTCGTGCAGCCGTAACGCAGCATATCCGTCAGGTGCGGCTGCCAACAGTAATCCGGCCTCGTCTCGATTGTGATACCGACGCACTTGATGTTGCTCATCTCGCTGGCCTCCACGGCCTCGTCCACGTTCGATGTCTGGTATCCGCTGAGGGCATTGTGTAATTGGGCAATAAAGTCCTCCCTGTACGGCACCGGCAGTGACATGAATGTGCCACCCATGATGATGTACTCTACTTTGTCAACTGAGTGGCCGAGAGACTTAAGTTGGTCGACACGGCCGCGGGCCTGCTCGAAGGGGTCGTAACGTGCGCGAATCGCCCGCATCGACGTGGGCTCGTACCCTGTGTATGATTGTGTGCTGTATTCGAAATCGGAGTCCGGGCCGCCGGGGCAGTAGACGCAAATGTTACCTGTGTAAGCGATGTGCGGACATCTGTGAGGCTTGCACATGACGGCCACTACGGCGATACCCGATGATGTCCCTGGTAGGTACAGTGAGCATGCGCCTGTTTATGGGGGAAGAGTTGAAAGACAACATACGGATTGGCTTCGCAATGAGCTTCGGCAGGATGTACTTTTTGTAGTGCTCAGGAATTGCAGCAATAATGGCAGTGAAGGGCGGGATATTGGCGAGCTTGTGCTTCCTCGAAAACTTGTTGCGCAAAGAATTGAGGTTGAGATCCTTTGGCGGGTTCTTGGGGTCCCTGATGGCTTCATGGTCTTCGATTAAGGCGTTGGCGACATCGGCGCAGCATCGTAGGAAGCGCTCGTTCTCGGGGGGTAGATTGTCGTTCTTGGACCGCCCCTTGGTGACGGTGACGGTGGTGGTCGCCATCTTTGGGGAGAATGGGGGGGGGGGGGGGGGTAATCTCTGAGTTTAGTGTGTGTTCGTCTCTTCGGTTCGTAATGTGTAACGGTGAAAGTTCGAGGTTGAATTATTCGTGTTCGCCGTAATCTCGCCTCCTTAGCGTCAAGTCGTCAGAGTCATAAGTCGGAGTGAAGTTGGGGTTTGGAGAGTTGACTGTCCGTTCTCTTTGAAATTTTGGAGGAAACCATCAAATGCAAGTCGCTGGATGGTGGGGTAATCAGCCACAACTTCAACTCGTCGCACGACGCCACACGTCAAATCTGCATGTCAAAGCTGGTACGTGCCGTCCCATGCAGGAGGGGGTGGCAGGTACGACTGGCAGGGTGTCCTTCGGTGCCTTCCTATCTTGAGCCGTGCTGATTGCCGCGGCCTCGATTGGTCCGACCGGATCATCATCTCTGCCGGACGACCGAACCCACCGTGGAATTGGCCACGGGTTTTCCCGGGCGTTCGGGTCCCGTGCTTCCCTCGTGGAGTCGTGGCTCGCCTGCTGCAGACCCGGTTGTCTCGCAAAAGAAGCGAAAGAGCTCGGTTCAAGTTTTGCTGCTGGCCTTCCCCTACTGCGAGTTTGACCCTTCTTTCGGAAAGTGACGTGAATTTGCATTGAAGCACCTGCACAGCTCCATCTTCATCTTTTTCCCCTTCCCCCACGATAGCCGCCCATCTCATTTCTCTCTCTCCAAACGAGATCCTCCTCCGAATACCAACACTTCCTTTAATTGGCGCTGCGGTTCTTTCGAAGCTGCGCTGTTCCACGCCTTTACACACACACATCTACACACATACACATCGCCCAAGATGCAGTCCCTGAGACAGATGCGGCCGACAGGCAAGCTCCTGAACCAAGCCGCCAAGCGTGCATACAGCGCCTCTGCAGCTGGCCCTTACACCAAGACCATCGACAACCTGCGCATCAACTCCGAGACCAAGGTGCTTTTCCAGGGCTTCACTGGCAAGCAGGGAACGTAAGTGGTGTTATCTTCCTCCGACGCCCGAGGGGCCGACTAGCACATGTTTTCCTACCCCTGTTTGGATGTTTGGTGTTTTGACAGAGGTATATCTGGCGATATTTACTCTGTCCGCGCCTACGCATGATAGCCATGAAGAAGTTCAGTCCAGCTAACATGGTTTGCGACACAGTTTCCACGCGCAACAGGCCATCGACTACGGTACGCGATAATAACTCCGAAGCAATTGCGCGACCCATATCTCTCTCGCGCATCGCAAAACCTTGTTAGGAAATACTCCGAGACTGATATCAATGGACATGAATAGGCACCAAGGTCGTTGGTGGAACGAACCCCAAGAAGGCCGGCCAGGAGCACCTCGGTCTCCCCGTCTTCGGTAACGTCAGCGAGGCCGTCAAGGAGACTGGCGCCGATGCCACCGCCATCTTCGTCCCGTACGTTTACTTCACGATGCCGCAAACAATATCATTTGGGAGAGCAGGATGTTGACCTAGAAATCAAACAGCCCCCCTCTGGCCGCCGCCGGTATCGAAGAGGCCATTGCCGCCGAGATTCCCCTCGTCGTCTGCATCACTGAGGGTATCCCCCAGCATGGTATGCTCCCCCTTTGCCCCCTCTCGGTTCCTTTGAGGCTTCAAAGCTTCAGAGGCGTTCGATTCCTCGAAGCCATTTCGCAGCTCGAATACTCACCATACCTCAGACATGGTCCGCATCACCAACATGCTGAAGACGCAATCCAAGACCCGCCTCGTCGGCCCCAACTGCCCCGGCATCATCGCCCCCGGCCAGTGCAAGATCGGTATCATGCCCGGCTTCATTCACAAGCGCGGCCGCATCGGCATCGTCTCCCGCTCCGGCACCCTCACCTACGAGGCCGTCAACCAGACCACCCAGGCCGGCCTCGGCCAGTCCCTCGTCGTCGGTATCGGCGGTGACCCCTTCAGCGGTACCAACTTCATCGACTGCCTCAACGTCTTCCTCAAGGACGAGGAGACGGATGGCATCATCATGATTGGTGAGATTGGTGGTTCTGCCGAGGAGGACGCTGCCGACTTCCTCCGCGCCAACAACACCGTCAACGGCGGCAAGCCCGTCGTCTCCTTCATCGCTGGTATCTCCGCGCCCCCTGGCCGTCGCATGGGTCACGCCGGTGCCATCGTCTCCGGCGGCAAGGGCGGTGCCGACTCCAAGATCTCCGCGCTCAAGGCTGCCGGCGTCATTGTCGAGCCCTCCCCCGCCGGCCTCGGCAAGGCCCTCTACGACGAGTTCGTCCGCCGCGACCTCTTGTAAAAACAACCACATCATATCTTCGAGACGTTGAAGGGGTAAAGCTTCAGCTGTGTATGTAACATATTAAAGAAGAGAATTTTGTGTTGAGAGCGTAGTCACCGGGATAGGAAACACCAAGCTTCTCTCTCGCCTTGCATCGAGTGAGATGCGCCGTGTGTGTGTGTGTGTGTGTGTGTGTGTTTGAACGTGTTGCCCCAAATAACTTGATATAGACTGGAGGCTGGGCAAGGACAACAGGGCAAGCAAACGAAGGAGAGTGGAAAGGATGGGAAAGTTTTGAATAAGTTCCCCAGAATTTCGGAAATAGGAACACTGCGGGTTATCTCTCCCATTCCCTCCCTTCTCCCGTTTTGTATCTCGAATTCCCCAAGCTTATAAACAATTTTTTTAACCGCAAGATATATGCAATGCTACCCGCTATCCCGATCCTCTGACCTCATTCGTTGCGCTTCGCGCCATCTCGGCATGTAGGGCCCTGCTGTCGTACGACTCCCCATACAACCCCCGAGTAAAATCAACCAGGGTCCCGTCTCCGAACCCCGAGGGGAAGCGGCTTCGGCCCAGAAAAACTGGAGACTAGTGACCGGAGGAAAGGATGCAGCCTCCATGTTGGATGATGTGATTTGAGTTGCCAGCTTCTAAAGCCGACGTGACCGTGAATGCCAGAAGCATACATAAGCTAGGGCTACCTGTGTGTATCTTACAGAAAAACACTCTTGCTGGAAAGCTGCTCGTAAGCAGTGATGGATGAAGAGTAGAACAGACCAAACGTCCCATGTGCAAAAACAGAAAACGCCAAAAGTCCGCGATGCGGAACTGCCAGAGCCAAACGCTCAGGCAGGTAAATACTCCGTGCCCCGTACAAACCAACCGTCCCTATTCCCGCCTGGATACCAGACATGCGACACGTTACCGTCAAAGCAAAACGGTTCATACGGGCGCGCAAGCAGTGAGTCCTCGAAGACAATACCCAGAGCCTTTCATGCCCAGTAAGGTACGCTCCGAGTTCCCTGAACCGCAACGCCTATGAACCATTCACCGTGAAAGCCAGAATTCCACTAATGCCCAAGTCTAGATGTTGACCAACTCCATATTCGATGCAATGCTACCCGTCGTCTCATGATTTGCCGTGTTCGTCACTTTGTACTCATATCGTCCTCGGATCAATCGAGATTGATGGCCTGGTAGCCCTCAACCTCGGTCGGACGATCCACCGGGCGGCCACTTTTTGGGTAGTTGAATCATTGCTCGCCGAGGAGGTGGGCGGTAATGTCACCAAGATATGCCTCTTCAAGTTCGTAGTCCATACCACCATTGCGATCGATGCCTATGAAGGTGAAGGCTTCAACGACAGCATCGAGCTCGAACCCCATGCCGACAAAGCGGTCGATGAGATCCTTATTGTAGCCAGCATACCTGTAACTCCGTCAGCCTTGTCCCCTAACGCATATTCCCTGTGCTGTGTAGCCTCCGTCTAGCGTGCAGCCGACTCATGAAAACGCACCTGTTTACGTCATTTTCCTTTGCTTCGGAAGCAACCTGCTTGTACTTTGTTGTGTCAAATTCCTTCGACGGTGCACCGGCGTACTTAACAGCCCACTCATGTGCCTTTTTCGCAAACCCCTCGGGGTTCTCTAGCATCATCTTGGCCACCTCTGCGTCTTGGGGGTCCTTGGGGTTAGGGAACTCGAGTAGCATGCGAAGGGAAAGCAAAGCCGTCTTGATCGTCTGTACTGGAGACCAGCCACTACCGAGTGTGTCCAGACAGATAGCACCCTAGTTCAGTCAGCATCTCTAGTACTAGTCGTAGTCAAGGAGGGCATATGTGCTGTGGAAGAAGGCGGCACAGGAACCACGAGGCGACAGGGAAGAGGCGTACAGTTTGACTGCTGACATTAGGGTGCCAGATCTTGGTGATGAACTTGATGGTGGGAGACTTGAAGGGGTAGCTGTCGGGGATCTTAATGTCGACTTCGTACAAGCCTCCGGCGTAGGGTGTATCGGGAGGTGCGGGAAAGGAACCCTTCAGGTGGAGCAAGTTGGCCTCATTGATCGGCTGAGCAAATACTCCAGAGTTGTCCTTGTCGTTACGAATGTCCATCAGCTCCTTGCCGATTCGTCGCTCCTTCGGGCTGAGGGAAGGGGTGGTAGCCATGATGCAACTGCTTTGCGGGATCGTTGGGGGTTTGATTCGGTATTCCTTAGGAATAAGGTCGGTAGCGGTGAAGAATAGGGGCGTGTATTTGTAGAGTATTAGTTGTAATGGGGTTTAAACTGTGTGGTTCGAGGTAGTGATGTGTCGTTGTTTGGTGTTTCTCGGGGAGAAAGCGAGGCAAGGTTGGTTGTGTTGGTGTTGGCAAAGGACCGTTCGGCGTCGGAACCCAACTTCCAGTCGCAGCTTGCCTCGCCTGAGAGGAGAAGGAGCCGACGGACGTGCCCCTCCCCCTTCAGCGACAGATGATGCTGGAATGGTCCGTGCAAAGCCCACTACCGCACCTTAGCGCCCTTGGATTGTCAGGGCCGTCAGCCTCCAGGGAGCTGCTTGGTGGCTGGCCCGCTGGAAGAGCTGCGCGAGAAGGCGGGGTCGGCAACAGTGCAAGACGGGAAGTACCTCCAAGCTTAGGTAAGGCGAGTTAAGCACCGCGGGACCTGTCATTTCTACCGTCTGGTTACACCAACGAGACTCACCAACATTTCTCTGATTGTGAATGTCCAGGTAATCAAAGCAAGAGAACAGCCTGTGACATACAAAGAACCGTACATCCTTCGTAAAATCTGATTGGTCAATATCTAGGGACTGGGGCAGACTTTGGCAAACTAATCAGGCGCCTTGACCTTCGGTGTCACCGAGGCCTCACTTACACAGACGTGACAGATAGCGATCAGCTAAACTCTGTGTGCGAGGGCCAAAATTCTAGCACCCGCCTCCGTTCCCAAGTGTCTCCTAGAGTCTCCAGATGGTCGATATAGTTATAGAAGAAGTCATAACATCCCCCAGTGTCTAAGGAGCGTTCAGTTTGCGCCTAGTTGAACGTGCCATCCTGAACTCACTCAGGAACGGTTCTTCTAACAATAAATGAACGAAAATGATACCTCAGTTGCATTCCAAAACATCAGTCAGCAGCAATTGATCGATCCGGAATCGACTATTTCAAGACATCTTCCGACTATTGAGGGTAAGAAACGTGTTGGCAGATTTATAATTTCTAGAGTTTATTCTTTTTTGCAATTATCTCAATGCCGTTCATCTTCCACTATAGATATAGCTTGCGGGTCACTCTTTAAACGTAGCGAGTTTTTCCATCTTGTATAGATCCCGTTACAAAATCTTTATAAATAAGACAGGGAGCATTTCAACTGTTATGTCGTTTCAAGAAGGGAGCTCTCGATCACCTTACTACAGCTTGGTATAAGACGTCGACTGTGTCCGGGTCAGTAATATTGGCAAGGATCTGGGCTACTTTCAACATTGTGGAGAAGCCAGCCGTCATTAGTTCATCCAAGATAAAACAAAGAAAGAAAAAAAATGGATACAAACAGGTGACCATTCATTATTTCGATCAAGTTAGGTATTTCTTTCTCTCTTATTCTCATAGGGTAGACTTCCAGACCTGAACCGTTAGGAAGGAGTCTGTCAGGCCGGCCTTGAGGCGTGGATTCGAGGGATCATGACTCAGCAACTCAGCTTGGATAAGCCTCCGATAAGGCACGTGACTCTGGAGCCACACTTGCCGAATCCGGCCTAAGTGACCCAGGGAAGCTGAGCGTCGCGTTTCTCTGCCGCCTGCAGCAGTGGCCCCGATGCTGCTACGCATTGATTACCTACGCAAGCAGCAGCAGCCTTGCCTTCCATTGCTCCCCTGCGCTCCATCTCCGGAATCCACCTACAACCATCATCATCACAAGCTCATTGACGACACCTCGACACCTCCCCGAATCAGAGGATCGCCTGTTCTTCGTCCCATCAACACAGAAAAGCCGTCTGCAACTTCCCACTGAGCTCTTGGAGCTCCCCGTGGCACAAGATGGTGAGCATCGCTGTCCGAAACGTGGCAGCAACAATCTAACAGCTCGGTAGGGTCAAAACCAGTCAGGAATGGGTGGTGGAGGCGATGGAAAGGATGAAAAGGATAAGAAGGTATGCCAGCCGAATCTTAAAAAGACAGAGAAAATGGTCAACGCAGACTGACTGGCGGTGCAGAAGGAGAAGCCCAAGTACGAGCCTCCCCCACGCCCTACCACCAGAGTCGGTCGCAAGAAGAGAAAGGCGGCCGGCACCAGCGCCGCTGCGAAGCTCCCCGCCGTCTTCCCCACCAGTCGATGCAAACTCCGCCTATTACGAATGCAGCGAATCCACGATCACTTGATCCTCGAGGAAGAGTACGTTGAGAACCAGGAGCGCCTCCGCAAGGCCAAGGCCGTCAAGGAGGGTGCCGCCGTCGGCCCCGAGGGTGATGTCGACCGCATGGCCGACGAGCGTGGCCGCGTCGACGATATGCGTGGCAGCCCCATGGGTGTCGGTACGTTGGAGGAGATGATTGACGATGATCACGCCATCGTTAGTAGCACGACTGGTCCCGAGTACTATGTTAGCATCATGAGCTTCGTCGACAAGGACCTGCTGGAGCCCGGCGCCAGTGTCCTGCTCCATCACAAGAGCGTCAGCATTGTTGGTGTTTTGACTGATGATGCCGATCCTCTGGTCAGTGTGATGAAGCTGGACAAGGCCCCGACGGAATCATACGCCGATATTGGTGGTTTGGAGCAGCAGATCCAGGAAGTCAGAGAGTCGGTCGAGCTTCCTCTGCTGCATCCGGAGCTGTACGAGGAGATGGGTATCAAGCCGCCCAAAGGTGTCATTCTCTACGGTGCTCCCGGTACCGGAAAGACGTTGCTCGCCAAGGCTGTTGCCAATCAGACGTCTGCCACTTTCCTGCGTATAGTGGGAAGTGAACTTATCCAGAAGTATCTCGGTGACGGTCCCCGTCTCGTCCGCCAGTTGTTCCAGGTATGGTTGTCTTTGTTACTTTGCTGAGCCAACCAATCGCTAACAAGCTCAGGTTGCTGGCGAGAACGCTCCCTCGATTGTCTTCATTGACGAAATCGATGCCATTGGAACGAAGCGTTACGACTCGACGTCTGGTGGTGAACGAGAAGTCCAGAGAACCATGTTGGAACTTCTCAACCAGCTTGATGGTTTCGACGACCGTGGTGACGTCAAGGTCATCATGGCCACCAACAAGATTGAGACTCTCGACCCCGCCCTGATTCGTCCCGGACGTATCGACAGAAAGATTCTCTTTGAGAACCCCGATCAGAACACCAAGCGCAAGATCTTTACGCTTCACACATCCAAGATGTCGCTCAACGACGATGTCGAGCTTGAAGAGTTCATCTCGCAGAAGGACGACCTTTCCGGTGCCGACATCAAGGCTATTTGCTCAGAGGCTGGTCTCCTGGCTCTCCGTGAACGCCGCATGCGCGTCCAGATGGCAGACTTCCGGTCGGCCAGAGAGAGAGTCCTTCGCACCAAGCAGGAGAGTGAGCCCGAGGGCTTGTACTTGTAGTTTGTATGACGAGGGTACGGGACTAAGGCTAGACGGGGACTACGATAGAGATAATGGCAAGGCATGTCTTGACGTTACTTGACGTTGACTTGGCATTGATTAACGACATGACATGGATTGTTTGTGTTGCAGCGTGAAGTGATGACTACGCGAAGCATGTTTTGAAGCAAGCGAAAACTGGAGACTATCGAACTCTAAATTTTCGGTGCAAGGGTCCTCGATTTCCAGGCGAGCCACCTATTATAAGCATCGAAGGAGGGCCCCAATTTGAAGCTACATGAAATGCCATCTGCCGATATTAAGCACATTGGTGGAACGGAGGCCCTTACTAAGACATCAATATCTCTTCGCAAACTAACGGAAGTGTGCCAGGGTCTCAACGGTGAAGTTGACCGCTGGCCTGCAGAGTGGCAACCTCGATGATAGAGACAGCGGGACGTTCAGACGAACTTTACTCATGGCATTCGAGACTCGATAGCAGTTCTTGTAACCTTGGCTTGACAGCCTCGACCGGGGTTTTCTTGCATTGAATGAATGGAGGTCTAGACCTCACGGCCGTTTTTCCGAAAGGGACGGCATCCCTGACATGTGCGGCTGGTGAGCGTCAAGGAGGTTCCTAGCATGCGAGGCGAAGTCCCGGAAGCTTGATCTCTTAGTCGGTTCCCCGCACTGAACATGTGGATTGTGGTTGGGAAAGCTGCGAGATTGGGAATGGAAATCCATAATGTCTTGATATCGTGCTGTAGGAAACTATTTTGACAGTCTAATGTTGCGCGCCATAACCCGTGATCCCAAAAATGAAGAAAAAATACCCAACTAGTACCAATGAAAGATGGCCAAAAGAACGACAAATCATGCGTTAAAGGACTCGAGCCACAACTTAGTATCCCGCTCGCCTAAGTCTCTCCTTTTCTTCCAAAACAGGCTCTTCCTCGGCATCCTTGGGCGCGTTCGTGATACCTTCCTCTCCCCCACCATACGCATTCAAATTCAACTGCGATGCCACAGAAGGCGTATACGCCGGCGCAGGCACATCGTCATCCTCCATCGGCGGCGGCGGCGGCGTAGCATCCCCCGGCGGTCCCATCATCGCCACCTCCCTCGCAATGGCCGGATCCATCGAATACCGCCCCTCAAGCGCCATCAGCGTCTGCCAAAGCGGCATCGATCCCTCGGGCCACTCCGCCTGCGTCTGCAGAATCTTCTTGGCCGAGATGCGTCGGTCCGCGTAGGCTACGCTGTTGCAGTCCTGTCGCGCGAGGATGATTGTCCCGTCGATTTGTACGCCTGCCCAGAGCCCGCGGGACTTCATGTAGCTGTACATTGGCCTTGCTGTCTTTGAGACGGCGGCTTCGACGGCGCCGCCTGTGCCTACGGGTCCGATGGCGACGGAGGCTTCTGTGCCGAGGGAGACGCGCGGGTGCGTGAAGGCTGCGACCTGGGCTGCTGTGTTGAGGACGAGGACGCAGTCGTAGATGTCGAGGCCGAACATGAAGCCTGCGCCGAGGGTGGATACGACGAAGGAGGAGGGAGGGGACCATGTTCCGTCGGGTCTGCGCGCAACGACGATGCCGGAGCCGGCGGCGAGGGAGCCCATGTAGGCACCCGCGCGGAGGGTGTTGAATATGGCGAGGCCGGCGCAGTGGGCTAGGACTTGGTGGGGGATGGTGACCATGGAGCGGCGGGTGATGCCGAGCGGGTGGAGGGGCGCGGAGGTCCCCTTTGAAGAAGGGGGTTCCGGGCCGAGGGCGGTGAAGGCGTGGAGGATGCGTGCTGCCTTTGCGCACTCGCGGGGCATGGTTTGCGGGAACCAGCCTTCTGCGCCGACGAGGTTGGCGGCTTTGTTGAAGGGGATGCCGGCTGTTGTTGTGATTTTGTGGAGATTTGCGCCGAAGCCTTTGCCGGAGGGTTTTACGGCGGGAGGGGCGCGGTCGGCGGTACTGTTCGTGCGAGCTCGATGGAGGGAGGAGAGGGTGCGGGTTAGGGAGAGGCGGCGGGAGATTGTTGAGCGGGCTGAGGAGGAGGAGGAGGGGGTTGAGTGGAGGGAGTGGGTGTCTGCTTCAGCTTCGTGGGTTTGGGTTGGAGCCTGGGAGGGCTTGGATTCTGTGATGAGGGTCATGGTGATGTTTGGGTGTTGGTGATGGTGGTGTTTTGGTCGTGTAAGTCGATGTTAAGGATATCAAGATGTCGAGATGGACTAGGTGTCGTCTTGTTACAAGCTTTGACTCACAAGTGTTTACTTGTCTACTCTCTTTGATAGAGATAATAGAAAATAATCCCAACTCGAGCGGTGCTCAGGAGCATGATATATACATCTTTCGTCCCAACAACGTACCTCACTTGAGGCTTGGAAGAGCAGGAGGCGTCATCAGGGATCGCCCTTTCAGCCAGAAGACGCAAAGACTAACAACCTCTAGATGGGAGACGGGGTGACGCTGCACTCGCGCGCTCGCCCAGCCGGCGGCAATAGCTGTGGCACTCATGGCATATGCGAAGGGGAGGGGCCGAGAAAGAGGTCTCGCCTCGCGAAGATGGGTTCCAAGACGGCGAGAGGTGAGACGGCGACCGGGGGTGGTGGACGAATAGAGGAGAGAATGAGACCGACGGGCCAATGGGAGTTTGTCCGGTGGAAGGAGAGGTGCTGAGTGCTGGGTAATGGTTCATGCTTCTTGGCGTCTGGGCGTCCGGCTGGGCGAGAGATGTCTGTGAGAGGAAACGTGAGTTATGGTCGGGATGATCACTCGGAGGCGGAGGGACTTGAGTTCGGAGACGAGAAGAGGACAAGACGGATATGATGGGGATAGGGGATAGAGGCATTACTGCGTAGAGCTTGGTAGTGTGAGAAGACGATGAGAAGTGGAGGCGGGGCATTCAATCATCCCATGTCCACGACGACTACCGGTACGGCTACTCAAAATGAAAGAAAGCTTGGGTTTGTGTTTTACGTTTCATGTGACTGCGTTTACCAGTCCAGCCCCTCAAGACTCTTAGAAATGGACATGATTGGGATGAAATGCAGTGCCTTACTCCTGCTCAACCCCCAACTCGGTAGAAAGACGACCAAAAGACAGTGGTGGCGCAGCAAGAGTGAGACGGAGAGTTTGGCAGCATCTTGTGGTGTGTAACTGTCAGAAACGCGCAACTGTCCTCGCGGTCCTGGAAAACTGCCTGATGATTGGATGTCGATAGGAAGCTCGGCCAAGGTAGCCAATATGACCCTGTCTTACGTTGGTAGACTCCGGTACGTGGTAAGACCAGAAGTGTGCGGTTCCTCGCGGGATTGCAGGTGGCCGAAGTGAACGGCGGGAGGCCGAAGCGCGGCGGAAAGGCGAGGTGGGGCTTGGGGGCTGTGGGGGCGCGTGATGGAACCGCTTTGGGCCAACCGGAGAATTAGAGTTCGGTCAGCGGGATGCAGAGGGTCCTTATAGCCCTAACCCTCCCCGCTCTATCATCAAATAGTCTCTATGGCTCAGTCGGTAGAGCGTTGGTCTCATATCAAATACATATGACTCTAGATTATCTAGGGGTCATCCAAAGGTCGCAAGTTCGAGCCTTGCTAGGGACATTTGCTTTTGCTCATGCTTCCAAATTGCCAAATTTTGAGTTAGGATTCGATTTCCATTCGTTTTTGGCTACTTTTGTACATCGCACATTGTGTGAGTGTGTTCTTGCTGCGCCGCGGTGATATCACGTCGTTGACACAGCGGTACTAACACAACAGCCAACCAAGCACAGGGTCCGTCGCAAAGCATCAAACGCTTCCGTATGAAAAGCAACTTGAGGGCTTCCATTATGCTATTCGGTCTTTCAGATATATGGAATCACTGGTATGTGTGTACACATGGGGATCGAAAGACTTTGATGCATCATATTCAACTGATATGTGTAGATCGATGGGGCGAGGGAACGCCCGTTAACGCGCTCAATCTTTGAGGCCCCATGCAGACTGTTCGATGACGAGCAGTCTGTAGATAAGGTAAACAATTGAAAGCCTCGCTAACCGAGACCTTTCCCTATCGTTCCCTTCCCGTCCCTCGGGGATCTGCTGTAGAGGTCGACAGTTGCAGCGGAAAGGCGGCCAATGTACCCACGAATAGGCGACATGCGCCTTCGCAAGCGATACTGATAGTTTCCCAATGCTTCTCTGGAAAACATGTTGTAGTTTAACGTAATCGATAAGTGTTTTTCCACTGCTAATCTCCCTCATCTGCTGTTGGCGCATCTCAAATGCTGAGCGAGGTTGCCCGTGCCTCAAAGGCCCCTTCTCGCTATGCCACTACGTTCATGGCGCTTCCAAAGTTGAGCGTTGTATTTCTCAATGACTTGGAAAGCCCCATCGCATGGTCCACGCGTCTTGTGCTGCGCAGTGCCTGGAGTGAAGTGTACATACATACGGGTTCTCTTACCGAAGGGCGAACCACATTGTGTTGTCTCGCGGACCAACCAGCCGTCACTACACTCCTGCTAGAACAGAGCCGAGCCGCGGCAGAATTTGGGCGTGTGTCGAGGATTTCCTGACGAACGAGACATATTTCTGCACATTCTGAGCCGTTGTCAAGAACTTGCACTATCGCCGGACGCTCTCCCAACGCGTTGTCGAGTGGTGTTGAAGATACATCCTCAGAACAGGACCGCTCGGGAGGGAGCCGCTCTTGAGTCCGAGGCTCAGTCTGCAACATTTCTGTAGACTACTCTCTCAGGTGAACCTAATCCGAGTCGAATCCTCGAATGCGTCATCCCGGTGGCTCGCCTAGTCGGAAAAGGTCGAGCTTGAAATTGGCGCCAGTAGGAGGTTGCGTCCTCGGAACACTCTCAATCGGCACAGGCTTGAATGGTTCAACCTGCCGAATATCGACACCTTCCCGGATACACCGCAAAGGCCACTGAATCCACTCTCTCCAAGGCTCCTGAATAGCCTGATCCAAAGCCGAGGCGACGTTGTTGCCCCATCCGACGAGGTACCACATATTTCGCTCAAAGGCGTGTACCAGCGCCGCGTAGTGCATTAGGATGACGAGTGCCATTGGGTGGTTCTGGCTCATCAGCTCCAGGAAGGGCTGCGGAAGGGAGACGGCCCAGCGCCAGACTAGACCGGACCTATGTTGCGGGGTGGAGACTGCGGCAAAGGTGATTTTAAGGCCTTCGAGCGCAGATTGGCAGGTCGTTGTGTCGTCTGAGGGTGCCATGCTCCGTGTGAGGTTGAGGAGGTCGTCGATTTTGGAGGCAAAGTTTCCGCCTACGGCTGGCTCGACGCCGCCTTGGTAGAGCCAGCGGGCAAGCGGGCCGTTGGAGATGTATCGGTGGGCGAACGGGAGGGTAAGGATGCTCTTGATTCCTTGGATGGGTCAGTACGGCAATGATTTGAGTCCTGCGAGGTTCTAACCTTGCAATAGGATGAAAGACTGGGCGACGTCCTTGGAGGTGATGTGCCCATGGGGGTTCGCGATGGAGTAGGTGTTGAGCAAGAAAATGCATATTGCGTGGAGTACGTAGGCATCTGCGTTGTTTTCGCCAATCTCACTCAATCCTGGTGAGAACTGACTCAGGGCGATGTTCTGGTGGCGTGCTGATAAGTTGGCGTACTCGTCCCTTTTCTCAGGGTTGAGATGGGCTCTATGGATAGCTGATACAGCGAGGATGCCATGAAGAAGGAAGTCCTGGTAGGCTTAGCTGAGTGCAAGGACGTGTATAGAAGACTACCTACGTTGGCGAATGCAATCTGAGGGACAGTCGTGGTCCACAAATGTACAAAGTCTGGATTCTCAGAGAGGGTGTGAGCCGTGTTGGAGGTAAAGTGATGGACGAGTTGCATGTCGGTAAGCCAGTCAGCTTGTGAGATGCCCTGAGCCTCTCCTGAGTCGCCATGACTTGAGCCGTTCGCCGGGCTTGAGTAGTTGTCATGGCCGTTTTGGTTGAGGGCGTCTACTTCAGCCGTAAACTCTGACAGCAGCCCTTGGATAGCGGCGACCTTGTCTTTCAACGAAGACAATTGAGGCGAAGGTCTCTCTCGCCGGCTGGCTGGGCGACTGGTCGTCGAAGCTTCCCCGATACTGCCTGGCGTGGCGGTACTCGCGGCATCCTGGGCTGGTTTTGGCGACTCAGTCACGGGAGGAAGCTGAGGTGTGAATGGCGTCAGAACAAGACTACACTTGACGTCGTGCCGTACACAATTGCGACATGGTCGACTCTCATCGCACTGAATATTGTTAGTAAACGGTTGAAGTCACCTTGGACCTCATCTGAGTCTCCAGCCTCAAGGGGTAGGCTTGGCGTGGCTTGCTGCAGAGACCAGGGCCCATGATGAGTAAACTGACCTTGACGCGCCGTTTCTTGCACTGTTGACAGCCATTCCTCGACTTCTTGTGACCTATACGTGTTCCGCGTATCGCGGTGCCCATCTTTGGCCGTTCAATGCCGTTCTCCAGAGCCGCCACTTCGTCCTTGAGCGAGGCGGTGGACCCCTTTCTTTCCGGCGCGCCGTTCATGGCATTTGACTCGGTCTCCAAACAAACCATACGGAGTACACCTTTCAGGATGACAAGCACCAGCCGAAGAGTCACCGTTTAACTCGTAAGTGGGAAGAAACTCTTTCACTTCTCCCTCCAATGTTCCCGGGGGGGGGGCTGCAATGAGATGTCTCAAGGGTTGTTTTGGCGCTTGGACAAAGAGATGCAGTCCAAAATCGATTATCTGATCCCCAAGCTCGATGGCGCCGCTCGTCATACTGCCGGGCTGCAGGACGCAACTAAGTTAACGCCAGCAGCCAGTTCCAAGCGTGAGAGTCGGGCGACCAGGGGCCCTACACGCTGCGGCTACTGAACCGGGACCCATGCACTCGCAGTTGCAGATGGAGCATGCGCAACACCGTCGGCGGATCTGGAGTGCGTCGATGACGAATGTCCCAAATGCGATCAAGATTCCAGATGCAATCAAGATAATGCGAGGGTGGTGTTTAAAATAGAGAAATGATGGAATTGTCAGCCTGACAGATTTTTGACAGATTGAACGTTGCAGGTGTCACAGATGAAAGGGTCTCGAGACTGTCAGGGACTCAGGGACCGGCAAGCTTCCCGAGTTGCTCCTGCTCTCCTGGAACTGGGCTGTTGGCTAGGTGGATTGCACCTTAAGCTGGCAGTTTCCGTTCCACGCCGGCCGCAACAGCACGTGACCGAAGCTCTCGAAACGGTATGAACTGAAGAACGGACGAAGAGAATGGTCCCTCCGTTTCGTGCAGATCTGCGCACGGACGCTTCATCTTTGGATGGCCCAAGCTCCCCTCCTCTGCGGGGGCGACGAGTACGTATCGCATAGCTTATCCACCAGGGCTGGTGTGGCTGATGCTGCAACGTGTGGCTTGCGCACCAGATCCCTCGTTCCCCTACGGGACAGGTACTTACTTCCACTGCCAGGGACCAGCTGAACGCAGGCACGCAGTGCTAAATTACGACCTGCATGACGCGCCCCGGCGGAACGCGACTTGCCGTTCCATGTCCTGTAGGCTGAGGGTGGTGAGGTCAGGAGCGGCTTGTACGGTACCTTCAAGCCCAGCTCCCCTCCTGTTCGCTCCTCAGTCAAACACAGGAGACGCCAGCCATGTGAACGTCAGCATCAGCTGGAAATCCGACCGTCCATTGCCAGCGGTAACTTCTTGCATCTGTTCAGCCTCAAGTGCTTCCGTCACTGATCCGTCACCGACCTGCCGCTACTATCCCCCAAGCCAGTACCTACTAAGTACTCCGTACTCCGTCGCATAATTGCTGTGCTACGTCTACATCTGTGTCTCTCCCGTCTCTCCCTGCGAGCGCTCACCAACCATTCGACCGACCCCTCTCGAATCGCAGCATCCCGTCCATCCCTGGGAAGCTAAGAAGAAGCGTCGATTGATACTCCGTAGATTGAAGAAAAAGGAGACGTCCCCCCAACGAACCCCGATCATCCGTCTCTTCTTATACAACATCCCTAACGCCCATCATCGATCAACGAACGTCCTTCACCACATATCCCTAGACCAATTGCCCAGCATGGCATCGCATAGCGACTACAATGACATCAAGGCCTCGGCCAAGGATAATGCAGCAGGTGTCTATGCCTACGGCCAGCGCCAGATCAATCGGGTCGTCAGCTCCGACACCAGACAAAGGGCGTATGGCAATGCCTACAACTTTGCTCAGGAGCAGCCATTCCTCTTCGTACGTGCAGTCACCCATACTCGCCCTTCCTCTATTAGTCAACTTCTGCTAACATATGGAAATCAGGCCTTCATCCTCTGCCAATTCATCTTCTCCTTCCTCCCAATCCTCGTCTTCGTCTCCTTCTCCGCCTCGACCATCGCCTTTGCTCTCGGTGCCGCCGTTGTCTTTTCTCTGTTCTGGATCGGCATCGCCCTCCTCGTCCTCGTTCCGATCCTCTTCTTCACCTGCTCAATTGGCGTCCTCGTTTGGATCTGGGCTGCCGGCAGCTTCGTCGTCGCCAAGCGCTTATATGAGATGTCGCCGATCCGGGGTAGGGGTGATCTTGAGATAGATGCTCCCAATGGCAAGACGTACGCCGTCACGAAGCGTGAGGATGGCGTTCATGCGCAGACCTACGACTGAGCCGGGACAGCAAATTTGTGATGGGAAACGGCCGGTCGGGCGTTGGGAAAGGGACGGATATCAGGAACGGTTTGAGAAAATGGGGCTTGGCCTTTCAAAAGGGTTTGGGCGGCATTGTGCACCTGATTTCAATCCTTACGCTCTTTTGTTCATCGACTTAGACAACAGTGACTGCCAACTTTTCGCCGGTGTCTTTTCCGAGTTATGATGGTAAATCTTTCCCCCATCCACAGGGTACTTGTTAGGCACGTGCTGTGACCCCAAATCTCCAGTATGTCGCATTGTTCCCCCAGTCGTTCTATGACTCCCTAGTCTGTGCATGAACCTTGTAGGCATTGGAAGACAAATAGTTATCAACGATCACACTTGACCACTTCTCGAGACTGAAAAACAACAGCCTGCACTTCTGCTGATCTTAGAATAGGCCAAAAGTGCAAAATGAAACATTGGTGCCAACACTGTGGATCGAACACAGGATCCCCGCATTACAAGTGCGATGCCTTACCACTTGGCCATGCTGGCGAATCGGATGATAGTGTAGGTTTTAAATCCCCAATATGTATCCCTGCTCAGTAGTAAGACTGTTGTAACGGCTTCAGTTGATCTGCAACATCTTGAAAAAGCTGCGTCCAGCCATGTATCCCTTCTCAAATGTCCGGTCTTATTCCCATCACCAGTAGTGGTGGAATCGCAAAGAACTCCACAGGCTCGAGGAGTCTATTGAAACGAACCGCAAAGTCTCAATTTCACGATGGTATGATTCAGAATGAAGACTGATTGAACCTTGGCGATGTCTCCTTCAGACGACATTGTGAATGATTGGCCGATGGGGAAGAACGCCTCGCCAACGCAGACGTGCAGCAACGCCCGGTTACTACTGGCATTGCTTAAAACAAGATAGACAGACAGCCTGCCCGAGATAAGATGTCATCCAAGAGTGGAGTCTGGTGGGATCCAAGACTGCCTCAATCTTGCATTATTGCCAAACTCTTTTGCCTAGATCCAAGGTGGAGGCCAGCGCCGCTGAAAGCATTATGCTAGCTTTCTCATCGTCTCGATCGCCTAGATGGAAATCCGCCTTGCTGTTCTCCATGCAGTCGGAGACAAAGGCAAATCGTATCCTATCCATGTGGACTTGGAGTCACACAAGGATACACTTCCCCGACTATGATGCCGTATCGTAAACATGGAGCGATGAGAATGTAAAACTCCGAGCGGTAAATGAGCAACTGCTATAGCTTGACGGACCTCAGAACTCACTGACTTGCGTTCATAGTTGTCATCCGATCTACGTCGACGATTATTGGGACGTCATTTTTCAAACCAAGAACTGCTGCAGCCTGCAACATGCTGAGATATTACGACCCTCTCGAGGTTTGAAACTGGTTTAGGTCGACGCAATCTGTACCGATCAGAACAACCTCAAAGAAAGGGCTATGCAAGTGGCCAAGATGGGTCAAATCTACTCGAGATGCTCGCAAGTATGGGCTTGGATGGGCAATGATTTGGTACCAGATGACCTACAAGGCTTTCCAGAGCGACAACGGCTTCATGAGCTTGGAACAATGTCAAGCCATGCTGTGTTGTCATCGGAAAACATCATGAGCACGGAGTCGCGACGAAAGAACGCTGATATGCATATTTTGCAACTGTTGAAGCGAAAGTATTTCGGCCGAGTTTGGGTCATACAGGAACTAGTGCTTGCCCCGCGTGTTCTCATTATGATTAGGAATGTGATCTTCGCAGCGGATCATGTCACAGCTCGCAAGCTGACAAGGCCAGAGAACGAGTTGGCAAACACGCGCAAGCTTTCTTGGAACGACACGGAAGCCCCTTGGTTCAAGTATATTGCCCAATGACGTATCGACGGCTCGGATCTCTGGGAAATAATGGCATTGACCGGAAAATCAGACGCTTCAGACTTTCGAGACAAGCTGTACGGCATTCTCGGTCTCCTATTCTTGGAAAGTAATAGGAACCCGTTGCAACCCAATTCCGCCATTTCAGCTCGTCAGATGCTCATTAGGTTCTTTGCGCACTGCTTGGTCAACGAGAGAAAACTCCAGCTCTTCTTTATGGCCCAAGGCCATGCTGCCCACGAGGGTATATCTTGGATTCCTGCTTGGGAGACGCAAAAATCCTGGGAACAGGTATTCGTGGAGCCATCCGAGCTGGCGTATAATCGCGAATTCAAAAGCGGCGATGCCGAGAATCGTTCGTAGAAACCGGAAGTACGATGATTCCATGAGAAGAGGATTTCATGTCGCCATGTCGAGCGGAGCCACAAGGCTTCCTGTTAACAGACGAATAGCTGAATTCAAGGCGGGATCGCTCATTCCATTTGGGAGTGACTTTTCCCAAATTTATCCTTGGCATCGGGATATCACTGTCGATTCCAACACGGGATCCATCTCGCTGTGGCTGATAAGGCTAGCACCCGTCGGCTCGGCTCATATTGAGGCACTAGAAGAGTTCGTCGATGACTTGACTCTGTACAGGATCAACTCTGGCCCAGGTCAGTCGTTTTTGATTGGGAGCCATCACTCACTCGATAGATTGCTAAAACAAGATGACGAGCATTTTGCCCCGGATCCTGAAAGAAGCCTTGGCAGCTCCGAGTCAGACCAGCTCGTCTTCATGGTTCTCAGAAAACGGGGTGACGGATTGTACCGACTGACGAATTGTTTCTCGTATTTGTGTTTCTGCCCTATGCCATCGCCGACTCCCTATAAAGAACCCCGATTTCTCAACGAGCTCCAAGAAAGCGTACAGGTAGCGCAGAGAAAGAGAGATTTACAGTACAAGTTGAACCCACCGGTGTGCGAATGCGGATTGGGAGCCATTTTAACCTACTTAGGCATTCTATGTCCCTTTCGGCTGGCTTTCCCCGAAAACGAGGATACGAAACTAGGTCACGGGTTGCCAATTTTTACTGGTCATGAAAGCTTTGAACGGTTGCAAGAGAACGAGGTTTGCGCTAGACGTCGACAACAAGTTATAGAGAACTACCTTGAGTTCGGGTTTGAGATCGATTTTGCAACTCAGCAGGGCAACAACGGAGGCCGGGTAGAATGTGTACATGATGGCTTTCCTTCAAGAATGGAGTGGGAATGGCGCAGGACCGGGGAGGAAAATAGGTCACTTTAGCGGAGAGTTCCAGACTTGCAAAACAACGAAACTGAAGAGTATCTAGAACTTCCGGGTGGGATGATGCGGATTCATCTGAGGTGCCGAGTAGAAGCGGTCAGGGAAGTCATTGATACTATGGCCCGAGAATTGGGCATTACGGCGCTCTGGGAACCCCGAGTATTCGGAGACACCTTCAAGGCCTTGAGAAAAACATTCGCAGTAAAGTAAAGTAAAGTAAAGTAAAGTAAAGTAAAGTAAGATAAAGTAAAGTAAAGGAAGAGGACTTCCTGTTACCTATTCCTCATGCACGAAACGGAAAGAACTCCAGGTCTGACGACTTTGCAGCTTGGACGGCGGCGTGTAATGAGTCTGCATTGTCTAGGTACCTAGTCTCAATGACATGTACGAGACCATTCCACTATTCGCATCGAACGCTACAAGCTATATATGCCGTGCATACTCAAGTAATCAACACAATTACGCGTATAATTAGTAATCCAATGTCTTGAAGGTGAATCGTGACGCTAAATGATAATAGCATTCAGTCATTGGATCCAATCGGAACTATCAACAACGTGGCTATAATCTTGCCATGTTGGGACCTGACTCTCTATTCCTCCTCAGCGGGAAGCTCATCCTCGTACTCCTCGGCATACTCGTCATCCATGCCCGCATCCTGGTACTGTTGGTACTCAGACACCAAGTCGTTCATGTTGGACTCGGCCTCGGTGAATTCCATCTCGTCCATACCCTCGCCAGTGTACCAGTGCAAGAAGGCCTTTCTCCGGAACATGACGCTGAATTGGTCACCAATTCTGCGGAAGCTGTTCTGAATCGCGGTGGAATTGCCGATGAACGTGGATGAAACGTCGAGACCCTTGGGCGGGACGGAGCAGTGGGCAGTCTGAATGTTGTTGGGAATCCATTCCACAAAGTTGGTAGAGTTCTTGGTCTTGATGGCGTGGATTTGGTCTTCGACCTGCTTCATGGACACCTTTCCGCGGCTAACGAGGGGTTAGAAGTAGCTCAAGGGGAGAGCTGGGAGCGCAACTTACAACATGGTTGAGCAAGTCAAGAAGCGTCCGTCTCTAAAGTCGGACGCCAACATGACGTTCTTGGGGTCGAACATTTGCTGCGTGAGCTCGGCGACACCGAGGTTGGAGAAGGAGGCAGAAGACGTAAGGGGTGCGAATCCGACGGTGAAGAAATGCAATCTCGGGAAGGGCACGAGATTAACAGCCAACTTGCGGAGATCGGCGTTGAGCTGGCCCGGGAAGCGGAAACCAGTCGTCAAGCCGGACATGACTCTCGAAACGAGGTTGTTCAAGTGTCCGTACGAAGGGTGAGCCTGCTTCAGCGTGCGTCTGCAGATATCGTACAGCGCCTCGTTATCGATACAGAACGTCTCGTCCGAGTTTTCAACGAGCTGGTGGATCGACAGGGTGGCATTGTACGGCTCGACGACGACCTCGGAGACCTTGGCGGACGGTAGGACGGAGAAGGTGGCCATCATACGATCGGGGAATTCTTCGCGGACCTTGGCGATGAGAAGGGTGCCCATGCCGGAGCCAGTGCCGCCACCGAGCGAGTGGGTGATTTGGAACCCTTGAAGGCTGTCGCAGCCCTCGGCCTCGCGACGCACGACGTCCAGGACGGAGTCGACGAGCTCGGCGCCTTCGGTGTAGTGACCCTTTGCCCAGTTGTTACCGGCGCCGGATTGACCGTTGACCATGTTGTCTGGGCGGAAGAGGTTGCCCAGGGGGCCGGAGCGGATCGCCTCCATCGTGGCGGGCTCGAGATCGACGAGGACGGCGCGGGGGACATACTTTTGTCTTCCGGCCTACATTACGTGGGTTCGCGGTTAGATTCTTGTGAGATGTCATGGGAGGGGGTGAGGCGCTGATGAGATCATGAGGCGCAGGTGACATGAAAGTAGTACCTCGGTGAAGTAGACACTCAATCGCTCGGATTGTTGCTCATCAGTTCCTGTGAACCTGGGACGCGAGTCAACATACAATGCTCATAGACTTGCATCGTCGCGGTCGAGCAGCTGGAAAGACTCACTGTCCATCCTGATCCAAGCCATGCTCAGGGTGAATGGTTTGCCTGTTGTCGCAAACGTTAATCACAGGTTCTTCAAGGTCCTCCTGTTGTTGAACCGAATGTCGAGATTGGCATCTTCCTACCAGAAAGCAGTTCCGACTTGGTTGCCCTACAAAGCTTCATCATCAGTAAAGGCGCGTTTTGACGCGTTGAGCGTCGAACAGAGGCAAGGGGAGACGTACGCATTGGCCGGTCTGGAGGTGAATCTAGAGTGGATCACGGAGCGTTAGTTCATCAAGAGGGACTTTTAACAAAGTACTCTCACATGTGCGCGCAACTCACAATTTCACGCATAATGCTGGTTCGAGGATAAGACGGGGTTGTGGTATATTACGATGGTGAAGGACGCAAGACGCAGGACGCAGATTTTTACCCCGCTATCGAATTGTTGAAATCACGACAGGTGGTCATCTTATAGCGGGATTCCTTATTTCACAACAAACCCCTATCCTGTCCGTATCGCACGCTCGTCTCGCTTGCGCTGTGCACTTGTTCGCCCCGGATAGGCCCGGCTGTGGACTCTCGGTCTGGACTCTGGAAACTCCCCACATGTTGGTGCATGCATCTTGTTAAACTGCTGCCTTTTGGGAGTTTGATAGCTGCCTGGTTCATGTGTTTCTCTGGCACGGCATGGACATTGACTTCCCGGGCTGTCATACTTGGTGTGGGAAGACAGAACGGACGGTGAGCGGTCAGAGCTTTTTAGGGGGCTCTTTTGGAGGGAAATCTGTGTGGGAAAAAAGAGGGAAAAATTGAGAAATAAAGATAAAATAAAAATAAAAAAGGACTTTGGCTACCCAACCAACGATTCGCGCGGAGGTGTCACCGGGAGAGACGCAAGCTAGACCATGTTTGGCCCCTGACCCGTAGAAACGATTGGTAAATGTTGGTCTGTCGCTTGTGCCACTTGAAAGTCTCTTGTGGATGTGTTCAAAATCTCCAAGAGTCTCCATGTTCGGCGATAGGCGCATCATCAAGACTCACAAGGTGTGGTGTCACCAAACTCGTGGTTCTTGTTGAAGAGCGTTGCCTAACGCCGTGACGCCGTTCCAACTGTCTGGCCAATCGCTCTTTGGGATATTCAGCTGCCTGTACTCCCTCGAAACAAGCCGGTTGTTTGTCCGTCACTCCGTCGCCGTGTTGATACACGATACACGGTTGCTAGGTGTGTGTCTGCCTGCATGTGTCACACCATCACCCCATCGACCGACCGGTGCCGCCGCCGCCGCTTGACCGGACGAGCCGGATCATTGAGTCCGAATGTCCCCCTCCCCTTCCCCGTCCAGTCCGTGCTCATTGCCCCTCACTCTCGGCGGACGAAGAACCAAGAGAGTTCGGCGCGTGGTTTAATTCCCACATAGCTCGGCCAACATTCCAGCGCGCACCCACGTGGGATCATCCAAACATGAAAGAAGTCAAGGACGGTACAAGCTGAGGAAATTCCGGGAGAACGGAGAACTCAGCTCCCCCGCTCCCTCGAGTCCCTGGTGGCCTAGATTATACATTTGCAGCGTTGGGTTTCGCGTCGCGGCGATAGCTTGGCTGTCTGCAGCATCGACGGACTATGCCGATGTCGTTGCTGACGGATCTGGCCTCTCCCACATTACGGCGACCTCTCAAAGGCCAAACGCTGCATAGAATCTATGTGGGCTTCGCTGCAGACAGCCAAGTCGTCGTCACGGCGCGAAGCCGCGAACCCAACGCAGGGGAGCGCGTATGTATGTGGCTTGGAGAAGGCTGTTGATTTCTGACGAAGACTGCCGTCCAAGCCCATCGCAGCGAAAGCCGAGAAGAGTTGCAAATGAGAGATAAGGTTATTCATTCTTAAAAGTTTATCGCCAAGCGAGCATCGCTGCCATTGCACAACGGCCCAAGAGAGTTTACATGTCAGCGCCCCTGACATGCCAACGATATCAGAGACATGCTGTACGAGTGCTGATCATTCACATTCGACGAGCACCTGCTTCAGCACATCTACCAAGCAACCTTTGACACGGAGAGTGGTGGTCCAGCCACTGACGAGGGGCTCAAGACGATCTGGAATGCAGATGTTTTGGGTGATCAGGGGCAGACGGGCAAAATGAAAGGTGTTGGCGGCCTGGGCGGCGGCAGTGGCAGCCTGTTTTCCTTTTTCTTCTTCCCCTCAGCCTTCTCTCAACTCGACCGTCAGCCGTGGAGCCTCATGGAAAAGTTTGCATGAAAGCGTCGTCGTCGTCGTCGTCGTCTCCTTCAGCCTCTTGCAGTAAACCCCTCATACGTCTTGGGTAGATCTAGACACCGATATGGTCTGGACCCTTTGCTCGAATCCGATCAGAGTACCCGACCGTTTACCAAAAGCGATCGGTGACAGCGGCATCTAGTCTGGTTAGCCAGCGGGAGACGATAGAATCTGGTTTAGGGGGGTTCGTAAGTTCTCTTTCAGACTGAGACATAGTGTCTTGAAGTTAAATGAACCGGAGGATGTGGCTTGCGCTTCAAAGAAACTGAGGAGTTTTCCCCCAAAGCCCCGTGTTCCTGAAAGCGGTAAACCTGCCGGGACTCGACTGCAACAGCGCAATCCCCATGGTACCGACTCCCGAGGGAGAGTCCTGAAGAATGAGAATGGAATGAGATATATCTACATCCTCGAAGCCCTGGTCTATCCGGGTTTCCTTCTTGCTCTCGCATCTTCAAGCTACCACTTGGAACACTCTCCTTGATTGCATCCCTTTCTGCTCTTCTTCAGTTTCTCAACAATCCTATTTTCCCGGGTATCATCAACTTCAGTCTTCAGCTCAGTGGCAGGAACCATCCTTCCATTCAGTCAGTCACTCCTTCTAACGACTCTACTTCCACCAAAACGATCCCGGTGATTTCGATATATCCGAAGCCCCAATACCCATATCTCAAGCCACCACAATGCACTTCTCAGCCAGCGCAACCTTTGCCTTGGGCCTGTTGGCCTCTCAAGCCGCGGCGTTGAACATCGTCAAGGTGCCAAAGTTCCGCGCCGCCGGACTCCCAACCTACACAACCACTCTCGCTGCCCCCACGACGACCCTTGCCACGATCATCTTGACGACCGCGTCACCGACCTCGTCATCAACCTCGTCCACAGCGACAGTCGCACCCACTGCCTCTGCTAACTCGACTCTGAGCGCCGACCTGCAGCGTGCCCTCGACCTCCACAACATCTACCGCGCGGCTGTTGGCAACGCCAACTTGACCTGGGATGATGATTTGGCCAAGTCGGCTCAAGTCTGGGCCGATCACTTGACGACTGTAGGCAGCCTGGTTCACGACAAGAACCCCGGCGGCCAGGGAGAGTGTTTGGCTTCGCAGTCGGGCGGCACCAACTCCTACTTCACCAACGGTGTTCAGCTGTGGTTGGATGAGAAGCCTCTGTACGATGGCCAGCCTATTCGCACCACTGGATCTCCCAACTACTTGAACTATGGCCACTACAGTAAGTACTTTGGTCTTTGATTGATGCAGAACTATGTAACTAACAAGTTGACAGCTCAAGCCATCTGGAAGGATACCAAGCAGGTCGGCTTGGCCATGGCCACCAGCCCCTCCGGTACCACCTTTGTGGTCGCACGTTACTTGCCCGCTGGAAACATGTAAGTTCCATCATCTGGTTCTGATCATATTCGCAAGCCTGACTAACCTCTCCTAGCATCGGTTCCTTGCCCTACTAAGCAAGGAATGAAGGACTCTCAGTGCTACTTGAGATATGTCAATCATCGCTATTGGTTCGGCTCGGCTTTTTGATTTAGACCGCTTCTCCTTCACTCAGTTGCTTATGCTCATGGCAAGATTTGCATGTCTTGGGCCATTTCACTGCACATAGATTGTACAGTTCCGTTCAGATTCTTCAATCATTCAAGAGAAACCAAAGTTTAGAGACCTCCAATACCAAACATTCATTCAATCAAACCCTCCGAAACTTGCAAAACAAAACAAAATGCCGAATCCGGAAAAGGGTTCAAGGTAAGGTTCTGACTTGGCAACGCCGTCTCATCTTCACCAAGTGTCTCTGCCCCACCTAGCAAAAGACGCCCGTCCGAAACTCGGCGGACGAACCGGACGTGCACTCACTCATCCTCCAACTTTCAACAACACTCACTTCCACTTCTCGTCCGTCCGAAAAGTACACAACCCACACACATAACCAATGTCTCCCAGTCTCAATCTCACATGATGGCCGGCGACGAGCGAGGTACCATCACCGTCCGCACCGCTGCCTCGGAACGGCGAGCTGCAGCCGCCAAGCGCCGCTTCGTCCGCAGGGGCACCAAGAGCTGCTGGGAATGCCGGAGACGCAAGATTCGTTGCATCTTTGACGATAACGGACTTCGGGATACGTGTAAAACGTGTTGGCAGAAGGGAACGCCTTGTGTAAGTCAAGAGTTCCCCGAAGAGGATGCCCAGACAGCTCCGGCTCCGGTGGGCAGCCTCGGGGACCGGCTGAATCGGGTTGAGCGACTGGTCGAGCAGTTATACCACCGAGTGGATGATCTTGATGTCCCCATGCCTAGTTCTCCGCAGGAGAAGATAGGAGGGAGCTGTAGCCCTGGAGGTGAAGAATCGGCCGCCATAGGCCCGGCCACTGAAGCGGGTTCTGAAGCCGTCGGCAGCCCTTCACCGACTCGGAATGCAGACTCATCAACGGTAGGATCAGCTTGAGCATCCGAAAGAACTAATTACTGACGAACACCTACCTACTCATTGATAAAGATTCAATCGCAACAGGAGAACAACGATGCACAATCAATTGAAGGCTCATCACGACCGCAAGTCACCACTCACTATGAGACCACCGCGACAGTTCGCCCAACAGTCAATGCCAAGCTCACGGCCTACACCAGGCAGCTCTCCGCTGCCATTCCCGCCCTAGAAGATTGCCGGGTCATTTACAAGCTCTACTCTGAAGCTGACATCGTCTTTCAGCTGATGTTTACACCCCACTGCCTTTTGGAGAAGCTTAAGCCAGAGTCTGTCGAGCACTTTATGGAATCACTCAGAACACCAATGCACCCCACCCTCCTGGCCAAAAAGATGCTCATGTTGGGCACGATGCTTCAACGAGTTCCGACTCATGCCGGAGAGATTGCGTCCGAAGAAACCTATCGCATCGTTGACAGGCTGGCAGAAACAGCTATTTCTGTGGTGTGCGAGAACAACGTACTATTGGGCACGCTCGACGGTCTCGAATGTCTCATTTTGCAAACTGTTTATCATGCCAACGGAGGCAATCCCAGATTATCACTGTTGACCTGCCGTCGCGCGATAACTGTTGCTCAATTGATGGGGCTTCACCGCCCACACGACCCGGCCACTATTGAGACTGTAGATTCGAATTCGACGGCTGTACCTGGCTTCGTGTGGTTTCGTCTGGTATACCTGGAGCGCTTCATCTGCCTACTTCTAGGACTTCCCAGCAGCACCCACGATGCAAAAGTCGTTAATGACGAGAAGACGCAGATGTACGTCAACAGCCACCACATTGACAGACTCGAACAAGTTCATTCCGCCATCGCCGCCAAGATCATCCAACGAAATGAGTCGGGGTCATACTTATTCGACATGGATACTACTCACGCACTGGACCAAGAGCTTCAAGTAATCGCCACGACGATGCCGTCGCGCTGGTGGACGATTCCAAACTTCACCAAGCGGCACAAGGACCCTATGCCGATCGTCCGCAACAGCCTCAATCTCGCCAACCAGCTCTTTCACTTCTTCCTTATCATCGAGCTCCACCTCCCCTTCATGCTCCGCCACTCCAAGAACGGCGCAGCCAGCAGCAGCAGAATGGCCTGCGTTGACGCGAGCAGAGAAGTTCTTTCTAGGTTCATCGCGATCCGTAATCCGGAAGGGATATGTAGCATCCCCGATGCCGCCGACTTCTTTGCCCTCATCGCTGCTATGACGCTTATGCTCGCACACATTGACGCCCGAAGGCGCGATAGGGGGAAGGATATCCTCGCGCACCAGAGGCACACGGACCGCGACAAGGTCGAGCAGACGTTGGAGCATATGCGTGACGGGAGCTCCAAGAACACGGATATGCTGTCAATGAAGAGCGCAGATGTCTTGAAGAGCCTGCTTGCGATCGAGGCTGATGCTGCCGGGGGTTCGACGTTTACTGCGAGTTTAAGTTCGGCGCCGACCCCAGCTTCGGCTTCATGTGGTGGTGCGGGCGATGAGCGGAGCACAGGTGATGCTAGGAATGTGCTGCAGCTCAAGATTCCGTGTTATGGTACCGTCATTATCTCTCCAGATGCTCCCCCTTCTCGGGAGCCTTGGATGCCTGTCAGCCGTGCTCAGCACGGAATGGTTCCGGAAAGCCGTATTCCGGGAAACCTCAATGTCGCGACTCCCTTTGTCGGAGGTCCTCCAGCAGGGTTGTGCCCAGGTGAAGAGGCTGCTTTCATCCCAAACTCGAGTGGCCAGGGTGGTGAGAACTTACAGCTCGACCCCGATGTGGATCCAAGATGGCTCTTCGAACTCGGGAATCCTAGGCTACTGGGCAATGGAATTGCCGCTGGTCTGGAGGATTGGCCTTTTCAGGGAGTTGATGCGGCCTTCTTTGACAGCATGATCAGAGGTTTCGAAGGCGGCGATGAGTTTAGCGGAGGAAGCGTACCGTAATCCCATTACCATTTTACTTCACGTGAAGTAGGAATAGGATACGAGGCAAGTGAATCGACTGACGAAATACAAGAGTCGACTCTGTTGAACAGAAGCATATTCCTTCTATCGACAGGACTCTAACATCATCATGATCAAGTAACTAGAGCATACGGGGTATCGAAACACTCTTCCCAATTCTTCTTCCCAGACGACCAAAACTTCTCCAGAATATCTTTTGTCGCCAGGGGCAAATACGCACCCAGATGTACACTTTCATCAGCCAAACGCTTAGAAATAAACGACCTCGCCGCCGCGCTTCCCATTTTAGCATCGAACCCAGCAACAATCATCGGCCACATGACGCAGCTCCTTAGGACCTGGGACCCGGCGGCCTTCTCGAGCAGGGTCATGAGCTTGCTGCCATGTATCGTCTTCACGGCCCGCCAGCCCGCGGAAGCGGGTATCACACAAACGCTCTGGAGGGATGCGATGGCAAAGACTACGACGGCGGACTGGTACACCTGCGCCATTGTCAGGAAGTCGTCTTGCGATTCGGTCTTGGCGGACGACCAACTTTCGGGGGAGAAGTCTATGATGCGCTCAAGGAGGTCTTCGGCCTCGGTCTGGAGGGAGTCGAGCGTATCTGATGACTCTGGCTGCGTTGCGAGGTATCTAAGGCGATTGATGCAGATGACGTCGATGAAAAGTTCTACAGGACAGGGGAGGAAGGGGTAGTATCCTGTTTCGTAGACTTCCTGGATGAGGTCTCTCATCTTGAAATTGAGCAGGGGTGACACTAGGTCGTATGCGGGGCTGGTTGTGTTTGCCATATTCTCGATGCTGTGGGAGTGCGTGTCATCAGTGATCTGCACCTACAAGACGGGTCACTGACCGAGATGCTTACATCTTGCAGAACAGGATCACAGTCTTGTAGCCCGCCGCGGCGTCGCAAACACTTCTCAAGCCACCGCGCATCTCGATGATGGCCATGAAACCGTTGAGATGGTGCCTCCAGTTGTCGGCCGTTACTGATCCCATGAGCTGTACTCCGACAGATTAGGCTTAATGTTTCCCAGCAAGCGAGGGAGTTTAGGAAAGGAGAAGGCGTGAAATGGAAGGGGGCCAGGATACACACATCTGCGTATAAGAATACAATGACCGCTGCCATCGTGTAGTCAGAGATTCTTCTCTTTTCATTACGGTGGCTAACCTCTTCATTCAAGGCCTGGATTGCCGTACATCGATGCTGATGGAAGCGGGCTCGAACTTCTGCTTGGTACATGTCGTTTTTCTTCTTGGACAAGCGCAGCATGCGGTGGTCGATGGCCATCGCAACGAGAGCGTGTTGGATGGGGACTCCCATGTATTGTACGTACGTCACAGGTACAAGCCACGGGCTGTTGGTCAACTGATTCGCTGCGAAGAATGGGTAGACCTGATCGTTCCCTGTTGCGGATTGAGCCTCCATCAGTTGTGTGGTCTCTCAAACAAGGCAAAGCCCCGGCTCAGTTGGGCCACTAAGGTGGGCTGGTAACTTACAATAGAGTGTAGCCTCAATAATGTCACAAGTCTCATCTCTCAACTCATAACCGGGAAAGATGTGCACAGTGCGGTCCAAGCGAGTACCCGATACGTCGGATCTAAGAGCCTTTGCGATCTCCGACTCGGTTTGCCCTTTGGTACCGTCCTTTGATGAGACCTTGTCGTTCTTCTTGTTGGCAGGAGGGCTCTTCCGTTTCCACGTCCGGGTCTTAACCTTGCCAGGGGCAAGCCATATCAATGGCTTCTTGTCCTCGTACCCGGGACACACGACGCCGCTAGTCTTGCACTTTACGCAGACGGGACGTGCCGAGTCGCAGACTAATCGACGCCGTTGACATTCCCAGCATTGTCTCCTCGCATTGCTGGGCTCTGTCTGCGTTTGTGTCTGTACCTGTGCCTGCGGCGGTGCACCCACTGCGAGCGCCAGCTTTCTAGAAGTGGAAGTCATCGTCTGTTTTGGGGACTGGGGAGTTTCCCGTCTCAACGGTGCACCGAACGGCTTTACGTTTCGGGCTATTGGAAGTAGACGGAGTGACGGGATGGCACATAAATCCTGCAACCCGCTGGCTCGGGTCGAGTTTAATACATGTAGTGAGGAGTTGAGTTGGAGCTGCCTGTCGGTCAGCTACGGTTACCTAGTCGGCGACGACGAGTAGGGGGCGCAGTGCATGTCTTGGCCACTTGGATAGCCTAATCCGGTAAAGTACGGGGCATTCCTTCGAGATCATCACGTCTCTAGCGCGTCAGCAAGACAGCCCTACCAGAGAGGGGATGATAGGCGAGCTGTGTACGAATGGAGTTGTCTGACGACTTCATTGGATGGCTTACATGGCTTCTTACCTATTCCCGTCCGATAGCGAGTGTGAACAAGAGCAAATTACTGTAAAAAAGAGATCGGATGTTTAACCAATGGCGCCACGGGGGCTGAGGAGATGTGCATCGTACACAGCCAAATGAACCTTGCTACGGGCGTTGGACCATGATAAGTTAGAAGACTTTAAAGATGATTCATCTCACGTCGGTGGCGACGATGCGAATTTATTGGTGCGTAAGCTTGACAGAATTCCTTGACCCTGTTTGCTCTCTTACTCTTATGTCACAGCATTCAAAACCAATGAAACTCATCAAAACCAGATCAAGGTTTTCGAAGAGGTAATTGGAATCAGTAGAGGACAAATCAAAGTATATAATCTGGATTAGATTGTCTACTTTCAAAATCGTCGAGCATTTAACTTCCTCGAGAACCGTAAAAGGAGCTCTCCTGGAACTGACTTGCTAAAAAATAGTTAATAGTTGCGCAAGTCAGTTGATCGAATATCGGAAAACGGGAGTACCTAATTCCGAGCCACAAGCGTCGATGGTTTAGTGGTAAAATTCTCCGTTGCCATCCAGCAGCGTCGGGGAGCCGGGGGTTCGATTCCCCCTCGACGCAATCTTTTGACATCCAGGCTTTCTTTTTTGCTTTCTTTTTCTTTTATGGTCAGACAAGATGACTTATTTGTCGCGTCTTGTCACAGCCTTGTGGGCGAAAAGTTGGGGCAGTTCGCGGGAAATAATCACAGTTGGCCAGAATATAACACGGATAATCCATCTGCTGGGGTAGATTACCAGCGAACCAGTATGAGGCATCTCATGAGGAGACGATGTATGAACTCGCTACGTCAATCGGACATGTGCTCGTTCTAAAATGACAGGCTTGATTGACTACCATCTCGGTTTCCGTACTTCAGACGTTAGATAAGACGATAGTGGCGAAAGGCTTCAATCCCTCGGTATCAGTTCTCTGTGTTGTTCGTCAAGCCAAATGATCCTCGATAGCTAGCTTCCTGTGCTGTCACGGGACCGTCTGAGAGACGGAAGTCAATTGCTGTGAGCCACGCCAGACTCAAAGGTTTCATCTGCGAGCAGACTCGTGTTGTAGAAACAGCAAGCTGACCTCTACGCGTCGCAAACAGCGTCCAGAGGGTCCAATATTTGATCCAACAGAAGTTCTGATCGCGACCCTTTGAACTTGGTGCGTTGCATCGGTAGCCCGAAATGTCGGAGTCGGAGTTTTGTCCAGCAACCAACCGATGAATGAGGTGAAAACTCGCCTAAGTTTGTAGGCACGCTCATTTCTCAAATTTGTGACTGAAAGAGAAAGACCGTCCGAAACTACACCGCCAGGCACAAACGACGTTGAAGGTTTTATGTGCCTTGGCTATCCGTCGATTAGACTTTGGATTCATGTTCAAGGCCGCACCGGTGCAACCACAACGAGTGAACGCGGGGCGAAAGGTAGGTAATCATTTACTCATCGTTGCTAAATAACCGGCTACCACCGAGGGTGTGCAAAGGCCTTGAGGCTGGAGCATATTCGAAGTTGAGACGAACTCTGAATATCTGGACTCTGCCTGCCCCCCATCCATTAGTCTCTCCGCGCGCCTAGCTGGTCACCACTTCCTCCAGTTCCAGGAGATCAGCCCTCGACTCCTCGGACCTCACCACTTCATCATCCCAATCAGTGATCCCCAAGAGCCGATTTTGACCAAGTCTGCGAGGACCGTGCTCTGTTGCAAAGTCCGACATGAACCTTGTCCCTTGCAGCCCTGCTCTAGCCCCTTGGATCCTTGTAAGTCGTCGACCGGTAAGGCGGGGGGTATTCTCTTTCCTCACTCCCGAGCTCCCCCAGAGTCAAAGACCGCCTAGGAGTCCGAGAAGAGTGTTTATTGGAATAGCAGTCTTCAAACGGGATAGCTTGTTAGCCCCCAGGCACGTCGTGCAGACTCAGCAATCCTACCGGAAGAGCCGTGATACCAGCCGCTGCAAGCCACGGGCGGCTCGCCAGCATCTAGAAGGTCGAAATCACCGAGGGGCTGAGTGCAAAGCCGCCGACAAACCCACTCGCCCCGATTAAAACAGACTGGGATGATGGGACTTTTAAATTACGCAAGTCGTTTTGCGTCGCATTGCGGATATATGCGTGCGCGCTTTGACTGGAGGCAACGGTAATCCAGCCAAAATTCCGCGGCCAAGACTTCGGGTCCGAGTCTGCTCGCCATCTGGTCTATCACTACATCTGACTTGAAAGAAAAAAAGGCAAAGAAACATGTACGTCACTGCTAATTTGTTGGCGTTTGAAAATTCGTTATCTCATATCCTATCGTACTTTGTATAAGTCACTGTACAACGATACGCGTAAAAAGCAACAATCGCAGGGCAGGGAAGCCGGCGGTAACTTCATGAATCATGATCGTGCGTATGATACGAGTTCACGCGCCCACTGTGGTCTTCCCTGCCGGGGTATCTGACGACGCTTTCAAGAGGCTCCTCTTTCCCCATCAACACCGTAAATGCGTAAGTAAGCCCACTCCGGGCTGCGTGTACTTTGTCTGTGTCATTGTTTGCCAATGCACACTGCCTCTCATAATGACGCCTGCCGTGTCGTTCTTCTTATCGCTGCCGCATCATGACTATCGCTGCTGTCGACGTCCTCTTCCGAGATCCAGAATTCTGTTCGCTTCTGAATACCCGGTTCAAGTGGGATATCGCTGTGATCGCTCTTTGATATGGAGGGCCTGCGCTCCGAGCGGATGAATGTGTCGGTGTTGCCGCCATTGTCGCCGTGTAATCTGCTGCCGTTGTTGTATGCGGATCGAGACCGATGTGAGGAATTCCCGTACCCTGAGGGGTGGGAGCTAGGAAGTTGCTTTTCTCCAAAGAAGTAGAACCAGAGGGATCTGGAGAGAGCCAGGTTTCCAGCAATGATTCCAATGTAAAGTTCAAGGTTAGACCAGATTGCGGTTACTGCATAGACGTCTGAGGATCATGTTAGCTAGGCTCTTGGGACCATCATCCGAGAAATGTCCTTACAACTCAAGTCGTTTGTTACCAGGCCTAGAGAGGATGCTCTAGCGATACCAAAGCCAGTTGCACTGTAAGCTAATGTCAGTATACTAGTCCGGGCTCGGGGTCGGAGAGGCTTGCTAACATCAAACCGAGACTCATCAGTGCCCCAACCGAAAGCTTGGTCGATAGTGGTATGCGGACTTGCCAGACTACGACTAGAGGCAACAGGGAACATAATAGGTCTGTCGCAACGGAGTATGCTAAGGAGGGTTTGTATCAGTCGCAAGTCAACAATGTCGTACGTTCCTGTCCTTAACTTACAGATGGTCAAGTAAATCGAGTATATCCGAATCTTGGCCTCCCAGCACACTCCATTTCCAGTCCAGTACGCGTTGACGGGATCGCATTCGGCGAGCAGGATGATAATGACCCCAAAGTTGGTGATGACCAGACCAGCCATAACGGACCACAGGAAGTATTTAAGCCTGCTGGAGTCTTTGATGCGTAGCAGCAATAGCATGATGGAGCACTTAAGCAAGCAGATACTGGCGAATAGGAGGATTTGCGCGAACCATCCAAGCATGTTGTTGTTAACGTATTCTTCAGTCGAAATGTACCATCGGTGCTTCCCGTTACCCGTGTTCCCTTGCGCGCACTGAACGCCATATCTGACGATGCCGAGACTGGCGACGATGCCCATAAGATAGTCGTCCCATCCCAGATGCCGTAATGAAAACCGAACGTAGAGGCGAATCGAAGTTGTGAAGACGACGAAGAATATTAGCACGCCGGAGACACCAAGGAGGATTGGGTTAACGTTCTCGTCCGGCGGTAGCGGATTCGGAGGGGTGACTGGCGCCATCATGAGTGCCAATGTGTGAGTTTGGTGGACTCAAGCCTGGGTAGCGTGGAAGAAGACGCCAGGACAAGGAACGAGGGTGCAACGCGCCAGATAATACCAGGCCATGTGCTGGGTAAATGTATGGGAGAGAAGAAGAGGGCCAGCGGGTAATCAACCCACGGGATAGTCTCTGCACAAGGCAAAGACCAGGACGATCGCCAAGATCTGCTTTTGGATGGCAGCTCGTTTACCCCCGGACTTTTTAAACGTCCCACTTGACGCCCTTGGGCCTTGAGCGGGAAAAGGGAGCGTTGGTCGTCTTAAGAGCTGCGACGAAGCTGAGAAGGAGGAGGACAAGCTGCATGCAATTCCGCAGTAGCTAGCCCTGCATGCGCGGACGGAGGAAATATGAGATGCAAGGAGGTCAAGGCACCACGGCGCATATGTCTCAGATGGGCGAGACCCAATCTACCCATCCCGCGGTTGTGTCGGGAGGAGGGTGGTAAATGGCAATGATTTGATGCCTTGGACGCCGACAACGCCGAGGTGGTGTTGTGTTGGTTGGTAAGATGCAAGATTGCCCAGCCTTTGGTTCGATTCTTCCAAGTTAATAGGCAATTGATATTTTGTTTCGTTGCCCCGAGCGAGAGGTTGCATGCCAACCGACGGGAGCTAAACGCAAATGTCTAAGACCTTGATCCTCTCAACCACGGATATCGTGGGATACGCCCATTTGAGGGATCGTTGTGTCTCGCATGGCAAAGACGAGGGACCCCCTTCCCCAAAGAAGAAGGGTCTTGTCCGAGAATGACTGGGAGTCTCGTATTGTGGAAGCACGGGTTGGACGAGGATCCTCCTCTTCTCTCCTTCCTCGATACCCGCCCAGCCTCTGCGAACTCCTCTCTGGTTGCTTGGATACAAATTGAGTTTGAGCGGCCTCCGTTCCCCTGCGTATCTCTGTTGGTCGTTGACGGGGGCACGCTGCACTCGAGGGAGGGATCAAGTAGACCCTTGGACATGTGTGGATTCTTCTCATGCTGCGACCTGCAGTGCCTGCGCATCTGACAGGCTGTGGGATGTTGCGCAATGTGCCGCAGGTCTCCTAAGGGGTAAAGATGATTTACACACCTGTGGAGTTTTTTTTTGCCAATAATTACCAAGCAAACACCTGCAGCAGCGCTGAGCAGATGGAGTAATTTGATGACGATCGTCTTCCTACTTTGACTTTTTGACTTTTCCATCCCATCTTTCCCCTCCTTGTCTCTCGACATGTCTACGCAGACAAGACATGTAGTTGGTGGCCATGAGACAGATTCGGACACAGACCAGAAAGCATAACGGGTAGCCGAGCGGCGCGCGGGAGCTTTTCTGCTCATCCCGCTCGAAGGCGAGGGGCACGCTGGCGAGAGTTTCGGTCGTGCAGAGGGTGGTGCCCGAGTTTAATTAATGGAGGGAATGGCACGACTCTCAGGGGTATCCTGGGAACTCCGTAAGCAGGCTGCGCAACGAGGGACGAGCTTTCTGAACAAAGATATCAAAGAGGATCGTAGCCTTTGATGGCCCGGAGGCAAAACTCGGGAGAGAGAGAGAAACGGGGAGACGGGGAAGGGTCGGGAAACGCCGTTCAACCTGTCAATGCATCAAGAGACGTGGAGTTATTGTGGAATTGTTCATAACCGACCAAGACGCATGATTTGCTCAGACATGGTCACGTCAACTTGTCCAAACGGGTCTGACAGGCATATCCTTGAGTCATGAACCTGACCCCGGAGAACGACCGGCCGGCGCAGCTCCGCAGTCGTCAACGGCTCTTTTCCGGATAGGCACGTTGATGGCACGGTAACATTCGCCCGGGTACACAGCCATCCCCGTTTGCGAACACGTTGAACCGTGGGACGCTTGATGTTGCTTTGCGGCGCAGGAAGGGGGTTTGCTGTGCCTTTCGTCTCTGGTAGACCAGAACGCAACCGAACCTGCATAAGTGTCTGACGTTCCCTCGTCATCCATTTTCTTTTCCCCTCTCGTCTAATAGTCGGGGTAGACAGTCGGCGGCTGTCCAACAAGTCGTGTTGTTGGACCGGCGCGCTGGTAGCTTACGCGCGCATTTATAAGTGCTTACGCTGCCGTGTGATACGACCACGTCGTCGCCACCATCTCCTCTTCTCCCGGGACTTCTTCAGCGGTACTTACGGATAGGCTATAGCAGATGAAGATTCTCGGCACCCCACTATGCTACCATCATGTTCCCGTCCCTCCGGAGCTTAGAGGACGGGCGACCTGGGGCGGAGAGCAAGGATATTTCTTTGGGACGCGTGTCTGATAACTGGCGCCGTTCTCTTGGACTATGGATAAGAGGCCCTGCTAACTTGCTAAGAGGCTTGTAAGGGGATTAATAACCGCATTATTGACATTCGATTTTTACTTGAGGCAATTTGGGGGCTGCATACAAAAAGGTAGACGATCCTGCTGTCGCATGGAACAAGGCACGCCACAGCACGCCCTCCACTTTGTGTCGTTTGGTGCCATTGACGAGGTTCCCCAAACCTGGACCTGACGTGCAGATATCACGCGTATTGGTTTTGAAAGCTCGTGCGTTTGTTTCTCTTTTGATCTAGCAGACTAGCAGAAGCGCATTCCCAGATCGCCGAGCCGTGGGTTCCTAAACTTTATTTCTAGAACGTTTGGGAAAGATCGCTGCACGTCTTAGCCATGCTTGTCAAGTCGACTTTCGCCCTCGCCTCCGCGGCTCTTGTTTTGGGTGCCGCTTCTTCCTCCTCTTCGTCACAGCCCTATGAGGATACCTACGATTATGTAAGTTGTGCTCAGCTCTGCTCTCGGACGTTTGCGTTGCTTCGTTTACGGTGCCCTTCTGTTGTACCTATTCGCTTGTGCCCTTTCTTAGTATTTTACGTTTGATGCGGCCCGGGGAGGGGAATTACCTGATACACTAACACATTATCTTTCACCCCAGATCGTCGTCGGTGGTGGCACCGCTGGAGTAGCCGTGGCGGCCCGTCTCAGCGAGGGACTCCCTGCCTCTAAGATCCTCCTCATCGAGGCGGGACCCACGGTATGGGATGAGCCTAAAATCAACGTTCCCGGCATGAAGGGCTCGACTCTAGCCACAAAATACGACTGGAACTTCACCACCGTGCCGCAGACCAACGTCAATAGCCGAACTTTCACGGTCAACCGAGGCAAGGTCCTCGGCGGCAGCTCCGCCCTCAACCTCATGTCGTACGACAGGGCTGCCGTGGCCGAGTATGACAGCTGGGAGGCTCTCGGCAACCCGGGATGGAATTGGGAGACGATGATTGCCGCCATGAAGAAATCGGAGAACTTTACTGGCATCAATACCGATACGTACGGCTCCGAGGGCGTCGGTGATAGCGGTCCTGTCAAGGCTGTCATCAACCGCATCATTCCCGAGCATCAGAAGACATGGATTCCGACGATGAACGCCCTCGGCATCGAGAGCAACTTGGAGTCGCTCGGCGGAGACCCTCTCGGTGTAATGTATCAACCCAGCAGCATTGATCCGACTCATTACAATAGGTCTTACAGCGTCAACGCTTATGTTCCCATTGCCGGATCGAACTTGGAAATCCTGTCCGATACTATGGTTGTCAAAGTCAACCTCGAAAAGGCAGCAAGTAACTCGACGCTTCGAACGGCCACGGGCGTCACCCTTTCAGACGGAACCATCATCTCAGCCCAGAAGGAGGTAATCCTATCTGCTGGCTCCATCCAAAGTTCGGGTTTGTTAGAATTGTCTGGTATTGGCCAATCCTCGGTCCTCAACGCCTCTGGCATCGCCCAAATTATTGACCTCCCCGGCGTCGGTGAGAATCTACAGGACCATCTTCGCATCCAAAGCTCCTATCAGCTCAAGGATAACTACACCTCCTTCGACATCCTCCGCAGCAACGCCACCTACGCTGCGGAACAGCTGGCCCTCTGGAATGCCGGACAAGTCTCGCTCTACGACTACACCGGCAGCGGCTACACCTTCACGACTTGGGCACAAGCCATCGGCAACGACTCGCGTCTGGTTTCCCTCGCCAAGGAAGCCGCCGGCGAAGACCCCAGCGTCGTCGACCAGAAGAAGCTAGAATTCATGACCGACCCTTCCATCCCCCAGCTCGAAGTCATCTTCTCGGATGGCTACACCGGCGTCAAGGGCTACCCCGTATCAACCTCACCTCTCTTCGGCGAAGGATTCGTCACCCTCATCGCCGCAATCATGCACCCCATGAGCCGAGGTAACATCCACATCAACCCCGTCAATACCACAGGAAAGCCCATCATCAACCCGAACTACTTTGCGCACGAACACGATCTCGAGGCGGCAATTCAAGCAATCAAGTACTGCCGCAAGATTGCCACCACTGAACCCATGAGATCCATTTGGGACAATGAGTACGAACCTGGGCTGGATGTTGTCCAGACCGACGAGCAATGGAAGCAATTTGCCCTCAACACGACATTGAGCATCTTTCACCCCGTTGGAACCTGCTCCATGCTACCGAAGGAGGATGGCGGTGTTGTCGACAGCGACCTGAAGGTGTATGGAACTTCCAATCTGCGCGTGGTCGATGCTAGTGTCATCCCTCTTCTCATTTCTGCGCATGTACAGACTGCTATCTATGGCATCGCGGAGATTGCGGCCGAGCGCATTATTGCAGATGCTTAGTACTGATCTTGAGGCCAAGATGACAATATAGACTAGCGCTGGAACAAACATTTCTTTATAATTCTAATGATAATCCTTCACCTAAACCAAAAATATGCACTGAAGTATCTAACGTGCTGTATTACGGTTTCTTGCAATATAAATGACGAGACGGGAAGAAGTTTCCTCAGGCATATGGAAACAAGCGCCTACGCTTGAGTGGAGAGCAGAAGTAAAGTGGCCTCAGGCTGTTTTGATAGAGAATCCTGGAGCCTCAGCGACTGATGAAGACATCTCCAAAGGTGCAGAGCGTTCCACCCGGCCACAAGACTTGCAGGTTGAGTTAAGGCCTAGTGGAGTAGTCATCAAGCAATGCGATTCGAACGGTTCTTGAGACAGTCACATCATTTTAGACAAGCGTATATGTAATAATCTGAAGTGATTTATTTACGGAAAGAAAGTTTATACATAAGATAATCTAGAACGAAACATGTACGTCGAAGTGGCTCAGGAGACTTATCATCGTCACCCGCAGCCGGTACCTGCCATGATCACATCCACTCAGCACTTGAGGGTTCGATCATCTAGTGCAGGTGCGCATGGCGTCTGAAGCGCATGGCCTGGCGCTGAGAGCGCTTGGTAACACCGTTGCACTTGCTGGCCTCGGGGGCAGTAGAATTAGAAGAGCCGGTGACGGTGAAGGCGGCAATCTTCTCAGCGGCGTGCTCGGCGGTGATCATGATGATGGACTGAGTGTTGCCGGTGGGCAAGTCGGGGTGAATGGAGGCGTCGACGACAAAGAGGTTGTCAGTGCCGTAGACCTTGGTGTCGAGGTCGACGACGGCAGTGCCGTCCGTCTGGCGACCGTCGTCGGTGCCCATCTTGGCGCTGCCGACCCAGTGGTCACCGGAGATCATCTTGGTGCTGATAATGTCGTCGGGGGTGGCACCGGGGGTGACGTAGCTAAGGGTGGAGTTGCTGCCGCTGGTGAGGTCGAGCCAGTACTGGACAAAGTCGGACATGGCCTTCTTGTCAGCAGCGTCGATCAACCAGGGCTTGGTGTTGAGGACGGTGTTGCCGGAGGCGGTGATGCCGAGCTCGCCGAGGGTGGAAGTGCCGTGGGTCAGGAACGTGCGGACGGTGATGATGCCGTTCTGCATGGCGCTGGCGGTACCCTGGAGGTAGCGAGTACGGCCATCGGAGCCCTCGGCGGAGGTCCAGAGGTGCATACGCTGGGCGGCCTGGGTGATAGGACCGGAACCCTGCTTGTAGAGGTCCAGATCGCTAGTGACGGGGTTAGAGGCGATGGCGTTGAAGGCATAGGCGCTGAAGTTGGTCTTGGAGTTGAACTGGAGCATGACCTGGGCGTGGTCCTGGAGGTGGTGTCCGACGGGGAGGTCGATCCAGTCGGCCTGGTCGGGGAGGGTGACGCCAGTGCTGGCGGCTCCGGACTTGACGATCTCCAGGGCATCGGAGCGGCCGATACCAGAGTTCCAGAGGAGACGAGGGGAGGACATGGCACCGGCGGCGAGGACGACCTTGCCGCCAGCGTTGACCTTGATGATCTGAGTGCTGCCATCGGCGGCCTGGGTGAGAACACCGGTGATCTTGCTGCCGGTACGGAGAACCTGGATCACCTTGGTCTCGAGCTTGAGGGTGAAGTTGGGAAGCTGCTGAGCAAAGGGCATGTAGGTACGGGCAGGGCCGGCACGGAGGTTGTCCTTGATGGACCAAGAGGGGCGGGAGAAGACGGAGGATTTCTCGTTGGGGGACTCGATCGAGTCAACCTCGCTCCAGCCCTTGCCGCTCAGGAGGCCGGAAAGGACACGGAAGGTCAAGTCATCGTAGTACTTGCCGTCATCGGAAGGCTCAGTGGTACCGGGGTTGCGCTCGTAGAGGCGGGAAGCGGCGTCAGAGACGTCAGCCCAGTTCCAGCCCGCGGGCCAGCGCTGCCAGTCGTGCTCCGGGGGGTGAATGAAGTTGAGGCCGTTGATGGAGCTGGATCCTCCCAGCAAGCAGCCGGCGGTGGAGGCAGTGTCACTGCAAAGGGAAGTTCCGGAGAGACTGGTCATGGAGCTGCCAAGGGCGGGAATGTCGTAGGGGGTGAGGGTGTCGTTCCAGGGCAGAGCCATGTCGGAGCCCAAGGGGACGGTGTTGGCAGGGCCACGCTCGATGAGGAGAACGCTGGAGCCCTTCTCGGCGAGACGCTCAGCAGCGATGATACCAGCAGGGCCACCACCGACGACGATGACATCGTATGTGGTGTTGGAGGTGGTGGGGGCGGGAATGGTGCTGTTGCCAGGAACGGGAGTGGTGGTGCCGTTGCCGGGGACGGGGGTAGTCTCAACGGCCTTTGCGTACTTGGACCAGGTGTCGAACTTGGCGGACTTGGCGGAAGCAATGTCAAGACCGAACTGGCCGAAGCCAGCAGAGTGGTAGTTCAGGGCGGCAGCGGAGTCTGAGACGGGGGACGGGCTGGTGTCGGAGTAGGCCCAGCCGAGGATGGGAGACTCGCCAGCCAAGCTGGTCTTGTCGTTGATGCAGTTCTGGCACAGGAAAGTGTACGAGAAATGAGTGCTGTTGACAAAGGTACCGTTCGCGATGGGAACGGCGGACACCTCGGTGGCAGTGTAGACGTCGGGGTTGGCGTAGGCACTTCCGAGACGGAAAGATGTCTTGATATCCTCGCCATCGGCCCAGGCAACGAAGAGAAGGCCGTTCAACATGCCACCCTTCAACGAGACGGCACCCCAGTTACCCTTTGTCGAGATGGGAACAACCATCTGACCAATGAAGTCCGTTCCGATGGTCTCGGGGACTGCGATAGCGAAGCTGTAGGGGTAGGCGGAGGGCAGGTAGCGTTGGAAGTCGATACCGGTCAGGGGGTCGGAGTAGGCCGAGGCGCGCAGTTGCGCGGTGGCTGATCCAGCGAGCCCGAGAAGGGCCGCTACGCCCGAGAATGTAGAGCGCATGATGACAATCGTTTGCAAGTTCTTCTAAATATCTCGAGTTTGTCTGGTTTTGTTTTGGGGATAAGGAGTGGATTTGGAAATTGTTCAAAGAAGGGAACAAGTCACAGAATGGGAGTGAATGAACGTAACCTCTAGGGTCAACAAGTGAAAAATGAATGAAAACACCGTACTAGCGGTGACTCGAAAAAGAAGGAATGCACGAAAGATGCGGCTCAACATTCGAAAAGGAGAGTCAAGTCGTGTTGAGGTTGGAGGCGGGCCTCTGGTGTTGATATTATATTCCTCCATGCCTCCCCTATCCAACGATCCATCATTCAACAACCACTCACTGTGCCACTTACTGTCCGCACCTGGAAGAGTTGTACAAGACGGGAAGGACCCCCACTGAAGCAAGTTTCCTTAATCTCGTGATGCCCAAGGGTGGTTGCTCTTGCATACGTAGTAGTGCACAGTCCGGGGTCCGTAGCGCCAGACCGGGGGGTCGCAAAGATTCTCCGTGTTGGTCTCGGTCGTCGGCAGACCCGCTGCACCCCGGGATGTGCATCCTTGGGGCTGCTAGAATGTTTGATATAAACTTGTCTGCTATCTGGTGCCAAGCGCGCCAACTGCCCGAGCTCGCGCTTTGTTTCAAATAAGAACACCGTCATTGGCAGAGCTCCCAAACGAGGCCATCGCCGTACTTGCAGGCAGATGCAGGCAACGCAGGCGACTTGTCCCTATGACGTGCCGTGTGATTTGAGCTGGCTTGTTTTACTTACATGCGAGGTGTCCCACTTACCGTGATCGCGAAGCCTGCAGGTGATCTGGGCGCGCAGTGCCGCCCCCTTTCGTCCCCTCTTGGTGTCGAAAGGTGAAATGGACCTTCAGCGTCTCTGCGTCCAACCAGCTCCAGCCACTTTGAAATCTTCGGATGAACTGACCGAAGGGGGGCGGCCGCCGCAGTGGATAGCTGGAATAATGCAACGTTGATGTCCAACCGAGGAGGGCCTTTGGGAATTTGGGGGTGATAAGTGAGCAAACAATCCTTCCAGTACGCGGGACGTCGAAAGAGCCTCCCTGCAGCTACCTTTAATCTCATGCACACCGTCTACCGCCATGATGTGACTTTCTCCCTTTTTTCGCGCTCACCAAGACATGTCAAATCAAAGACACCTTGCTGGCTAGGCCAGACCATCGGGATCAAGAGCCGGGACTAATAGCGACTAACTTTGCTGCAACGCTGATCTTTTGGGCCAAAATTCAGGAAGATCGAGTTCCTTTACTCGAGACTCTCCATCAGCCTCAGGTGGGAGGTCCCCCATGGTTGTAGTCCACAATTACCCCTCATAAGCTGGAATGTCACCTTCTCTATTGGCGGGATTTGTTTGCGTTTAATAACTGGAGTCGACGGATATGAATAAATTGAACCATACTCGGTGGGTTCTCGTCCAATTTTACCGAGCCTCTCGGTAAAAGTTGCTCAAATTTGCTCCGCCGCGAATAGTGGACGCGAGACTTTTGTTCCCTCTTTTCTTTTGGTCCGTAAGATTGGGCATGTTTTGCCCATCTGTTAGTTCCCCTTTTTTTCCCGGCCGAACACACTTGAACTTGTCGCGAAAGACACTTGATCTCAAGGTACTACGGAATATAAATGCCGTCAGTCTACGGAGTACGGGTATCTATATGGATACTTGTATCATTGAAAAGTGAGCGAGTCAGAGAATTCCCAAGCAATCCGGGGACGCGGGAATCTAACAGGGGCTAAGCCTGATAGACAGCACTGAATTCACCCGAAAGATAACGCCCAGATCTAATTCAGGGGCCCATTCAGACGTTACGCTAGACCTAGACATTGCTTGATCAGCACTTGACTCGCAGACGGGAGCTTTGCTGATCTGGTGATCGAGCCAACTCCATGGTGCGTCAATCAATGTCATGCTAAGCTTTCCGACTAGCTTCCACGCGGGAGCCTTGTCCCTGAACAACAGATGGTGACTGATGACTCTCTCTCGCGGGTTGCAGGAGCAAAATCCCATAGGTTGCTTTCGAAGGGGAAACTTTTGAATCTGGAACAAATCCCTGCTAGAATGTTGGGCATAGCCGCTAGCGAAAGCAAGCCTGATCATTGGCCACTCCCTTACCTAGTCCTTACCATAGCCTCTGATTAGTGATGCGTGACGACGACCATGGCAGTGAAGAACCCTCCAAGGATTGTTTCGTTTTCCATGGGATCACCCTTTGCCTTCGGCATCTTTCAGCCGGTTGAACTCTCCTTGATTGCGATCGTCGATGTCGCCGTCTCTTTTCTAATGATTCTTTCATCTTGCCAGAAGAAGACTCAAATAGTTCCCGATCCCTTTGGATAAGTTGATCCACAGCCCCATCACAAATGCATACCACATCAAGTCCAAGTGCATCTTTTAAGATCTGGCTCGGACAGCATCTTACGTTGATTTTGTTCGAGCAAAGGAGTGTCTTGAGTAGTGGGTTCATCATCAAATAGTTTTGCAGCTTAGCAAGGTCTTCACTCGTAATGCTAACCACTGGCATGTATTTTTCAAAATGGAATTAAGAAGACCACGCTGTCTTCAAGAAAGTAGTAAGGATTTTTAAAATGAGACAGCTCGACTGCATCTACCACAGTTTGATGTACCATTTCCTATGAGATAATATCACCAAGATTCACAGCTGAGTCCTTCTTGCTTGCAAGGATAATAGGGTTTGACCTGTGGCAGAGTAAGCATTTGATGAGACAGGCAGTCAGATAGGGAATGCCACTTACGATGTCTGCATGCTCTGGCCATGGGGTCCCATGGACATTGAGCTCTTCAAAGTCTTTGGGCGGACTCTCTAGTATGGCGTCCATCAGATACTTGGTGCAATGTATCGTATGGCTGTAGTTGAAAGGAGGATCGTAGCCCAGGGAAATCCATAAGTGCGTCTGCCGTAAAGTGTACATGCAGTGGTATGTGTGTTCCTTCCTAGTAACCCAGCCGGCAGTCAAGACCTCGCTCGTCGGTGGTATTTCGTGTTTCCCGCCCTTATCATAGTACCGATGCCATGGTCCCTCGCCGTGGAATTCTTCGAGTAGCGCAACATTGTCTTTGTGCGCCATGGGCTCTTTGGGCCACCATTTGAATGACATGGTATCGAACTCGCAGCCCCGGTCGCGAGCGATCTTGGGAAGGGCGCCGTTGGGTGCGCAGACATAGCCCGATAGGTCGAGATCCATCTTTTGACAGGTTTCGCATGATGGGAAGAAGGCTAGATACGCCAGTAATGAAAAGATGAGGATGGGCGGAACGAAGAGGTACCAAGATTTCCAAGCTGGATCGAACTTTTGCCATGGAAGGTATTTTCTGACTTTAACGAATCCAGCTTCTTGATCGACGGAAGAGTCTCTCGATGCGCCTTCTTCACAAGACTCTCCTTCGGTCTCGTCCTTGAGGAGGGAGTATTTCTCTTCGCGTTTGCCAGACTTTGGCGACATATCGGCGTATGAGGTCTTAACCCTCCTGTGAAAGGTCTGATTACGGTCGCTGGGTGGGGGTAGACTTTCTGCTCAATATAGAGATGGCTTGATGATGCGTCGTCTAGTAAGGTTGTGGAGGGCTAGGAACTCCAAGTACAAAGTATGAGGCAACGGGGTATAACAACAACGGTGTACCCCGTCAAGTCACATGGACCACTATGACAGTGAATACAAAATAATTGATGATAGTCACACATGTGAGCCTCCTCCTCTCCGTTCACTCAAGAAGTCGCTAGTGTGTCGGCTACGGAATGGATATGTTTGCGCGGAGTATGACTAGCTATGATGCCCGGGATTGCGGACCGAAGGGCCCCACATGTCCGGACCGAAGCGCCGATCCACCATCGGTCCGAGAAAGAGATGCTCCGGTCAACTTATCGGTGTCATCGGCTTGTTCGTGGAGTGTGAGAACTGAAATTGATGGTTCCCTACCAGTACTAGCCAAACCGGCGAAAGCTGTGATTCCGTAGCTATGGCAACCCCAATCAGGGTCGTGGGCAGGATTCAACATGCACAGTGACTGCGTCTCAAACTGCGAAATAGTCATTTTGCAACATCCTAATGTGCGAACCGCGAAACAATTTTCCGACTCTTGATCAACTTCACTCCTCGCCTGAAACGAGCTTACTCCGTTGCCTTCAAAGAAAGTTGATCGCAAGGGATGCGATGACAAACAATGACACCGGCCCACAGTGCCCAATGCGGCATTCGGTCTGCCATTTTCCTTGCTACCTAACCTTGTGCTTGGATAAGTTGGAATCGAAGACAAACATCTAAAATGTCTAGAATACGTTGATGATGGCAATTTGTACTGACCTCTTACATTCCCGTGTGAAAGCCCAATTATGTAAGCTACTCTCGAAACTCGATGAAGAGTTAGCGCCTGCGAAAAGGGCGAGTAGATGTTACAGTCGCTTGAAACATGGCTGAAACCTCACCACCCAGGATCCTTGAAGCTCCCATGTTCGCGAACACGTTGGGGGTCTCTCGACCATCCATTGCTCTCCGTTCTTCTCGATGAAGAAACTTGCCTGGAGTTCATCTCTTGGCAAACTCTTGGTGTTCTTGGCCTCCCAATCGGCTATCGTGTCGGTGTTCTTCTTTTGATGATCTTGTTTGTTTGATTGAACGACGGCCATGCTTTCCGAAAACCGTCCACTGGTGTGGTCCTTCTTGGCACTATTTCTTATTTTTGTCTGGAGCCTCCGACTTTTAGGTGTTCATGATGCGATTGCGGATACGGTATCGACGTTCTTCCCCGATGAGTCGAACGAAGAAGCGACGACAGAGAGCGGTTTCATGCGACAAGCCATTGATGTCGAATACCCAACCCCGATAGACTACGCGCCCATTCGGGAAACATGCTCTCGCTCTCGGTTCCGCTCTGGGCTGGTATTCAGCTGCGAGGAACAGCACGGCGGCATTGGCATGGTTCGAAATCAAATACTGAAGTGCGTCCGGTATGCAATCCACGGCGGTGGTGCACTCGTTTTACCGTCAATGTCCCTGCGCAACGCGAAAGACATTACCGATATCGAGACTGGAAACGAGGTTCCTCTCGATTACCTGTTGGACCGCGAAGCCTTTATAACGCGCTTGACGGAGGGATGTCCCGGCATGATCGTATACGAAAAGGCAGAGGACTTTCCCTCCTACGAAAACCGATTAGGAGAGCCTTTGTCTCTAGTGGGAGACCATTTTGAGCCAGACCACCCACGAGAGGGACTGAGACATCCTCGAAAATGGCGACACTTTTTTGATAATTGGCTAGAGAAGCAGGGAGTTCGAGAACGGATGGGCCCAGACGCCCCAGTACACATCAAGATGGAGCAGTCCTTTCTCGAGTATCCCGTACGCGACGACGGCGACGCCTTTGTGCACGAGTTTGGCAAGATCCTGTCCTTCAGGAACGACACTCGTGCGCTTGCGGCGAAAATTCTCTACCTGCTCAAAGAAAAGTTCTCGCTCCCTTTTGATCCGAGGAAAGCCATCAACCCCAACGCTTACTTCGGGGCGCATTTAAGGCTGGAAAAGGATGCCACATCTGCCTGGGGACCCGATGAATGGCGGTTCTCTCGTATGGACGACCAGTTCGAAGAGCAATTCAGGTATCTGGAACGCACGGGTCTGAGTGTCGTCTACGTTGCATCAGGAAACCAGACCGTGGTCGACATTTTCGCGGAGAAACTTAACAAGTATCTCTCAATTGAGACTGGTACACCAAGGCGGAACATCACAGTGGTTACCAAGAACGACTTGCTACTCGGACCCGACCGCGAGCAACTCGACAGTCTTACATTCGATCAGCATGCCCTGGTGGATTTTCTGGTCATGTTCAGGGCGAGCGCATTCATGGGCGTCGCTCATTCAAGTTTCCCTTGGACGATTGCTCTGCGGCGACACGAGCTGAGCAAATATTCGAAATTCGGGAACGAAGGCTCAGACTTGTTGAGGGACGAGTACAGCATCATTATGGGCATGGAGGCCGACTACCCATATGTCGACCCCTTTGTGTATGGCCTGTGGCCATAGGACCTCATTTAACTGCATCCTGGATAACAACGCAACAGCGGCGTCGTATGGATGGATAATGGAAACATCAGATACCAGCATGTGTAAAAGATTTGACAGGCATCAAACTACATGTAGAAAGACTCTAGCGTTACAACAGTAGATAAGACAGCAAGAGCACGTCTAATACCATAAATCAGATTTGTCCAAATCTTTTCAAGTTCCTCTCATCAAATATAGTTCGCGATTGGTACTACGAAGTGAGTGCTGTTTTGACATCACCCACAGTCTGCGTCGTGCAGTTTACCAACAAATCAAGTAAGCGTCGATATGTATGCGTCAAGGTCTTCATAGTAGTTTCGGAGAACAAGGACTCGTAGTAGGTGAGCGTGGCGTCGAGTCGGGAGGGACCCTCGTTGAATGCCAACACTAGGAGTTGCTGCCAAACTTTTGTTTAGTTCGTGCATTGCGGTTCAGGGTGGGGCCTTTTGACTTACCTCATGGGGATCCTGTTTCCAAATGGATCGGAAGCCAATGTCAATATCGTCATCCGAGTACTTGACTTTGCGGTAGTTGACCAGAGTATTGAAAAGACCAGTACCTTCGCACCCTAGCTGCCGCTCAACCTCAGTCAAGTCAAAGGTCTTGTGATTGAGGCTGTGGATGTTCTCATCTTGAAAAGCCTGCAAGACCTGGATAATCATCATTGTATCGTCGAAAGTATTGCAGGCCACCATCATCGATAGCATTGGTCCAACAACCTCGTCAGCCTGTGGCAGTTCGATATCTCGATCAGACACTAAATGCCCGAAACAGACGGTTGAGTGACCAGTATACACATGAAGAAGCATACCCCACGTGAATTGGAAGAGATTCGAAAGAGTCACTCCAGCCTCGCAGAGAAACTGCTTCAACTCGACTGTGATATCCACTGAGAAGTTGATTGATCCCATGGTGTGAGGGTCTGAACCGCCAACTACCATGGACTCGATCGGCACCATGTAGGGCTTTACGCTCTGAAGCTTATCGACCCAGTATGCTTCGCTTGCCTGCAAATCACGCTGGGAGTTGATGTGGTCGATGTAGCCATGAAAACTACTCAAAGGCTTTGCCCCTGGATTCTGACCACGATAGAACGCCACAAAATCGGAGAAGACGTGAGCCAAGCTGACATGATCGATCAAGATATGCCCCATGACGAAGTGAATGAATGTCTTTTCATCAGGAATGACAAAGAGGCGCACCGAAACCGCCGGCGATTCGTCTCTGAATAGCTTTGAGCGAATGGCGTTGAGGTGGAGCCTAGCTTCGTTCGTTGCGTCTCCCTCCGATTTTACATCCAAGACAGAGACATCGGCATTTTGCTGCTTGAGAACTTTCTGGAAAACAGTTTCCGAGGCGAGGTCATGGACAAAAACAGTCCGAAGGATCGCATGACGATTGACGGTTTGCTGCCACGCTTGGTGCAGCGCGCAGGTATCGACAGACGAGGACCCTCTGATGGCGGTCAACTCGACAAGGCTGTTGAAGAGGTAAGGACTCTGAGGCTTGCCTAGAAATGCTTGGTACATCCTCTTCTGGAACGGCGAGCAGGGTGCCATGGTCTCGACGTTGTCGGGAGTCGGGAAAGACTGCGATAGAGATGGAGGATTGATCATCGATCTAGGCAGGGCCTGTTTGGTTTCGTGGCCGGCCACTCGCGTCGCAATTTTTTGGGCCAAAAGCTTGATTGTTGGGTTCGCAAGAACGTCTTGCGTTGTCAAATTGAGTGCAGCTGCTTTGCAGAGTCTCATCACTTGCATCGCTACAAGAAAAATTAACATCAGCCATGCGCAAGCCAGGTAGCGGCCTTGGCATTCTACATGTACTCACCAAAGATGGAATCTCCCCCAAGTCTGAAGAATGACTGTTCAAGTCCTATACGGTCTGTAAATCCAGAGTTAGATGGATCCCGTGTTTCTTACTGCCGGCTAAATATCTTGTTTACTTACGAGAATCAAGTCCAAGGACGTTTGCCCATATATCCCTCAAAGTTTCTTCAGTCGGAGAGCCACTCTGACCATCTGAGCCGCTTGTTTGATGGAGATCGAGCGAATCCAGGAGTATTTGCTCATCGATCTGACCTACCCAGCTCATCACTCGTTGCCGATCCAACTTGAGCGACAGCTGAACAGGCAGGGTTTTGACAAGGAGCCATGTTTCCGGTATCATGTACTGAGGCAGTTCTTTCTCAAGCGCCGAGGTGACTATGTTCATCGCCTCATTTAGCTTCTGGCACATCTCTTGGCTGAGAGTGCGTTTTTCGACAACGGCAATGTCCTGGTTGTAATCGCGCGTTCCGAGATTCAATGATAGGACTGCTAGGCTCACAACAGCGACAAGACGTCCTCTGAGGTTTCCTACTTCCGGCACAAGAACCATGCTGTGCTGAATGATTCCAGAGAGATTGTTCAAATGGTACTGAATCTCACCAAGCTCAACTCGCTGGCCGCGGATCTTGACTTGGGCGTGATCCTTCCTGCGCTGGATCAGAAGGCTTCCATCTTCGGCATACCTGACCAAATCGCCGGTCTTGTACAATCTTCGTGAACTGATGTCGTCTTCCTGCGGTAAAGCCTTATCAACTGTCCATAGGGGTGGCTCAATGAAAGCGGTCGCAGTCTTGGCATCGTCATTGAGGTAGCCCTTGCCTACGATCGGTCCGTCCAGAAGGAGTTCGCCAACAGCCCCAACCGGCATCAGGAGGTGATGGTTCTCCGGATGAACGACCCAAGCACGACATCCGACCGGCCAACCAATATTAGTAGCATCCGTGTCCACATCGAACGGAGCCCCAATGGTGCTGGTCACTGAACATTCTGTCGGCCCGTAGCTGGGCCTCATGTGGATCTTCCCAGCCCAACGAGCTACGAGATCCTGACCCATCGGCTCTGCATGGACGGTGATGAACTTGACTGACTCTAAATCATCCGGATCAAGGGTACGAAGAAAAGATGGAGTAAAGGCGGCCCAGTTCACCTGCTTGCGCGCGACGAACCCCGGGATGTCGGACAGGCGTTCCTCCTCGGACGGGATGCAGATGCAGCCGCCGGCGACAAGGACGGTGAATATTTCCTCGAGGGATGCATCGAAACAGAAGTTTGTGAACTGCAAGACCCGGGATTCGGCCTTGATTTGCAGCCAGGTTCTGTTGTAAGCAACTGCAGAACAGAATGACTTGTGCTGGATCATCACTCCCTTTGGGGTGCCCGTTGTCCCTGATGTGAAGATAACGTAGAGTGTATCCAAAGGCGTAGCGGAACAATTGAGTGGGACAATGAAGCTCGAGTCTTTCTCGATTGAAGACTTGTCGACGACAACGAGCGTCTTCACGAGACTCTGCAGCTTGTCGGAGTGTTTTGGCGAAGACAGACCGATCCTGGACCCAGTCTGCTTGACCACTGACTCATTCCTCTTGGCAGCACCATTTGGATCAATGTGAACGAATGCCGCCCCAGATTTGGCCACTGCAAGCATTGCCACGACTGCCCAAAGCGACTTCTCAAAGCAGATAACAACGATATCTCCCGGTGCAACTCTCAGAGCCTGGAGTCGGGACGCAAGCTTCATGGACAGGGTGTCTACCTCAGCGTACGATAAGTCGCCATCCCAGGCACAGATAGCTGGCCTCAAGGGCTGTCGATTGACCGTCTCCGAGATCATGTCATGGATACAGCGGTTGTTGGTCTTGAGCGGAGCTGAGTTCCATTCCTGCATCTGCTTATCATCCAGTGCGCTGGTGAGGCGTATCTCTGAAGTCTGGGCTCCTGGGTCGTCGACGATGGTGCGTACGGCGTTTACATAGACAACTAGCAGGCGCTCTGCTTGGGCTTCAGACATGAAGTGAGTTGGAGTTTCAATAGTGATGTGGAATTGGCCCTGATCTTCAGTGATGCACAAGGCAATGTCATACTATTAAAAACAGGTTAGCGAACTCCGAGAATATGGCATCTTATCTGCGTAAAATAATAGAGTAAGAGCGAATTACCTCGCTCCTGTCATGTGCAAAAAGCAGCTCCGACTTGATGGCCCCAGGCCCCGGCATTGAGCCTGTCTTTTGGAAGTTGAAGATCGTATTGAACAATGCATCTCCACTAGTACGTTTGGCTGCATGCTGAATTCGAGCCAGGGAAACGGTCTGTCTGGAAAGATGATCAAGGTTGTCTTCCTGCAGTCGAGTCAAGATCTTCGAGATCTCCATTCTCGGACCTATTTGCACTCTGACAGGCACAATATTGGTCATCGGACCAATGATCTCAGACGCCCCTGGAATTGGAATGTCTCGCCCGTGATTGAGAAGGCCAAAGATAACATCGTCCGAGTTCAAGTATGTAGACAAAACCACAGACCACGCAGCCTGGAAGACGATGGGCACTGTCATATCCAACTTTCGGCATGCTGAGCTCAGACTGCTTTTGGGAAAGGTAGAGGATGTGCCGGTAAATTCAAGACCTTCAACTGATGATTGTCGGTGTTGACGAAGTACAGGGAATAGGCACGAAGATGCGCCATCCAAGTAGCGCGACCAGTATCGTGTGATCTCAGCAGTGTCTTGATCTTGGACATAGTCGATGTAGTTTGAGTAGGGACAGGTGTCTTGTCGTGGGCAGCCATCCAAAGCTGCCAGGAAGTTCCGAATCAAGAGGCGAGATGTCGTGCCGTCAGTGATAATGTGATTCTTGTCCAACAGACAATACATAGAACCGTTGGTTGCGGCGTAAATTTGAAGTTTGTGGAGAATCTTGCCACTCAAAGGTTTGGGTGCAATTGAGGAAGATTGTTTGGCCCACAGAGCCGGCAAGTCACTCTCGCTTCGAAGCCTTTGGACCTGAATGTCGACTTCGACGGCTTTCAAAACGAGTTGAAGAAATTTTCCAGACGTATCTTCGACGAAAATGGTTCTCAAAATTTGGTGCGTTGCAACAACCAGCTTCCAGGCTGCGGAGAGATCATCGGGGTTGAGCGGTATTGACCCAGAGAGTTTGAAGAGAAAGTGCTGGCTGTAATGGTTGCTGACACTTTTCAGCTGTGAAAGCATGAGACTATCTTGAATCGGAGAGCAAGGTAGAACTACTTCTATCTCGCTCGGTGTGATGCCGAAGCGTGATTGAGCGAGATCGAGAATGTTGTTTAGTTCCTTCCAGTGGAGTCCAATTGAAGAAACCATAACCTCAGAAGGAGACAGGGGCAAGCGCTGGTGCTCATCCGTGAGGTCGACGACGAGGGCCGTGAGACTCTTTTCAAGTTGATGCAGCCAGTCTAGCAAAAGTTCTTGATGATGCATTCGAGAATTCCACTCAACTTGCAGAGACAGCTTGTTGTCCTTGATAGATGCCATGATTGAGATCAGAGCATATCTCGACGACTTCGCACGCTGCTGATATCTGAGAGCCGAGACTTTGTCCTGGATTTCATCAGTGCATCTCTTGAACAAAGAATTCTTCTTTTCGAATTGCTGAAAAGCCCCGAGATGGTTGAGAGTGACCTCCATGGGATGATGGTGCTTGTAGGCGTCCTCGCCAGCTTTGCTCAGGAAACGCGATGCGAAGTAAGCCAAGCCGGAAAGGGGTATCTTATCACGGAACTCGCGGACACCGCTAAGAATATTTTCACATTCTTGTGTAACGATGGGAGAGAAAGTCGTGAACCAGCCCACAGTGCTGGATGGGTCCACGTCAGGCGCGAAGACTTCTCGTCCATGGCCTTCACTGAACAGGGCAGGAGAGCGTCCAAATATTTCAACAAACGACTGAATGACAGCGGTCAATAGGATATCATGAGCCTCATGCCCAGATGTTTCTTGCGCTGAAATGAGTTGCCTAGAAACATTTGAGTCGAGAGAGATGGTGTGAGAAACAGAGTCCTTGAAACAGTTCCTCTCATCAGCCATGCCCCAGGACGATAAATCAGTGCTCAGTGCATGAGCCGACGGAGGCAAGACGTCTTGAGGTAGTGAGTTCGATGCGAAACGTTGTTGTTCCAATGTCCAATGTTGGAATGATGTTTTCTCGTCTACAACCGGCATTCCGAAGCGAAGGCATGACTCCAACTCACGCAAGAGGATCCGCCACGACACTGCATCAACAACAAGGTGATGGATCGTCATCGATAGAAGCGTCTGACCTTGAGACTCGAATAAGTCAACAGCCACCAGAGGACCGTTGGTGAGATGGATCGATCTTTTGGCCTCACTGACGCACTCAATAACATACTCGAGCTGTGTACGGCTGTGAAATCGTGTGCGACAGTAGTAAACAAGGCTGATGGTAGATTTCACAGGCACATGCTGTGTCCATTCGCCCCCATGGCACTTGAACTGCGCACACAGAATTGGGTGAGCCACGAGAAGAGATTCCAAGGCCGCCAACAAATCTTGTTGATCCACGGTCTGAGTGACTTCAACCAGCATAGTTTGTTGATCAAGATGGTCTCCCTCGGGCGATGTTTGGAAGTGAAGTTTCTGGATGGGGGAGAGAATTAAGGCCTGCGCCTCCACTGGATCTTCAGACGTGTCGGTTTGGGCTGAAGCTGGCGAGGCTGCTCCCACGACTGATTTGGCTAAGCGTTCGATTGATCGATACCGAAGGATATCTGCAGCGGATACGTTTAAACCAGTCTCCCTTGCCATACTGCTGATGGTCATTGCCGAGATAGAATCGCCGCCTAGTTGAGTCAGCTTCACGAATCATATCATGTTGAAAGACAGGGCTCACCAAGGTGATAAAATGAGGTGTTCCAACAAATCTCATCCTCACCGACATTCAAAGCTTCACTCCAGATGCTCCTCAACATTACTTCAGCGTCTGTGCCCTGTCTCTCAGGACTATCGTCGTCCATACGAGGTAGGAGACTGGCGAACTCAGAGGGAGTGAGGCCTTCAAGATATTTGGTCACTCCTTTGCGATCTAGTTTCCCAGAAGAATTCCTCGGCAAAGATTTAAGAATGATCCATAGCTCTGGATTCATGTAGGGTGGCAACTTGTCGAGCAGAAATCCTCTCATGCAGTCGATATGCTCAAGCCAAGGTACGTCAAGGATCTCAATAGGCGATGCTGACACGTCCGTGGGCGATGCCACAAATGAGCTATCCAGAGTGATGACAGCCACCAGTCTTTTGGCACAAGGTCCGGATTCAGGAACAAGTGCGAGGCAATGCTGCACCCTCCGCTCGAAACCCAGCTGTCGCTCAATTTCTCCTAGCTCGATCCTCTGGCCCCGGAGTTTGACCTGTAAGTCTCTTCGGCCAACAAAATGAAGAAGACCAGCAGAGTCGTACTTGACAAGATCACCGGTTCTGTAGAGTCTTTTCCCAGGTGCCCAACGAAGGGACTTGACGAATGAGATTGATGTTTGTGCAGAGTCACCCAGGTAACCCCGTGCGAGGATTGGGCCTTCCATCAGGAGCTCACCCACCGCACCAACAGCTTGAAGTATGTTTGGATCATCGGACCTAGCAACGTATGCTGCACACCCGGGAACAGGGAACCCAATATTGGTAGGACTGTTCTCTTTCGAGAATGGCGGGCTGATTGTGCTAGTGACGCTACACTCTGATGGACCGTAAACTTGAACGAGCTGTGTCTGGGGTGGACAGGCCCAGTTTTGAACGTTTTTTGCAGTCATTGCCTCTCCACCAAGGACCATTGTCCTCATAGTTGACAGAGTGACAGGAGTAAACATCTCGGCGAATGAAGGGGTGAGGTGTGCCCAGTTTGCCCCTGATGCCGATGCAAATCTGGCCAGATCTGGGCAGCTCAACCGGTCGTCCTCGGATGGAACACATAGACAGGCACCGACAGAGAAAGTTGTCAGGTGATCTTCCATGCTAGTATCGAAGCCATAGGAGGCAAATTGCAAGACCCTAGAAGCGGAATCAATGTGTATCCCCTTGCTGTGAGCTTGAGCTGCATATGCATATGCTCCATGTTCCACAACAACACCTTTTGGCTTGCCCGTAGATCCGGAGGTAAAAATGACGTAAGCTGGGTTATTGGAAGAGACAGATGGCAGGGGAATATCAAAGTCTTCTTTCGGAGAAGACTGGTCACCATCGAGTTGAAGGGTCTGACCGGCCAAATGTTTGATTGATGGCTCCTGTTTCCTCGAGCATATGACAAGACCCGCCGTGGTATAGATTCCTAATTGGTGGAGAATCTCCTTTCGCCGAGATTCGGGATTAGAGATGTCAACAGGTGCAAAGGCATTGCCACTCTTCAAGACGCCGAGAAGAGCAACGGAGTACCATTTTAATTTCTCGAAGCAAATCGCAACGAAGGCCCCCGGACCTATGCCCCGTCTCAAGATCTCTCGAGCAACAATAGAAGCAGCTTCATCGAGCTCTTTGTAGGTCATGTGTCCATCCCACGAGTGAATTGCCGACGCATTAGGCTGGACTCTAACTTGACCTTCAATGAGGTGGTGGACGCATGTCGACTGAAACTTGGGCGACGGAGGATGCGAATGCGAATTCCAGGCTGTGACTTGTCGCATGTCCCAAGAGCTTATAGCGGTTATTGAGCTGACAGCAGCTTGTGTGTCGTTCATCCTGATCAATCTTGACAAGATGCTTGAAAAGGTATACGAGACGTTGGTCGCCATTGCGGTTGACAAAGTGGCGGTTGAGTATGCGAGCCGAACTCGAATTTCCGAGTCCGAGTAGACGATCTTCAGCACGATATCGAAATCTGAGGCATTGTGTGATGAAATTAGCTTGAAGAAGTTGCTGCTGCTGTCGTCGGACATAGAAGGCGAGTAATACGAAGTCATGATGGTGTTGAATAGCTTCATTTCGTTGGTTCCGAGGATGCGCTGCACCTTGCCAATCGAAAAGCATTGATGTGGCAGCGCGTTGAGAAAATCCTTTCTGGTAGTTTCGAGAAGGCCCTGGAGCGACATATTGTCGATGCCGCCGACACGGCAGACGAGCAAGTTCATCATCGGGCCAACGATTTGAGACACTCCAGGAATGGGCAGACTTCGTCCAGAAGAAAGGTAACCGAAGCAAATGTCCGGGTCTCCTGTATAGGTGTGAAGAACAAGAGACCAGACAGCTTGCAATACGTTTGATATGGTCGCATTTTGCTTTTGGCAGAAAGCGCGGATGTCGTCTAGAGCAACATCGAGACCCATCTCTGTGACGTTGAAAGACCCGGAGTTGCCTACTTGATTGTCGTTCATGGCCGGGAACGTGCATGGCTCAGTCCCGTCCAGGTAGTCAACCCAGTAGTCGAGAGCGCCGTCTTCGTCGGTTTGGGCTTGTAAGTGATCGATGTACTTCCCGTATCCTGGCGCTTGGTCAAGGAGTCGAGAGCCCTGCAAGCCCCTGACCAACTCATCTATGATGATCATCAATGAGCTACCGTCTACGGTCAAGTGATTCAAGTCCATCAGAATCAAGATTTGATCCGGCTCTTGAACATCGACATAAACCGTGATCTGGTGCTGGTGTCTCCCTTTGTCTACATGGACTTCATCAAGATCCCCGTTCGTGAACTGGTGTCTAATTCCCTCCAGATCCCTCACATGTTCGATGACCATTGGCTCTGATTTGGACTTTAAGACGATTGAATCCAACAAACGGCCAGAGGTGGTATCTGAGGTTTCCACGTAGACAGTTCGGAGAGTTTGATGGCGGTGGATAGCATCACTCCAACACTTTTGGAACTGATCCAGGTCAAACCCAGCCTGTGCCTCAAAGAGCCCCCGAGTACGATAAAGTCGCTTTGAGACCATCTTTTGACCGACATACATGCTCTCTTGCATTGGGCTGCAGGGGTAAATGTCCTCGACATCGTCATCGCTCACACCGTACATCTTCCGCAGCTCGTCAAATATCTTTCCAAAGTCATAGTCGAGAGACATCTGCGGGAACTTGGCATCTCCCTGTCTGACTTGTTTAGTCGAACAAGATTCATCTTCCTTGTCGGAAGCTAGCGATGCGACTTCTCCTAAGGGTTTGTGGAGTATATCCTGAAATCGGACGCCTAGCCCTTGCTCAGCACATTTTTGGTACAAGTGAACGGCCTTGAACGAGTCCCCTAGATGGCCATGAGTATTGAGATGCTTACAGAATCGAGGGACTTTTGCGGCACTCACCTCCAAGGGTAACAAATGAAGAAGCTTCATCAATGTCCTCAAGTGGGATGATCAAAATCTTGGAAATGAAAGTCTTCAGCTGATTAATGATTGCCTGCGACCTGCCTTCTGGAGCATTGGTGGCAGCCATGGTACGCAAAGTGAGGTTTCGTTTCGATCGTGAGTGCGCTACAACTGAGTTGGCTGAGATTGAGTAGGTGCAATTCGCTGGTAACTCTATTCAAGTACCAAGTCACTCATCGACTTATGGATTTCCGGCTAGAGTAATCGTGACCAGATACTTGGAACTGACGGTAGCTGCGGTCAGAAAGGATGAAGCGCTTTACGAGGCTCGGCAGCCAACCCATTGTCCAGGGTCTCCCCAGGGCATGGGGGGCTCTATGTCAAACTGCCATTAAAAGGCTAAGAGCCGCTCAGCGTCCACCTGGCGTGCCACGCCGGACTGGCGCCGAATTTGTCTCGGTCCGAACCCCAACTCTATTCTTGACTAGCACACCTAGCAATCCACTGGCTCACATCGAGAAGGTCTATCAGAAAGACCCTAGATCGTAATAAAAATCAACAGCAACGGTCGTTGCTTGGACTGAGATATTCCGTGAGAGCGGCTATGGGAGGTCTATTGACGTTGAGTCTTATTTCCACGGGATTGCAGTGGTCACCTACTTTAAACAAGTCAAATCAGAGCAGCGGAAATGACTGCATCGTGCGCACCAATGCAAATGGTAGTTGAAGGAGTGTTGTCACGGCAATCAGTTGCAGCGATCGGCACCTAAGCCAGGCTTGCATGTTTCTGCAACGCGACATCTCCAAATTCAATCATATCCCTTGGATGCAACTTTACTGGTTGTAACTGCTTCTCAAATCGAGGCTCAAATTCAATACCATACACAGCACACCAAGTTGACATGAAGGGCGGAGCCCAGTCTTCAGGACCCAAAGGGTGAAAAGCTCCGGGTATTTAAAACCACGCATCGCATGAGCGCACACCGACGTCACCCAAGCACTTCTGCTGCTAGCAGGGGGTCAACGCAATCAAGACCAACGAGCAAATAAGGGCGCTTCATCCTCGATATCGTGTGTGCTTCTTATCTTTAGTGTCTTGAAACTGCCAGGGCGCCACGAGATAAACCTGCTTACCCACGCGTCCATGCAGACACTGACATTCTGCGGCTCGCGTTTTGACGTATGACGAAATGACTTCCATTTTGTATTAATAGCGAGTGCACTCATAGCTTCTCAGTATGGCGCCTGTTTTTTTTTCGCAAATCGATTGTTTCTCATCTCATCCAAGCCTCAGTCCAATTGCGTCGACAAAGAACACCGTTATTGCATCGTCAACGCCACTACCTACTTGTTAAGCGGATAATATCGACAAAGTCGCCATCATGGGTGACCTCGGTAAGCTGTAACAGATTCATTTCGGCTCAACTACCCATTGACGACTCTGCAGGACATGAACAGGAGCCAACTCATGAAAATGACACCATGTTCCAGGCTTTCGAATGGAACGTCCCAGCAGACAAACAGCACTGGAAGCGGCTGAAAGAAGCCGTCCCGAAACTGAAGGCCATCGGAGTTGACAACATTTGGCTTCCGCCAGGTTGTAAAGCACAGTCAGCAGAGGGCAACGGTTATGATATCTACGACCTTTACGATTTGGGCGAATTCGAACAGAAAGGGGGCAAGTCGACGAAATGGGGACCGAAAGAGGACTTGGTTGAGCTTTGCAAGGTGGCCAAAGAGAATGGCATCGGCGTCTACTGGGACGCGGTTCTGAATCACAAAGCCGGAGCTGACAAGACGGAGCGATGCCGTGTTGTCGAGGTTGACGAGAACGACCGCAACAAAGAGACATCGGAACCTTACGAAATTGAAGGATGGTTGGGCTTCGACTTCCCAGGCCGAGGAGACAAATACTCCAGCATGAAGTGGCACTGGGAGCATTTTGGTGGCACCGACTGGAACCAGGAGAATGAGCGCAAGGCCATCTATAAGATCATGGGCGATCACAAGGAGTGGTCACAATCCGTTGGCGATGAGCAGGGAAACGCCGACTATATGATGTTCGCCGACATCGACTATTCACATCCAGAAGTCCAAGACGACGTCAAGAACTGGGGCACATGGATCACTAAGGAGTTGGGACTCAAGGGCTTCCGTCTCGACGCCGTGCAACACTTCAGTCAACGGTTTACGAACGAATGGATCGACAACTTGCGTGATGAGTGCGGCAAAGACATGTTCATCGTTGGCGAGTTCTGGACCGCAGAAACCGAGCCGATGAAGGAATGGTTGGAGACGATGGACCACAAATTTTCCCTTTACGACGCGCCGCTCGTCTACAACTTCAGCCAAATCAGCACAACCGAGAGCGGCGATTTGAGAAAAGTCTTTGATGGCAGTTTAGCGCAAGAGAAGCCCGTCAACGCGGTGACTGTGGTCATGAACCATGACACACAGCCAGGACAGACCATGGACACAAAGATTGAAGGTTTCTTCAAACCTCTCGCGTACTCTCTCATCTTGCTCCGTCAAGAGGGCTACCCGTGTCCCTTTTACGGAGATCTTTACGGGATGAAGAAGGACTCGGAGCCACCATCCTGCGGCGGGAAGCTTGCCGACCTGATGCTCGCTCGCAAGCTCTTTGCCTACGGTTCTCAGGAGGATTACTGGGACGACGCAAATTGCATCGGATTCGTGAGGCGGGCAACCTGGGATAAACCGGACGGGCTCGCATGTGTGATGAGCAACAAGGGCCCGGGCGAGATTCGCATGGCGGTCGGCCAAGAACACATCGGTGAGCGGTGGACGGACTTGCTGGGCTGGGAGGAGGGCGAGGTGGTCATTGACAATGAGGGTTTTGGTGTTTTCAAGTGCCCAGGTGTCTCGGTGTCTGTGTGGGTTAACAAGGATGCTGAAGGTCGCGAAAGATTCCCTACCAACTTTGATTCGAACATTTACCAGGAATAGGTGCGTGGATCGTACCTATTCGAGCAAAAGTCTTGATTTGGATACAAGCTGCACCGGCATATTTCAACATCCCCCCACTCCTCGCATTTACCTAGTAATTAATGATATTTTCAATTCCTGTTGATTTTGCTGGCAATTGGGCTGGTTTCATCTGTGTTGAACCCATGATTTCGTGGGGATGAATGCCGTGTGTAAGAGGAGGGCCAGCCGGGATACGGAGTATTTGTGACGTGAATACAAAATACGATAACCTGCCTCAAGTTTTCAGACTTTGAATGCGCAAGCTGAGAGTTAAAAGGAGAGGTTGGCTCCGAGTGTACATGTAGTATCTCTTAGACCTGTTATCGATTCACGGACCACGCGTCATTTCAGAGTCTGTTGAGGCCCTTGGTCATGCTCACCTATCTACTTTGGCTCATCTGCATTTATTTACAGCGGAGAATGGAAGACGTTGCGGCTTCATCGAGTTCCGCATCCGGACTCGGCGGCCGCGCTCATTCTCGGTCCACGCACCCTAATGAATTCTCCTTCAAGTGTGGGTTGGTCTAAATTCCCGCGAGACCGTATCTTGGCAACTTGACGAGGAGAGTGGCGTGAGTGGATATCAGAGATGAATCCTTCGGACACAATCCGTGACCGCACCCCTTACTGCAAATCTTACCGACCGATTTTGCGAAATTAGTCGGAGAAAACTCCGTTTGTCGATGTTCAAGACGTGAGATATAGCTTCAGCGGGCCCTCTAAGCTCAATAGTTATTTACTCCAATCCCGTGATTCCCTAGATCTGTGACTAAATTCTGACACATTGCTCGGCTTGCTACATATGGCAATGCGAAGAACGACGGACACTCCGATCTATAGCGAAAGATCAAGGTGATGTCATTCGGGCCCGGCTTCCGGGACGTTCGACAGCTACCGCCTCACCCACGGCGCCGCTTGCGTAAGTCTTGCTATCCTTCTGGATTAAAGCAATCGACCTCAAGCCGACTTCCATGCCTAATTGGTGCTGGCTGTCTTAGTCTTTTCCAGATCCAGTTTTGGTCAGGTCGGTCGTTCTGGCTTAAGCTCAGACCGGCGTAGTCGGGCCTGGGGTTAGTCCAGATATCGAAGGCAAAAGTTCTAGTGGAGAGCCACCGAAGTTGTCCATGTGTCAAGGCCTGACCATCCAGTTGTCTCGCGCACTGCCAGGAACCAGCGTCACCGGGTAGAAATCGAGTGTTTTGTAAGTGTCTGCAAAACATTTGGACGCCTCCGGGGCGGTAGAATGAATTAGGCGAGAAATCCGGCAAAAGTAGGACTTTCACCACATCTCAAACTTTGAAGAAAACGTGGGCGAAACATGAGTGGAGTCGCGACCAACAACCCCAACAGACTCATTTCTTTCGCAAAGAAAGGATGCTGAGCTATTTATTATCGAAAGATATGTCTGATTCGGGTGGTCATAAAAAGCATAAGCAACTAAGATCCTTCTTCAGCCTCCTGCTCAAGAAGCTTGACCTAGGACCATGACCAGAGGGGCGGGGGCGTCGGGAGGCTGCCGGCAGTGCACCATGACAAACAGAAAATGTCAAAAAATAGTATACAAGGCAGCACCAGCAAGGCACCCAAATGGAAGCCTGCGGCCCCCTGCAAGCTGCAAGCCAAGCCACCATGCTCAAGGGAGAGCCTAAAGGGGTCTAGGGTGCCAACATCCCCGTCGGATACCTGGCGATGGCGCCCCCAAGGCTAAGAAGATCTTCGTTGTTGTTCATCTTTGATGAGCTGTTTGGATGTGCGGGGATACGGCTTTGCCTTTTGAGGCTCATTGCGCGAGGATCTGGCTGTTGTTTAATATTGTTACCAAACTTCAGGTTTTCTCCGCAGCCGGATCTCTAAATTTCTGGTCCGGACATCCTCGCCGGCGCGGGTTCGGCTCTCGCGAGTCGCGGCTGATGGCCTAATTAGCCTTTTGGAGCCTTTGAGACGCCAGCTGTGGAAGCGACCATGATGTCACTCTAAGTTGCGTGATCTTCATCATGCCTCCCACCTTGACTGCCATGAAGCTCTTGGTCAGTAATGTCAGATCTTAGACCTGCAACTGACTAGAGTATTCGCCAAAACCTTAGGATGGTCGGTCTACCGGATAGGGATGAACTACCTTATTTTCAACTTGCCTTAAGTGTGCAGCGACTGGTTGGGTCTCGATGGTTGGACGGAAATGAGGCTAGGGCGGCGACCAGCTCGTCTTCCTTGTACGCAACCGTTAGTACCGTGCTACCTTAACATTTGGGTACAGTTCTAAGCTGAGTAACCGTGAGCCAGGACTTTGAATGAGGAAGGCTCACATCATCTGGACCGACTCCCTAATACTACTTGAGAAATAGACATGAGTTATTCGTGGTGGGCAAACCAACGACGACTTCGCCGTGGACCCAACAAGACTGCTGACGGTGGGACGCTTTTGCTCGCTGATGCTTCTTCAGCTAATGCCGTTGCGGCGATCCTGGAGGATTCTGGCTCCACGTGTTAGCGCACCGCGCTTTGGGAGTGCCCAACGCGTTCTTCTGCATTCCTCCTGTGTTTACAAGAACTCTGTGCGACTACCGAAATGGCAAAGCGACGACTCCATGTCGGGTAGAAGTTCTAGGAGCTTACACACCAACGTCTGCGGCGCATCTGGTTCGGGGATTCCGTGCAAACCAAACCGAAGGAAGAGATAACTACCTACTGTATTATTATCAACGCAATGGGGTTATGCGGAGTCATCGTAAGGACGATATCCACGTCACAATCCAAGTACACAGTTACAGCGGTTTGCTAGTCTTTGGACATTCACTCACCGCGGTCCCGCCGGGATACCTAAGCGTCATCCGCCGAAGGATTCAATAAATTATCGTCCATCAAAGAAACCGTTCAGCCACTATCGCTATTCCAGGAAATCGAAGAAAAAGGTGACCGGGTTTGGGGGCTGTGAGGAACGTCGCCCCGACGCCAGCATGCAGACTAGTCATCTTAGCGTCAACCCCGGCAAGCCTTGTTGTCTTACTCCAAAGTTGAGCCTGTTCCGTCCTGCCTAACCCACAGCCTCTCAGCTGGCCTGTTTAGGCTACTCGTTTTTCCATCATGAATCCTCGAACACGCTTGTCTGCTATCAAGGCTGGGGAAAGGCGGAGACCAGTTGTCACTAGAAATCGGCGGTGATCATGGCGACTGATGTTGTGATATAAGACCTGGCGCCTCTCCCAAAAGCTCACTCCAAGCGAGTTCGTGTCCGAAGTATAGCTACAGCGCCTCAATTAATCATCCTACCTGCTTATTCATACGACTTTCTATCACTGATTGTCGAGATGCGATCATCAGTCACATGGGCACTAGCCCTCGCAGGAGCGGCTTCTGCGAAGCCTACACAAACAACATCTCAGGCAACACACAGCGGACACCACGCGACTTCAACACCGGCGAACGCATGTGCCGTTGCACAAGCAGCCGCGGAGTCGTTTCTTTCAGCCAGACCAAGTGCAACTGCAGCCGCGATAAAGCCTTCAGTTGCATACGACTGTCTAAAATCAATCCCTGTCGACAAGCAAAACGACTTGGATCTCCTCAACTACATCGAGCCATACATCAACTTCCAAAGTACCCTGGAGCCCCTCGCCAACCCTCCGGACGGCTACCTCGTTCCCGGTGTGGATGTTATTGGGGGACTTGGCCAGATCCGAGCCCGTGTGATGAAGGACAAGTACAAAAGTCAGATCGAGTTTGCGCTCGATATCAAGCGACTGGTAGGTCACATTCGACGCGAAATCCACAGCCAACTGCGCTTCCAGCAATATCTAACTTATGATAGTTTACGCAAGCTTCCGATGGCCACTTCAACTATAACCCAGCCCTTCTCAGCCTCTTCACTTTCCGCAGTTTGAACAACCTTGTTTCAGTTTCAGATGATGGCCTTAGCGTCCCGAGAGTGTATCTCATTAGTGACTTCCTCAAGTCTTATGTCAACGACACTGATGTCTATGATATCAAGAGCATCGACGATGTCCCCATCACCGAATGGCTAGAGGCACAGTCTGCCCGAGTCTTCACCCAGGATCCCGACGCCAAGTACAACTCCCTCTTCAATACAAACCCTGCCGTGGAGTTTCAGGGCGTGGGCAATGAATTTGTCCTTCGCTTCCCTGGACACTGCCCGGACAAGCAAGTGATCAAGTTCACCAACGGAACCGAATACGTGGATCAGCTTGTGGCCGTTGTCAGTGAGACATTGGTCGAGTATCTCAGCAGTGCCGAGGCCATTCACTCCAAAGTCGAACTGCCCCCTACCAGCACCAGCTCTGTCGCTTCCTCCTCGTCTGCTACATCCTCTTCCGCGTCCAGCGCAACGCCTACCACCACTCAGATTCCCGGCTACCCCTACCCGGTGTCCAAGCACGCGAGTGACTGGATTTCTACCTACTTCCTCAATGGCTCTTACGAAGACACCGCTGTCTTAGCCGTTTCTTCTTTCGCCCCGTCAAATATTGACACCGCGAACGGGACATTCGAGATTGGCGAGGCTAAGCGCGTCGTTGACGTCTTCCTCCAGAAGGCCAAGGCCGCTGGCAAGAAGAATCTTGTCATTGATCTCCAGGCCAACGGCGGTGGATTCATTGCAGCTGGCTTTCAGCTTTACAATCAGCTCTTCCCCAAGACCACCGATATCTGGGACGGAAACCGTATCCGTGCTCATGAAGCCTTTAACGCTGTTGGACTTACCGCCCAAGAAGCTTCTCCTGATGTTCTGGCTAACTTGGTTTCGAATGTGCTCAACGATAAGCTTGAGCCCTTCAAGGACTGGGAAGATCTGTTCGGCCCCGAGGTGATTGCCGGACAGAACGTCACAAATTTGCTGCGCTACAACCAGACCAGCCTCGGGTACCCCAAGAGCACCGAAGATCAGGTCTTCAAGCCAGAGAACATTATTGTCATTACTGACGGCATCTGCGCCTCTACTTGCACCATCTTTACCGGACTGTTGGTCAGGGAACAGGGCGTCCGCACGATTGCCCTGGGAGGTCGCCCGTCAGAGGCTCCTATGCAAGCTATCGGTGGTGTCGAGGGTTCAGAAGTCCTCGACTGGCCGTCTTTGCAGGCTGCAATCATGCAAGTTGCCAGCGACGCCATCGCTGCCAACGAGACCGACATTCTCGAAGCTGCCTTTGATGTTCTGCCTGATCTTGGCGACCCTCCCCTGCTACCCACTCTCGCCAAGTCAGGTGGTAGCTTCAACTACCGCAACGCTTATGCTCGTAAGCGCCCGGATGGTTTCCCAGAGCAATTCATCTATGAAGCCGCCAACTGCCGTCTTTTCTACACGGCGGACATGCTTGCCAACATCACCGAGATTTGGGCCCGCTCCGCCGACTCTGCTTGGAACAAGGCCAAGTGCGTTGAAGGATCGACCGTCAGCAAGGACAGTATTATCAGCAATGATATCTTGCCCTTCAGTGACAAGGTCGTCGGCATGAATCTGGAGTACAAGGGACCTGGTAGTCTGTCGTACAAGGGCGACTATGAGCCTCCTTCTCCCTACATCCAGAAGCACACCAACAAGAAGCGTTCCATCGTCGAACAACTCAACGTTCCAGAGAACTTCGTCTACGAGCCCATTAAGCACAAGATTGGTGATCTCAAAGAGTATGTCGCTCAAAATATGCCAGAGGACTTTAAGTATGAGCAGAAGCATAAGATTGGGATTAGCCACACTCACCTCAGCCGGGACTGATTAAGTCAATAGTTCGGAGATGATGTATGATAAAATAGATGTTACAGGAGGATGATGACCTCGGATTCTCTACCTTTGTACCTATTTAGACACTCGTTGATACCCAATGGATGAAGAGTCCCGATGCAATAAGGAGGGTCCTTCCTCACAGACTGCCCTGGTGATACTCAACCCGTGCTTCTAAAGTCCTAGAAGATAAATCCGAGAACCACGGGTAACTCGGTAGTTCAGAATCGGCCCTCAATGATGGTGTGCCTGAGCGCTGAATCGCAACTCAACGAAAGCGTCTCGCGAAATCTCTACTGCGCCTGCATTTGACTTGTTTGAGAGTGGTCGAAGCTCTAGAGTCTAACATTGCCGAAAATGGCTGCCGAGCCTCTGTACTGAATAACTTTGATAACCCCAACAGGGCATCATCCCGGCGAAATTCAGCCAAAGTGACAGGTTAACATATGCTCTGCGCCTGACGCTAAAGACTAGTTGAAACTTATAATTGCGCATTCCATATCTGCGGTAATTGTGAAATGTAGAAACACTGCCCGGGCAGTGAGCCAATTCCATGGCTTGGGGTCTGTAGGTCGACAGTCTCAATTGTGATGCAACTAGCCGGCAAGAGTAGCTATTCGTTGCAATCTTCTGTCTCTCAAAGCCTTGTCACATTTCATCCTTAGTCGCAAACCTTGCCGGTGTGAGCGACCTTAAAATAGACCCATTCTCGAGGATTCGTCGTTTTCGGTCTCAAACTAATGTACTCGATTGAGTTACGCGTATTTCAACAATTTCTACTCTGTAACACTACAAGATCCGAATGATACCATGACACTTTTGAGGCTAACAATCATCTTGACTCGTTGAGCATCACCCTCAACTCTCTTGGCCCCTCCTCGTTCTCGAAGTTCTGTTAGCGATTACTCGTTGTAACGTGGGATCAGCTTGTAGGCAAAGTGAGCACCTTACCAATATCGTTCAAGTCAAGGGTTGGCATGAGTTCTACTCCGTACACTCCCAAAGACGCTGTACGTATTTCGGCAAAGTCCAAATCGGGCTGTAACTCCATTATGAAATCCCCGCCGGGCTTTACAACGCGACTCATGCCAAATCCTCGTAACCTTTCACGACGAATCCTTTTTTGAGCGAACATAATGGCTCGGGCTTTGGGACCGCGATTAAGCTTTTGAGCCTCGGCACATACAACCGACTGAGAAGGTGACATCCCTACTTAAGAGTTATTCCAGCTACCCGGTGGACTCTTTCTGCAGGGAGCTGGCTTCACATGCCTCGTCTCAATGAGCAAGTTTGGCCATTTTGCTACACTACCAGTCCACAACATTTGACCTTGAATAGTAATAGAGCGCGTTGATAGAAACATAGAATAAAGGCACTCAATCCTAGACAACGCAAAGAGCTTAACGAGAATACAGCCTGAACTTCTGCCCATGTCCTTGGGACGTTACGTTGACATCAAATCCCACCAACCAAAACAGCCACGCGTGAGTGCGGAACGGTCAAACTCTGTCTCAATACGCGCAGTTGGACCGACTTTATTTTACTCAAGTGAATCTCGCAATCTATGCCTCTATTCCGTCAACACGCCGCTGGCTAATAACGTCCGAGGCCGATTCCAGGAACTCCTGTCATTCAACACTATGCTGAGTTGTTTGCCTGACTAAAGTACTTTACTAATTTGGGTCTACTTACTCAAGCCTCATGACCTTTTCCGGGCAAGTATCATGTGAACCTGCCATTTGAGTTCCAACGGCCCATTGCCAATCTCACTCCCAATCTCTTTCCACTCGGGCGACTGCCATGACTCCTCAGTAAACCCGAACCGCATGGACTCAAGCGATTGCTTCAGCCACTCAATCGAGGCTGAGATCCTCCAGTCTTTACTGTCATTTATGGCAACACGCTCTGACACTCCCAGATGCCCCACCGGATCTGCGGTTCCGTCAAGGGGCTGATAGTCTTTGGCATACCATCCATCCTCACAGTTGATCTCAATGCGCTTGACGTCCTTCCAAACTTCGTCTCTGAGCGGTACACAGTCCATGCCATGAAACATTTGACGAGCGGCGCGCTTCCAATTCTCGGTCATCCACTCTTGCTTGAGAAGATGAGCGGCATGCTCACCAATGAAAGCCTTGAAGGCCGCATTTGCGCTCGTGTTGTTGGTGATCCCCGGAAAAGGGCCGTAAATGACGGCCGCAAAGGTCCCGTTTCCCCGCAGACTACTGGCGACGTTGTCAAGCGTGGGCTCCAGGATAGTCCAGTGCAGTGACTCGCATGCCATTACGAAGTCGACGTGGTCTACACCGACCGGGGCCTCCCAAGGGTCTTCCCCGCGAGAGTTCCGGTACGAGAACTCGGTCCCAAGGAACCGGTCCCTGAAGCGTGTGCGGCAGTCATCGATGTTCTTGGCTTGCGGTTCGGTCAAGACAACATGCTTGAGAGGCGATGGCGTGTGCGTCAAGAGGCCTTCGGCGGCGTTGCCACTGCCCGAGCCGATGTCATGGACAACGTTCAGAGGGCCCGCGTGGTAGTTTGTCCAGAGTTTCCACATAGACTCTGGGTAGGGAGGCCGGTGATCGACGTAGTGCTTTGCCTCCTTGGCAATAGCTACCTGGGGTTGATGGCTGGCATCTGGTTGAGAGGCAGTGAGGGGTGCACTCATCTTCGACAGGGTTCGAAGTCCAAACGGGCGCTGGTCTGTGTCTCTGTTGCTGGGAATTCTTATAATGGCAACCCGAGATGATACGATATGAAAGCAAGTACGTCGATCCGCGTACAATTCCGGGCCCACTGCTTTCTCTTATTCTTGGTATCGGTTGCTTGCCCTGCACTGCTGATCTTCGGACTTGGAGTTTGGTACCGAGAGAATCGCATCGGATTTGCTGGGCAGAAAGAGCAATGCTTAGGTTCACAGGGTCTGTGTTTCTTTCCGTAACCGACGGGTTGCGACGGTAGAGCTTCAGACTTTCTGGTCCGAGTCGGATGAAGATGCTGGGGTGCAGGCGACTGACTCGATACGCGGTTGCATTGCTTAAAGTTTTGACGTTTCTGATAATTAAGTGGTGGTAGATAGGCGCGTCTTTCCCTCCAAAGCTTCTTGGCCTTGGAGAGAACAGCCACGCCCTACTAGAAATAAGTTTTGACAATACTGGAATTAGTGGAAGTTTGTCTCTGATCACATTTTCTACCCCTGCATTACCGACGGCACTGCCTGCAAGATTGACAGATGGTTTACAGAAAATCACCGAATTTCGAGCGGCAGCGGAATCAGGTTCCGCTGACTTGGAAGCTCTTGAAGCTGGGCAGAAAGGCTGTAGCTTCCGCCTGAAAGCAAGGCTCATCTAGACGCATGCCTCGGCATACAAGGTGTGAGCGAGTAATCGCGAAGTTAGTGGACTCGGGGCACGAGGATCTAGATGCCCCGGGCACGTTTCCACACCATCTTCGACGGAGCTTCATGTGTTAGCTGCAAGAGGGGCCAAGCCCAAAATTCTGGTTTGATGATCCTTGCCATGTCTTCAAAGACGAGGCGAGTCATCCACAAAGCCTAACCCCGTCTGATGTGATGAACACATCCCACCCAGAGCGAATGGCGCAACGTTGGATGTGGGTTACGCGGCGAGGGGAATGGAAAGTTAAAAAGAGTAGTTGCGTCAATAAGTCTGATTGGCTGGCTTCTCAGAGTACTGAAGCATCCCATGCTGCTTTCTATTTTCTTTGTCATGTTGCGGGCCTTTGATAGAGCTGGTTCCTGTACGAAACAGTCTTATTCTTTAGGATCTGTTGTCAAGCCCAAGAAGCTTGCATGTGGAAACTCTAGATTCCTCATCTTGGAAAGCGCAGGGTTATAGTGATTTCAAACAGAGCTTCCTACCGCGGAAGTGATACATCCTAAGCTGGTGCATCCTACGTGTTAGCCACGGGTAAACCTTGTTTCTCTAGCCAAACTCTGTGTAAGTCGAGTGTTTGGATTCGTCTGTTGGTGATATCGCAGCACTACCGGTACTTACTTAGACCAAGCTTATCTTGCATCCAGCTCGACCTCGTGTCTACAACAACTGCCGACACTTTGCTCAACTTGGAACTCTGCCGTCCGGTATTCTTTCTAGAATAACTGAAAGCTTGAATGCTCAACTCTCACGCGAAACCTAACTCAAGCTACCAACATGCGCCGAATCACACGTCGAAGAGGAGCTTGTCAGGCTTGCAGGTCTAGGAAGGTCCGATGTGAGTATACAGACTTGTCAACATATTGATCTTATCATGACATCTTGAAGGTGACGGAGCCGACCCATGTCTTAACTGTGAGGTAAGGATACGTTCCTCCAGACAATCAACTCAAGTCTAAGCTTACGACTTTTAGCGAAACGGACAGGCTTGCTACTATCCGCCATTAGCTCCTAGACCAAGGAGGACAAGTGCACCGGGAGCGACCAACAGAAGTACACCCAACATCCGAAGACTAGGAATCAACACCGATCAAACCGGCCCCGTGTACGATGCTTGGCAACAACTGCCCTGTGATACTACTCTCTTGACACCAAACTCAACGGAGGGCACTGGGAACAATAGCGGAAAGGTCGATGGTGATGGATTCAGCTGTATGCTCCAATTGTCACTGCCAGAGGCTTACCCGGACTTGCGGCACGATGGGCGGTTGAACTTGCTGGATCTACCACTGCCCGGGGAAGATGAACTTATGGAGCTACTCGACACTACACCATCTGACTGCCAATCCAGCGGCGGATTCAACTTCGACTTCAATACTTCGAACACAGAGCAGTTACACCAGTCACCAATTGCAGCTCCGTCATTGCCCCATGATAGTCAACCTCGCACCAGGGCAAAAACGACAAGCCCTCCAGACTACAACACAGTAGGTAAAACTGAATACGACTATTTCAGGAACGCGGATGACTTAGACACCGCACAGTTATTCAACTTTGATGAAGCAACTGAGGTTTCTCCGTCTGCTTTCAACCCGAAAGACCAATTGTCCACATCGAACAATGCCACACTGCACGTCGACTTTTCCGCCGCAAACCTCTATGGTCTTCCTGAATTCATTTCTCAAGGGGGAAAGGAAAATCAAAGACTTGAGACGATCAAAATTGTGAACGGACTACGGCGAGTTCTGTGCGAGAGTCAAGTGGCGTCAAGCGAAGACGGCCCTCTCGATAGGACGAAAACATTTCCTGAAACTGACAGTGCGCTTTCACGATACTGCGATGGTGAGCATTGTCCCACATTTGACCAAACCGATTGGAGGTAGCTGACATGCTCCAAATAGCATGTTTTGAAGATTGCTGCCCGTGAGTGGTTATGATGCGGGGATGACGGGCAGAACCGTTCGAAACTAACGTCATTTTGACGGGAATAGGATTGGTGACTTCTTAACGAAATCTGCAGTCGAGAGCATTATTAAGCAATCCAGACAACCTGAACCCGACAGAATTTTTTCAGTGTTTGCCGAAGCCATTGTGGCTGTCGGCTTTCATACAGCCTGTCTACGAAATCTAGAAGCTCCAAGCGTGGAGGAGACACACGAGGCACAAAAGCGCCTTGCAGCAGCTTTGTGTCTCTACAAAGATATTCAGAACTTTCCAAGCACTCTGTTGAAATTCCAGGTGAGTGTACCTATACCGGCTTTCCACGATAAATACATGTAGCTGACGTATTTACTCTTTAGGTCACTTTGGTCATGGTATGATGCTTATTGCAAGGGAGCTATGGAATCAGCCCTATATCCTAACATCAAGAACAGGCAGTGATTGCATACATATGCGAAGAGTCCTCGATTTGGGAGAAAATCACAGCGGCAGTTTGTTGTGCGCGTGACCTCCGCCTCGTTCACGCAGCAAGAGGCCAACAATCTAGTATGAGTGACCAAGATCAAGAGCTGGCCCAACGGGGGGTTTGGTTTCTCTACAGCCTTGAGACAGACTACGCAATTCACCATGGCATGCTACCGGTGAGTCTCTTCATTCCTGCTCTGAACCGCCATCATGAGGCACTCACTGACATACCTGATAGATCCTTGATCTTGGCTGGGGGATTCAGTTCCCATCATTCGATAAAGGAGACGATATCATTACCGTGTCATACACCTTTTCTGAGCTCCTGCACTCGGTGCTCAAGTTTCAGTATAGCCCGAGGGCACTCAACAAGTCTGCATCCGCATATGATCGTCGCGATCGACTGCAGGCTAGCTGTCATGTTCTTAACGAATGGCTCAGTGGCCTGCCGGCACCTCTGAAAGAGGCGAATGATGCCAAGGTACTCCAAAGCATAAAGGACGACCGGCAGCTCCGGAAGGCGTTCCGTGTCTTCTGCATGTATCATCGGGCTGTGTTTTTCATCCACTGTCCGTGGATTACACCGATTGCCACAGATGACGAGGATCTGTCCGGCGTTGCCGAGCAGACTAGGGAAAGATGTGTTGAGCGTTGTGTCGAGTCGGCATTTGCGGTTGTCAAACTGGCTAATAGCGGGCTCTTCTGGGAAAAGGGGCTTGAAAGGTACGTTCTGCGCCCGCAATTGAGAGTAAGGTGCTGACCTTGCGTACGTGTAGAGACATTGGGTCGTCAAGCATGAAATGGGGCAACATGGGGCAGCTTCTACTGGTATCACTTTGCTTCATTGTCTACTATCTCATAAATGGAGAGAAGGCGAATCGCAAGACAGCAATGCCTTATCTAGCTATTTGTGGAGGGCTGTTCGGAAGACTGAGCTTGGATAGTGACGAGGGTTCTTTGATGGATCATTACTTAGAACTGATTCAAGTGGTGAGGGCGAGTTGACATATTTCGAAGAAATCATAGCGAGAGCGAGACAGATGAGACCCATGAAGTCCGAATACAATAGCGCATTAGTTGAAAATGACAAATCTACCAAATACCGTCCTCAGATGCTCAAGTCTCAAACTAAGTTTAGGAGCGGCCCGCTTAGCTAGCCGACTGGTAACCTGTGGGCTGTCAGGACCATCTTGGCTCTTGGCACGAACTACATTTTCATCAGTCGGGAAGGGAACATCGGCAAGGCCTAGCGGCAAGTAAATTAGCCACTAGGAATGTTCTGGGGAGATGTATTTTACCCGCATGCAAATGACATTTGCCTGAATACGGGGGACAGATTGAAGAATTGCCCTGCCGGCGGGCGGAAAATCAAACAAGGTTTACTGATTTCTTGTGTCGCGGCAAGAGTTGATTTAGACTTTCGAGTTAACAAAGTGTGATTGCCGCCGCTGTGGATCCGGCGGGTTGTGTGATCCTTGCAACTCTTCATCGAAGTTCCATTCTGACTACGGAGTATCCGTAGAGCTGTTCGGACCATTGTGGATACTATAAACCAGGGATAAATGACATGGATGATAAGAATCTCTATCTTAGAAGTTCACCTCCTCCTTTCTCCGCCTGACAAGGACTTTGGTGGTGGGGTTCGCAAGCATAGAAAACCCAAACTCTAGAGGGTTTGTGTTTGTGTTTTCCGCCAGCTTGATATCGTACTTGAGCAACAGGTGGCACATGACCAGCTTTACCGTGTTGGCGCCAAAGAAGCGGCCAGGACAAGCGTGAATGCCAAGGCCGAAACCTAGGTGTTCAGGTGAAGTGCTCACCAACTGAGATGACTTCTCACCTTGCTCAGAAGCTTCCCGCAGTCGCAGGAAACGGAATCCATCATAGGTTCGCGGGTTCTCGTAGATCTCCGGGTCCCACATCTTTTCCGCATTGACAGCGATGCCAGAATCTTGGGGGAGAACAGTGCCATCCTTGAGGCGGACGTCTTCCATAACCCTCCGACCGAGACCCACTGTGAAATCTGTCAGTCTACCCTGCCGAAAATGGCGAAAAATTGCCCGAATGATGCGGGTCAGGCAAGTTCAAAGTTGAGTGATGGATGGGAGAAACGTACCAGCTGCGACGGGCTTTAAACGCAGAGTTTCCTTGAGAACACTGTCAAGAACCTTTGTGTTGTACAGACTCGTAGGCTTCCATTGCCCGTTACCAAGAACAGAGCGAATCTCCTTTCTGAGGGGTTCGAACATCTCTGGGTTCTTACAAAGATCCATGATGCTTTGGGACATGAGGTCGTTGCTGGTCAGAATGGCAGAGATGCTGAGGGCCAGTTGTTGATCGGCAGGATCGTACCCAACGCCCATCCTCTTCGCTGCCGACTCATACCAGTCCAAGGCGTCATGATACTGCAGGCTTGGATCCGCTGTCTTTTGTACACGACGTTTTTCTAGAATAGGCGCGATGATTTGTCGCGCTTTAACGAGCATAGTGCGAACCTCACGACATTCTGGAAGAAACCAATGAATGGTGCGATAGAGAAACACAGGCCAACGCCGTAAGACTTTGGCCGCATTTGTTGCCTTGTTGGTGTAGTTCACTGTGATCTTCAGCCAGTCGGGGTTTCGGCACAGCTCAGGTCCAAGGAAGATGACGGAGGACACTCGGGCAACAATTCGGATAATGACATCGCCAAGAAGAACCTCATGCCATTCTGATGAGGAAAGAAAGGGCTGTTAGAGCTTGTTACCGTCATGAGGGGTTCACGAAAATGACCCACCTTCGTCATCAGTCAAAATATCACTCAGCGCAGCATTTGCCTCTTCAGACAACGGCTTGTTTAATTTGGCTGGAGATTGTGGTTCAGAGTCAGTAAAAAAATGACGATCGCCGAATTTATCGGTCAAGGCGACATACCAATACCAGCCGGTGTCAGATTCCATTTGATGACATTGTGCAGAATTTCAGTTCCAAGAGCAATGTAAGGCTCAAACCCTGGGATACCAGCTTGCCAGTACTGCAAGAATATAGCAACGGTTAACAATTGAACCATAAGCAGCAAACTCAATCTGTAGCCTCGATGTCATACCTGGAGTAGGAACTTCGTCGAATCGAAACGAGCGTCATTTCGGACCTCTGGCATAACGCTGTGATCGAGAATAATGACGCCACCGCCGAGACCGGTGTTAACTCTGAAAGGCTTTCCGCCAAATTCTTTCAGACCCCGGGCCAATATCGCCCGTCCGCTCATGAGATATTCATTCTTTGAGGCATTAACAACCGGGAACGCAGACAACTTATTTTTACGCAGTGAAACGGTCATCACTGAGGCTAACAAGATGATAGCCATCAGATACGGCACATAGCTGCTGGTTTCTATCGAGCTTGGCAACCCGAAATTTGCCAAGTCGACCCATGAAGGCCGGGGAGGACTGAGGGTGGTTTGGGTGTTGGTGTTAAGGTAACTAGCCATCGTTGATTGATGGAGGCGCTACTTTCTCAATGTAAAGCAACAGATAGCGTACGTGTGTGGTTGGTTTCAGACTTTGTTAAATTGGGTAACATGAGATCTACGCCAGTGAGACGATGAGAGGCGCAACTAACGAACCCTTCAGCATTCAGCTCAACACACAATTTCATCCGCAGCGATTTGCATATTTGGCACCCAACGTCCTTCCCTTCATCTTCGGATCCGAGTCCCCCCTTTCACGTTGCCGTTGTTCCATTGACCCTCCGGATCGAGAAGTGAACTGAGGTGGTGTAGTTCGGTCCGAGCGGGTGGAGCCGGGGGGGCATAAGGAGTTCGCGAGTCAACGCACGGAGCAGAACAGTCCAGGGATAGCGTCGCGCCGAAGTCCTGTTTATGGTTTCATACTCGAGTTTCCGAAACCTTATGCCACCAACCCCTTTGTTCCAGACTTTCCGTGCATTGTGTCCATTTGCCTCTTCGGAGCAGGAAGAACAAGGAACCCTTTGAGTTACGGCAAGCAACTTTGTGGAAAAGATCTCTTGGTAGGCGCTGGGAAGGGGAAAAAACGTCTCTACGAACCACAATCTGCTATTCTCTCTCAGGCTCTGCAATATGGACAAAGGCCTGAGTCGCTCGTTCTTGGACCGGCACAGGCCGTCGATGCTAGTGCTAGCATCCCAACTTTCTGCCGCGGCACTCAACGGCTTTGCCAAGTTTTTCGAGACGGGTGAAGACCCAGTACACCCATTCCAAGTCCTATTCGTCCGGCTCCTCATCACCGGGACTGCGTGCACATTCTACCTCTGGTTCACGAAAGCTCCCAACTTCCCGTTGGGCCTGCCAGAACTGAGATGGCTTCTGGCTTTGAGAGCAGCAGCAGGTGTTTTGGGGGCCTTTGGTTTCTATTGTAAGATCAACTATCGTGTCGTGAAATGGACTATCAGTAAGATCGCGTTGTTGACACGCCACTTGCTAGTTTCCATCATGTACCTTAAGCTCAGTGAAGCAACGGCCTTAAACTTCCTTGGCCCGCTCACTGCCATGATCATGATTCGCTATCTGGACTACGGCACTTTCGAAGTGATTGATCGGATTGGAGCCTTCGTCGCGCTGGTAGGCGTGATACTCGTCGTTCAACCAGACGCGCTCTTTGGCTCGAAGCCGACGCTTTCCAGCGCTGCTCAGTCTATTGCTGATGGTAGCCCCCAAGGCAGGATGATGGGGTTTGGTTTCGGGTTAATCAGTGTTTGCGGCGGAGCGGTAAGTTAACCACCCATTGCTAGTGAGCGTCGAACTGAAGTTATTCCAGGTCGCACTTACTGCGATTCGCTCTATTGGCACACGCGAGCATCCGTTGATGAGTATCATGTACTTTGCTTGGACCATTGTCACTGTTTCTGCGGTGGCATTTCTTCTGATGGACAGCGTTCATCTTACAACAACGGTCATGTCGTGGGTCAAACTGATACCCCTTGGCATCTTCGGCTTTACAATGGCAAGTCTCAATCTTTGCAAATCTACCATTTCAAGTCATCGACTAACAGCACGGGCACCTCTAGGAGTTTCTTCTTACAGCGGGTATAGCCAATGACGTCTCATCAGCTGCTACGATAATGATTTATTCTCAAGTTGGATGGGCATTGCTTCTCGACTGGATCGTATTCCATTCTCAAGTCAACTTGTTGACGTTGATAGGGATAGGCGGTGTTGTTACCAGCTTGATCGTTGTCTCTTCAGCGAAAGAGTGGAAATGGCTACGGAAAGGTCGATACGAAGTGGTGGAGCAAGATTCCCTTGATGAAAGAGAGCCTGACGAAGAAGTAGTAGAGATGAGACCAAATAGCTCGGTGGCATGATACACCAAGTACTTGTAGACTTCAAAATCAGCGATCTAGAAAGGTCATCAACATTTTTCAACTTGATTAGAATCTAGTTTGGTCTGTAATTGCAGGTCGAGTAAGATACTAAGGATTTTACTGACGTCAAGTCAGTAGATGCCGCATTCCATGTGACGTGCCGGACTTCTGGTGACAGAGATTGAAAATGAAGAATTGAAACAAGACGCAGAATTTGTGAAGTTGTTTTCTAATCTATGACGCTGGTCTAATGGAACATGACTCAGAATGATGCTACAACTGACAGCCAATCTGATAACATTCTGGTCTAATTACACGAATGAAATAACTTCCTCGATGATCTTCTCAGCCAGATGCAACAGAGAAGTACATTGAGTAACTTCCATAGACGTTAAACCAATGTGGAACTGCTGGTGAATCCAGTCCACCAACTCAATTGAGATGATGGAATCCAAACCAATAGAAGTCAAATTTTCAGTGAGGGGGAAATCCTCAACTGGTCTCAGCATGAGGTGACTGAGAGTGGCGCTGATGAAGCGTGCGAGGCTTGTAACTGTCGCGCTATCCCTGAGAGCAGCTGGATCAGATCTGGCGAGCGAGATGAATGTTTCAGCTTCGTCATTCTCTTCGGCTCCTCCAGAAGTGGTCGTATTGACTTTGTGGAAATAGTGAGATTGGGCGAACCGGACATCTCTCTTCCAGTTAACGCGGTTGGACGGGTCAGAAAGAGGCTTTTCGGAGAGACCTCCCAGGCAGAAGCTGCTGTACGGCCCACCAGAAGAGTTGGCAACAGCAATTGCCGCGGAGTCGAGGACATCTTGCTCCTTCAAGAAGAAGAAGCCGCCGTTTTTGAATCCATCATAAAGATCATCCCGCTCTAGAAGGTAACCGACGTCACCCACGACGCCAAGATCGATGATAGAGGCAGAAAGACCAAGGTGATGGCGGTACTCAACGAAAGCATCGAGATAGGTGTTGGCCGCGCTGTAATTGGCTTGACCGTAGTATCCAGTGTGTCCACCACCAGAGCCGAAGATGACGAAGAAGTCTAACAGAACGTTTGCATCCAGGAGCGCTTGGTGAACGTTCCAGGTACCACGAACCCTAGGATTGACCACTCCACTCCACTCCTCCCACGTCATCTCAGCAGTGGAATTGTCTTTGAGAATAAGAGATAACTGCATCACTCCGGCGACTGGCTTGGGAGCCTCGTTGATTGCCTTGAGTACGTCATCAGGATTACTGACGTCACCCGAAACAGTCTTGATGACGGAGCCGGGATAGCTCTCAAGCTCCTTCACAAAAGGCTCATTGTCCGGGCTGCCGGCGGACCTTGAAAGGAAGACAAGGTTGCGAGCTCCATGCTCAAGCAGCCAAGTGGCCACAGATCGACCGAGTCCACCGAAACCACCGATGAGGAGGTAAGAGGCATCATCTCTGAACATGGGGGCTTCCTTGGTCACTGGAAGAGCCTTGCTGACCTCGGGCTCCGAGAAGCCGAACCAGTACATGCGAGGGATGTGAACCTTGCCGTCCACTATGGCGAAGTCAAAGTCCGCGTCCAACTCTCCGCCTTTGCGTCGGTTTGGTAAGCTCTGTACGATATTGTACAGAGCCTTGGAAATGCTGTTGCTTGATACCGAAAGATGATCGGCCTCGACAAGAGTGATGTCTGCCTTGTTCTCCATACGGACCGTTCTAGCAGTGCCCTGGATCATGGCTGGCTTGGCATCCTTGCAAGCGCCATGAACAGTGGGGATGACCCAGATGAGAGCGCCACGCAGATTGCATAGACTGTCCATGAAAGGCCTGAAGGTCTCGGAGCTTAGGTCGTAGATGGTGTTCCCAGTAAGATCCAGGAGCGAGATAACCAGAGACCCGTCAGAAGGTATAGTTTGCTGGTGGGAGACTTGCGCGGTAAAGCCCTTGATCTCAAATTGAGACTTGACGTCCCTTGCTAGGTCATTGCCTTCCTTCGTATTATGTGCCAGGATGATGATGTTGGTGCTCTTGTCCATGTCGGAACGCTTCATTGGCTCAGCGAGCATTAGACCAGACGGCGTTTGGGAGTGCATGATATAACCCAGGCTATTCAGTCTCCGAGCGATCTTCTCACTATCAGAAGCTCCATCGATCACATGCCCATCGTTGTGAACAATGAGCCGGCTTCCAGCAGTCTGCAATGACTTCAACTCATTTAAGCCATCCAACAAGTAGCGGTCATCCGACAACAAGGTCGGAAGTGATATCAGGACAACGTCAGCTGTGTTGCACATGCAAAGCTGCTCTAGGTCCACGACCGAAACGCTTTCGCGCCCTAGTTCGGCAGTTGCCTCTGTGACCTGTTCAACTTGCTCCTCAGAAGTACACACGTAAGTGTACTCAGAGTAAAGGCGCTTGTGCTGGGTAGGCTGCAGAGCATCCAGAGCAACTCGAGTAACGTCGTTTGCTCCAGATCCAATCTCCAAGACCTTTGAGTCCGGAGTCTTGAAGCCGAGGAGAGAGACTGCTTCGCTTATGTCTCTGGCAAAGTCTGCGTTGACAGATGCGACTTCTGTGATGCAGTCCAACATAGTGATGTCTTCCCTCCACTCAAAGGTGCTTCCAAGGAGAACTTCTCCGCGCTTGGCGACAGGAAGCTCAGAGTAGGAGAGGCCCTCTAGATACACCGTAGGTCGACCTTCGTCCGTGTATATGGCGGCGTTTGCGGTCATGCCTTCGGCACCCTCCTGGATACTGCCATGGGCCCTCATGCAGAGGTCCTGATTGCCGAGGACACCCATCCGGGAGATTAAAGTGGGAAGTAGGATACTGTCCAGGCGCCGCTTCTGGCCATATGTTTGCGCCACAAGGTTGATCTGGAGCATTTGATCCAGAAGCGTCGGGTGAGCAGCGTAGTGTGTTGTGTCTTCAAAGTCATACACTGTGGCTGTGGCTTCCCTATTCACTGGGTTGGCGGTGATGTGGTCGAGACCTTGGAAGGCGGTCTGCCAGTCGATGCCAACAGCCTTGACGGCCTTGTACCAGCCCTCAGCTTCGATCTCGCGAGTGAATTCTCGCTCTGCCTGGGCACTGGTGATGGATGTCTTCTCTGCCTCAGCCCCGGAGCGGATGAAACCGAAGCAGTGTGTGACCCAAGCAAGGCCATCGTAGGACATGATCTTGAAGTTATACCATTGACCTTCATCGCTGGGCTTGTCTTCAGGGATCATGCGCGTGTATAGCTCCATCTTCTTCTCCTTCGGGACAGTCATCCCAGTGATGATTGACATGTCCCTAATGGTGTACGCATCCGTGCCATTGGCTACCTGACGCATCGCCTCTCCGGCCATGGCCATGTAGCCGGCTCCAGGGAAAACGATCTGACCGTTGACAATGTGGTCCATCAACCAAGTAACTTCCTTGAGGTCAAGCATGTTCCGCCAAGCAGGCTCAATATCGTTGCCTTCGAGAATCCGGGCGCCCAGGAGGACGTGTCTGGTATGTTTTCTTTGCTTGTAGCGGGAAGGATTGCGAGGCTCGTCCATGTAAGTCACATCGTGGAGCCAAGGATAAGTCGGCATATTGGTCAAGACTCTGCCCTTGGGAATGACGATGGACATGTCGACCGGAGCACCCTGCACGAAGAGCTCGCCAGCTAGACGAAGCATAGACAGGTTGGTGTCTTCAGCCCGACGGAGGGTGGTGATGTACTCGCAAGAAGACTCAGGTACGCTGCGAAGAATCTCACTGATGGGGCGTTGAAGAGCCGGGTGGGGGCCGACCTCAACGAAGAGGTTGTTATTGTTGCTCTTCAGGATTGCCCGCATTGCGGCATTGAACAAAACCGGCTGGACGAAGTTCCGACGCCAGTAGTTGGCTCCGAAGTCGGCATCGGTCATCTCAAGACCGGTGACACTTGAGAAATGAGGAACCGTCGGAGCCTTGGCGTCAGCCAGATATGGCTTGAGAAGTTCCTCGTACGGCCCGGCTAGAGGTTCAATCCATGGAGAATGGAACGAAGTCTCCAGGTTTAGAATCTTTGCCTTGACATCGGGGTGACGACGCATGATCTGGTCGACGCAATGTTGGATGCAAACAGGGTCGCCTGACAAGGTGGAGTTGAGGTGGCTGTTCTCGCAGCCGATGACCACTCCAGGAATCAAGAAGGGTTCGACTTCTTTCGGGCCAAGACTGACAGCAGCCATGGTACCAGGAGGAACGGTGCCATTGACCAAGAGCCACCCACGGAAGTAGGCAACGGCCATGGCTGCTTCGGCGGTGACACTACCAGCGGCATACGCGGCAGCAGCCTCTCCTCCAGAGTGACCAGTAACAGCATCAGGACGAACCCCAAGGCTAGCGAGAACATCGACCAACGCGATCTGGACAGCAGTTGCGCAAGGGTGAGAGTATCCTCGTTGGCCAACTCTGCTCGAGTCATCATTGATGGAAAGCTCCTTTTCTAAAGTCCAGGTTGGTCTGTGTTCTTCCGGAAGAGACTGGAGCCAAACGTCGAGCGTCCTGATGGATTCTCGGAACACCTCATTGGTCTCAATAAGAGACTTGCCCATACCGGCCCAGTGTACGCCCTGTCCAGTGAAGGTAAGGATGAGTCGTCGGGCGGTCGTCGGCTTACGCTTGAAGCTGCTGGGGTCGAAGACGCCCTCCTCGTTCGCAATTGCATAGGCTCTACAGCTGAGGTGGTCACGATGATGGCCCAAGGTATAAGCAAGGTCATCCAGGTCAGCGCTCTTTGTCTCAAGGTAATGCTTGTGTTGTTCCACTTGCTTCTCGAGCGAGGTCAAGTGCGCGGCGGAGAACAGCAAAAGTCGCTGGCCCGGAGACCGGACGCTGACGCCGGAGTCAGAGCTAATAGAGCTGGCATCATCTTGCAGTTTTTGCCAGCCCTCATACGACTCAAGGATCACCTCCAGGAGAGTAAGCGAAGGACTTCTAGGGATATGCGCAGAGATCTTACATGAGCATTAGAGCCAGCAACGCCAAATGAGTTGACACTGATGCGCTCGTCTCTGTCTGCAGGCCAGAAAGTTGGTTCGGTCGGAACAGAAAGCTTGGCCTCGTCCCAGGGAACTAGGCCGATGTTAGCATGCGGAATGGAGACTCTCACTGGTGTTCTCACTCCTTGGGTTGGGGTTTTCCATGTAGATATTTGGGGGAATCACTCGGTTTTCCAACGCGAGGACTGCTTTGATGACACTAGTCAAGCCTGCTGCACCTTCGGAATGCCCGACATTGGGTTTGACCTGGGTACGTTAGAGGGTTTCAAACTCTTGTAAATGTCATGATAAACTGACAGCGCCAATCATTACACCATCATGATCCTTCCAGATCCGTGCAACAGCAGCCACCTCGAGCGGGTCACCAGTGGGAGTACCAGTGCCATGACACTCGAAGAAAGCCGTCTTGTTAAATGGAAGACCGGCCTTCTCATAAGTCTTTCGAATCAAGGCCTCTTGCAAATAAGTGTTGGGACTCATGATTCCGTTGGAGCGTCCATCGTTGTTGGTGCCGCTTGCTCGGAGGATGGCTCTGACTGGGTTGCCGTCTCTTAGAGCATCGCTCAATCTCTTGACGTAGACAGCGTTGACGGCTTCACCGCGGCCGTATCCATCGGCAAGCAGATCAAAGGTCTTGCATTTGCCACTGGGAGACAAGACACCAGTTTCCGTGAAAACGATGGAGGTAATGACTGAGGTAATGAGGTTGCATCCGAGAGCCATTGCCGATTTACAGGCACCGTTTTGCACGGCTTCAGCAGCTAGGTGCAGGGCTACCATGGATGAAGAGCATCCGGTCTTGACAAGCATACTCAAGGGATATCAGTCTCTGCGAAAACTAACTCGGCCACAACGATTGGTTACTCACCTCGGGCCAGTCCAGCCGTACTCATATGACACCCGGTTGGGCTGTAAGAAGTCGAGGTAGCCAGATCCTCGGTACAAACCAGAAGCGTGCGGGTCCATTGACAAGTCATCTTGCCAATCCGATGAGAAGTTGCCAACATAACAACCAATCTCTTCACCACGCCAGTTGGTCTCGCCGGCGTTATCGAGACATTCACGCGCAATCTCCAGCAGCTGTCTTTGCATGGGGTCCATGCGCTCAATCTCCTTCTCACCACATGTGAAATAAGAGGCGTCAAACTTGGTGAGATCATTGTCGGCCTGGCTGAACATGTATGCTTCTTTGTTCTGGACCGTTCCCCATTTTGCAACGGGACTGTAGAAGCCTTCGCTATTCCATCTCTCTTTTGGGATAGGGATGAGACCGCTTTGCTTATTCATCATCAGGTTCCAGAAGTCTTCTGTATTCTTGACGCCACCGGGGAGCCTTACGGCCATTCCCACGATGGCGATGGGGTCGGAGGGGTCCATCTCGGACGAAGGCGTGGTAGCGCCCGACTTTGGTGACATTGTATAAAGTTTGACAAAAATTGATGGTATAAGCCCGCAAACGCCTGCTGAGTGAGAGTCAAATGCCAGCCTAGTAAAGGATATCGTATGAATTTGGCTGTGTATTATGGTTTGGGTTACAAGGCCAAGGAGATTACTTCGACGCTAATGTAGAGCTTCTTAACAAGAGATGAACAATGTCGTGATGGAGTTGACTTCGGTATTCCAGAAGATTTCCATTGTGTTGCCAGAATAGTTGAGTCCGAGTTTTGCGAAAGTCTATTGTTCAAATTCCGAGATCCAAACGATTTCCGTCTAATGTGATTGGCTGCAGGAGTCGATTTGCGAATACCTTAATGATGGCCCGGTCCTTGCACAATGTGCGGTCCGAGAAGGATCTCAGCGAGAGGATCACTACTCCGAAAAACATCGGGACCTCAGTCAGGCAAGTGAGTTGAATGGACGGAATCCTAATTGCACACCACCATCGAATGTGGTCTCATCCAACCTTCGCGGTAGTAAAGAACATGTGTTTTACTCGAGAGAGATTCATTCTACTGGTGTACTATAGCGGACTATCGTCATCGTCCTCACGTATCACTCATCCTACCTTAGCTCACAATGGCCTCAACTCTTCCCGGTATGATGAATGCCGTCGTTATTGAAGGTCGGGGCAAAGCCGCAATCACCACTTCTCCGATTCCCAAGCTGCGCGACGGATACATCCTCGTTAAAACTACTGCCGTCGCCATCAATCCATCTGACTGGAAGCACATTGACTTCATGTGGGTGGGTAACCCCACTGGTACGCGACCAGGCCTGGAATACTCAGGTGTTGTTGTCGAGGTCGGCAGTGGAGTGGAGAAGGACTTCAAAGTTGGCGATAGAGTATTCGGGATCGTCAATGGCTCGTATGTGTCCTTTCCTCCTACCTGGATTTGGGAAGACAGACAGACTCTAACCATCTTGAGATAGGAATGTGAGGCAGAAAGAAGACGGTGCATTTGCAGAGTATCTCATTGCGAAAGCAAGCCTACAGATGAAGATACCAGACCACGTCGAAGACACAGAGGCGGCGGCAATTACATCAGGTCTGGTAGCGGTGGTTAGTGCCTGATACTCGCTCTCTCCTGACAGATCCCCGCTAAAACAAGTCGTAGGGTCAAGGTCTCTACCAGTCTCTAGCACTGCCACTACCCACCAAACCGTCTCCAGAGCCCCTTCCCCTCCTAATCTACGGCGGAAGCACTGCGTCAGGCATTATGGGCATTCAGTTCGCCAAAATGTCCAACTGCACAGTCATTGTGACTTGTTCCCCCAAGAACTTTGACTACATGAAGGGCTTGGGCGCTGACTTCTGCGTTGACTACAAAGCAGAGGACTGCGTAGAGCAAGTCAAGACCTTCACTAGGGGGAGGTTGAGGCATGCCTGGGACTGCATTGCGACAGCGCAATCCGCACGGATATGCGCCTCAGCAATATCGGTGCGAGGAGGGCACTACAGCAGCCTGTTATATTTGGTTCCCTCTATCGTCAAGAAGATTAATCCCAAGATCGAGTGCTCTACGACGTTAGGTTACACGATTCTAGGAGAGACGATCGAGAAAGAGACGGTCATTGAGCCGAGACTCGATGATTATGAGTTTGGGAAGATGTTCTGGGGTGTGAGTGAGAGGTTGCTGCAGGAGGACAAGTTTCGACCCGCGAGGCAGATCGTTAATCTAGGCGGCGAAGGGCTGGAAGGAATTCTCCATGGCATCCAGTACCTCAAGCAGGGAAACGTTAGTGCTGGAAAGTTGGTGTACACAATTAGTTGATAGATATATGTAAGGTAGCTTCAACATCAGATGTCTCCTTGTCAAATCAACCAATACCGTGAGGAAGTCAAATCAGAATCTGATTACAGGTTTCTGGAATTGAGCATCGAGTCTGAACATCTTGGTTGTCTTCACTCTTCCAGACTGAATCTAACGCAACAAAACTTTGAGTTGCGCCAGAGTGCGCGGTCTCACGGCGCGAAGTCAACTGACTCGCGCATTAAACCGCCTGAAGTAACTCCCGCTAAGTCCTGCCACGTTTTGCCGAAATCCGACCCTGTACGGTCCGTCCACTCGGAACCGACTGACCGGCTGAAATAGCGTTGCTCCGGATTCGGGATTCACCAAGCAGGAAAGTCAAGCTTCGAATAATCTGAGACGTAGTGACAAGCCTAGTTACACAGGAGAACTAAGGCACGGTCGAGTAAGCCTTTTCCTCGCGCTGGGCTTTGTCTACACCTTGACGCGAGGTTGTTCGTCCAGGTCAATTCTCAGTGGGTTGAGCTAATCACGTAACTATGGAACTTTGTGTTTGGATAAAGGCTTTGGTAAGAGCCTAGAACACGCCCCTTACGCTGTCAGCATTGCGTATCTAAACAGGTGAAGCAAACATAAATCTACCTAATTGTAGAAAGATCGCATTGGATGGAAAAGAGAAGAGGGAAGAAGTACGGAGTAAAGAGGAGCTGATTATGGAAAATCGGCCCCGGAAAATTGAAGCGTACGTTGTAGTTACAGCCGTATCAGAGCCACCCGTAATCAAGAAAAATTACACCTTGCTTGTGATATGGTTGGGAAATGGTGTGTGCCAGCTTTTTGGGGGTTTTTTACGGTAGAAAATATAGGTAATTCCAATCGGTTACATTCTCAGAGGTGAAATCGCGACTCACCCATCGTTGTCCGATGCCCATAGAAGGGATTCAACGCGAGTAAGTGACATGGCCCAGATCTCCGAGCCGGACCGGTAGCACCCCATCCCCACAGTGAGCGGTCGACAGGTCCGGCACTGAACAAACATCGCGGCTTATGATCACTCCCGTTTCACGACTCCTTGTCTAGAGCAGAGTACCTAATTAGAGATACGGCAGCTCAATCCGCCTCATCGAAAACACAATCTTATTTCCTAGCAACCCATTACCACACGCCAGAATGGCAGCCGTAGAGTCCTTCAGCCAAACGAGGGAGAACACGGACAGGATCGTAACCGATTGTGGATTCGTAGGCTACTATGAAAACGTCCATCCACGACAAAAACTGCTCATCGTGCAGCTCATCATCAAGTCCTTTCAAAAATTACGATGCGACATTGCGCGAACGAAAACAGGTCAGAAACTGCGGCCCATCAAATGCGCTGCCAATGTACAAAAACAACTCGACTTTTGCTACGAGATGCTCTCAGATGCAGGGCTCGTCTGCCAAGAAGGAGACTCATACATTAGGACCGACACGCCTGTGCCGAGTGGAAATCCAAAAGAAGCCCTCCAACAGATTCTCAACGACTTTCCAACATACACATCTCTCAACAAGCTTGTAGCTCATGCCGGCAATAACCTCGCCGAGATCTACGTGGGCCGCACAGATGGCGTCCGATCGATTTTCGGGTCTCCAGAAGGGCGTGAGTATCTTGAAGACATTTACGGCGCGGCGCATCCAAGTAGGGCCTTTCACAAGCTCATGGAAGACTTTATGAGCCGCTTCACCAAGACCCTCACCGTCCCTTACGGCTCTCAGCTCAAGATCCTGGAGCTCGGAGCTGGAACAGGGGGTACGGCTAAATGGCTTGCCCCGTTGCTGGCTAAATCGGGAGTCCCCGTCGAGTACACCTTCACCGATCTGGCACACGGTTTCATTGCCCAGGCCGCACGGAAGTTCCAAGATTACTCCTTCATGAATTACCGAACACAAGACATTGAAAAGCCGCCACCGGTAGACCTCGCGGGTACTCAAGACATAGTCATCGCCGTTAACGCAGTCCACGCCACCCCCGACATGGTGAAGTCACTCACAAACACGCGGCAGTTCTTACGACCTGGAGGGTTTGCACTGGTGATGGAGGTGCAGGAGCGTTTGTGCTGGGCTGACTTTGTGTTTGGGCTGTTTGAAGGATGGTGGTTGTTTAGCGACGAGAGAAAGCATGCGACAGCTAACGAGACGGTATGGCGGGATGCTTTCAAGGCATCCGGTTTTGATCATGTTGATTGGACTGGAGGGGAATTGAGGGATTCCGGCCTACAGAGAGTTTTCCTGGCGACGGTGCCCGAGTAGCTCGTGGTTGTAATTGTTGGTACCATGCTAGTAACTTCGGTTTCGGTTCCACATGATGAATCTTCATCTTTACGTCCAGTATTATAACGAGTTTGATAAGATCAGATCACGCCACTTGATAGCCGACCTTACCACAGATATTAGTTAACGTGGCATGTTTTATACACATGATTATGTATTTGACGCCACGGAAAATAGAGTTAAATGTCAACTTGGGAATATATAATCGAGGTGGAACTACGCTGAAACATCCCGGTTACGACTCCAGTGAGGTTTTGAGAAGCGAGGCTGTAATAGACCTTCGACTCTGCGGCTATATGGCAAATTTTAGGCAGAAAATTTGCACGCGTTTTGTTTATTAATCTCGTAGCATGGTTTCTGTTTAGAAGTTTGGCCTCGAGTGTTCTTCTACCTAATTGTACCTCTGAGGGGATACTTTCCTGGATATGGGCCTCGAGCACATTCAAAGTGGATAAGCCTACTCCAAATGGGGCGCGTAAGCACGTCTCTACACGACTTAGGCTTGTGGCAGAGGGAATAAAGGAAACTCTATTCGGATGGCGGGACGACCCTTGCCGCTTGCTCGTATCAAGCGCACGTCTGTTGGTCGAGACGAAGAAAGTTGGGGGAACAACATCTAGCATCTAGGATGCGCTGAAGTATCACGAGTCGTGAAGTGGGGGGCTTCGTCGCAACTTCGGGCGCGAAGGAAAGTTTCCGGGTACTTTTTGCTTTTCCCCGACAATGCTACATGTAAACATGGGATGAGACCTCAAAGTTGTTGATAGTTTCAAGCTACATGGAATAACATGTTCGTCGACGATACACGGGATCACTAGGCTAAATCCTATGTAGCTGGAGAGCTTTCCCCTGCTTTTGAATCCGGCCAAGATTCTACAAGCTTTGGTTCGGTGAATTCGTTAGAGGAAACTCCTGAAA